ATCCAATGGGATCATGTACCAATTTTCGTGACAAATTCCAGAAAGCAATTCGTTCCCTTGAAGATTTCGTCTTCAATTTTATTCGGTTACCGAAAGAAAATTGAGGGGAACAAAGAGACGGCAATATCAAATTAAATCGAAAATCTACAAAGGAGACGTTGTAACCTTACCACGTTTCCGAGTATTGCCACCGTGGACATGAGTAAGCGAAGTCTCACGGCTCTTGTTAACCTGCCAATACCAGACGATAGATACGTCGTCGTCGTAGTAGTTAAAATAAAGCCGGGAATAGAGACAAGGAATTACTTCTAGAAAGATTTTTAAAAAATGGTACCTGATCTAGGCAAGTCAAGTTTCCGGGTTAACCTGAATCTCAGTAAGATAGGGTAAAGATAGATCTTCTTCTGAGAGATTAATCTCTGGGGAAATGAGCTCCACTAATTGCTGGTAAATCGGATCAACACTCCCTCGTCTGATAGAAGAAATGATAGTGAACGACAGTATATGTATATATTTATTAAACACTCATCGTTTAAGTAAATGTATATTCCGTACCTGCTGCATTAATCATACATGGCGGATATTCTGATCGTACTCTTCAAGAATCCTCGTATCAACATTTATCACTTGTTTTCCAACGGAGAACGAAATATATTCCTCTCTGTCCAGGTAACCGTACGGGTCGAGAGTTTCGTGTATTTGGATTTATGCGGGCAGAGCAAACGTGCGGAGAATTAAATATCAATCCGGGTGGGTTCAAGTTTAAATTCCACGCCAATTTTTTAACGCTCCACTTTGCCGCCCGCATTTCCGTTTATTTCAGAGAGGAGTAATATTAAGAGGAAGGGAACAAAGAGACCTGGTGAATCTATTGTATGTACGTGCAAAAGGGACACGGGCAGGCACGGGGATCCCTGACTGATGGTTTCATTCTCACGTGCAGCCACCCTATAATTTCCGGTTTCCAAGTCCCGCTAATTAATCCTGATGCCAAATGAAGGTGAGGTAGAGATTAGCAGGATTCGAGGAAGAGAAGAGGAGTATAAAGTACACGGAGTAACTTACACGTTAAGGACAGTTTCTCTTTGGCAATTTCCAACGACCTTAATGCGGATTCCACTAGTGCTTTTTAAGGTTAAGTCCATTTTGCCTTGAAAGAGAAGGCGAAAGAAAAATGAGAAAGATATTTTTAATATTCATTTAACGCACGAACCAAGGCAATACCCTTACGAAAGGGATCGCAGCACTTTCGATCGCGCAACGGAAGATCTCGTTGAAGAGCCACGATGACATATTTCATTGAACGTAAATATCGTTCAACCTCTAACAAGTTTACGGGAGACAACAAAGCGTCGCTAACGTCAAATACCAGGGAGGTTACGAAGCTGATATTACTGTACAAAATGTCGAAATAACGTTGCCAGTATAAGACGCCTTTACCTCGTGCGAATAAAACAGGAGTTATGAAACGAGGTTATGAATACTCTTCTCCCTTGAATATACAACTACTTATTCTTTCATTGTATAATGTGTGACTAATCAATCTGTTCACGTTCCTTGTGTCTATCTACAGTATCCTGCTACTGTGTAATGAACATAAACAGATACTAGAGACGGTCAATACGTCTAACAATCAATTAATGATCTTTTCTACTACGACGACATACCTGCTGTCCTTAAGGCTATGCTGTGTATGCCCTTCGTAAATAATGCCTACAGCCTTTCGTACCTTCATATACATCTAGATCGATCAGTTGGAATAAGTATATTTCAACAGTAATAACCATCAAATAGAGTATATCCTCCTCCAGAGATCAGTATGCAAATAAAATGTAAGTCCTTACCGTGGCAGGAGATTGAAAATTGAGCTTTTATGTAAATCACTAAACTCTCCATGGACATGTAAATGAGGGGAAGTTTTAAAGATAAGAAAAGGAAAAAGGGTATTAATATTTAAAGAATCTCTATCTGTCAAGCAGCCTAAAAACACTGTACGAATACTCCGTGTATATCGTTGTACCGAGCATTCTAACGCATCGTGACGACGTAGTTCGTCACAGTTTTATGTATTATTTAATTTACTTACAGGACTATCAAGTATCTACCTTGTTATTGGAGATGGACAATGCAGCTTGTTGCTTCTTCACTACACACACACACACACTTGGTATAACCACACTCCCGTCTGGTACTGACGCGCGCCGCACGAAGACTGTCGGTTCTGGCACAACGCCAGATAAACTGTGGTTTCAACTATGTATGGAGTTTTGGTGGTGGGAAAGGATTCGGGAGGGAAGGCGACACGATATATAATAAATATATATACGATTGTTAAAGGAATGAGTATATAGCGCCATGCAAGAGAATCGCGAGGAATATGGAAGAGTACTACAGGGTTACTTACAGGGGAGGCTTGCCGAGTGCGACTCCGGTAGAAGTGTCCAGAGGGTGGAATTGTTGAAGGGGTTTGTAGGCGCCAAAGCATTGTGCGCAACGCTCTAGCGTTATGTATTGTGTATATGTATATATATAACAAAAACCATTGGGATCTCATACCCCAGAAGAAGCTTGTACATATATTTATGTATCCTGTACGCGAAAAGGGAACTAGTATATAACCTTAACGTACCTTCCAGAGAGACCCTGCGGTGTCTAACGTTGTTATCTAACTCACATACGATACTGGAACACTATTGGCTACCTTTAATTTTGCCTGAAAGTATTCTGAACACATTATTCTACTTAAGTAGCTGCTATACACTGTTCGGTGTAACTGCTGCAGAAATATTGGCTGGTAGGTTATAATGGATGGACCGTATAGAATTTTATTTATTACCACTCGTGTGTACAAGGTGTGTTTTATTTAACCGTTTCATTTCTGAACTTGGCCCCGGTAGAACAATATTCGTTGTCTATTTGCTTTCTGATTTTTCAATGAAATTTTTAGGTAATGGCACTGGGAATTGGTGATTTTATAGTTTTGCATTGGAAAGCACATGAGAAGCAGCAAATACGTGTGTATTTCGTGGGACGATATATCAAATGAAATTACCGAATTTCAAAGGGATCATTTGCATAGGTAGATATTCAATCCGTGACGATTCATGGTTCTGCTAAAGACACGTGCCTCCTTCATACAGGGGATGGTGTCGAAGGACGATAAGGCTCACGCATTGCCCACTGTCCCCACATCATTGCATAGGATGGATGTCGTTTTAATGGCTGTTCAAGGATTCTCATCAGGGTGTAATTCCAAAATATCCATTCAATCTGTATTCGTACCTTGACACTTGTGGTGGCTGAAAAATAATGTATGGATTTGACAGTGAACAAATTAGGCGCATCAATTATTTTTCATATTACAGAACTGTTTTAAAGAATTCTGATTTTTCGATTCAGGAACTGTTATGGTACATACCCATACTTTCTGGCATCATCGACGTCCTTCTACTTAGTTAAGCAAGTGTTTAAGGGATGACACAAGAGTTCAGAGGTTGATGGATTGATTTGATTTACTCCTGGTTCAATTTCGTCAATGTAAACAGACAAGGGGTATAAAAATGACCCGAGGCCAGTTTATACACTGCACACGTGTAATTCTCCTGGGCAAGAATAAGAACCAAGGCGAAAATACGCACAAGGATTCCCAATAGGAATAAGTAGAATTGATTGCAGCTGCATATCTATTTGGACAAGAGTACAAGGCAAGGAAGGATTTCCCTCCAGGAAAGTGGTACATGATTTTTCTTCCTTGAAGAAAACTCTAGCAGAGTATTTTATATTTAAATATTGAAGGAATAATGCAACGGGTTAACCGTGGAGCAGAAGATCTGGAAAATTGTAAGAGGGATGCAATAATTATACGATATATGATGATTATATTAGGCTAGGCGCCAGCTGCGTTAAGCGTCGCGACGCTAGGGCGTCCTTTTGTGTGTGTGGAACGGTGTTAGCTCGTGACTCGTGACGTGAACCACGCGTTCGATGAAAGCTCACTTGCGTGTGTTCGCAGAGGCTGCTTGGGCTTTGTATTGCGTACGTGCGAATGACCTCTATCTTCTTCGTAAAACCAGACAGGGGACGTACCATCCCCAGGAACATTTCGACTGGTTGTTTAACTCTGAAATTCCTTTGGGAGACGCCTTCGGGCTCTTGTCTACGTGGCGGGCTAACGTAAACGATGACCTTTTCGCATAAGGTATAAGACTCCTTTCTCAGGATTCTTTTCTTTTAAACTTTAGACAGTCTTTTATAATTAGCAGCTTAATTTTTATGGTTCCTTTTATTCATTTCTTTAAATTAAGATAAATGTGCGGCCTCCGTTTCAATTTTGTATTGGAACTTTATATTGAAACTGAGAGAATATGACAGACGAATCTTACCAGACAGTTCTTTTTAGAGTTTCATTATATATTTTATGTATACTCCGACACGAAGGAAGGCTGCCTCATTTTTTTATATCGACATTTCATAAAGAATATTTTCAGCAAATGGATGCCAAACATGCTCATCTATTGACGTTTTCTGTATATTATGTAGATTAGACTTGCCACTGTGCCATGCGATTTTCATATGTAGAATCGAGTAGTGGGTCCAGTCGTCGATACTGGTAATCATGGATACTGTATAAGAAATCGGGTTCTTGTCTTTCTTCTACATATTGTACGTCAGCAAGTGTGTTCACATCTGGTATAGCGTTGATTGGACCTACTACCTTTGTGTGTGTATATAGCATTTCAATCTTGAAGCCCAATCTGCGAGTGCCGGCGATATCCAAGCTCACGTGACACCATATTCCTTAAATAAGACGCCTTTAGCTCTTTAGTGAACGTTGCGACGGTAAAAAATAATAATTGACGTTCTGTATGTATAATTTTCCAGGTTCATTGATATTTACAGAGATGAGTAGGGAGATGCACAACGCTACGGTTTCTCTAAAATCGTACTCATCTCTGATATTTATTTGGTCGACTGCACCATCTTTTGGTGCGTAACGTTGGCGTTTCAATCGGTAACTAGGATGCCTAGTCTATTTTCAGTCAATGCTTATTAATTAATAGGAAATACATTAGTGGAGAACGTATAGAACCTTAAAGTTAATACTTTAAAATAGCTTCGCTGTCGATTGATGATTATTCTATTATGGATTTAATCACTTACTTTGTCATACACAGGTAGTCTTGCAGTGGCAGTCAGTGTCAAAATGGCGAGCAAGAAAATCGTCTGCCTTCTTGGCAGTTCAAATAAAATTTGTCAGCCAAATTTACCTGCGATTACTACTCTCGTTCGGGGTACAGCTTCTGGGGAACCTGTTGACAAAGTGACCCACACTGGTCAGGTAAAAGATATTGGACAATGATATTGAAAAATGATATTACGTAAATTTGAGGTTATCTTAGATTCTTTTAATAATTCCAATTCTGTTTTAGAAATGGGATGACGATGATCCTCGCCTTGTAAGATTTGTTGACAGACAGAAGCTCGTAAATCCTAACTGGGCTATTAATCTCATAGCTGAAGTGCCTCCGAATAAAGCCAAGGACAGAGTCGTCTATTGTAATGGAGGTGGTGGACCTTTGGGACATCCCAAGGTGTATATTAATTTGGTACGAAAAGTTTATTAGTTTCTTGGATTTGTCACTTGTTCTCTTTCTAATTTTGTTTATTTACATATAGGATAAACCAGGTAATCATAGTTGTGGATATTGTGGTCTGCGCTTTTATAAGGAAGACCATCACCATTAAATAACACTCTGAGAAAGATCATAGTTAAAAACGGTTTAGCTTGTACTATCATAATATTGTTAAACGTGTGAATAAAGTAATTGATAGGTAAAATATTTTTCTTTGTTCTGTTTTGTCCCCCACAGATGTATTGAATAAAAAGAAAGATCACAGAACAGTAAAAGGACATTTCTTAGAAAAAGAAATTTATTTCGATCGTTATCTTTTGCACTTACTAATAAATTAATGATAATTAAAATACTTATATTGATAAGTTCTCATCCTCCTACAATGCAGTTTTCTGACTATTCATTCCAAGTGGTATTGCTTGCAGCTCAGTCCTCATACACAGAAATTCTCCACAGACACACATTATACTAAGGGATACAATATTTAAGCACCACCAGCTAAAACTTGAAGGGAAACTGGCATTATATATCCAGCACAGCAGTAAATGTATCAGATGTGCAGTACAGGTAAAGTCCATACACTGTTTTGTTCTTTGCACGAGCCACCACAGAGCCAAAGCACCAACTAAGGCATTTAGTACAAAAATTGTAATGACGAGTTTTCCACCAAAGTCACGAACATGAACCTCACTATACAGGAAGGCATAATCTAGCGATTTTGTTGAGCCTAGAAGAGTAGCTGCTATCCAAATCCATATTCCAAGGAAAAAGTACATGACACTTTGCACAGCCAATATCTGACATATGATTAATATCGGATCCCATGTTGTTTTACGGAACTGTCCTGAGATGTTGTTCATCATGTCTTTTATATCTTCTCCGACTTTCTGCCTGAGTGTTATTTATGTCAGGCTCCTTCTACCCATCATCCTTTCAGGATTCTCGGATCCCACCAAGTACAGCTAAAATGTAACGATTAAATATTGTTTCTGTCCAACATTATAAAACATAATTAAATAAATCCATTGTAATCAAACCTTGTAACGTGCTGCAATTGATTTGTACTTATGAAATTACCATTATTACATTGCTTGTAACACTTGTGATTCCGTCTTGTCTTAAAATAGAATAATAAATGTCATATAATAAAGTATTTTTGTTTGAACAGGTTTTTACAGAAGACGATTTGTAATATATCACACGTACATGACTTGGTTACCGTCAAATAGCATATTTGTAGGTTATGATTCATAAAATGACGTCACGAACGACAGAATTTCGTAAGGTAGAACGAACGTCTATTATCACGGTGACAAAAGAAACTGCGTTACGTCAACGAATTCAGACGTATTACGTCTGAATCTGAATTCGTTGATTACGTGTGTGACATTACGCTGTTTTTCGAACAACGTAACATTTTTATGAGATTTCGAAGCGACACGTGAGAAATGTCATTCTTTAATTTTTTTCAAAATCTATTCGCTGGTGGGAATAATCAGCGACCACCAAACGATAGGTAAGACCCTTAAAAAGTAACGATAAACGTTTTTCCACAGCGACAGTGTAGAATATTCTAGATGTTTGGCAAAGCTTTTTCTGTATTTTATATATTTACTCATTGTCATATTTGTATCCTGCGTATTATTGTAGATACGAAGAACACTGGGAACCAAGGCACAGTTTTAGAAATCCTATTTGGCAAAACGATGAGGATGATGATGATGAAATCGGTGACAATGATTTCAGGTAAACTTTTATTTTCTTGTTTATCCTTTATCTATTTAACAATTTTTCATAAAGTAGTTTACATTGAAATAATCCGATGGTGTTTTAGAAATCCTAGACATGGTTTTCATTTCCACATCTTTAGCGATCCGCTTCAAATAACAAAGTTCTTTGAAACAGAGATGGATAACATGTTGAAAGGATTCTTTTCTGGATTTGGTCAAGGAGAAATTACGTCGCCTTTTGGAAGTAAGTAATACAAACGTCTGCTAGATACTATTAAAGAAATGAATATTTGATGAATCATTAATATTCTAATCTTATTTACAGATGACGAGGTATTCAAAGCTTTGCCACATGGTAAGCCACAGAGGAAAGAAAATCTTAGAGACGAATTTTTAAAGCCTGGATACGAACAGCCTGCTTTGGATCAATCTGGGTTTTCCAAACCCAAGGTCGATGCTGATCTAGATGGAAAGTAAGTGTATACATACTCTAAAGCGTTAAAGAATAATATACCATAAACTAGCTAACGATATCAATATTTGTTTACAGAGTCAGCACAGATGAATTAATGAAAGTTTGGACAAAACCTTCAACATCTCAAGAAATTCAGACATATAGTCCCAATAGACAATTCAATATTCAATCTTTCGGTAAGTCTATAATCACCAGGAGCATTCGTAGACCAGATGGAACAATGGAACAACATAGAACTGTAAAAGACAGCGAAGGTAACGAGGAGACAACAGTCACTAGACAGATTGGAGATAAAACCCACACAGTGGTAACAAAACTTGATAAGAACGGTATTCAAACAACAACAGAAAACCTAGTCAATATTGACGAAAGTAAGTAAATTAATCTATAATTAGAAAATATTTTTTAATTAACAGAAGATGCAAGTAAACACAAAACCAAAACTTTATCTTCCAGACGAACTGAAGGACTTTGAAAAGAAATGGAGCATCCAGCCACAACCTCGAAACGATTTTCCCCTGAGCAATTTCCCCTGGCACAAATTCTTTAGTCCGAGTCCAAAATTGTAACACCAACAATAGTACCATAATTAAGCAGACTGTGAGTTGTGAAAAGTAATGATACACTACTAGACTCGATAGACACAATAATAAACTAGTTATTATAGAGTTCTACGTAATACGGGGTAAATATAAATACCAGAATGATACAGAGTATCACAGACGAGCCACCAAAGTCCCAAATGTTGCAACTATAAATTTCTTTATTTAATCGTATATATATATATATATATTGTACACGCCACATATATACAGTCTAATAAATTCCTAGTCTACATGTAACCAAACCATCAATGCTTTTTTACATAGTTTTCGCCCTTTCAATTTAAAAGGCGACAACCACGCGATTAAAATTACACGATTGTTATTTATTTGGCTGCTGAACGCAAACCTAACGTAACAGCATATTTATTAAACGCCCTAATCAACGCCACAATAATTCCTTTTACATTGTTTCTCGTCCATCTCTTTCACCTTGTCTTAATAATCGCCTCTAAATGTGTATCTGCACTATAAAGCGTGTTATTTTCGTTATCTCCATTATTCATCGCGCTCAGCGGTAATAAACACACCTGGATAGATAATAGCATAACAGTAATACCCTATCATAAGTACCAAAGATAATTTACAAAGCGAACTGCTTCAATTCTCCGGTAGAAGAAAATTTAGGAGAGACCATAACTCAGAAAGATTATTTTGGAATTGAAGCGGCTACTCGAGTCCAGCGAACATGAAGTTGTCACTTCAGAGAAAGACGTATTTACACCAGAGGAGTTGGATAAGCTCTTAGATAGAAGTGATCTAGAAGTCCAAGATAAACACCTTCATCATCAGCAACGCATCTCATCATTCCAGATAATTAATAGAATTAAATATGACTATTTTAATTTTTATAAGTGCCATGACCAAGTGTTCCGTTGTCGCGATATTTATTGCCAGATACCATTCTTATTCTTAGTATTTCTACAGTTCCTGTTTTTATAACTGCCTTTTTTAAAAAATGATTCCCAAATCTATTCCGTAACTAAAACCCCGATACAGATAAATAGATCATTGTGATTCAAAAATGAACTTCCCAAAATTTAAAAAAAAAGTAGCTGTGTCCAAAATTCAAGTATTAACTGGTTATGCAACGTCAAATAATTTACATATTTTTTAATGTAGGAAATGTGTAATATCACAGTTAAAAGACATTTTTCGTTTTAGTGAAATAACGCTTAATAACTAATAAGTTGCTCATTACTTTCAATTTACGGTACGAAAATTGTATTAAGATTCCTTAATGTATTTTTCTTAACTGTTATTTATTGATTTTCTATCTAAAAATGTATTAAAATATTCTTTCAATGAAAAAAAAAAATAAAATAAAAAAATAAAAATTAATACTTCATTGAGCCATTCCACGAAACTGCACTATATTATTTACATAAGCACGGTATGATGGAAACTGCAGATGGATGTTCATTAGGAAATACAAATTTTCCTTAATCTTTAGAGTAGGAAGATAAAACGAAAAAAGGAAATGAATTAGAGAAGCACAACGAATGCCCCGATCTCTGCCGGACCAAGAATGCCAAAAATTAAAATTAAAAATTGGAAGTAAACCAGCAAGAAAATAATAGAAAAGTAAGAAAATATTCTAAAGCACCGATCCATACTATCAATTTGTTAAATTAAAAAGAAAATACTGTGTATCTTCAGTTCAAACGAAATTAGGAACAATATCTACAAAGATACAATAATTGAGCATATTTTGTCCTTGCTATTTGAGAAAGGTGAAAGAAGGAGATAGAGAAACATGTTAAATCGGACGTTATTTCAAACAAAAATTGTCCCAACTGATTACAAACTGTCTGAAGTATCACCAGGATCTTCAAAATCTTTAGAATCATTTGCCTTGGGTAAGAATTATAGGTGGGATCCTCCAAAGCACCCAATGGAGACACACATTAAATTAAATAACGTTCTTGCACGACAACATTACAAAGGATATTGTACTCATTAATCATCTAAACTAAGTATCAAGCCGAGGAACTCAGATTTGGCAGAACCTTTACTGAATAAGAAAGAAAGTAACAGAAGTGTCTCACGTACACCAACAGTGCCATTCCATTTCTGTCACATTACTCAAACTCTTACAATGTTCTTATGCCTCTTCGTCATTCAGTTAAAATTCAACCATACAGTCTGCAACAAATTTTTACAAAACTTCCTCGCTGTGCCTGAATGATACACCAGTAAAGAACGGAAAAAGCCACGAAACACTATATAACAAAAGAAACGTGTAGTTTTGAAGTACATTGTAAAAATAAATATACACAATAATGGAGGTTCGATAGGACTTCCAAAGGCTAGTATCATTTATCTCTCTTCTTACGTGATTAAAAATCCATCTGTTTGCCAACAATCCCCGTTAACCCTCGATTAGGCTACAAAGTCGTATTAGAAACAAGTATGTGAATCGAAAATAAATCCGTAGAGCTGCTATATTTCAATTAGTTATTTCATTTCTCTTTCTACCTCCCCTTCAAATACTTCATAATTCTTCGCATACGCCAAGTTCCTCGTTTACTTATGTACACAAAAGCACACAAGGTCCTAATCTTGTATACCTTGCACGCGAGTGTATACATATATGTATAATAAATATATTGTCGTATAACAAGTAAATAACAATTTAATTGTCGTACATTCTTGAACAAGCTTCAACTCGAGAACATTGCTACGATCGTTATTAGTTTAATAATCAATGAATTATATTAGATAACGTTAACGCCAAAGCACTCGAGTGAACAGGCTTTCGCAATACTACGAGTGAGTACAGATAAAAATTGTCTCATCGATTCAGTTGCTGTGTGATGTGCAAACAAAAAATTGTCACTTGCCTTACGACAATGATTATTACTACGAAAATCATTATGTATATATGTATATATATATATATACACACACATATATAATATATAGGCTTTTACTTATGTACAATTTTTATTATCAAGAGATTTTTTTTTAATTTCCCATTGGCTCTCGCATTTAGCACAGACGTGAATATCTGTCAACGGCATAGAAGTTATCCATGTAATACGATTAATAAAGTTTTTAATGACAATGGAAACAAAACTGAATTCACTCGTTGGGCAAGATTAGTTTTCTGGCCTGAGGCAAGATCTGCAGGTACTTGCATATCAAGAGACACATATTTATATATACTCCTTGATAATGTTCTGTGCCGTTGCACTTGGGATCCCTCATAATTTTGGCTTAAATCATCAGCTGGATCATTTCACCATGATGAATCCGGCCTAATTTTGGCTAAGACAGCTATGTATATTATATTCAACATCGTACCTTCTTATTATATCGAATAATTAATAATAGTCAAGTATTTAATATTTATACACAAATTAAGGTTTGGACAGGTAAGGCTCTCGGGTTAGGACTCAATAGAGGACGTTGTAGGAATGGGAGATCGGTTTAGAGGTTTTGGTTTTTAAATGTGCGAAGCGAATCCTGTGCTCAGGATAACTCATCGCTCTGCAAAGAAAAAAGAAGCATTACGAGAAATTCAAACGGAATTCAACGTCCACTGACTGCCACGGTAGTGTTCCCCTACGTAGAGACGTTTCCTTGAAGATGACGGAGTGGTTACTCCTGGCCAAAACCTTCAGTCTCCTCGATTGCGTAGTTCAGCTTCTCTACCATTTGGTCGTAGCTTTTGTAAGGTGGCAAGTCCAGTCGATTGAAGCACGTGTGAGATCTTGGTAGCCACGTATCCTTGCCTACCTTCTCTATACAAAATCTTTGCGGTCCGTTACTCCCTGAAGAGTGGTAAAAAGTACAATTAAATATTAAACGGATCAATTAATTTTACAGAAGAACTGTACTTACCCATCAGCTCTGCAAAACCTCCTACTGGGACTCGACAGGTTCCTGTCACGAACTGCAACAGTCTGGCTCTCTTCTCGGTGTCGGTCGTCCTTACAAACTGTACAGAGTTGAACAGAGACAACAGTTTGTTTTCCACTTTCAATTGGTAATCATGTAGTGATTAACGTCAATCAATTTAATTGAACCTACCTGCCAGAACCACAGGACTTGCTTGCTGTTACGCGTGTAATGCCTGTAAATGGTGTTTCTTTGCCAGTCGTCAACATCAATTTCCTGCATGCCGCATAGCATTAATTCCAATTCACGTTCATCGAAATATTTAAGCCATTCCAGGGGTACTACTGAATTGAAGCCTTCCAGGAAGGCTTTCGTTTGCTCCTCTATTCCGCGAGTCATACGCCACTCGGTCATTAATCTAGGATTTTTCGTAAGACATAACTTAGGACTGCGAAATAATATAATATATATTTAGAAATCTTGTTTCACCTTACCTCATATACTCTTCCTTATTCTCTTCAACGACTCTGATCTTGTCGCCGCCTTCCTTGAGCTCGTGATGAATTACCTGACCCAGGACTTCGAAGTCTACACTGTAATACAATTCCAGGCCGCATTCATCAATGTTATTTTCTTTTATCCACACGAGGGACTTGTAGAACTCTGGATCTATCGACTCTATGTCTTTCATTATGAGTTTCTTATTGAGCATACGCTTATAGAAAGGCATGGTGAAACCGCTATAGATAAAACGACCATGATAAAGTGCCTGTGAAACGAATTGGAGGTTAGTCAACGTGAAGAATGATATTTTTAGTGTGATAAAATAAAATTTCACCATCGCAATAAATCTGCCAATAAATTTGAAATACTGCAAGTGATCTGGATTGACGTAGGAAGCAGGATTTATCTGCAGACTATAGTTACTCTTATTGGCATATTCGAATAAGCAGTACATCGGATTGAGCACCTCGTGGCTCAGTAAGAAGAACCATTCCCTGAAGACAGATAGAGATGAATATACATATCTCTGCAGGTTGAGTGTCCCAAAAATAGAGAATACGATGCAAAATATAGTAGTACTGACCTCGACACTCCTCCATAATCCAAACCTTCTTCGCCTTTAAAAATTATATAAAGCCTACGTCTCAGGGCAAAAGCTTCGACGTTCATAATTTGATGATAGGAATCTTCAAAAAGTGTTTGTCTGGTGACACTGATTTTTATATGATTTGACAAGGCGTTCGTTTGACACAAGAATCGAAATTGTGACAATTTCCAATGGAAAGATCTCTCGTACGCCCTTGGTACCCGGTACACACCCTTAGGTCTACGAATTAATATATAAGACAATGAATATTGCAACGACAGAAGCCAGGTAAATTCCTTAAAGAATTATCTAAGATAAAACTCACCCTTTCGGAGCACCTGGTCTAGGATCCTGGAAGGTGGTAGTCCTTGTATTGTGATCGACAAAATATCTGGTACCGTCCTCCGTCAACCTGATCTCCCAGCCGTCGGGAAGTGGAGGCTCATCCATTGTCTCCTGACCCTGCGTCCTGGGATCTTCCCACTGAGTTGTTCTGTTTTTGTGATTAACGTAGTAAACTCTTCCTTCAGGTTGCTTTCGTCTTTCCCATCCAGCTGGCAAGGGACCCAGAAGAGCATCGTCCTCATCGACGGCCGCCGTAGAAGGTCCGGCCATAGCAGTCTGACTACCATGAGCCTAGGAATATATTTAAAAAATTGATAGTTAAAAAATAATATTAACGAATCAGAGGATTCAGTCTCTTTATTATTAAGTTCTAGGTACCTGAGGATAGAGGAACCTTTGATTGCCTTGCTGTACGACATACTGTCGTTCACCCTGCCAGTGCTGAAAGTGCTGTAGCCTCTCCGTATTCGGCCTCTGCCACGTAGTGCTTCTTGTGTTATGATCCACATAATAAATCCTACCACGAGGATCCCGTCGGACCTCCCATCCTGGAGGTAGAGGTTGCGGCCTCTCCCAGGAGGTGCTACGCGTATTATGATCTACATAATAACTGAAAGCATTGACGCACCAGGTTAAACATTGCCAACCATACTAAGATAGAATATAACTGTGTATTCTCAGTGCCGACTTTTTCTTAATGCTTCTGTAAACTATTGCTAGCAGTAAAATCCATATCTCGTACGTATTTTTAAGTACACCTTTCGTCCCAGCTCCGCCCACTCTCTTGTACAAAGAATTAGGCTTATCATTATTTATGAATCTAATTGTATAGCATAGCTATGACACTGAAATTCTATCATTTTTGAAGTGGGCATAATGATTAGAAGAATGTTTCGTATGTATTACCTGCGCTCGAACAGATCGGTTCGCATTTCCCAGCCTGCTGGTAATGGTTCCTCAGGTTGATTTCCATTCTGACCTTCACTAGGTACTGCAGAAGGTCCTGCGGATGCTGGTTGTCCTGGTGGAGGACATGTGCCGCTGCTACTATCACTTGTGGAATTGTGATTACCCATACCGTTTGCTACTGAAATTGTCGGTGGTAGAACTTGGTCATTGTTCACGCTAATACTGGATTGATTTGTATTGTAACTGGAATTGTGAAGTATATTGGTTGAACTGCGATGCATCACTGGTTGGATTGTTGAGGGAACTGCATTCTCAGTGCCATGTAATCGCATACGAGCACGCACACCTCCGTTTAGGATGCTGCGGTTATTCGTTGTGTCACTATTAGAGGAACCTGCAAGAAAAATTGTATTAGCTTTCAGTGCAGAGACTTAGTTATGTATGATAATGTATCTAATTGATTTACCAAGAGGCATCGGAGTACCGGTTGGAATATTTTGAGTTTGTCGTAATTGTTCACCAACGTTTGGTGGGGCAATGCCATTCATATCAATCCTTAAGCCATCAAAAAGTGTCACCAACTCTCCTACTTTAGATAACTGAGAGTCATGCTTGCTTTCTGTCATGAGATCAAGCGTAAGCTCAAGATTTTCTAATTTCCCATTGTAATGAGAAAGGATTTGAAACAGACTTATTCTCTTTTCTCCGATCAAGGCATCCTTGCGGAAGGTGCTGTGATCTAGCAAACGAAAGTGCAACTGAGAATAAGGAGTTACAAGAATTGTAAATTCCTCATTCCACTTTGGCTGGTATGTAGATTTTGAGACTTCTGTCTTTCTTGGACTTTGCTCATCCACTGAGAATTCAATATATGGATTGGGCTTTAGGAATGACGAGCTTCTTAGTATCGCTGCTTCGACTGAAAGTAATGGAAAGTTGTTGCATGTTTCTAACTATCTAAATGAGGGAGAGAAACATTTCTCTCCAATTCACTTGACTACTGATGTACAAGAAAGTCTAGATATTTCAATAGATATGCCAGAGCAATTAGAGCAACTCACTGGTGATGCTCAGCTGGTGAAACCCAGGAGAGACTGCCTCCACTTCACAGTGGGACATGGTACGTTGATTTGCTTAGTTTCAATATAAAAATTCTAAAGAATTATTCATATCATTTTTAATACTGTAACACCACTATCATCTGTAAAACAATGATAAATTATCTTTCAATGTACGTGTATGAACAATGAAGCAAAAAATAACTAGACTTAGGAAACATTCAATTTAACTAAAATTACACACACAGCTGGACCAATATGCACATTGCATAACACTCCCAATCAGATGAACATGATACTATAAGCAACGTTAAAGAATGTCAATCAAAGTTCTATTGTAGCAGTAAGATTATACTAGGAACGAAACTAAACAACATTCCTCGACGATGATAAACAAATTCAACAGATCTAATCACTTCAAAAATTCCCAGACCCCTCTGACTGACATGAACAAAACAAAATAATCGTTAAAGCAATAAAAAATAAAAATGCATAATAAAATCTGACACAAAAATATTGAAAAAATGAATGAAGCTCCTAAGCATGACTCGTACCGAAAAAATATCAGCAATTATTACCCCTATGACATATTTGTCAATCTACGCCTTAAAATTACACAATTCCACTTCTCAAATGGTCTGATAATTTTTTAAATAATCGAGTAATTGGGTAGTAGAATACGCTAATACGGACGAAAGAAAATAAAAGGAAATAAAAGACAATTGGGCGTGAATCTCTCCAGGTGCTCTGTGTAAACTACAGCAAATATTGGCATCACTCAGTGGGTATTATAATCCTGACGTTTCCCGAAGGGATTGGTGTTTCTAGTGGTTACGCTACAATTGAAATAAATGAATTATCCTTTCACAGCACCGACCTAAAACGCACTCGTCGTTGTTAATAATGACCCGAGCTCTCGCAGCATCGCTTGCACGGACTCTCTAGACAATTCGGCACTGAACACTAAATTATTTTGCAGAAACACTGACGATTTGCGTTATCATTGAACTTCACTATCAGTCAGCCACCATCTTGCCATACGTCAAATCTAGAGTTTCTTTTTATGACACGATATACATACATATAAGCCAGATTCTATAGTCTAGAGTCTAACCAGAAAATGGAAGCAGAATACGAGTCGTGGGTCAGCCATGTTGTATAATGAATTTTTCAAATAGCAAATAATTCTTGATACGTTGTTACATTTTCTTCTTATTTCTAGACTATTCTGTAGTATGTATTAGAGCAAAATAAAGCTTACTTTACGCTTTTATAAGAATTTTGATCAATTTCTTGGTGTGCACCGTTCAAACATTGTCTTTTTTAAGTATCAATCGAGTATTATTCCTGCACGGTATTTTAGAATGTGATACATAAGGAAAACTTCAGACAGTCCGTTACTTTAGACTGTTAGGAGTACTTGGGTCTCTCAAGAGTTTTCTGATTTTCTGTCACACGTGTAAAATACGTGATTATTTAGAAATGGGAATAAATAACAAAGTTGAATATTTGGTTGTTGATACCAGTGCATTCATTAAAAATGTACCTTTGCAGGTGAGAATTTTATTTTCAGTTTGCAGCAGCTATTTTATAGTTTGATCGAATGTTTATAGCTGTGAGGTCTTGTAGGTTATCAATATTTATTTAGTTTGATATTGTTTGTTAAATGAAGTACACTTTTTTTTTATTAGAATACTGAATGTTAATTGTTATTTGTTAATCTGATGACGATGGATGATTACTATAACGATAGCATACTTACCTTGACAACTGTTATAGTCTATTTCAAATTTATTTAGTTGTTATCACTTGAATAAATTGTTAGTTTGTAGTTTAATTAGCAAAGATGTTGAAAGATTAACATGTTATATGATCCAGAAGTAATGACTATGTTAGTATTTCTCTTAGCAATTTGTCTATCAGAGGTGTTAGTGATAAGAATGATAATCATATGATAGCATATCAATTCTACATACTTTTATCAAAGTCTCTGAAAATTAATTTTTTTTCTCCACCTAGGAAATTGGTACCAATATCATAACAGAACAGGATGTTGTTAATGAAATTACCAATAAGAGACAACTGAGAAGACTGGTTGTTCTTCCATATGATTTATCAGTAAAAGATGTTTTTCCAGAGAATATACAGTTTGGTAAGAAAATGGATTATCTTAAATCTAGAGTATTATATTGATTTATTCATTCTGACAAAATACTATATTACTGTTATTATAGTTACAGAATTCTCTAAGAAAACAGGGGACTACACAAGTCTCTCTGCGACAGATATAAAAGTTATAGCATTAACTTATCAACTCGAAAAAGAGAAAGTGGGTATATCTCATTTGAAGCAAACACCTACAATAGTAAAGACAATAAGTACTAGCAACGCGGGACCACAGGATCATCCAAAGGTCCTAGCTGGTTTTTATTCACCTGAAAATGACACAGAGAGTGATGAGGGTAACGATAATAGTGAAGCAGATAATGAAGAGGATTTCGAAGAGGATTCCCATAAAGAAGAATCAAAATCAGAAAATCCTGATGTATCACTAAGAGCTCAATTTGGAGACACAAGCAGAGACTCTTCGCCAACTAATTCAATATCTGCTGCTTCATCCGAATCAGATTATGAAACAGCAGCATCCGATCTAGAAGAATATAACTCAAACAACCTGGCTGCAAAGTTTGCGACATTGAACTGTAAACCAGAGGATCTCAAAGTGGAAGGTGACGGTGAGCACAACATGGATGATATCCTTGTACCTGTAAAGTCCGAGAATGATGACCAGGATGAAGAGGATGAGGATGATGAAAACGAAGAAGAGGAAGATGCAGATGACGAGGGAAACGATGAAGATGTTGGCGGATGGATAACGCCCAGTAAGTTATTAAAAGACTGAAATTTAGAACAGCTGGAAAATGATTTATCTCTTTCAGAAAATATTGTGAAAGTCAAAAAGGAAATGGATTCTGATGTTTTGGAAGATAAGCCTGCTACCGTCGCTTGCATGACAACCGATTTTGCAATGCAAAATGTTTTAATGCAAATTGGTTTGAACGTAGCTGCTCTAGATGGCAGAGTCATTAAGCAAATGAGGACGTTCATCCTTAGGTGTTACGCTTGTTTTAAAACAACTAGCGTTATGACAAAAATGTTCTGTCCCAATTGTGGACACAAGACTTTGAAAAAGGTGGCTGTGTCTATGGATGACAATGGCAAAATGCAGATTCATGTTAATGCACGAAAGCCACTAAGTGCCAGAGGAAAAAAGGTGAGACACAACATCTTAGTCACCATGCCATTAATTTTCTAACTCTAATCCTCTTATTTTTGTCATCCACAGTTCTCATTACCAACTCCAAAAGGTGGAAAGCATGCGAACAATCCTATTCTCTGCGAAGATCAACCCATGCCTGATCAGAGACCAACAAGACTGGCGCGAACCAAGAATGATCCTCTCAATGATGATTACATTGCTGGATATTCTCCGTTTGTAATGCGAGACACAAATTCAAAGTCGGCCATGCTTGGCATTCGTCCAGGTAGTCACGTTAAGCACTGGATGAGAAAGAATCCTAATGAAGCAAGAAGACGGCGAAAGTAATTCATTCACTTTTAACTTAAGTTGTATACAATAAATATGCATTCAATATACCACTGTACCCCTGTGCATTCATAGTCCTTTAACTATCCGTTACTATCGAACAACCATATACAGGGTGTCCTAAAGTGAATAGAACATAAATAAAGTTTAATTATGCAAAAGTTAATAAAAATTCTAAAATAAATGCCCCGGGTGAGGATCGAACTCACGACCTTAAGATTATGAGACTTACGCGCTGCCATCTGCGCTACCGAGGCTTGCACAATCATATTTGCTAAAGTCATAAAATTCCATAGATTTCGCAATCAAAATATTTACTTGAATAATTGCAATGTTTTATAATAAATATCATTGATCAGCAAATTATGACCGTTTTATAGGATATCATTAATGAAATATCTTGAGACGGTTGTTATGGAGTGAGAATTTTTTTGGAATGAGCCTGAACAGTGAGTTTGAGACACACTGGCAGACCAGCTGTTTTGGCGTCTACTCCGAGAAGCGAAGTAAGAGATGATTTTTTGACGTGCTCGCGAATCAATTCGATATTTTTGGTATCCCATGAGATGCTGTGCCCGGAGGTGTGGGACTTCAAGGCTCCCCAGCATTACTTCAAGGTCGAGCATGCGAATTATCTGACAAAGGATTTGCCAGTTACGATTAAGACGCATTACTTCAATCACTCTGTAAGCATGTAAAGACAATAGCCACATGTCAGACCTAGGGTTATGTTTTTAAATGTTTTTACGTAATTTTGCATACTTCTTGGATCGTTGCCAGGTCTCTGTCGTACTTCCTGACACTGTCAGTATTCCAGAGGACCTGCCAAACAGTCTCCTAGAAGATACTGACTATTATCGTATTGAAGCCCTCAACACCTCTGAGCTTGTATGCAAAGAATTTATAGAAGCTTTCATTAAGAAAGGTAAGAATATTTGTTTATATTATTCATATGATTCTATTTACTCTGTTATTAAAGTATAGGTCTTTTTAATAATTTTGTACATAACGGCTGAGTCTTTTAAATCCTTTGAAAAATATTACGAAACAAGTCCCTGCCATTGTTTCAGAAATTTTGTAACAGCAGAAATAGTATCGTATAAAGAAACTTGCATGGATCATTGCCAATAATCCAGCTTGATATTTACTAATTGTAATATTGCCAAAAATTGTTTTATAGACATATCTTTGCAATTTACATGTTTCTAATAGTTCTTGCTATGGATCATTGTACTTATTGTAAGCAGAAATATAGTTTAAAAATAAATTGAAATACGTCATCACTGTATTCTCTCATAACCGAATACTATTTTTTTCCAGGAGAGCTAAGTCTACTAAGTATCGGAAAGAAGATTGATCTTCACAATTCCATAGCAATCACTCCAACCGGCCATTTAATAATCTCCTTGGTGCATGAAGACTTTCAAAAACTAGGATTAGAGGGTACACCATCCTTCTTTGATCGTAAGGTGCAAACGCGTCACGGTAAGTCTCAGGAAGAAACTCATTAAGGAACAATAATACAAAGCAGAATAAAAAATGCCGAGAAAACACCAAGTACCGACGCTGGAGGAACTCGCTCTAAGATCTGTGGGTGAATTTGTTACTACAATCGGTAGAAACATGATCCATCCGGTATGCAAACTCTCTCAAGCCAATCCTCAGCTTGGCCTGATGACCCTACAGTTTTGGTTGGAATGGATAAAGAATCAATTGAGCTCAAGTGTACCCTGGCATTTGCATGATCGTATGGCTGTGGAAGCATTAAAAGCAATATCGAATCTCATCAACGAAACAAAAAGCACCTACGATAACTTTGCGCCTATGAGAATCTTCCTCTCGGAGATGAACGTCGTCGTAAATCTAACAGAAGTGGCTATAAACTCGAAATTAAGATCAATAGAGTTCACAGTATGGCCAAAGATTATGCGACACGTCCTCTACAAAAATCTTCACAATATGACAGGTCTAGAGGTTCTGGACCTTGGTTCAGGCTCCGCTGGCTGGAGAACTTCAGACATTGAGAAAATCATCATCGGAGGAGTATGCTCTATGTCTAATTTGACTTCCTTCACATTGTGCTTCGATTGTACGGATAGTATTATCACGGCTGTGGGACAGAACTGTCCAAAGCTACAGAAGCTAGACGTGACTGCCTCAAGATCAGTTACTGATCGTAGCATAGGTGCTATATTGAAATCCTGGCAGCTAAGGGAAGTAAAACTCTTCAGGACATCCGTCACTATAGCAGGATACTCTGAATTGTTACTAGGGCATTCACGACTCGAGGACATCGGCAGGTGCGATGAGTTTGGTTATATCATGGAGCACATCAGAGCGAACGGGACCTTTGAGAAACCATTTCATCTGACGTCCTTTGAAAGTCGTGATGTCACATCCGAGCATCTGTATTTACTGATAGAGATGTGCCCTCGCATAACGAAACTCTCTTTGCTCCACGACGAAAGGATCAGTGATCTGCTGATCCTTGGTGCCCTGGACAATCTCACTGAACTGAAATTACTGTCGTGTGATTTCTTTGCCGATCGAGTCAAGACATTACTAGAACTAAAGGGCGGTAATATTACCAGTCTTCACTTGGAGCATGTAGACGAGATAGATCTGGACGCCCTCATGTACATCAGTCAATATTGTCCTAAGATCAGGAATCTTGTATTTTACAATTGTGAGTTCCTGGAGCACTCATCGATATCACCCAGGAAGCTGACGGTGCCTCCTTTCAAGTATTTAGAGAGAATCAAGTGCGTAGTTGACTGCGCCAGTATGCATTTGGAATTTTTACTCTCTCACTGTACCAATATTAAGTTCATACAGTTAGGATCGTCTACGGGGATAGGCGACATGACTATGGCACGGGTACTATCAAAGAATCCAATGACTAAACTCGAGGAACTCAAGATATTGTACAGCGATGATCTCTCGATGAAGACGGTCCAGTTGCTTATGCAGAACTGTGAGAATTTACGAAGGATCTCGGAATTAGAAAGCTGGCAAGGCATATCAGTCATTGAGATTGACATCTTCCGCAAGGCACTCAAAGATAACAACGTCGACCTGGACACGAGTCCTACCTTGTCCTTAGCTTAATTCAGAGTATTCCTCAGGATTAGTGACAGAGGTCGGTTGTGGCTTCCAAAGCTCAGGATAATATAATGACAGCAAAAGAGAGAGAAATGAGACATTCTCAAAAAAAAAACAGTTTTTTTCTTTTTTCTCATTTCTTCTTTTAAAGAAAACGTAGCTTAAGTTAATCCAGTTTTGTCGTTTACCTTATTGTCTTTGATTATTACTTGTTTTCATAATTAATATGAAATTTGCAAAAAAATGACATGATCGTCGAGAGACGAATTTTCTGTTATCATAAGCGACGATGATTATTGACTGAGAAAAATGATACAAGGGATTTTACACTGTAGTATCGTACAGTCGTTATTACGTATTATGCAATAGTGCCGACGCGAAGGTGATTTCGATGAATTTTACATTAGCTAAGACATGTAATACGTATTTTGTACTTTGATCAGCAATATATTGCGATCGGCTATATTGGAACATTATGATAACGTAAAAAAAATCTATAAGTATCAAACCCAAAAAAAGGAAGCATAATCTTTCTGTCTAAATTTAGGCAATACGTATTGCTATGTAAACGAGGGATGATAAGTGCTAGAATGTTTTTTTTTTTCACTTAACAGATACCTACTGTTAATTTATAAATGAACTTCGATCCTGTGACAAGTGTACTAGTCGAACTGAAATTGTGATTAGCCAAGTAAGTTTTGATTGATTACAAAGTGCCTTTTTTTTTTAAAGAGACAAACGAAAATCATTACAGAAATAAATAAAAATTATCGGACGAATACATTTCTCTATCGGTTGGGAGTGTTAATGTTATGGAGCATTTTGTATTGTTATATTAATTTGCAAACGAATCCATTGTACCGTTCCTGACGAGAGAAAAATATTAATATACATTTATATTTCCAAGTCTTGCTAAAAAAAAAAGAATGTGTATTTATCATTTATCGCCAAACACCCCTGGTAATATCACTCGTACCGTTCTTGTTTCCTCTTTTTTTTTAAGTCGTCACAATCGATTTGAAAGAGGAGAATTTTACGCCCGGTAAGAAGAATTATGAGCGTGTACGAGAATCACTGGAGAAAAGATTACCTGAAAAATTTGTGGCAATAGTAGCTTGGGATCCTCCAGGTAAAAATTTTATAGTCCATCGATACAAATTTTTGTGAACCAAGATGATATTGTTCGAGGCTATACAAATAATTATTACAGATGAGAAGCTGTGTCCATCTTCTATTGGAGCTTGGTTTCATTCACGTGGATATTCCGTATCATTGTGCCAGCAGAAATTTATAAGACGCAGTGAATATTCCATAAAGGTACCCATCATCGAAGAACATGCAAACTATGACAAGTTATTCGAGTGGCTTGGAGTGTTCAGCATAGGTGGTGATCTGTGAGTATTCTTGTTTTACATAAAATTCTACTAGCTTTCCAAGTTACTAAAATATTCTAATTCATTCGTTGTCGTTCCTTCAGGGTAAATGGCAAGGATGGAGATTATGTTAATACGTATCAGTGCCCAGAGCCAGCTGTTCTTGTTGGTCAGGTCCAATATTTACAGTGGACTGGCTTCTTTACACGTAAACAAATCGAAAATATTTATAAAGTCTTAACGAATTACACTCGGACCCGAGAGAGGTTACCCTGGTCCAGTTTAGATGTTCAGGGCTTTGAGGATTGTCCTGTCAGTTGGCGCTTGAAGGAACATACTTTTACCATTAACGGAGATAATAGTTACACAATGATCTTACAGCCTAGTGGTGAATATCTACTGCGAACCAGTTTATGTTCTAATAACAAGTCCAGAGCTTTTCAATAAAATTAACTTGTGAATCCCAGCTGGCGTTCTTAAGTGATTTATTATCCTGCCAAGTATAAAATAAACTAGGTTACAGATGAGTAGCATAAATAGAGACTCAAGGGGGCAACGATTATTTTGCTTATAGATCATCAGAGAAAATGACTAGAGTAAATGAGCTTATCACGTGTTTTAATAGGACTAAAAATGAAAAGCATCGTAAACGTGATAACGAACATTTAGGACGTGCGCATAAATTATTAATATCACAAAGCATTCTACAGGGACGCGTGGTAACCTAAATAGATTTATTTAAAACGCTAATAAGAGGTGCGACAAAACGTAAAGGCACTAACTGCGTTAACGAGAAACGATTGATCAATTTTCATATGCAATAAAAGAGCATAGGAGATTCGAGCACCGCCCTTTCATATTGAATTTTGGATAGGTGTCATCGCGAGAAGATAGTTATGAGTATATTCATTCTAATATCGCTATCTTTCAGGGGGTAAATTAACGTGCAATGGTTATCATGACAGCTAATGCGTTAATATTAATTAAGCATCCTTAGATTATTTATATCTCTTATATAAGTACGTGCGAGCTATCCGATTCGCCGAATTTCACTATTGTATTGTGATAAAGATCTTCGATTCCAGATCCAATGGACATGCGTGATTTTGAGCGCGCCATTAATTCACCGATATCGTCCAAATCTCGGCTGTATCTGTTAGTAGATTATAAATGATAATGTTGTTATTGGTTTCGATATAAAAATTGTTTTTGGCAATATTTACCGGCTGACGGGACGACTTGGATTTTCTGATGAATCTGATGATTTTTGTACCGCGGATTCCCCGTCGTCGGGATTGAACGATGCTGAGTTTCCTGAGAACAATGGGATTTTTATGCGCGAATGTCTTCTCAAAAATGCATACAGCATCCTAAGCAGCTTTATTTACCTGTGGGAAATAGCATTGTGTGCTTAAGTAAATCTCCACTCATAAATGGCGGAAGAGTGTCGTCTTCATCAGCAAGTAAATGATTAGAGGGATCCATTGCTATGGATTCAACCATTTCTAACCACTGTTGATTGTGTGATCGGAATTTCTCAACTTTTATACGTGCTGCCCAATCCTTGTCGCACATCTGAGATATTTAATGGATATATTTGAATTCGTTATTACGAGTAATAAATATTGATGTAATATGGACGTAACAAGAGTTTACATACAGCAATGACATCTAAGCAGGCATCGCAGACTTTTCTGATGGCTGGATTTTTGTCATGCATCAAATCAATCAGGTAACCAGGTGCTTCTGTAATTGCAGATGATCATTTATATGTTTTCAAGAAATAAAAGAGTTCATTTTTTCTTATACCAGCAAAATAAAGTAGTTAAGCAAAAAACAGATTTTTACCATTACCGGTCTCACGAATCAAATAATCTCTTGTCGAGTCGTGTTTAGCAATTTGATAAAACACATAGATTATTTGCAAGACCATCTCGTCGTCCTCTTGTTTTGCTGTTAACAAACAAATTAATAGTGGTTATATCGACATTTTATAAAAATATACAGACACTTACCTTTCAACAGTTCTATCAGAGATAACAAAATATCCGCTTTGCACATAAGTCTGGCACAGTCTTCGTCACAGGCTGCAGTGCCAAGGAATATTACAACTTCTAGAACAAGATCATCCTGAGCTTTTCCAGGTACAAGATTGTTTCTTATCCAGGGGATGAGATTGCATCTTTGTAAAATTTGAGAATAGTCCAGATCCGGTAAAGCCAAATTACCCAGGACCCCGACAATTTCCAATACAAAATCTTGAGAGTCTGATTGTTTCAGAGCCATTGCAAAGTCACCAACGAATTCCTGAAAGACAAAATTGATTTGGTGGAAGAAAAATATAGACTAGGAATATCCAGACTGGTAACGTACAATGAAGAATTCCTTAGCAGAGTCATGTTGCGATATGTTCCTGATCATTTTCATAATTAAAGGATCTTGAGTTCTAAATGCTTTACGTATAAGTCCTTGAAGTCTGTTGTTCTCGACCATAAATGGAGCATTTTTACTACTAGCTGCCAAGTTTATACACAGAGCTATCAATTCTGGTTTTATCGTATCTTCTTCAGACTCCAAAATCATATCTGTCACCTTTGATAGCGGTTAAGCATTAGAGTTGTTTGTCTGATTCAATTTTCATACTGTCATTCTAGTCACTTACCATTGGTACGCAATCAGTATTAACAAACATGGATTTAACTTTATCATCCATACTCAAATGGTATAGTAGACCCAGGATAACTGTCTTATTTTTAATTTCACCTGAACGTAGAAATAATAAGTGAAGTATTGATGCCTATCAAATAAATTATTGGTACTTACTTTGGCTCAATAATTTCACCAGTTTAGGTAATAATCCAACTCTGATCATTCTTCCTCTTAATTTTGTATCGAATGACAAATTGAATAAGAGTTTAAGTGTACTGAGAATCAAGTCAGAATTATTGTTATGCAAGAGACGTGGAAGTTTTTCAATTATGTTACTTTCAGCCTGAATAAATAAGAGGGACGTAAGGTTTTATGAGTGTATGAGAGAATATAAGATGTATTTGTTATATTAATATCTTACCATGATGTCTTTATTTTCGCGGAAGATAGATAATTTCTTGAGAAATGTCACAACCAATATTAATAAATCATTGTTGATTCTGTCTAATGTCTTTATAAGCATCCCGATAACATTTTTCTTGCGCATTTTTCGTTCCACTTCCGTATTTTCAGCAATGTTCAGCAACAAATAGAAAGCAACTGTACGAAAGAATAAATTAGGGAATAAAATTTGATAGTAAAAATAATAGGCAGTATACCTCTTAGTAGCTGTTCTTGTTTCTTGGTTAGACTTTTGAATTTCTTGCGACTCTTCTCAATTTCATCTTTCATTTTTTTAATGTCACTCTCCGAAACATTCACAGATATTTCTATAGAACGTCTCTTAATTTCAAAATCCAATGGACCATCGGCGTTCCATATATCCTCGCAGATTTTCAATTTCTTTTCAGAATTATTAACAATTTCAACAGGGAATAGCACAAAGCCTGTGGTATTTTCAAAATGACGTCTACGCTTTTCCATATCTTCTCTCCATTGATCATAGCGACGCAGTTCAAAATCTATTATGTCCATACACAGAGAACCAATCTGTCCAGGAACAATAAAATTAATTCTCATACTGAGCTATACTGACTGCATAAATTTTAGGAGATTTTCACTTACTCTGTATTCCAGAACAATATTATGAAATTGACTATACGTGGAAAAGCAAAAGAATATATATACAATATTTGTGGAAAGTTCAATACTTCGTCTCCAGTCTTCTCTCAGTACTCTAGCTAGAGCGCTTAAAAGGGATTCTACGAGAAATGTTACATTAGTTACTTCGCTTGGTTCTAACTATTTTAAAAAATTTCGGAAATAGCTACCATTCTTAGTAAGCTCCAAGAGATTATCTGGAACCCTGGCTAATTGTAAAATCAATGACGATCCTTTAATTTTTCCTGGTATCTCTTCGTACATCAACTCGATGTAACTGTCTATATTGCTGATTATTGCACGCTCCGTGTCTCCATTGTCAGTACTAGTAGAATTAGATGAGGTTGGCCTAGGTGGTTGAACATTAGCGTCATCCCCTATAAAGTTGAAACAATAAACTCAAATAGAATAAAGTCTAGTACCCGAATAAAATTAATAAAATTCGCAAATCAATTAACTTCTATACCATCTCCATTGGACCGTCGAGTTTGCAGATAATAAATAAGTTGTTCGACTTCATGTAATTTAGATTCGTGAATCAAGCTACATTTCTCCATTACTTCTTTAGCCAATAGAGCAACGTTGGTATCTGCATTTAAGCTCTTCAGTCTAATTATCTTCTGACATTCCTGCAAGGAAAACCTGAGTAATTATATAAATCTTAAACCGGTTCAAGAGCTAGTTTTGCGTAATTTGACTTGCCTTTCGATCGCCAAGCATAGGATCTCCAAGCTCACCCAGTATAAGAGCCTCCACATCATAGTTAACTACCAAAGCCTTCTCCGTAGGGTGTACATCCAAGGTACCCGACCTGACCTTTCTAAATATAATAAAAATAAAGAAATGAGTATAATGCTGTTAAATCATCTTCTGGATAAGTTCATTGATTTCTTGCCTCATTGACATAAAAACGTCAGAACACCCTTGAACATTTTACCTTTTCAAGAATTTAGCTTCGTCCATTTTATTATTAGAGTGGAATCTAGATACAAACTGTAGACGTTCCCTCGCCAAATTGGCCAGGAATTAGCTGTTGTATTTATCTCAAGAATTTATCGAATGTATTATCCATAATTGTTCTGTTTTCCTCGGGAGGAGACATCCGTGGTTTCAGACAATCACTCTACAATTTAGACGGATAGAGGTTGGTAACAAAGGTGTATTCAAAAATAATAATTGGCACGAGACTCGGTCGATACTTTTGCCATTAAAATAAATAAAATTGAAATATAATCTTGCTAATTGAATTATTGTAATTAATATTCTTTAATTTGATGTTTGAGCTAAATTGGTGTGGCCTACTGAAATATTTGATTGCACGCGCAATAAATTTAATGATACGGATAACGCGGTATTTTTTAATAGTATTTACTATGTTTACTCGAACGTCAAAGGTTTCAATGATGTTCTCCATTATTTGACATTTATTGGATTCATTATCGAAGTGTTACAATATGTATTACTGAAAAGTGGAGCACACTATTGATAGTAGCTTACGAGCCCCATCATCAAAGTTTGTAACATAAATATATATTATAATATGATACAGCTGTTGAATAAGGTATAAAGAATTGTATATGTTTTATCAATTTCTGACATTCATTCAGTATTTTATTTATTATTTAGTGTTCGTACAGATAACTTTTCAAGGGTAGCTATAATGGAACGGAGGAAGGTAATAATTGATTGCGATGGTGGTACTGATGATGCATTGGCACTGGTTATACTCATTGCTGCTCACAATATTGATAAAATTGAAATAATAGGAATTACATGTGTGAATGGAAATACAAATCTGGATAATGTTGTAAAGAATGTTTTTAGAACATTACAGATATGCAATGCTTCAAGTGTAAGTACATTAACAATTTATGGCTTTACTTCTTAACACTGTATCTTCATGACATGTGTAATATTATATTATTTGTTTTTATTTCATCTAGATTCCAGTTTTCAAAGGAGCTCACTCTCCATTTCTGGCAACAGAAAATGCCAAGAGAACAGCAATGGAACGTTTTCATGGTACTGACGGTTTTGGAGACATATACACAGATGAGCCAGATATAAGTAGATTACAGACAGAGCATGCAGTGGATGCACTGCATGGACTAACAGCTAACAATCCTGGTAAACAATGTAATTACACAATAATAGCAGTACTTTTCATTAATTTACATGTCACTTTTATATTTCAGGTGAAGTAACTGTGATATGTCTGGGTCCATTGACCAACATTGCTTTAACTATTAAAATGTTCCCAAAATTTCTTGAATTTGTAAAGGATTTTTATATCATGGGTGGCAATCATACTGGTAATAGATAATTCATGTTATTCTGCTTTGATGCAGTAGTAGTTTGATTACTGTAAGTTAATTCATAAACATTTCAGCACAGGGGAATATAACGGCACAGGCTGAATTTAATTTCTATGCAGATCCAGAAAGTGTTCACATGGTTCTGAGTAGCAACGATAAGCCACTGTGGCTGATTCCATGGGAAACATGTTTAAGATCAAACATATCACATGTAACTAATTATATACATTAATTAATTCTGATCTGAATACATTAATGAATTTAAATAACTATTTCAGAAGTGGAGGCATGAAGTTTTTAGTCAAATTGACACTCCAGTTGTTAAAATGATGAATGACATTGAGCATAAGGTATACTCCCAGAGCAAAAAGGTAAAACCATTTTACAGCCCATGCGATGCATTTGTAGCTGGAGTCTTTTTAAGACCAGACATGGCAAAGACTGTTGTAGAGTATCATGCCGATATAGAATTAAATGGGATGCTAACCAGAGGACAGGTAGTGCTGGATCATTTGAAATCGAACAAGCCAAACGTGTATCTTATAACGGACATAGATTTTGAACTTTTTCAAGAGCTCCTTATCTTTGCTGCTAATCCCTTAATGTATAAAAAACATATTATATAAATAAATTGAATATATACATTGTGTATAGAAGGAATTCATATAAAAATATCTTTACATTTATATTTTGTTTTCATCAATCTATTCACTGTACAAATTTCATAGTAAGGAATGTTACTCTACATTCATTCCAGTAATAAGAATGAAAATTCTTTAGCTAAGACATCCTTTCAATTGTCTAAACCAGACAGAAGAAATACTGAAAGGTTTAAGAACACATATTTTGTACAATGCTATGTTAAATACAATAGAATACTTTACAAACTCTTTGAAGTACATCATTAAATTCACGTTCAGCCAACGTCAGCATAGTGTATAAGAAATTATAGATTAGGTTTTTCAGGCTCCTGCTTCTCTTCCTTCCTGGACTCCTCAAACTGCTTTCTGGCTTCACGATTAGACTTTAATAATTCCACTAGTTCAGCCTGAATGTCATCGTTCTTCCTTTCAATGGTATCCAAGGCAGAATTTAGTTGATCAAGTTGGGCATTGATAGCTTGGAATTCTGAACATAAATTATTCATAAAAGTTACACATAATTTCATGAATATAGTTATTTAACAATACCTTATATAGTCAATGTAATAAATAAAAAGCATCATCTGAAGCTAAACGCTCCTGTTATTTTTTTCTGAAGAAAAATTCTACAACAGATACTATTGAATGAAATTATTAAACTCAAAAATTACCCTCTTCGTTATTAATATCGTCTTCATTAATCTCCACTCCGTTCTCTTCATTTCCTTTAGTTTTTTGCGGATTAACAGCGCCTTCGCCCATATTGTCATCTGCCATCAGTATCTGAAATCAGCTGATTTTCTGCCACGCCTCCTGAATATCTTTTTTTTTCAACGTATTCCCACATTACCGAGGATCGTTCTAAAATTCACTGCTATTATTCCGAGTATGGTTTTGTTTCACTCTGTTCCATGCAAATAAATAAGAACAAGACGACAGGCGTATTACTCCCAGTGAATTTTGGAACGTATTCTGGGGGGCGATAAGTTGACGATAAATATATCTTGTACCATTTAGATAAGTTTATCTACATCCGGTTAATACGAACTTCTTTAGAAACCCTAAATAAATCATTATAATCCTCACAAATCAAACACATTTCATTGGATGGTAATTATATTTGAATTTAATTACCCATATGAAAATAAATCAAATGATTTTATCGCTCAAGAAATTATAAGAAGAAGATTTGTTGCTATTCAAGAGTTAAGTTTACGTCCGCTGGCAGCACCATCTTCCGGTTCTTCTTAACATCGATTCATGTTTCCCGTTTTGAGCGTCAGTCGTACGTTGTTGTTTCCAAGGTGAGTAACTTATAATCCATACTTTATTAATATTGTCACTGAGCATCCGCTCGTAAAAATTATTTTGTAATATTGGGTTAAATTGAAGCTTTCTCAATTTCATTATATCTTTATCTTATCGCTTGTCGTATAGTGTAAACTTTTACTTTTTTCTCACCATCGTGCGTTTGCCGGGTGACGCCGTAATTATCATATGAATATGTTCATATGCGATGATGAGCAGATTTTCATTATTGTTCGTTAATACTCCATAAAATTATATTTTCGGATACTCTATTACATTTTGTATGAAACTTCGTATTTTTTAATATCTTTTATGCAGTACATTTTTCGCAACAAGAAACATTAGTTACATGCAGGAAAATGGCGGCTGTGCTACGTGTTTGGTAGCCGCTGCATACAATTTCTTATAGATTGTGCATACAATATATTACTTGCGTCACAAGATATCTTGCAATAATGTATTGATTTAATGCATTATGAAATATTTTTGGTAACATTAGTATAAAGTTCAGTCAATTTTTCTGAATTTCGGATTTTCATGTCTAAAGGGAAAGCATGCTGTGGCGTTCAAAATGGCTACCTAAGTTCCGGAATTGAAAATATATATGAATGCGAATAAAGATGATTAAATGTAACAACTTGTAGCGCATTCATAATTATTTTTGTGTATTATTTTATGAAAAAGCATAATTATAGGAGAGTACATGGTATATATGTAATGTAGTATTAATTTTTTCATAGGTATCTTATATCTCTGCTTAAAGAAATCTAAACTAAAAATGGCAGACAACGATGATCTTTTGGATTATGAGGACGAGGAGCAGACTGAACAGGTTGTGGATGGAAGTGGTGATGTTCCAGCAAAGAAAGAAGTCAAAGGAACCTATGTATCGATTCACAGTAGTGGTTTCAGAGACTTCTTGCTTAAACCAGAAATCCTGAGAGCCATCGTTGACTGTGGTTTTGAACATCCTTCTGAAGGTAATTATTTTAGTGCTTAGTATTCTTGTGACTGTAATATACAATCGTTCGTGATGATAACAATTGATAGGGACATCAGACTTTTCCATGGTTGAATTCTATCAATCCTGATATTTAGATTGCTTCTTAAACTTAGTGCATTATTTTGTCCAAGTGTCTAAGGTTTTCTGTCTTATGTTACAGTACAACACGAGTGCATTCCTCAAGCTGTACTTGGTATGGACATTCTGTGCCAAGCCAAGTCCGGTATGGGAAAGACTGCAGTCTTTGTACTGGCCACCCTTCAGCAACTGGAGCTCACAGAAAATCAAGTCTATGTCCTGGTAATGTGTCACACGCGAGAGCTAGCCTTCCAAATAAGCAAAGAATACGAAAGATTCAGCAAATACATGTCTCAAGTGAAGGTAAGCTTATACTACTACCGAGCACAATCATAGTCTTTAAAATATAAATTCTTCAAGTGATGTATGTGCTATCTTAGCCTAAAATGATGACTTACTTATATCACTACCCACAACTGATGGAGAAATTATTTAACATTGCTCAGCAATTAATTACAAAAACTGGAGCATTAAAAAAAACATTCATGATTACAGGTGGGTGTATTCTTTGGTGGCTTACCAATCCAAAAAGACGAAGAGGTATTAAAGAACACCTGCCCTCACATCGTGGTAGGCACACCAGGACGTATACTTGCTCTGGTACGCAACAAGAAATTGAATTTGAAACATTTGAAACACTTCATCCTCGACGAATGCGACAAGATGCTCGAGTTGCTAGGTGAGTCTCTAGATTAAGTCTCTACCATGGAACAAAGTTATTCGATAAAGGATTTATCTAACGTGTACTAAATCTGTTTATAGATATGCGCAGAGACGTACAGGAGATATTCCGTAGCACGCCACACGGCAAACAAGTCATGATGTTCAGCGCTACCTTGTCCAAGGAGATCCGGCCAGTCTGCAAGAAGTTCATGCAAGATGTAATTAGCCAAACTTCCTCTTCACTTGAATCTTCGAACACTTCTACTTCATTGGCCCTGCGTTCACACCCAGGACAGAGCTCAGACCACGTTATAAATAATGTTCGAGGCATACCCCGCGGATTAGGATAGTTAGATGGGAACAACCGGGATGAACCTGAATGAGTTCTTTAAAAAAAGAAAGTCTGTCGTCAATCGTCGTGGACGTCGACGAAGTCGCACTTCGCTTCCCCCTTAACGAATCCCATTAAGATTGTCTAAGGCCACCGAAGTCCCATCATGTTCCAAATCAGCGACAAAAGTCGCATCCTTCCTGGAAAATCCTTTTGATAGAGTCGAAATATCCTCTTGCTGTTCTACAAGAGTTTCCCACGTTACATCCTGCATCTACGTCCCAACCTCAAATGTCCTTCTGAATATGATTCAGCTCCTACACTGTTGTACCGTTGTCGAATCCGTCATTTCCTCTCGAAGTTATCCATGCGACAGAACAGAAAGTGTTCAAAATCGAAAATGCTATTTCCCACTTGTATGTTGGGCTTGAGATTAGATAAAGAGTAAGGGGTAAGTTTTCGTAAATGGCTATAAGTTTAATCGGGTCTCGTGGGTTGGGGGGCTAAGAAGACATCAAGACAACCTGAAGACAGAAGAACGCAAGAAAGAAGACACAAGAGGAGCTACGGGTGTTAACAGTGGGCGCGAATTAGTTAGGGATCAGAGCTCTTTGTCCTTAAAAAAAAAAAAGAAAATGAAAATATCTTTAAATCTTATAATTCGTTCGCTGTCTCTCGGTGAGATAAGCGTTTAAATCAGTCCTGGGATTAATCTTTAAAGGAAATGCTGGCTGGGTTACATTTATAAAAATGTAAATGACAAATGAAACATAAAAATACTTAAATGCAACTCGTGTATCCCGGACGATCACGAAGGATGCTGTCCCAGAAAATTTGCGACGAGGGTGTCATTCGTGGCAACTCCGTCGTGACGTATCATTCTAACGAATGAGTGAAGCACACAAAAAATGGGTCAGAGGTCAAAAAAAAAATAAGAGTCGCAACCGATAGAAATTGTGTTACCGTGAACAAACCACGTCTCTGGCGAGGCTGATGGTCAAGTTCTTGATGTACAAGAAAGAGAAAAAGAAATGTTCGGGAATATGGAGAATTGCCATCGAGAAGGCAGTACGGATGTGGCTGAGCATTCCTGGGTGCGCCGTCTTAGTTCTCTGTGGGGGTGACTGCTGAGTTTTCATTGTTGGGCACTGCCGAGAGGTGGAAGTCGCCGGACCGTATGTAACCAGTGTGACTAATCCGATCGACGATATAAGCGCAAGTCCCCAAAAAGAAAAGAGAACAAAATGAATGGATTAAATCTTGATAAATTAAGATTTAATACAAATTTTTTGTTTAGAAATAGACGTAGCAGAAGATCCTCTTTAGAATTTATTATAATTAGCCAGACAAATAATTTTGTAATGTTAATTATTTTCATTATTTCTTTACACTTCATATTACAATCAGAATGATCACATGTTTGTTATTGTAGAAGATAAACCAGTCGTATGTCGAAACTGGCAACTTGCCTTCTTGCTGCTGCAAACGTTTGATTGTTCGCTTCCCTGTGAACAATTTTCTTTAAATGACTGTTCTCGAGGTTTTTTCTTTTTGTTTTATGAAACAGGCAGTTAGAGCTTCCCATAAAAAGAAATCTTTACTCTCGCGTGGAGTTAACAAGGAGGCAGAAATTAGTTAGGATAGAGTAGGTTGTCTTATGAAAGAATTGTTTGCGCAGCCCATGGAAGTCTACGTCGACGACGAAGCCAAGCTCACTTTACACGGGTTACAGCAGCATTACGTGAAACTCAAGGAAAATGAGAAGAACAAGAAACTCTTTGAACTGTTAGACGTTCTTGAGTTCAATCAGGTATGCTGTGACAATTTTTGTTTTTATGATCATCGATAGAAGATCTAGTATTCTTCTGTATATTCTCTTCGTCCAAATGATGACTGTATCTATCTTAGCCTCGGATGATGACTACGATTACTTACCACTACCCACTTCTGATCGACAGCATGATTTATATTTGTTATAGACTAACTTAACTTTACATGTTATACAATTAATTATTGTTTTGTAGGTTGTCATATTTGTTAAGTCAGTGCAAAGGTGCATGGCCCTTGCGCAGTTACTCACTGAACAAAATTTCCCTGCAATTGGAATTCACAGAGGAATGACACAGGAGGAACGTTTATCCAGATATCAACAGTTCAAAGATTTCCAAAAGGTATTTGATGATTGTCAATTTTATAAAAGTTTTATTCGATCCACACAATGATGACATTTAGTTCACATGATCACACCGTGATACTCTTGAACTCTCTCACTGAGTGTTTGCCTAGGTTATTTACTTTGTGTAAGTTATCAATGAACTTCAGTTTATTATTCAATTTTATTCATTTTCAGCGTATATTGGTGGCTACGAATCTATTCGGACGTGGAATGGACATTGAACGTGTCAATATTGTTTTCAACTATGACATGCCTGAAGATTCTGATACGTATCTTCACAGAGTGGCTCGTGCTGGTCGTTTTGGTACCAAGGTAAAGTGTGTTTGTGGAATCAAAACGATTACGCAACATAGCTTGATTTCTTTTGACTCATAATTTTTTTATTCGCTCACCAGGGTCTTGCTATTACTTTAGTAAGTGACGAGAGTGATGCCAAAATTTTAAATGACGTCCAAGAAAGATTCGACGTCAACATCACTGAACTACCTGACGAAATTGATTTAGCCTCGTATAGTGAGTATCGATGACAGGAAATACTTTAATCAAGTAATTAATTAATGATTGAAGTTCATAATTAAAATTCTTAATCTCATTTCAGTTGAGGGCCGATAAAATTGGGACAGAAAGCATGATTAATTGCAGCTGCTTTTATAGTAAGTCTTATTCAGTTTTTCATTTTTATAATTTCTCACTTCGTTTATTAAATTTAACCTTTAATTATTTTTTTCACAGATAATTCTACAGTATTGAAAGACTGTAGCGGAAGGAGGTATCTATCTTGTAGGATGGAGGAAGGAGCACTTGAAACTAATATTTCCACATCCACTTCGCGCAACCCCTTCGATCTTTTTTCTACGAAAAAAAAAATAAGAGGACGTAGACTCTCCAATTTTCAACGGAAATAATTTTTTGTTGACAATGCGGTCATAACAATACTTTCCAAGTCGATAATAAATATCAAATGGTTACTGTACAATATTATTTATATTTTATTCCAAGACTAGCGTGTAAGGAGGTATTACTAGTGTAACGTAAATGTGGAGAGGCTGCGCTAATGTATGTTGTATATCGTAAAATCGAATAAAAGTGACATTTTTTTTGTAGAAACTGACATACCCAGTGATCTCTATAACAAACCTTGTTGAAGTTTAGTATAAAAAAGAATAATTATAAAACTATAAAAAAAATTATCGTCCTATTACCTAGTCATAAGTATTCTCTACTTGCCAGTTAATATTTATATGATATACTGCGTATTTGTACAATTATTAAGTACCAATATTTAAGATCGATGAAATTATGTTAATTATTTTTATCCTTTGCAAGTCTGAAACTTTTTTTTATTATGATGGTGGAACCCAGCCACCAAATGCATTTTCAAGCTCTCTGGCTACAGCTAAGCAAAGATGATCGTTATACGGCGCTGCTACAACCTGTATAGAAAAAGGTAAGAATTGTATAATTTATCGGTGCCCTAAGATTAGATATTTTATACCTGGAGACCAACAGGTAGACCATTCTCATCCAAACCCATTGGTACCTGACACACTGGTAATCTTAGGACATTGAAGAGACACCAGTATCCAAAATTGAATGGTCTTAGATAAGTGGAATAGTGATAAACAGCTGAGAATGGTGAACTGGGATAAAAAAGTACTCCGTTGTCTCCCAATTTTTCCTGAAGTAAAATATAAAGGTATGGAAAAGACTTGTTAATTGATTTAATAATGAAAAACTTACCAACAAATATTTCTTCATGTTAGCTGTAACAGTTTTTGCCCATTCGCTATTTTCCTTTGGCAAAATATCCTCGTCTACGAGCTTAAGTATTGCTGCCAGTGTTAATTCTGATTGACATTTGAGCAACTTGAAAAGCTCTGCTTTGGCACTAGTGTTACCCTGATAATTATTTGATTGTGACAATGCTTAGAATTGTGTTGCGAAATTTGAGTTAATACTCACTTGCATATTTGTTATGTTGGATTTGAAATTTATATTTTCCTGGCTCATCCAGTATCTCCATAGTCTATAACTGTACTCCGATCCAGGAATTTTGATCTAAAGTTATGAAACAATTTTTAGCTTGACCAAAAAGCTTTTTTGTTCTTAATTTCATATCTTCACCTTCGAGGCTGATCCTGTAAGTCGTTCAAAGTGTCGAACAGCTCTTATTAAAGCTGCACGCATCGAACTGTTCACTTTGCTGGCTCTGATGTCTCCTGAACCCTCTTGATAAAATATATTCAAATCTTTCAAATTCACAGGAGTATCCAACTTTAATTTTGTTATATTAGGTCCAACTAGGACACGAAGAAACGGTAATAGATCTTCTGCTTTCTTACATATGGGCCCAACTTCCGCCATTGAATTTGGATAGTCCTCAGATCGCAATCCAACACCTTTCAAAGGAGTGATACCTGTATATACAAAGGAATATTTAAAGAATTGAATATCAATAACTAATATTTATTGTCATACCTTCAGTTGGTTTATACCCAAATACTCCATTGAAAAATGCTGGCATCCTTACAGAACCACCAATATCGCTGCAGATGGAAAATGGAGCACCGCAAGCAGCTACAATTGCACCATCTCCACCGCTGCTTCCTCCAACTGTTCTCGTAGTATTGTACGGATTGTTTGTTTGGCCGTACACGTTGTTTCTACTTTCACACCACAAATTTAATTCTGGAACATTTGTTTTACCCAGAAGTATTCCACCAGCTTCTTTGAGATAAGCCACTACCGTTGCATCATTTTCTGAACGATGATTACGTCTGGAAATTAATCCCATAGAGTGCAGAAGACCTAAATGGATACGGTATAATTTTATTATTTTCAGTATATTTTATTATTCATATCCAAATTAAGTCTTATGACCTTTGACTTCATTGCTCTCCTTTGTAGTAAATGGTACACCCAGAAATGGTTTTGTTTTTTTTAATTCTTCAGGATTCGCTTCACTGTTTAATAATTTATCTACATTCTTAGCTTCCTCGATAGCATTAGAGTATGTCTCCTCCACTATTGCATTAATCAGACCATTCACTTCTTTACATCTTTCAATAAAAGCACACACAACTTCTTCAGCAGTTACTTTTCTTGATCTAAAAAAAAAAGATTTCAACTTTTATGTTGTACTTCCTGTAACTCAACAAAATTTAATATATGAAATAGAAGTACCGTATCTTTTCTGCCAATGTCACAGCACTGTCTAGAAGCAAGTCGTTTTTAACTGGAGGTACACGTTTTGCCTTCTTATCATAGTAAAGACCACAGAAGAAGTCAATGAAGAAATCCAACAGTGCATGCAATTGTACGATGAAGCATCGCAGCAGATCACAAAATAGTTTCTTCAAGACATCTATAACTTGATGTTTTGTTGCTACCTTCTAAGGAATGACAACAATGGCATTATACATTATCATTTTATATTTTATGCAACTCAATACTAAATATTGATTCGAAATATTTCTGCAATAAAAGTCTTTAGACATTGACCTCTGTAATATATCAATTATGACTAATTAATGAGAATTTCATTATCTCTTCAAAATCGTACTGTCATGTAAATCTTGTATACAGACATCAGAATAACAATCTTAGAAGAAACCTACCTTGTTTCTAACTGAAGTACACATTATTGCAAGATATTAAGTGATTTCTTTTTTCACCTTATATAAAATCAATTAAAATTGATTCTTTTAATCGCCACTTGTTCGTGACTACGTGGACTGGAAAACTGGAATCACGATGAAAGTGAAATATGTAAATTGTGATTGTATATCTATACATTAATTAGCTACAGGCAACGTTCTATGGATTGGAGCGGAGTTTATCTCGGATACAGTCGGACAGTAACGTGCGCTAATGGGACTAAGAGCAATGTTTTTGACATCCATTATAGGGTAGCCAACATTACAAGATATTTAATAGAATTATCTAACCTCAAAGATCCTTGCAATACGCGTGGATCCGGTTTTTTGCAAAAGCTGTATTAAAAATTACAATAAGGATGAAGGACATTGATTTTGATTATGGGAGCGATCAAGAGGTGTCTGAAAATCATTCAAAACTTCTTGAAGCTGTATCGCAACTCGATAAAGGACAAAGGTAATTAATTGAAGGTTATGTCAGAAGTATTTTTCAAATTTTGTAATAACTTTTGCATTCAGTGATTAGTCGCTGTTTGCTATTGTTTCATTATTCTGCAATATATTATGGATACATTTATATTCGTTATTGATATTTACAATTATCCCATTGCAAATTTTTTAGAGTGAAAAAGCCACAGAGAAGCGAACCCAGTTTGGAAGTTTCTGAATTCCATCTGGTAAAGAGTGGAGTCTCTGAAAATGATGCTGTTGGGCTACAAGATCTTGCTAAGACATTGGGACAAAAAGCGACTCATGCTGACATTAGCAAGAAATTTTCAGCAACACAGAATAGATCTAAAGTGTTAGCTAAGCCATTAGAGAAACCTGCTGCGGAGAGAGTAAGAAACAAGATTAAGATGGAAGAATTGTTAATTCTTGTTGATATTATGTATATGGTTCACTCTTATTCTTTTAGATTAAACGTGTAGTGGGTTTTGAGAACGTCAAGAAAGATTTGAACAAGTGGAATGGCATTGTAGCTCGGAACAGAACTGCAGAGAAACTAACTTTTCCATTACGTCAACCTTCTATGAAGGTGGATGGATCCACTGCGTTTATCCAGAGATTCAGAATTCAGTCTGAGTTAGAAAAAGAGTTGGCTGCTTTGGAACCGAAACAGGAGAAACCAGAAGAGAAGGAAGAAGAATTTCCTTTGACACTGGAAGAAATTTTACAGAGGCGACAAGAGACTGCAAGATTCAGGGCACAGCAGGTCTTTATTATTTCCTTTATTACAGTCATATAAATATAAGAGTAATATATACGTTAATACAAAATTATTATTTTAGTCATATAAAGAAGCAAAGGCCCATAGGCAAAATAAAATAAAGAGTAAAAAGTTTCATCGGATTCAAAGAAAGGAAAGGATCAAGCAACAGCTAAAAGAATTTGAAGAATTACAAAAAACTAATCCACAAGCGGCTCTTGAGAAACTTCAACAGTTGGACCAAGCCAGGGCGCAGGAACGAATGTCTTTGAGACACAAAAGTACTGGCCAGTGGGCGAAGAACAAGCAAGTCCGAGCCAAATACAATAAGGAAGTAAGAATATATCATTTACCAATAATATTGTACATCGATTTGTCATCAAATAATTTTATATTTTATATCATTTTTTAGAGTCGACAGGCACTTGCACAGCAACTGTCTATAAGCAGAGAACTGACACAAAAAGTACAGAAGGATGATAACAGTGAAGATGATGATGAAAAGGAAACAGTTCTGCCTTCAGCATCGGATAAAGAAAATCCTTGGGTGAATGGTGTCAAGACACAATCAGAAATCGACGACTTTATCAGCGGTTATCGTAAATATTGGAACGATCGTAATAAATTAGAAAAAGAGAAAAAATCCCCAGAGGAGACACCTAAAAAAATCAAGAAAAGTACTAAGCAGAATGCAAAAGTAGTGCCGAAGATAAAAGAGTTACCCAATTCCTTAAATCCTGTCGAAGAGGTAATCATAGAAGATTTAAATAATACGAATCATGATTTAGAAAATAAAGACTCTTCAGATTCTGAAAATAGCCCAAAACTCCAAATAAATTCAGTAACAAAACCCAAAAGTTCCAAACAAAAAGCATCACCCCAAAAGTTGTCTGAAAAATTAAAAAAAGGTTCAGCCCAGCAAACTAACAGTTCATCGATACAACAAAAATCTGTAGAATCTAAGATCAAGAAGAAATCCAAAACTAAAAAGCCCATCAGTACCGCAGAGTGGTCTGTAACTCCTCTAGGAAGTGACGATACCGTATCCAAGTGTAGTCCTTCGAAAATCGACAAAATTGACGACATCTTCGACGCCATGGAGGATAACATAGAAAATAGAATAGAGAAGAAACTCCAGAAAATAAAAAGAAAGTATAAAGCAGTACTGAGTACCGATGAACAACCGTCAAAGAAAAAGAAAAACAGCCAGGACGAGTACACAGGCGATCTAGGTTTCAAGAAACAAAAACGTGTACCGATAATAGACGAGAGGATGGACGAAACAGCAAACAAAACAGCTTCGAAAGCAACTGCAGATATAGTCCAGTTGAAAAAGCTAGCGCAAAGCAAATTATCGTCTACGTCGAATACAAAGAATCCTGAAATCGATCCAAGCAAGTACATAAACGTGAAACCTAAGTACATGAAGTCTCAGTTACCAGACGATATCGCTGCTGGTGATGAGGCGATAGACGATAACGAGAGAGAGGAGGAACAACAGAACATAATAAGCGAAGCCTTCGCCGATGACGACGTTGTTGACGAATTTCGAAAGGAAAAGGAAGAGGAGGTAACGAATGTAAATCCCTATTATCTCTTTTATACAATATTAATATCCATTACATCCCCAGGTTAAAAAAGGACAGCCAGAGAATCTAGACTTGACTTTGCCAGGTTGGGGTTCCTGGGGTGGTAAAAATATTAAGGTATCCTCGCGCAAAAAGCGACGCTTCATCCTTAAGTTTCCTAAGGATGTTCCTCGTAAGGATGAGAACAAAGGTGACGTTATTATCCTGGAGGAAAAGGATCCAAAGATAAAGGAGCATCAAGTGAGCGAAGTTCCATTCCCGTTCACCAGTGTCAAAGACTTTGAAGCTAGCATCAGAGCACCGATCGGTAGGACATTTGTCCCTGAAAATGCGCACAAGAGATTGATAAGGCCAGCAGTGGTGACAAAGATGGGCCAGGTCATTGAACCCATGGATGAGGATGCATTGATTAAAACGAATACGACAAAAGTAAGACGTCGTACAGGAGCTAATAAAAAAAGAACAGCCACCAAGAAGAAGAGGACAGGAAAATAATGTATTTAATATTTTTTAAGCATTAGCCGGATGTTTAATTGTTATAAAGACTCGCTCGGACTTGCATACAATCTACAATAATTTCATTGTACGTAATAAAAGCTTGTATGACTCGAATAGCATAATTTCTTATAATAAAGATAAAGAGAATGAAGAATCGTACAGTCAGTCACCCGTTTTCTCTTACTGTGATACTGGCACTGTGATGAATTCTATTTTGCGATCAGGCCTATCGAATATAATGATATCTACAACCACGTCAAGAAACTGGTAATTATAGAAAAACGAAAGAAACTCAAATATCTCGGAATGTACCAAGATTATAATAACCGTTGTGATAGCTCGTTATTAAAAAAATTCATGCGAACCGGTTAGTTTTACGCGAGTGAACTTTTGTAATATTGATAACAGTACAACAGTACGAGTGTTAATAATCTGTCTTCATAATTATATCATTATCCCAGTCGAATATCGAAAGAGGAAAAAAAATCTCTGATAAATAGTGACCATGAAACTAATGCGAAACCGAACATAAAATTTGTTGGATGGAAGAGAACGAGTCTTTCAATTGATCAGGAAGTAACGAATAAAAAACTAACCTATAAAAAATATTAAAAAATATTTTTTTCTTTAAGAATTATTTATCATGGCTTCCTTTTTCTTTGTACATACAGGGTTGTAAAACGATAATAAAAGTAAAAAAGAAAAGCCGCTTTCGACCTACATGTTACGCGTGCGCTTCGTGTCCTAGTGATGATTGGTCGATTGGGTGCCGGCATCAGGGTAGGGATAGAAGAAGAAGACACGGTAAAGCGTAAGAGAAAGAGAGAAAGACAGAGAAAAGCATATCGGCTTGTTACACTTTTTCCTTCCTCAGTGAAGCAAAGTTCGTTGAAGGGATCGGTCGCAGTGAGTTCGTTAAGCTCTTCTTCGGGATCCTCACAGCACTTCGCATTACAAACGAGTATTCTATTAGAAGTCATCTCGTGTAAGGATGGCGACTAATAAGGCCGATAATAATACAGAAAGCGTGCAGTTTTTCGAGGGTGTTGAGAAGCTCCTCGAAATTTGGTTCACCAGTAGCGACGGCAAGGACAGACAGCGTGATCTTCGCAAAATACCCCGGTGAGTAAACGACCTGGTGTAATAATATTGCGAAATTTATTTTTGACGAATATTTACCATGGCGCAATTTCCTCGGTATATTCTTTGACACAGCAGTCATTATATTCATTTGTTAGATCAATAGAAATTGATCGCTATACATTTCTATCCGATTACCGGCATCCTGGTTGGGCTTTTTTATTAATATGGATAAATCATGATAACCTATTGGTCCCGGACAGCTAGGGATTTTCGAGAAGGATCCAGAGATACTGTTATCTGGTTTTTGCTTATAAAAAAATTCACATTTTTTAAAATTCTTATACTAGGAAATTGATGACGCGTTTGATTTTCATAAAACGTCTTGTTCGCACGTAAGTAATTATCAGAAATCTCTGTGAACTAGATTTTACTTCCAAATTTACTCATGATTAATGACTTACTTTGATAATTAATATCATTGCATTACTTCGATACTAAAAAAAAAAAAACCAATGCAGATACAATCATTAACATCCGCTCTGCAAATAGTGTTGCATTTAAATGTCCAATATGAACAATGGCATGCTTTTAATTATTAATTTAGTCAAAATTCATTCATCATTTCCATGGCAATTATCATTGCTGTATCATTCAAGTAAAAGCAAGGATATCACAATAGGAAAATTTTCCAGAAATCTGAAACCGCCTAACGTACTTTCCGTTACGTATTTGTTTTATTAGAGCTACACAAAAGCTTTGGAGAAGAATGGTAACTGAATTCCCCGTATTAAATTCGGGGTTTAGAAATGTTTCTTAATGTTCTACCTGTTTTAGGGAAATGTTATACCTATGGAACGATTCTAGAAAATCCTTTATAGAACCAATATATATATAGACATAGAGATTTGATGAAAGGAAGAACGTCGTTTCCAGGCTGCCTACGATGTTCTCCAACCTTTTCGCAATCGATAAACCCCATGGCACCGACGTAATTCCTTGGAGTCCTCATGAAAATTACGCCGGACCCCTTTTTGTTTCATCTTGCTTATACAACATTTGTGACGTATAATTTTCATAATTATTTCGTCTCCCACTCACTTTTTCTCTAAAGAAAGGAGGTTACAGTACAGATACCACCCTCGTGCGATGACCTTTGCACTGTGCGTCAGATATATTAAATAATATCTGAAAGCCAAGGAGGATCCTTGCGCTGCGAAATTCCTTAGCGTCCTGATATATCGAAGTTTAATAGTAAATTATACTCAGTCGCATCTCATATTTATTAAACGATGTATTAATTAAATGCAAATGTTTGCTGATAAAATAATTTTTTTTTCATTGCAGACAAAAGTGGGAATCTTTACTGAAGATTGTTCGCTGTGAAATAATAAGTTTTTGCCGTAACGAGCAAGTGGATGCTTATGTACTCAGGTAGTTATACTCTTGACTCTATTAATTGTTTAATCATTTCATAATCGACCAATTAATCAAAAGTTGTCCCTTTCATTTAGCTTTCTCTCTTTTTCTTTGCACATACAACTTCCACTCGAGCTGAAAATCCTCTGTTAATATAATTCGTGTCACTGAGCTATTAGATCTCAAATCCATTGGCGGACATTGTCGTAAAATTACTAGGATACAGTAATATGGATCATGGATGAATAATCATGGACACCCGAGATAATTTTATGTCAAGTTACTATGAGCAAGTCGAATCAAAAATATATGACCAAGTTGCAACGAGTCATTGCTGCATCGAGCGTTGCTGTGACTGTGGATACTAGGAAAAAAAACGTATGACTTATTAATTCAATGGATCAAGGATTAATTAGCCTTGTACGAATGGTATCAAATGTTTTTAATGCAAACGGTATCAGGGACAGAGTCTAGAAAGTAGGCTGAATTTAATAAAGAATTACTATTACAGTTGATAAGAACATACATTTTTCGTGTACAGATTGTGCAACTACATGTAGATGGGTGGTAGACCTTGCACATGGAGGAAGGGAAATTTTTTTCTTGTTACGAGTACGTACGGTAATCGATAATTATTTGTATTTTATTTCCTGAGCCGTATCGGTGGAGGACCGTCATTTAAGAGTAGAAAAGATAAGGGCGTAATACGATAAATATTAATTGTTGAGAGGAGATAAATTTGCACCGTCGAGAAATTCAATACTTTTACTTCGAGCAGTATTTACCATGACGAACCAATTGTGTTAAGTCGTTCAACTGTGTTAATAGTTAATCGATATAAAAGTATATTCTTTTATCTATTACTAATAGTAATATAGCGTCACCTTATCCTTTGTTTTCCCTCGACTGAATAAGATATAAGAGTTCCAGGAGAATTATCAACGTCTCATACAAATAGCAATAGAAATATATAATACTGTTATTCAAGTCTGTTGCACCACAAGAAGACGGTCAGGTCCATTTGATTTCCGTTAATTCCCATGATAGTATCATCTTCAGGTGGTACAATAGTCTTTAATAAACCTATATGTATACAAAGTCAATGATATCAGTCATTGTCATTTGCAATGCTTAGCATTTAATCATCATTATGCAATTGTTTGAACATTTGCATAATTAAACGGCTCGCGTGGCGCGAGACTCAATCCTAGATTACGTTACCGAGAATACACAATGCTAAACTGCCGTATAATAAGTGTGCACTGATAAAATTGCGTTGGCTTCCGTATCGACATTTATCTCTGGATTTTTGTTAAAGTTAAATGAAAAGTATGTATATCGACAAAGTAAATGACATTGTCGTCACGAGTGACCGGTGACCTTTGCCTTGTGTGGTTTCCATGTAATAAAATTATCTATTAGCGCGTGCGTCTAATCAATGTCTCACAGTTAGTTTAAATCCAAGGTTGTTGATATGTTTCTGGAAACTATAATATACATATTCGATTTTCGAAGTACTTAATCTGTAGACCAATATCTCAAGGATATTTTCTGCTGAATTCTTTTATCTCGCTATTAGTTAACAGTCTGGACCGGTTATACGCGGAATGAGAACATTTTATTTGGTCATATTCTCGAATACTTGAGAAAAAATTGGTTAACGTGCCGGCACCAGCTGATTTTGTTTGGTTTGGCTTGACATGGGCGCGCCCTACAGTAGGTAGAGATACAGTGGAAAAATACAGGTGGTATAGTGATCAATGTTTTTAGTACGGCCTACTGGGTGCCAGCTTTAGTCTTTTTTATCTTTCAGCCGGTCTCTTGCGGCTTCTTTTCCTGTTATTCATTTTTACAGTTTTATTCAGACTGTCACTCGTTTCTAACTTTGCTTTGATTTCAGGCCGAAAGCGATATTTTTTTTCTGAGTGACATTTCATGTTTTTCTACTTGGCTTCATTTTTCTCAATTAGAAAAATGTAGCCAATTGTACTCAGCTGTTGCTTGTTACGTCACGATTACAGTATGGGTTATGTATGCGTGTTTTGCGTGTTGTGTTAGGTTGAGAGCAGCGACTTAGGCAGGCCAGAATCTACCTTGCAAATTTCGAGGCCAAGATTTGCTTATTCTTCCTGAACTTCTTCTTCACTGAAATTTCAATCTCTTACGTCTTTGCATCTGTCTTGATATTTCTTTGTTCATAGAAAAATATGCAACTCTATGCATACAACGTTTTAGTTTGCATACAGAATTGCAGGTGTTGGTTTATATTTTGAGAATTTTGGAGAATTTTGGTAATGCATGATTTATTACAGTATTTCTATGGGCTTGAGCCACAGAGAATTTTTGTATTTATTTGCAAACCCAATAGACATTTGAATAATTAACATCTGATCTTGTCCTTTATATTTATAACGCATTTGCTATTTTAAGGTAGTGTATCTATAAATGTTATACATATAGTCATCTGCCACGTGTAGACTTGCTGTATTGAAACTATATCAGCACAAAACGTAGCAGTTTAGTAATTCTGTTGCAATTGGAATTCCTCATTGTCCAATATGTATCTCCATGAGTATTGTAATCATATATTTATTTAAGCTCTATATGCATTAGTGATATTAAATCCAATATATAATGGACTCCGCACTATGTCGCCAATATCTAATAAGTGATTTTTGAGGTTCTTGATACAAATGTCTACGGTAGCTCATCTTGTTGAACTTTAAAATTGATGTACTGAAGACAGCGAAGAGCAACATCAATTAATACTGATTATTTTACGAATGAAAAGTGCTAATACATCAGTGCATAAAAGACACTGTTAAGAGGATTTATGTCACCATGACCATAGCGGGGCCAGTGAACAATGTAGAATCTGCAAAATATATATTTTTCACTGATAAGAAATCCCGGTGACTGAAATTCGTCACTGATAAAACATTCTTCTTCCGTCACGTGCCGTCTGCTTAGAAAGAGACGTGATAATCAAATTCATATTTTCACAAGTGAGAAGTTTCTTGAGCCACACGTGTATCAATGTTATCAGGCGAGTAACGTTGAAATGATCATAGGTCGTTTATAGTAAACTAACGATAACCCATAGTAATCAAAAGTTATTTTTGCAGGAGAGAAAATTATCGCAGAAGATAATTGTAAGGCTGTGAGAACATCCTATTTACTTGTTAAGGACTGTGCTAATTGATGAAACAAGGAATAAATCATTAGGATCATTTTCATCTTCTGTTACTGAAATAATAACGATTTAAAAACTTACATCGCTGTCATGACACCACCATTATAGGAATGAAACAGAGAGTTTTGTCATTTAATTCACAATTTACAACTGCTACTGTGCAAATCCTCAGATATGCTATAGATACTCCTGCATGATTCACAATGATTATTGTTCATGAGCTCAAACGCTTAAAGACCCACAAGTGTAAGCGCGTGACTGACATGTAATGAAAACTTCATTGTTCAATGATTTGTAGTCATTACGCTCTCACTTGTACGTATAAAATGTCCTCGTGGGTCACGGATTCTAAGATTGCTGTTATAGTTTGTAAACATATGATCTATTATTGGATAATTGTCTCATTTTTTGTTTCATTTTCTTTAACTTATTCAGTTCACTAAATCTACGAGGAAGTTATATGTGGGATGATTGTTCATTCAACTTTGAATGAATATCCTGGATCGAAGGGCGACATACGGCAATGACATTCGCCTCTTGGTCTACGTCTAGCGGCTAGCGAGACTAGAGCTAAAAATACAGAAGCATCGTAGAAGCCAACTGACAAGCTTTTAATAACTTACTTTCGTCAAGGAGTCTATCAGTTATCCAAGTTCGCAATAAACAAGACCCAAGTATCATGCAAATTTGAAAAATTCATTTGATCTGGAGTTTGTTCGCGCATTCACACAGAAAAAGGAAGAATTATCCAAAAAGACATTCGTCATTTGCACGGCCTGGAATTCTATTAATAGATCAGTACCATTCATACGAAGTTTTTGGATTTAATGACTCAAGGTCATTCTTGAAAATTTTCATTGAAAAATTATACTCTACACGATGATTTCTGTGCTCCTGAATACGTGACTGGCATTAAATAGCAATTGAAGTAGATTCGTTGTATGAGTAATAAGTTTTACTATATTGTCGTTCTTCGAACGTGGTGTCTTTGGACGATAGACTTTGTAGGCAAGTTCAAGATCCTCAGTCATTAATGAAATCAGAGTTAATACTTTGGATAGTCCTTTACCCTAAGAACAACATCGTATTGATTTATTCGCTTATATAAGAACTTATGCGCACGAAAAATTAAACCGGGAGAGTTTGGGATGAAATATTTCGCCTGTAGGCTATTTTAACTTTATCAAGGTTTCTCAATTTCGTCTGTTAATCGATCTTCTGTTATTAACAAGCAGCATGCACTGTACTGTAATCACAAACCCTTAGGTTTTTATACAGCTGATATTTACACTCAGCTCTATACTACTACAGTGAGCAAAGGACTGTATAGGACTTCTTAATGGCCATTTTATTGGGGCGTTAAATAATTTCTATAAATATACCCTATAAACGTAGAATATTATGCCAGGATGTTCTGGGATATTGATTTTCCTGAATTGACTATAGACATTGCTGTTTATGTGCGGCTTTATCGTTGGTTAACGTTAAGTGGGATATATAAAGTTTCTGGATGGAAAATTTCTTTGGCAGAAAGTCTGACCAGGAATGAAGATTCTATTGTTACTCATAAAAATGTATACGTCATTGTTAATAATTGTCAAAGCTTTGGTACGGTGTATAAAGTCAATTTTTTTTTTTTTCTAATTTCAGTGAAAGCAGCATGTTTGTGTCAAAGCGTCGACTGATTTTGAAGACCTGCGGTACGACGACGCCATTGCAATGTCTGGAGCCACTTTTACATCTTGTGGAACAGTACACGGGATTTGATGATGTCGAGGTGCGTGTTAATTATTTGTCAATGTCTTTGGATTCACTGTGGGGGGAGTAATCGTCGTACTTGAACTTGTTTGATGTTATAGGTAGGATAGAAAAGATAGTGGATTAAAAAAAAAAAGGGAAAATGTCTCTCCTGCTACACGTGACAAGGACTAGTGAGAAATTTGTAATTTTCCACGGGCATTCAAGTTGGGAAGTGCTTAGCTATATAACTTGACCTAGTGCATGGATAAGTGATGTTGCTATATATAGGAAACCCTTGGCATACAGAATACATCTCTACCTGTTGGTTTATTGATCTCTGTTAGCCATGGTACCGTGTGTGAATTTCACTCTACCCTTGAGATCCAATTTCTAATTTTAATGTACTATATAATTTTTCTCATTCTAATCCAATAGAGATTTTGGTACTTTGGTATATATACTTGTTTGTAAGAATTAGAATTTTTTTGAAACACTAAGTAGAGGGCTCGAATTAATTTTGTCTATATGTGAGAATGTGAGAATTGCTTTTAATAATTTTGCCTATTCTTCTTCTTTCAGGATTTATTTTATTCGCGAAAGAATTACAAGAGACCAGAATTGCAGATATCACCTCATCAGGCATTCGAAGAGGAAGTTGCTCTGCTCGATACATTCTTTCCAGGTAATTGTTAATAATCATGATACGATGGGTCTGATAAATGTCTTGTGGGCTGTTTGGAATTAATATAAATTAAGAAAATTGAAATAAAAAAGTATCCATGAGGAAGTTATCCTGGGTTTTTTCCCTTTTGCTTACATAGTGTTTTTGTTATTCTTACTACTACTTCATTTTCAGATGGCGAAGCTTACTGTCTGGGATCAGTGGACACTGACTGCTGGTACTTGTATACATTGAACAGGGAAAAGTCTTCCCAGGATAAAAAAGAACCCGATCAGACCTTAGAAATTCTTATGACACACCTGGACCCAGACGTTATGGCTATCTTTACCCGGGACGTGTGCTCTTCCGCGACGGAGGCCACGCAAAAGTCTGGAATCGAGAAAATCATACCGAGCATGATGATCGATGACTTTTTATTTGAGCCTTGCGGCTACTCCATGAACGGAGTATCCAAGTGTGTAAGTAATCAACTTCCTACCATAGTTAATTCGACGTTATTGCATAGTATTGTTAGTAATAATAAATAATCCCGAGACTAATAAAATGACAATATAAACAGGGAAGCTATATGACGATTCACATAACACCGGAACCGGAATTCTCATACGTCTCCTTCGAGAGCAACATTCCAGAGGCGTCTTACGAAGCAGTGATACGTCGTGTCCTGGAGACATTCAAGCCTGGAAAATTCGTGGTTACCGTTTTCGCGAACAAGGAATCCGTAGCCGCGAACACCCCTAAAGAACTGGAGCAAGCTGATTGTCTAAACTTTGGTGGCGATTGGTTACGGGACGACGTGCAGTATTGTCGCTTCAAGAATTATGACCTGACCTGTGCGTTTTACTCTAAATTCCCAAGCTGAGGGTTCATGGACGCCTCGCTTGTTCCTGTCGCGGAGGATCGAACAAGCGAGGCGAAAACATCCCTCTCCCTTTCCTATTCATTCACAGCCAATCAGAAAAACCCCTCCAAAATCATAAATAACGCAGTGATCAATAATCAATCGGCAATCTCACACTTGGATAACGATACCAGCATCCTGAATGTCCTTAACCAGAGTCAAGACAAGTATTCAAACACAAACAAGTTGGATTCGCAAAAAGATCATCTACAGGAAGAGGACAGTTCCGTCATGGCGAATTCAAGTAAAAAATCTGATGAGTACTCTCTACAAGTTAACAAAGAGACATCGAAATTGATTCCGAATTCAATCTGGAGTACTGACAAGGATAACAGAACAGTAATCAGAAATTGTTCACGACGTTCCACGTCTTCGCCGCAATTGGGAAGTAAGACAGTCTCACGTTCAAAGGTATATCGGAAGGCGTCTCTTAAATCATCATCCGATAAATTAACGCCGTCTACGAATTATCCGTACTCCCCGGTTTCCGGTATCTCCCCGGAAACGAGGATCACGACGATATCAAATCATTCCAAGATCACAGCTCTCGAGGAAAGAAATATTATGATGAAGACTTGTCAGGGGAAGAAGACGGAATCGAGTAGAGAGAAGAACAACGATGCTCCCAATGACACTAAACTCAAGTGGAATATGGAGAATGTACATATTACTTGCAATCCTCTATCAAATCCATACCCGTACTCGACGCCATGTCAAAAGAGCACATGTCCACCTGTGACAGAGAGTCAAGAAGAGGAGCCAAAGAGTCACAGTTGCGGGAGCTTTCTACCGATATTATCCCTGATACCACAGACGGTCGTGAGCTTTCAATATCTAAGCCCTAAAATGAAGTTTTCATGGTGGCGTAATAAGATCTCGTGAAGACACGCTTAAAGGGTTGTCCGAAAGCGACTGCCACTTAATAGTCGTCCACGGCAGTTGTTATCTGGTCGACCGGAACTGTATGAAAAACCTCTTACCTCGTAGTGGAGCTCCCAGCCCTCGTCAGTTAGAGGAATCCTGTCTTGTTATCGTGTGTCAATCTCTGTCAGAAACTCGACAAACAACCCTTAACCATGTTAGCTTAAACGTCTGGATAAGCGCAGAGCTTTACGGGTTAGTCTTCTTAATTTGTAGAACACAGAAATTAAAAAAAAAAGGTATCAAATCATAAAGGCAAAGTTTTGACCTAGTGATACTAAAGGATTGCAGGAAGAGAAGCTCTAGTCCAGGTATCCGGATAAGGATTAACGACTAAATGTTATTCCTTTTAATATCACTCTAGTCCTAATGATGAAGACAAAAAAAAATAAGCAAAGGAGGCAGATGATACAACAAAAATTCGACTATTCACATTTACAGTAAAGATCACTTAGAATGGATCAGCACTAATCCCTCGTGTACTTGTTAGATCTACGTGAAACTTAGATTTATCTAATGTGAACAAAAAAATGAAATTAAAAAGAAAGGTGTATGAACTCTGTTAAAGAAATAAGGGTTTTGTCGGAATTTAGAGCCAATGGGTCGGATTCTCGAATGAACGTACTTAACACCGTATATTTTCATACATGCACATTTGCGTCCTATGATTTTTCCTTTGAGGAAATTCATTTATTATCCTTCGAGATCGCGCGTGCGTCGATTATTATTACATTTATCATACCCAAGACCTATTTTGCATTTTATTTCTAACTATATTTATTTTTCAATTGTCCTCTCTTCCTTGGAGAGACCCACCCATGAATACTCTTGGAGGACTAATTTCAAGAATTAGCTTTTATTAAGCGTGGACTAAAATGAATAACAAATATTCATATTAGAGATTAGAAAATGCGTCATTTTTATCTACCCATTGGTCACTTAAATTGTTGAATATTTCAAATCTATAATTGGTAGCTGTTACTTCTGTTTTCTCAGAGTGAAGAGTTAAGAAGTTTAAATATTACATTTCCTTTTGTTCTTTGAAGATCTACGAGAACTGTGCATCTTCGAGAGAGAAAATGAATGACCAGCTATATCGATTGTATAGACGACAGATAACGAAGAAAGAGTTTTGCAACTGGTTAGTCATTCCTGTGCTACGAAGAGAATCATAATTAAAATTAAGTGAACGTTACGTATGCTAAGGATTAATTATTATTGCCTTTAACGAAAAACAAATCTATAGATGTGCATACGTGAATGTCTCTCTATTAAATAGTATAACATTGTTTAATACAAAATTTTTACCTAATGACACGAAACACGGACACATTGATCGCACATGAGAAAAATGTTAAGGATACATGAAAGACAGAGAAAGAGAAAGAGAGAGAGAGAGAGAGAGAGAGAGAGAGAGAGAGAGAGAGAAGAAACATTTATAAAGGAAGAAAAAGAAAATGTAATCGAAGAAGAAATTATGAAATTTCTTTGCCTTCGTAACAAGACTTTGCAGCAACTTTGACATTTGTGCTTTTTTCTTTTTCTTCTGTTTTCTTGCTTTTCTGTTTTTAAATATTTTCTTGTTCACGAGTAAAACCTAATTACGTTTGCTTCTCTCGAACAGAGATCTTGTTTTATAATTTTGGATGAATAAATATTATTTTCTACAATCATTTATCCTTTGCCTATACCTTTTTTTTTCCACTTTATTCACGCATTCATCTCGTCATCGGCTATCGATCACGCGTAATCGAATGATCCTAAGATATAATTACAAACTAGGAAAATGCCACATCATTTTCCTGAAGGCAGGCAAAAAAAGCCTGACCCATATAAAGATGAAAATCTAAATGTACAATATAGATAAACACGACGTTCCAAATCTTCAAGAAGTCACTGGTTCGTCGTGAGAAAGATGTATTATTCGTTGCCGTAGATTACAATTGCATGCGAACTAAATTAATTTATGTATTGTATCTACGAAAAAAAAATAAAAATAAAAAATAAAGATTATATTTAGTCTCAAGATTCCGAGCAGTCTTGTCTAACGAAATTAAGAAAACAAAAAGAAAAAGAAAGAATCCTCAACTCCTCGTAAAAGTGTTTAAAAAAAATTACTGGAGAGACAATGTTCCTGAATTTATATATAACAATTCTATCCTCTTATCCAATAAGATCAGATAACATCGATGAACTCTGATGGTTCAGATAACACGATTGAACTCCGACGATTCACCCTTGGCAAATCTTACTCCCATTCCATTGAACATGGTATTGAATCTCGCACGAAATCCACTGCGAGGTTCGTCGTACATGATCTCCTTCTGCTGTTTCCTCAGTTCGCTCTCAGCGTCGAAGACGGTGCGCACTCTGTCCAGGGCTACCAACGGAAAATACTGAATCATCCACAGGATCAATGCCAATGATCGAAGAACAACGAAAAAGAGCATACATACCTCTTCTCAGATCCATCTCGTCCATCTCCTCGTCGTTGATCTTGGTAAGTTCTTGACGAAAGTTCCTAGTAATCTTCTTCCTGATATAATCAGCCTCTATTTCTTGCTTAGTTCTGGGTATCCTGAACCTGATACAACAGCAAAGAGCAATGGTGACTGTAAGCAGGATGGAAAATATAATCCCAAGAAGTTGCCAGAGACGAAATCCAAAGACAGTCTGCTTCTCGAGCCAGTGCTCGAAACCTTGACCGACGCAATCACCAGATCCAATTGGTATCTCGTCTGGAGAACATGGTTGTGAGGTCGACGTTGTTATCATAAACTTAGGTTGAGTAGAGTTGGTGCTGTTCATTAGTTCCAGCATTTCATATCCCTTTACAAAGTATTTCCAGGTTCTTCACTAGTTCTACTTGAATATACAGGAGCTTTTGATATTTTCACAAGCGAGTTCACCTGGTGAATTCTATCAGCTGGTACCGCTGGCAGATGTTGGAGACTCAGGACTGAATCGACAATAGGGATGTTGTAGGGTTGGAGTCTGATAGAAAGAAGGGTGCGGCTGTTAATGAATACTTCCAAGAGGCACACCCTGGTTTATATCCTTGCATGATTCCAGGCGTCCTCTGATCGTTGATCGATAAGGGTAGAAACATCCAAGGTGTTAGTGTAAACGCGTAATAGAGTTAAAAGCATCCTGACGTGAATGATAAGGATTTTAGTTTTGGTTTTTTTTTTTTGGATTTACAAAAAGTAAAGAAGGGTAGTGATCCGTACAGGTGTAGATATACTGTGACAGACTTGTCAAATTGAATAGATGTGCTATCTGGCCTCTCTAGTAATTTCGTTTTTCTTTATTATCTTATAATAATTATCATATATAATAAGTAAAGATTGGAAATAAAAATAATCATTTGTTACAAAAACAATGTTCTATGTTAAGTGGTTAACGACGCATGCGCATTGAAAAAACGCGAACGCTTAACAATAATCCACTTTTTTTTTTTTTTCATTTTGAATCTGTTCTGTTCTCATGGCTTTTACGTTTGTCTCTTGCTTTCCATATTTCCTTTCTTTCTATAGTTATCCCAATCGCCAGTGTTTCCTGTGGTTTGCATCTTCCTTATCTTGCTCAACTTTTTTTCCCTCTTTTTTTTTTGTTCTTTCATTAATTACAATAGACCGAATCATACTTAGCCACGTGACATCTCCATTGACTTTTATGGCGATACAGGATAGACATGTTTTATTTATATTTTTCGTTTTACATCTTTTTCAAAACTTGATCCAACTTGGGCTTCGGTTTCACTCCTTTTTCTTTTGGTAAGTTTTCCACATTGTCCTCCGACTCGACGTAGAAATTTTTACAATTTCTTATCGATATGGACTTTTACACTCTTGACTACAACAGTTAAACTTACTTTACAAGTACGTACGTTACTTGTAATTCTTTTTTTGTTTCTTTATATTTTTCTTAAGAAGTTAAAGAGTTACGGAGACATCGTTTCGGTATCATACGTGCTCTCACAGTTTTCAAAGTAAAAACAGTAAAGGAAAAATATTTATGAGCTCTGCTTCCTTGTGCGTTAATTCATTTTAAAACCAGAACAACTGGAAATACATGACGATCCTAACGGTTTATCTCCCTAATACGATAAAACGTCCTATTTTGGCTTCCGTACATACAACTGAACAATGACAAGATCGTACACCGAAAAATCGTACAGTACAGAGGATTTCAAAAGTTCTACCGACTGATTACTTTAAAGACATGCACGATTATTAGAGTACCAATTTAATTTAATACGAGCAACGGGCTTTTCGTTTGGCCTCAAACAACGAACCAGTCTTGTTCTTCATTTCCTTAGGTCAGTGTAATTCATTTTTTCTTACAAGCCCGCTTCGATATTGACTATACTGTATGTGATAATAATAATAATAATTAAAAACCTTTTAATTCTTATAAAGAAAACAAGGACCTAATGATAAATTCGCCAAAAAAGACGAATGTACCTTGAATCATTGTTACTGTCGCGCTCGTACACACCGTTCATTCGCTTGAACGGAAACGTTATTGTTATCTATTAAAATAACGCGAAAGAAGCGACAGTTTAATCGATAAAAGTAAAGAAACTTTGCTACAACGATTTGTCCTCGTACAGCGAGACCCTAAGGAGATGGGATTATCTCGTGAAAAATTGTCTCATGATAATTTTCATAGTATTAAAAGTGAGTCTAGCCTGTATCGCATGAAAAGTATGAATTCTATACTGTCGGGGATGGGAAGCTCTTAGCTGACTAATCCTATGTGCCACGACCGTCTTTATCTCGAAAGGGTAAAACAATTGAAGACAGTTCGCTGGCGAAATGTACAAGTTTTCAAGTGACGGTCTAAGGCCAATCAATGTCCTTTCTTCTCTTCTTTTATCTCGATTTTTAGTTAGTATTAACATTATTGATTGACTCACTAAACTCATTCCTTTCGGATGAACGTTCGACCCCTGAAACAGAAGAATCATTGTTTACCCAATTGACAGAATTGAGGTATAATTGTATGAATTATAATTGAGCTTTATTTTAAACTCACGTAATAGTCTTCTTCTCAACGTTCTTCGGTTCGGATCTTGCTCGGTTCAGGATCTTCAGGAATTCACTGGTTTTGGTACGCATCCGCGAGTGAATATATACCTTACTGCACTTGATGTGATAATGCAAGTAATCTCTGAACATTAGTATCATGTCGATTGTATTCTTACGGGACTCTTTGTTCGTGTGCTGTGGAAACAGTACTGGAAGAAAAAGATGTTGTTAATGTTATACTGTGCATGCATAGTCAGAGATTCATTAGTGACATTATCATAGCGAAAGAAAGACATACTGAAAGTTATGTATCCAACGCATGAATTAACAGCCGCGTCCGAATCCTGAAGTTCACGTGGTGGCTCGCGATGATTGAAGAGAACCTGAGGCGCCGTGTGACTCGCTCGTCTACCTTCCTTTAGTTCTTGCAGAAACATTTTTCCAATTACCATATCGTCCACGTTTTTGAACAATGTGCTAAAGACGACTGTGACTCTGTCGTTCGTTGCTTTGATACACCTGGAAGTGTGAATGAAAAATTGTATCGAGTTTGGCTTTTTTTTTTAGAGAATTATATACTGCAGTGTCTTAGTTATGGATGAGAACTCACATAGTTTCTTCTTCCCTGTAGTGGATCACTGCCATTTTCTCTTCCACTCCCTGTTCCTGAAAATCGAAATACTTTTCGAAGACACTGTCGAAGCAGTACCTTTTCAAGAGACCTATTTTCTTCACCAAATTCTCCCAGTCCTCTGGCAAATCTTTCAAGTCTACCAACACCGAGACATTGAACCCTGATAAAAAGATGAATCATTTATCTATGTGTCATGCATATTACTGATTTTACATCCTCTTTTAACATACCAGTTTCTGGGGTAGTAAGATGAGAGCCGTACTCTCTCTTGAGCAACTCATCAGCACCATGCTCTTGCAATTGTTTGTAATAATTGAGCAAGATACTTATCTGTAAATGCATATGAGAATCGACGTAATATAGATACTTCAGAATGCCAAGATATGGATCTAATTAACTAGGTCAAATATTTCTTTGGATTCACTTACTCTAAGTTTTGACTTGTCTCCACTTAAGTTCGAAACATGAAATAATACTCCATCAAAGTCAGCTATAATGACGTCTGTGGATTCTGGTCTGTGACTGAAATAAGAATACATCAATTACTTTGATACCCCATATGGTTCTTTCACAATTACTAATCCCTGTCACAATCCAATCACAGGATTATATACCATATAACGTTATTCTCCTAAATAGTCAATGCTGCCATTTCTACAGAAAGACATTACACTCCGATACAAGTGACGAAGATGAATCATAACTTTTAAATATTGCAAGCAATACCCAACAGACTAAAAAATATAATTTCAGCATAACACACAGCTTTCCTTTTAATAATGCATATAGTAAGCATGAATGAATATCTTTCATGTATAACAAATAATCTATTTCTATAACATGACAGAAACTGTCATAAAGTAGCAGCAGTGCATAGCCAAAGGTGAGGTTAGTATAGGGTCGGGCGCTCTGTCAATTTCCAGTTCTAAACCGCGATAACGAGGAACAGGAACCAACGAGATTAAAGAGGAAGTAACCTCTGATTTCTAGAGATATAAAAGGAATCATGCATTAGCTCATCGGTGGACACCGCCCTGACACGAGAGCATCGACGGCGTTGATAAATCCACAAAAAACAGAAACACAACCATAAAACCGTTTCTCTTACTCACCCCGACAAGGCATTCCTTATTTTGTTATTTAACGTTTCTTCTAGTATCCTATTGTTGACCTCGAGCAGGATCATTATTAGGACTAATATTTATTAATTAGAATATTATAATACAATAATTAACAATTATCTACTGCTCGGCGTAACCATGAATACGGCTCCGACTAATTTCTAATCTCTCCACTTCGGCTGGGTGTAATGGGGCCGCTCAACCGCTGATATATTTCGCTCACGAGTCCCTCACTGTCAGTGATTCATATATATTAATACCAGAAAAATAAGACAGAGGGCAGCACCAGCGATGTTTCAAACGATGCTAACAAACATGGTATGGGTAAAAATAATTTTTATTAAATACATTTTGAGTGTCTAAGAAGAAATTCTGTTTCATTTTTGTATATAGAACAAAGTGCAGTGTTCCAGAATTGCATAAGTTTGTAAAACGTCTCACGAGAGGCTGCAGGTTTTAAATAAGAACCTGGACAAATGGTATTACGGGATAATTAGCATCGTTCGGGACAATCTTCTGGAGCGCAGGCGATAGAGAACGGCTGCGTGTAACTAGAGAAAATGGTGGTACCGTTTTCTATATTTTCTCGTCTCGTTCGATAATAAAGAACGATTGATTTTATAGCCCTGGTGTCGCAGGGAAACGCGCGTTGTGCCAGGACGGCCTGTGCCAGGTGAAAAGGACGTTGGGGGGTGGCTTGGGAAGTGTAGGTGGTAGATTTTCACAAGGAGGATCGTTTCAGGGCCGAATGTTTTGGCAGCATTGTTCACTCGGGATCGGTTCGGCTGGTTGCTGCTACGACTTGAACGAGTCGGTAGATGTGCGCGGCCGTGTACTTGCGTCCATGGGCCGAAGAGAGAGCAGCAGGAGGAGTGGTGGACGTCAAGTCAATCGTTATCTCTCCTAACCTTTGCGCGATACCGCGAGGCGTGCTGGTGTTATCGTACGGGCGGCCGGGTATACGTGCCGAAGAAAAATGTGGTTAGATCCGCTTTGCTCGTAGCCGAGGATCTTTTCTATTTTTTTTTCTTCTAATCACAATCAACTACGTGGGGAACGTAGCTAACCAGCTTGTGCCTCCCCGATGGAGCTCGTAACTGAGCTCTTGTGATTTTACGGTTACTCGATTATATTTTATCTACGTGGTGAATTATTCTTTCGCGAAACTTTCGTTAAGCTCTACGTTCCCTCTGCTCAGCTGTGCAGTGGTCCGAGGTTATCATGGCCTCGTCGAATAAAGGCATTCAAATCGGCTCCGCCTGGTTTCAGAAGAAGATTAACTTAAGACCCCAGCATCGGGGCGTCCACCTCGTCACCGAGGAAATTTTAAGGCAGATTCCTGAACTCTGTCAGTTCTCTGTTGGTCTCTGTCATATACAAAGTATGTAACCTATATTTATTGGAAATTTAAATCTTGGGTTATTCTTAGGATTTAAGGCGTTTATTTGATTCCCGGTGAATCATGAGAATTAAGAATATTTGTTGTGATGCGAGTTTATTTTCGGGATTGTTAAAAATATGGATCGTTTAATATTTTCGCGTGAACACGCTCCTTTAATTTGTCATTGAGAGATCCACGAGTTATTACTTTTTAATATCCTTAGTTTTGTGGTCGAGAGGACTTCAGTTTTTGAGGTTAACATTTTTACTTCTCTGTTATAGTTCTTCACACATCAGCCAGTCTGGCATTGAACGAAAGTTGGGATCCGGATGTGAGAGATGACATGGAGATGATGTTGAATAAAATCATTCCTGAAGGAATGCCTTACAGACATAGTTGCGAGGGCCCTGATGACATGGTGAGCTTATATAAAATTCTATGTGGTATAGAGTGACTTGTGTAAGGTGCCGATCTAACCAATGATATATGTTCTCAGCCAGCACATGTGAAAGCATGCTTTCTGGGTTCCTCCTTAAGTATTCCAATTGCGGAAGGCCAACTGGCTCTGGGTACTTGGCAGGGAGTATGGCTGTGTGAACATCGTGACCGTGCTGGCAGTCGCAAGCTAGTTATCACACTCACCGGCTGCTTAAGGGATCTGGCCCGCAGTCCCTTGAGCCCTGTAAGTCCAATTGCCTCTACCAGCAGCTAGGACCACTCTCACCCCCAACGGCGTGGCAAACGTCAGCTGCGCATATCCACGTCTAGCGACTCAAGCTAGCAGCCGCCTAACTTTAGCCGAAATCTAAGAGTACAATCTAAGGAAGAGTGAAGGGATACTATCGCAATTATGGGAATAGCATGTGCAGCTCGTCGCGACCAAAACACTCACGGTAGATAACGTCTATCGACAAAAGCATAGCATAACAATCCTCAAGACACTATATTAATTTCTATATTCTAAATTTAACTTCACAACAATGACCATTTTTGCACACTACATCATGACCAACAATGTTCCAATCAAACTGTTCATTTTTTTCCAAAGTTATAAGCACTGAAATTGCAACAGTGCGCATGCGCCATATAAAAAAAAAAAAACGCACAGACTGGCTACATTAATACAAATTATCACAATTTGACGTAATGATACCAAACGAAACGTCACATCCTGTATCGAATTGAATAGACTTATTCGTACACTGAAAGCTGCCAATGCGACATGCGCATCGCTTCGAAACTCGATAAAATCCCAATGTTCATTAAGCGTGTGTATCCGGCACTCTTCTATCGCTATACTCTTAGCCGAAAAATTAATAATCTACTGCGCTCCGGTATGATGCGTCCAATACTCCGAATTTAATTACATAGCTTTATTTCGTGAATCCCTTTTGTAATAGCGGCGCGATTCGCAACAACTGCGAGTGTGGTTTACAAAGAAAAGGAAAAGAAAAAGAAAAAATAGAAAAAAGTGAAAATAGCCAAGAAAACACATACGGGCATCACGAAACATACAAGTGGACAGTGCTACAGTAAAACGGACTCGTAAGCGCATCAGCTAAGGGAAGAAGAAAGCAAAGGCATGAAATAAAGGATTAATTATGCATTAACAATAACATACTCAACTGAGAGAACGTGCGCATCCTACTTTTCTACGTTTACGCGAGGCAGATTCAGCTTGAGAGTATAGGTGCATTTTTGGCACGACATCCTAACACGATGCTTCTTCGTAGGCTAGTCGTTTTTAATGACGTTTCCATTGCATTGGGGGTGTAAATAAAAGGGGTACGTTCGAAATTACTTTGCTGTGCCGGGGAACATTTTAAACGTTATCGCACGAACGGTCTATTTACTCGTCTCGCGAGTAACGCCTTTGACCTTTTGCGAACGTCGATCTCGCGGTGGCGCTGAGTAATTGCGCTTTCATCTTTGACCGTTCGTATTTCTGAATTTTAAAGGAAATAAAAAGGGGTGCGCGACGAGAGGCATACCCGTCGAAATATTATGTTCCCTCGCCAAGCACATGAGCACTGCAAAGAATTGAGACGCACAAGAGATAAACAAGATGAACGAGAGATAACTAAGGACAAACGTTAATAAAGTAAAAGGAGAAAAAAGAGTGAAGATGATGTGAAAGGGCAACTACCGGTGACTCTGGTGTTGCTAAAAAAAAAGTCATTAATACGAATGAAGTATGGTTAATAAAGGGAAGCTTTGAACAGGAGTTTTCAAATGCATCTAAAATAACGTGTAACATTCCTGCGAGCGGTTAATGTTAGCCACAGTTTTCCTCCTCGTATAACATAATTAATATAAATGGTCGTCCATTACAATTACTGGAAATGCTTCAACATTAAGTACGTTAATACTATTCGTGCGGACGATTTGGTATGGTGATGGGGATGACGATGATTGTCTTCTGCGTGAAATGCGTTTATCGTGTAACAATAGAGAATTATTAGAGGAGCTCAAGAAAAACTGATAACGTTTACTTTAACCGCGTGGGTTCATTTAAGAATGGCATGTGCTTTTTGATTGTTAGGTTGATAATCTCTTGTGTCCTTGGTATTACAAGGAGAATCTAAGGAGATTATGAACGAGTGTGAGAGATTGTGTAACTGGGAAAATTATTCTGGCGGTAACAATCTAAAGTATCTTGATTCAGATTGTTACGCAGTTATCTGTTACAGAAATCGAATAGGATTCATTACGAAGGCTGCGAAGGGAATAGACTTGGAGTTACTCTAATTTGATGTTTATTATTCTTCAACTTGTGTTTCGCAAGGCCAAACGACCCAGTGACAACTACTTATTGCTTGTTCGATAACATGAATTCTGTATTACATTCATAATTGAATTTACTGATGGTTATTATTTAGCAATCGGATAGTATGTTCCTGATGGTTTTCACTTTTTTGTATCTGATTAAGTGCGGGCAATCTGGATCCAATTATTGTACAAGATCTAATAACGTATACACTGAGGATGTTAAGTCGAGCTGCGTTACTAATTAATAGTGTATCACTATGGGTATAATGAGTGACGTTTTAAGGTGAGTCAAATAAACTGTGCACCAAATTGCGAATTGCATTGACTAGCATGTGTGCACGAGAGAAAGAGAGGAGGATGTAATCGATGGGAACGAACGAACTTCTAGAATTTCAAAATGTCAGTCCAAGCGATTTAAGGGAGACATATGATGAAAAAAAAATATATGAAACAATGCGTAAAATAATCATTCCTGGGTTCGTTGTATCCACGGTAGTTAAAGTTTGCCATTAAATATTGTTCAAGCGAATGCGTCTAGTCAGCCCTTTTGATTGGAATAAATGAGAGAGAGAGAGAAAGAGAGAGAGAGAGAGAGAGAGAGAGAGAGAGTGAAAATGAAAAAGACACAGTTTACACTCCAATACAAGAGTGATCGTAATGCACTCAACTTTTTCTTAGTAATTTGTAACAATCATATCGTACGTCGATACTCTGTAGGGAAGCCCTTGCGTTGTCTTGCCATTGTCAATTTCCGCCCTTGATACGACAAAGGAGAAAGATAAAGAGAGAGAAGGAAAAAAAAAGAGAAAAAACAACTCAATGCTCAACGTGATGACAAGATGTTTAATTTAAGACAAAAAAAAGAAAAGAAATTGCCTCGATTCGTTCACCACCATAAAGAGGTGAAATAAATTTTCGCATCGATCCAGCGGTCATCATCATTTTTACCCTATATAGTCATCAGCGTTGTCTTACAAAGTAAGCGCGAGAGCATTAAGTCCTTTTTATTAATTTATCCATTTTCTTTGGTTTACATCCTCTTTTCGTATTTCTCAATCGTTTCCCGCGTGTGTGCTTCGTCGGTTTTTAAACGGATACTTATAGGCACGAACTGTAAGATATAGACATTATAGCGTTAGGGAAGCACAAATTTATTCGTAAGACTTTAACATAGGGTACAATAAATAAGGGATTAAGATGTGTAATGGCTTTAATAACGATAAACATTCGAGGGCTGTTAAATTATATAGCGGGTGACGTGTGCGCAACACTGTTTTTTTTTCTTTTTCGCCACGTTATTGTTGCATCGAATGATTGTGAGCGAAAATGAGAATGGATGAATGCGATAGAAAGAGAGAGAGAGAGAGAGAGATACAGAAAAATAAATAAGAAAGAGCAGGGAAAGAAAGAGTGATAAATGATATGAGAAATTGATGGTTACTCCTATCACACCATGACTCCCTACCTCGCCGTCTTCGTTGCCATCCACAGGGAGTCTCTTGAGATGAAAATTCTTCGCGTCCAAGTCTTCGCCTCTAGTCTTAGTCTTAAAGAGAAGCTCGCACGGATATCCAGACGCTCCAAATTCCAATTAAAGCCTACAAAGCGTTCTTTTTTTTTTTATTATTTATCTTTATTTTCTCCCTTTGCTTTTAAGTTCATTAAAAGAGAAAGGGTTAAACATAGAATCAGATGACGCACTGCGACGTTCACTTGTTCGTTATCATTTCTGCACAAGACTCTCTGGTGAACCTTATGGGTTATATGTTGGAAATCTTATAAGAAAGTGCGTGAAGAATATGAAGAGATAGAGAGAGAGAGAGAGAGAGAGAGAGAGAGAGAGAGAGAGTACTCGTTGACCTTTTATACACAGTGTGCAAAGTTTAACAATAGCTGGATATAGCGGACCTGCAACTTTTTAACATTAATGTGTGAAGAGGAATATAAGGTGAGGAGGGATGGGCGAGGAGGCATATAATAATACTGAATATAAATAATATTGATGAAAATGAAAAATAAATAAGAGACACTTATACCTTACGCCATGCAAAGATGCGAAGCAACCTGTAAACGAGTAAGCCATAAGTATAACAACACATAGTTCTTAATTAAATATTGACACGCTGTACATATGAAACTAAAACCAAATTATGCATTGTGTGTATGCTAATGAGAGAAAGAGAATTGCGAGATTCGTGAGGATGAGCGAGAGAGAGAGAGAGAGAGAGAGAGAGAGAGAGAGAGGAGAATACAAATGCGAGCGTTAACCGTTTTTAAATAATAATGAAAAGATTTGATTAGCTGTTACGCGAGAAAGGTGCGTGATGGTAAAAGAAGAAAAAAAGACAAGGGAGTGATCTTAATCGGAGTAATTAATTTAACGTGTTTAATGAATTAGTTCTCGAAATCATCGGATGCTGAGAATATAGTGGGTTTTGTAGTAGGTACCTTATCGAAATTTTTAATTAAAATCGTAACGAACAAATAAATCGTGAGGTACGTGCGCGACGATAGCAAATGACAAAACGGCAAACAAGAACCAGACAATTTACGCGCACGCATCTTTAATTACGCGTGATAGGTGATATCTGAAACTATTAAGGGACCGTGTGAGCCCGAATCGTGCGATTGGACAATTAATTGAAGTTTTGGTTATGTTTTTTCTTTCTTTTCCCCCGTGCGACGCATTCTAACGAACGTTTGCCTGTACGTCGCGTCAAAGAATCTTAAACACGCGCTCCACGTTATTACGCATAAGAACCTGGATTCATTATTATATGGGTAAGCAGTGTCCTTTTTTGGCGACAAGCAATAGCATTTCATCAATAAATAAGCACGTTATCGTACACATGTTGTCCGGCTCTTTTCTTTTTCTTTCTCTTCTCTCTTTTTCGTTTGGTACTCTTCGTTTGTGCCGTTCCTGACGGGAACGACGAGAGTTGACGACGAACTGGGCATAAATCATTAATAAAGAGAAAACAGTAGTAGGGAAAGGAGCGTTGTTATTTAATTAATATTAATTTTTAATTAATATACATATATATATATATACACGAGAGGATTAAACGAGGTGAAATCTAAAGAGAGTTATACGAGTACGGCTAGTGTGGATTATATGTAATAGTACATTATGCAACAAGGGAGTAAAGTCGTTGATTATTCCCGCGGGTGAGAGTTTAGTGCCCGAGCGAACCGAGGGCAGTAAATCACCCGAGGGAATAACCGACTGTACTCTCGTGTTACATATAGTGCTTTATTCACGACTGAGCTGTAATAGCCACTTTATTCCCTGAAAAGTGGGACTTACTCAGCCACCGTCATTATGATGGAAATATACGTTTTTCGAAATATTCAAAAAATTCAAAATGTTTCAATTTTTCACCTTTTCAAAACTTTCAAAATTTTGCGGGAATAACGTAAATTTGCGGGAAAACCAAATATGCGGGAATAAAATGCTACTTCAGTCCTGCTTTTCAGGGAATAAAGTGGCTATTATAGCTCAGTCGTGAATAAAATTAATTACATTATTGGTAATGTGTAATTAGTGGACGCTCTCTTGGACTTTTACACTAGCCATGGATATATATATATATTCAGGAATGTTCAAGTCGAGGGTGATCGTTGGGTTTTGATAGATGTCAAAGGAGCACCGATTGATTTGTGTAAAGAATGCTGACAGAATCATAAGTGATCACTTCTCTGAACTGGTTCGTCGCAATTGAGAATAGACCTGTAAATATTATACAGGCGGCCCACATTGACTTCACTGGCAACACAACCACACTTACAGTACGATTCTCGATTATGGCAACATCCATTCTCGCCAGTCCAAGTTTACCGGTCGACGACTCCGTTACACGTGGGTAGGGAACCTGCTTCAGGGGCGTAACATCGAAGGCTTAGTATTCTATGTACGGGTACAACTGTTCGCGTGCCGCTTGTTACGAACCTGTCGAGCGCAAGAGAAGGGTCGCGCAGATTACAAAGGGGCTGAGCCTGCGTCCTCTAGATTTTCGCCATTGCAGTGCATTGGCCAGTCCAGTGCATTGGCAACCAGTCCCAGTCCCAATCAGTCCCAATCTGTTGCCAGAATCGTGAATCCTAACTTCTGTATCGATATCACCATGCATTAACACGAGCGATAATAATGTAATAAAACTATTGAATTTAATGTATCGAGAATATTATGTATATTATGTGATGCATATATATATAATATATAAATATCATGTATATATTATATATACTAGCATATAATGCAAACTACACTATTTGTCGCGCAGAGTATTTCGGATTGAGTTATATATATTTGATATAACAATATTAAATATATATATATATATATATTGTTGCTTAAAGTTACATTCCATCGACTGTACATACCTATGACATGACATTCATTGTTGTTTAACTATTTATTTTTTAAATCAAAATGATATTCTTGATTGCTTATTCGTATACAAATAATTCTTACTAGTCTAATCATTCTTCGCATGAACTACATGATACTCTCTTGTTCTCATCGAAGAGAAGGACTTCACCTCTTCGGTGCATGTTCATTGGTCTTAATAGGTCTTCGCAGACTGTAATTGCACTGTGACAAAATTATGTACATTCAAAGTGTCATCAGATGGATTTAAGCTTTGTCTGATTTTGACTAATCGATGAAAGTAAAGGATGCTATATGCTTGTGCGCATTTGTAATGCATCACTTATTTTGTATGTCCAGTCCAGAGAGGCAAGAGGAGAGAGACAAGAGGGAAATTAAATATCTGTATAAACGAAATCCGACAGTCTCTGCGCGTGGATGCACAGTGAAAGATTTATTGTAAGTAACGTTTTCCTGATCGCAAGTAATAATGTTTTTAAATTTACATCAAGCATTTTGCCAAAGCAAATGATGATATGGATGGTGCGAAAGAGTCCAAGTGTTTTATGAAATTTATGGAGCCATCCTGGGTACGAGGATGTACAGGCAGCATATTGTGAGAGTGAATGAATGAACAAAGATAATATAAAAGATAACGTTGTAAAAGTGCTTCTCCTCAAGATGCTCGGGTAACATAATCACCATAAATTATTCTGTATATTTACTTGTACGAATCGATGATTTTTATTATTATTATTATCATTATCTCTGTTATTATTATCTTCATGATCATTATCGTCATCGTTACAATATTATTACTATTGTCATATTATTATTATTACAATAATTGTATTATTATAACAATAGGGGGGACTTATTAAACGAAGTTGACTCTGCTTTAGCCTTTATTGGTGATTACACAATTGATTGAATAATGTCGTTAGGATGTAGTTACGTTCTTTGAATAATTACTTTGAATTCAGAGTTTCTTGTCTTTGTGTTTCAAGTCTCCGTTGATGCCTCTTTTGTGGCTCAATCGGATCCTGGTGGTGCAGACTCTTCCGTACTTAACACGTGTACCGTAGATCATATTAATAATCGTCCTGAGAATTTAATTCGCCGAGCCATCGGGCAGGTTACTCGAGACCTAGAATTATTTTTATATTTATAGGACGTACTGAATTCTGTTATTTTTCTCTAGTTCTTTTCATACCGACACAACTTTCTATTTTTTTCAAAACAGATGCTCGGTTATTTACGAAAAATTATCTGAATGCGATTATTACATACGAGGAATCTTTTTATCACTTTTCCTTAAGTTTTCTTATTGAATTGGTGGATGCTAAATGTTAGGACAACTATCGGATACAAAATAGGCCAAAGTGTACAACGACGGTGTTTGAGATTCTTCGGCGGCTGCAGTCTACTTCCTGGTATGGGAGACCGTGGAAGTCCTTGACAACCTCTGGTCCGCGACCAGGTGGCTTCTGTTTCTGGATGACCTGAAGGTGCTGGGGAAACTCCGACCGGGCACTCTCCTATCTCATCAAAGATTAGCAGCTCTTCTCTACATGTCGGCCGTACGTGGCGTCACCAAAGTCATCAAAAGTTTCTCTTAAACCATAAACTCGTAGAGAGTTCATCTCCACCTGTCAAATATTCTCAGCGTGGTGAATTACGTAAACAGGAAAAAAAAATCATTATTTTACTATTTTTACTATTATCATATTATTATTACAATAATTGTATTATTACAACACTAGGGGGGGGAGGACTTACTAAACGAACTTGACTCTGCTTGAGCCTTCTTTTTACTTTCTAATTGATCTTTCGATGCTTCGTTCGATGAAGATAAGTTTCATGACTATCAGTGATTGGACAATTGATTGAACAGTGTTGTATCGCATTACTTGTATTTGTTGCATTGACAAAATACAATTTTTATTTACAAGGGTAATTGCCGTCAATCCTGCGTATCAGGATGCAGTTACGTTTTTTTTGAGTAATAACTGTGAAGTCAGAGTTTCCTTCGCGTTGCGTTTCGAGTCTCCATTGATTCCTTTTCTGTAGCTCAGTCGGATCCTAACGGTGCAGGCAGGCTTCCGCACTTGGCACGTAGACCGTAGATCATATTAATTGTCCTACGAATTTAATTCGCGATGGTGCTTAATATGTTACTGATTTCCGGTACTCTTTCACCCGATGAAGTTTCCAAGGATCGTGCCTCATCAACTTCCTTGTGATGCTCAGGGACCGGATGTGGTCCAGGGGTACTAAGATCTTTGGCCTTATCTTGAACCTCCTTGAACGAGGCTTTGATATTATCCAGTGCTGTACCCAGGCCGGATTTTATTTGATTGAATTCCTGGGTTACCAGCGAGAGACGTCCCAGGAGGTAATTCAAGTTCTCGTCGACTTCCCTCATGCGTTTTGTTATTTCGCTGACCTTTAATCACATTGATTATTCGTTGGATCGCTGTGGAATACACTTAGCTTTTATTACCTTGCTCTCCATGCTGCCCATCGTCGTTGTTGTACCATTTACGTAAGCCTCGTTTTGCTTGTGCAACTTTTCCAGGGCTTTGGCGCTCTCCATCATCTGCTGATACATCACGTTTATCTGCCTCCAGACCTAGAGTTATTTTTGAGGGTTATCGAACACATTAGATTCTATTAATTTGAGATTGTATTAAGATTTACCTGATTCATCTCCTGCTCCATCTTGGTTGTTAGATTCGCCAATGCGCCTTTTTGATTGTTTATTATGTCGTTAGAGATACCGTCGAACCTTTCAGTTAATGTAGTATTCAGACTGGTACCCTGAGCCTTCACCAGGTCACCGACCTCCAACAGTATCTGATGCACACCGTATTCTACTCTTTTTCTTGTGTCCAACACGTGATCGGCCATTGAAACCATAACAGACTGTCCTTTTTCCAAATCTTGTAAATCCTTCTTAACCCTCTCTGCGTTGTTTGCGAGATCCAATCTAGAATGGAGACAAATAAGTCTGATAAATATGTCAGAGGACTTTTAGTAGCCTGACGAAGGGTTTTACCTCAGTGCAGAGACAGTATCTTTGACTTCCTCTTTACTTTCTGATACCTTATTCCCAACCCCGTCTATCCCTCGCTGAATGACGTTCTCCAGGGTGTGCTTTGTCTCTTGCAGGGACATCTGACTCTCGTTGTACAGTGTCTGAACTTCTGACACTCTGAAGGGAACAATGCTCAATAAGAGACCCTAGTCCACGGTGTAATTGAATAGACAGGAATCAATGTGATAATTACTTAGGCAATTCACGAATCCGTTCTGAGGTGTCCTCCAGGAGTTCCTTCACCCTGCTGAGCATCAACGTTTGCATCTCCATCGCCGGATTCACATCCACCGTTGGTTCCTTGGGATTCTCTTGAATCTTACCTAAGTTTTCTTTAACAAAGTCTAAGCCAGATTCCATGTCGCCGAGCCTAGCACCGATGTCCCTTACCTGACACGAAATTAAGTTAACGTTTACTCTCTTGTTAATAAACAAACGATCTCTCACCTGAGTAAACACAGTTTGTATCTTGTCTGCCTGTAAAGCCGCCTCGTCCTTAGTTCTAGTCCCCATTGTTTCTATACCGATTTCAAGGGTTGCTATCTGACCTGCCAATCTTGCTTCAGTGTCATTCAACTTTCTCATTACGTCCAATGACACCTTCTCCGGTGCCGTTGACGGAGTTACTTCCGGTCGATTATTCACTTCCGCCACCTTGTTCTCAATATTTGTCAACCACCCTTCCAATCTGCTCTCTAAATCCTCAAGAGCGTCAGTCGTCTTTTGCATCTGTATCCGCTCTCTCTCGTCTCTCTGGTAATTACAAGACACGATGAAGCAGTTATTTCTCAATAAATCAATGATCCAAGACTCGGACCTTACCTGTGTAATCAAACGCTCAATTCCTGATATACGCTCGTCCATCTTAGTCAAGTGTGTTTTCAATCCATCCACTGTAGAGACTCTTTTGGTCAACAAAGATATGGTCTTCTTCATTTGCTCGCCCAAGGCTCGTTCTCTCGCTTCGTGTCTCTCCAACTTTTCAGTATTATCACGCATCATGTGCACCAGGCTTAGCATTGCATCCTTGATGTCATCGTGACTATATGTGACATCGACAGACTCGCATTAAAGTAAAATTACAATATTGAAAGTCAAAAATGCTTTTGGCTTATCCTTGCGTCTCAGTTAGCACATGATATTCTAAACATAACCCAATTTCATCCTCAACATTCAAAGTACCGAGCATTCATCTGAACTGGACATAGCAACATTATCTGCATATGCTCCGAAATTTCGTACGTTCACAGTACGTACGCACGTCCCATTTGGGAATTCCCGGAATATCCTAAAAATATCATTTTGCTATCTTGACAGGTCAAAAGTTTACTTACGTGATTTCTCGAGAATTACAGGGACTCGCGTAGAGGCAAAGTAACATCAAACCAACAGTTGGCAGCCACATTGTGATTCCTGATCACTATTCTTTTCTTCTTCTTCCTTTTTTTTTTTAATGACAACCTGTAGCAAAATTAATTATCACTAATTTGTATCACTGACGTATTTAATTGTTAATGCAAATGCTTTTGAAAGTCGGGTTAGATCACTCTTATAATTACACTATTGTCCATACGATTCGATAGTGTCAAATGCCTTTCAACGAATATTCAATTCAATAACCAACCAGAGGAGATAATCAGTGCTCGGGTCGACGACGATGACCCTTCCTAACTGGCATGAACGATCGTCATTAACGAGAGTTGTCGTTACTCCAAGTCGTTTGGTCGCTCCGTCTGATTACCGATGCAACGGCATATCGATCAATCGCGTATGTCGCATTCGATTGATTATCAACCAAGAGATTCTTGAAATCGAATTCATTCAAAAAATATACAAGCTAATGGCGACCTCATTCCATAACACAGTTGCATCAATGAAACTGCATTATTCCTATATTCTCCTCATACAGAAATTTCTTCACTCCACTTCTTTACTCTTGGCTTAAGACTTTATGTTTCTCAGTACAGGCCATGTGGTCCAATTCTAGAGCCATCTGTTTCGTGCAAGTAGATCCTACCATCCCTTATGTACAGTACAGCTGATACAGCCTCAACATGTGATGCCTCTTCTACCTGAGACATCCTATACTAATATCTGACATACGTATGTAAATCCAAGATTTTCTCTCTTACTGATGCTGTGATGCTTTCTAACTGTGTAGTGTAATTCAAAACATTGTTGATAATTATCACACAAATATACTGAGATGATCTATATATGTGTGTATATATATCTTGAGTAGAAAAAAGAGAATGAAACTCTGGACATATGAAGCATCCTAATATACATCTGAGCTAATTGAAATAGAATATGACGCATATAAGAGGCAAAACCAAAGAGGTCATCAAAGTGCAAGTCGAATGTACAGCTGATCCACTGTATGAGCGTGTATCGTTTTCACTTCTTGTAATTCTTTTGTTTTTTACACCAAAGAAGTAAATCCTGGTATATGTGTATGAATATGCAGACTCCAACGTGGGCTTGAGCGAGTACAGGAGTCGCTGCCTTTTTCTTATGATTTAGATGACGGATCCATTGATCAAGAAGTTTTGTGGTGGGAGACAATGGACTCCTTGTTGGGAAGCGGCGCCAAGGATTGAAGCGAATATCTTTAATGAGAATCTTGACGTAGCCTTGGAAAATGGAGGATAAAAATTGGTCGAAAGAATAATTCTTTTGGATTAATTGAGAAAGACAAAATTGCATACTGGTCTCTGCAGAAGGTTCAGGCATTGAAATCTCCTGGTGGACGTTTAGAATTAGCCAAGAATAATAAAGCCGTGCATTGGTGTCTCTTTGAAAGTGTGTGTATCTCTGAAATAAGTTCTTTGGGTCTCTTCTGTGACACACATGGTGCCAGCTGTCAAAAGTGAACACTTTTTTCTCCCCTTTCTTCAGGCTCTAACGAGGTACACGTCTCCAGCCTTGGGATCATTTTGAAATTCTTCAAGAGAATTCTATTTCAACTCTTTAATGGATCTAACTGCTTCTAATGCATCGGCAAGAGCAGCAATTATCTAAACAGCATCGCGTGCAGGTTCGAAAGTGAAGTTTATTGAACCGATTCACTACAAGCTGGGATACGTTTTGTATAAGTGGCTGCCTATTGGCTTTCGTTGCACAGCATCTGCATTGTGGCTGGCATTATAACTATAAATAGAACTTGTCATTAAGATCCTAGCGCCACTCACTTCAAAGAATTTACTTCTGTGTAGAATAAGAAACGCTTATGTACACTGCTACTGGTTAAAAATCCCATTTATTATAGTCGCTGTGAATAGTACGCGAAGTCTATTATTTATCCTTACTCCAAGGATATCGGTATTTTTGCCTAATATTTGTTAATTGTTCCAATAAATAAATATTGCGATTGCATACGCTTCCTCCTATAGCTCTCGTCAATTAGAAATAGCGCTGTTAATGATTTTAAGTTTGAAGAAATAGTTGAGAATTAACACTTAACGGTTCTGTAGGATTTTCTTATTCAAAATACAGTCCGTTATCTTTACTTGTTTATTTTCTCGCTTTGCTATGCGGTTCTTATAAAAATTCATTAACCATGCTTTAGTACAATTATTGTTTGTACTTTATGTCATAATTTTTATGATGTCACTGACCATTACAATTCGACGCTCCTCAATTACCAAAGTAACGATCTGAAGGACGTTTAAAAAAGTCGCGCTTCTGGATAACAATTGGACGCGATAAGAATTGGGCACGGATTTTAAAATATTACAGAGTCACATTTACTCCTGTCTTCAGAGATATTATTCTACTTACCTAAAGGCTGTGCTTGGTTTGCTTAGTTCTTTGTGCTCCGGATGCAGATCGCTATGCGTATACGTCTCGTTGGGTTGCTCTCTGTACGAAGAACTGAATGCAGTACCATTAGGTAACTCCTGATTTGGTCTTTTAAAAAAGTCAACGCAAGACACCATTATTTTAGCGTCACCAGACGACAAATATACAAACTAAAATAGAAGAAGCATCTCTATTTCGACTTTTAATCTATGGCCTTTCCGCACGTTTATTTTCCAAAAATTTCATATTCAAGCGATATGTCGTGACACACTTATTCATGGTTTTGTTTAATGTTGGACAATTATTATCTAACGATTAATTGGACTACTTATGGAATACATCATAAAAATTCATTATTGTTGCTTAGTTTAGAATGAACCTTGCAACTTAATTTATGTTCGATTTGCAAGTGGAGTTGTCGTAGCGACAGCTCGTAGATTCGAGCACTCTATTGGCTGCTGCTCAATTGGTAGTTTTCAGGAGCCAATAGGAAGTTCAGTTTTAATTATTATTATCCCCACTCTTTCTAAACTTTGCTAGAGCTGCATCCGGTTGTTACCATATCCTTTAATCAGTGTAACATGGCCGCTCATGTGGCTTTTCGGGCTACTGAGTTCTTTGATTTTTGTGTAATGATTGAATAATTGTTTGTCGTTGTTATTAATAAAATGTACAGACTTCTTAAGTTGCGTGGTGCATCCTTTCACTATTCTTATACAACGTCCGTGCACGCCAACGTACAACAGTCTAGCCATGTGTGCTCTTTCTGCAAGTTTACTCACAGAAAAACGCCGACACGTAAGTTTTATTTGTTTTTGAGCGGTATCGTTTGCTTATGTATATAAAATAATTTTAGTACTATTATTGAACTTATGTAATCATATCGTTTACTTAGTTCAATGTTTATTTAATGTGATTATTACTTGCGCAATTTATTCTTTTTCTACCTGCGCGTGTACTATGTATTTTCGAGATCATTTGTTGTTTTTATTTATATTTTTATTAAATTTTTATTAGGCTGCTCGGTATAGTATATTGTGGACGTGGTAATATTAGTTTTTTTTTTTAAACTATACCTTTTTGTCTGTCAATTTGAGTCAAGATTTTTTAAAAATTCATATCTTTCTTGAAAGCTACTTGGGATATTCTTGTCAGTTATATATTTATGTTTGATTTTGCATTATTATTTTATATTAATAATTGCTTTTTAATGTTGAATCTGTGTAATATTGGATAGCTGTCAGTTTTGTGTCGACTCGACAACGATCAACTACTATAAACATGGCAATACACAATAATCCTGTGAAGAAGAAAGTGAAGAAGAGAATGAAGAAGTATGCGGAACTTTTAGAAAGTAATACTTTTTGCTTAATATCTAAAGATAGCCTCTTTGTTGTATTATCAAATAGGTATTTAATATTATATTTTTATAGTTACTGAATCCACAACAAGTAATAGAAAAGCTGCCATTCAGACATTCAATGCATCACAAATGTCGATGTTAGTTGATAGACCTGAAATCGATTTAGATGAATTGCACAAAATAAAGAATTCTAAGAGAAATTCATCTTTTAATGCAAGCAGTAACTCATACTTTATGGTAAATATTTAATAGACGTTAATTTCAAATCTGCACGAATTTCCTGGATTCATTAAAGCTATACAATGCCATTCTGTTCATTCAGGATAAACATAAGGTTAGCCAAGTGCCAGAAGTATTAACTGATGAGCATAAAAAAGAGGAAGAAGATGATTGTGTGTTGGAAGATCTGGAAGCATCAGGCATTTCGGACCAAGGTCAAGTCATTAAGAATGTAGCGCTTATGGAGTCATTGGAAGTAAATAGTTGCGTAGATCATACGACAACCGAAGAAGCAGCGTCAGATGTAAACTCATGGTATGTTTATAGGAATAATTAAATCATCAAAGAATCCCGTAATCTAATCCATTCAATATACATTAATTATTCACAGCACAAGTAAACAGAGGAGCAGGTTGAAAAAGGAGCAGAACGAGTTGTTGATTAAAGAGAAAATCAGTGAGATAAATCTGAAAATGAAGGAAGAAGCTCTAAGGAGAAACTTATGCGCTTTTATTAACGTTTGCATTAACTCTGAAATGTTATCCAGAGCGTTTGGTACATTGATGCGATACAGAAAGCAAGGATTGAACGTTTCAAACATACCACTTGTTAGTCAAGTCTCACTTTACGAAGAATTGATGAATAACTTTGCAAGAACTACAAATACGGACAGAATAGTGGATATGTTGAATGCAATAGAACAGGACAATTTACCTGTTAACGAGCAAATTCTGGCAGCAGTCTTGGAATGCATCGCGCGAAAGAAGCACTCAATTTTAGATAAAGGTGACTCTAGTAAGATAATTCTAAGAAATTAAATAATATGCAATACTTAATATGCTTTGTTTACCACGGGAATAAGGCTGGCACCGCCACAGAGCTCTAAATTTTTAATTAGGGCACTTAATTAGCTCTTAAATCCACTGTGGCGATTCCAACTTTTTTGTTGAGCTAGCACCACCATAGGTTTTGACTGAAAGAGGTCAAGCTCTAAAATTGTCATTAGAGCACTTAATTAGCTCCTAAATAGCTCCTAACTTTACAATATATTTTATTTTCAATTTCACCACTGTGGCAGTTTCAGCTTTACTGACATCTATTTTCCCATAGAACTTCTTGAGGTGGTGAAACGTCATATGCAGAAATCGAATATCACATATGACGCCATAATGAACGAAGTCAAATTCCTAAAAGACCAGCAAGATTATGTTATAAAGGCGATACGCTTTATAAACCCAAACTATGTGCCTACGTATCATCCACCAGATACAAATTACGAATCTAGTCTTCTGAATAATATATCTGAACAGCCTGAAGTCAAATGTAGTCCTGCAGCTGGTTTATTTACCAAGGAGAATTTACTTAACAGACTTCAGGCACAAGTAAAGGCCGAAGTAATTGGACACGTGGAAATAATCAGTGTAGAAAAACAAAGTGCAATTACAGAAGAAACAACAAAGGCTGTAAGTATTACCATTATTTTATTTCCAATTATTTTACAATTCATATCGATAGATGACCCTGGCTTCGTATTGGGTTCGAATAGAGAAGGCAGATACAAATTTTGGAAAGCATGTGGCACGCTGCAACAAAGGAGGCATTTCTGAGAGAATTTAATTCGCTGAAAAAGCGTGAGATACAACAATCTAATTTGATAATGTTGCATCCTTATTTACAAGTCTTGAACTCAGATGAATATGTTAATGCCATTATTCGAGCTGGCAAACAATTAGCTCAAGGATCAGAAACTTTTAGTCCTTCGTTGTCCGTGCTTTATCGTGAGTTGGGTCAAAGAATTTTCATGAAGTATGAGGTAAGATTTACGCTAAATAATTTATATTTATTTCGTTAAAAAGTCTCGCTAACATTATAAACAAATATTTTGTTAGATCATGATCAAAAACCGTAATGGAGTTATGGACAAGACACTTAGTCTCTACTCGCAATATTGTGACTGGTATTTAACTGGGAAGGACTACCCAAATAGTCGTACAGCCTGGCAAAATTTAGAACATAAAAATCGAACTAGTGGTGTGAATCCAAACATTGCAACCGTACAATGGCCAGTTAATATTTTGAGCGAAGTCGGAAAGTTCTTATACAGTATTATTCTTAAGGATTTAAAATTTAACGTGAAGGGACTAAAAGCAAACGAGAAGTCACGGCATTTTCTTCCAGCATTTTACACATTGTTCCGAATACAGGGTCGTCTTGTTAAGCACGAAGTGAGTAAAATTCATTTATCGATGAATAATCAATATATGTATATATCATCACCAAGGATCGTTCCTTTATTTACATATCTTTTATTAAACAGATCAAACCGCATCCGCTTCTCGCGAAACTTTATCGAGACTCCAGACCTGAGACTTTGACTTTCAATACGGATCTTATTCCATCACAATGTCCTCCACGTCCCTGGATTTCAACACAAAGTAGCGGTTATATATTGTCTAAAACTACTCTTATAAGACTTCCACACAGCGCTGTAAGTCAAATTGCCTAATTCAATCTTAGTTTATCGAACAATCATTTTATGATACTACATTTTAGATACAACAAAGAGCTAGAATTGAATCTATTCCTCCGAAACAAATATATCCAGCTTTGGATAGTTTGAATCAACTTGGTAGTATACCGTGGACTGTCAACAATTCAGTACTCGACATCGCCATTGAGGTAAATATAACCTTGCTTCTATATTTTCTTTCAAAAGTTTCAAAAGAGTTTCTCAGGTTTTCATATATTTGTGTTCCACAGGTATTCCAAAATGGGGGTTCAGAAGAGTTAAATATAGCTCGACCACCGTCTGTTCTAACACCTCCGCCAATGCTAAGTTCAGATGCTGACAAAGCGGAAAGGAAACGCGTACAAAATTTAAGATTATTGTACAAACGACAGAAAAATGAAATGTATTCTTTATGGTGTGATACATTGTATAGATTGTCCCTTGCTAATCACGTGAGTATTTTAGTCTCATCGGACGATAAGATTTTATTTGAATTAACTGGACTGTTTAAGAAAATTTTTAATAGTTTAGGGGAGATATATTTTGGCTGCCACATAACATGGACTTTAGAGGACGTGTCTATCCTATGCCACCTCATTTAAATCACTTAGGATCTGATCTAGCTCGATCACTACTTGTATTCGCTAAAGGAAAACCTTTAGGTCCGAATGGACTCGATTGGTTGAAAATCCATACGATAAATTTGACAGGATTTAAAAAACGATCTCCCATCGAGGAGCGTCTTAGATATGCCAATGAAATCTTAGATGATATTTTGGATAGCGCCAACAAACCTCTCACTGTAAGTCTTTGCTGTATGAAATAGGTGTCCGAAGAAGTGAAAAGATTCAAGCTCAAATATTTTCTTACGTATATTCGCATTTTTAGGGAAAGAAGTGGTGGACCACTTCGGACGAGCCATGGCAAACGCTGGCTGCTTGCAAGGAAATCGCTCAAGCTTTAAAAAGCGAAGATCCTGCTCAATATTTGAGCAGATTTCCTATTCACCAGGATGGAAGCTGCAACGGTCTTCAACATTACGCTGCTCTTGGTAGAGATCAGATCGGTGCTGCGAGTGTAAATTTGTATCCCGCCGATACACCTCAGGATGTCTACAGTACCGTGGCCGCTATGGTAACTGTCTTTCCATTTTCTATTACCTCAATTGCACAAGCTGGATTTTTGACAATTGCAATATTACAGATCGATGATATACGAAGGAAGGAGGCTAGTCAGGGTCTGGAGATAGCACAAGTGCTGGAAGGCTTTATCAGAAGGAAGGTCGTGAAACAAACAGTAATGACGACCGTTTACGGCGTCACAAGATTCGGTGCCAGACTTCAAATTGCAAGGCAATTGAAGGGTAATATTGTCTGCTAACAGGACATATCATTTATAAGTTTAGCTTGGATACTGTCTTATCTGGCAAATCTTGTCTTTTTACAGATATAGAAGATTTTCCGCAAGAGCACGTATGGGACGCGAGCTTGTATTTGGTCAACAAAACTTTCGACAGTTTACGAACAATGTTCAAGAGTGCACGAGAGATACAAGATTGGTTAACCGAATGCGCTCGTCTTGTTTCTCAAGTAACCGGACAATACGTTGAGTGGATAACGCCATTGGGATTGCCTGTGCTACAGCATTATAGTAAAACTCATAATCGTTTGGCTTCGATCAAGATTCACCAGCTGCTATCCATGGAATCTAACGAGTGGGTTCTTGAATCGGAGAAAGATTTTATTTTTCGTTCAATCATAAAATTCCGAAAGTTCCCGTGGAGCAAGACCCACGATACTTGGATAATCCTTATTAATCTGTGATTGCAGGAGACCTAATACGTTGAAGCAGAAGAACGCATTTCCACCCAACTTTATTCACTCCTTGGACTCGACTCATATGATGCTGACGAGTTTATATTGCGAACGTGCTGAGATCACGTTTGTTTCTGTACACGATTGCTTCTGGACACACGCCTGCGATGTAGAAATCATGAATAGGGTATCTATTATTACAGTTGGCTAATGATTTTCTATACCATTGGTACTTTTTATTATTTCTTATTATGCCTGTTCCCTTATTGCAGATATGCAGGGAACAATTCGTTGCACTTCACTCGCAACCAATTTTACAGAACCTCTCGGAGTTTATGCTACAGAAATATGCATATAGGCCGGAGTACGTGTTCTCATCGTGATACAACTCATATACCTCGTATATTTGTTTTTGTCACTAATAAATTAATTATTCATAAATTATTTGCAGGCAAATGGATAAAACGTCATCGTTGTTGAATAAATCGAAAATGAGGCTGAATTTTACTTTGGGGGATGTGCCGACGACTGGTGACTTTGATCTCAATAGCGTCTTGAAGTCTGTTTACTTCTTCAGTTGAAGCACCGGGATCGTGTGGTGTTAGGAGATCGTGCAGTAGTTATTAGGGTAAACGAACTGTTGTAAGTTCTGCAATCTTATTTGACAGGCAAGTATAATATTGTACGGTAAAGAGATCGCAGTCACTATCTTCAAAATTTCATCAAATTTGACTTTGTACATTGCGTTTATAAGAAAAGTATGAATAGTCTTGGAATCATGAGGAAAAGTTTAAATAAAAAAGGCGATTACATTTTAAAGTAAAGCGTTTATCATCGATCGTGTTAATATCGTCTAAACGTTTCTGAGAATAAAGGTTATAAAAGAAAATGTAATTTCTTATTCATCCTCAGCTAAGATATCGGGTGGTTTGGTACAGTCTGAGCGAGAAATAAAAAAATACCTGGATAGTGGTTCTTCAAGATGAAAGATTCAAGTCAGTCATAAGTTCCGCACTCTTAACCAGAACATATCTGCCCAAGGGTTAGATCTTTAATTAATTACATTAATGAGATTAGATATTAACACTTAAAAGTCCGAAATCATGGTCATGAATATTTGGAAGTACTGAAAGGTGCTAAAATGTGGGTGCGCGCGAATTTGTCGCACAGGACTCTGCGAGTGGGAGGGAAAACGGGTAGTGGGGAGAGCGCTTAAGACTCAGGACTCTGAGCACTCATTCTTCCTGGAGCCGGTCTCCTACACTGGTGTCTCTTGGAAGCACTCCTCTTATCTATTTCCAACCTTCTTCCTTTTCTGTATTTATTTTTTCTTTGCTTCCTCATTTCTTTATCTTTCATTCATTACTATCTCTAGTTTTCTACTTCTTGATTTCTTTATTTCTATCTTCATTCCTCTCTTCTCGTTTGACTCTCTGCTCTCTCACTGTCTACTGTGCTTGCCTTGCTGGTCCTATTCCTTTTTGGTCGGCTCGAGCATATTCATTCGAGTAGCCATATATAAGGGTAGTCACCCTGTTAGAGTAGCTACACGAACAGACCATGGTGCGCTGAGCTTGCTCAGTGGGTCGGACACAAGTTGTGGCCGCAACTGGACCTTATGGGTCTCCCGACGGGGACCTTGAGCTCCCTTAGGGTATCTACGGATATGGCGTTTTATAGACTGAATCTAATCAGAGATCTGATCTAATCACGCCTGTTAATTCAAGGCCACTTTCAGATCCTGACACTTCCTTAGCATAGCACAATGATAAGGATAACACAAGTAACAGAAAGTACATATCTTTAATGCTTTTATTTTAATGATCTTGGATTTTATACAACATCCAGACAATGATCTTGGCTTATAAATATTAATATTACTAGATCAGTTAACGCGGCTATTTCAAGTTTCTCTTCTGTTCTCCAACTTCATATAAAATGCAGGTATTCTTAATTACATAATTTTTAAGAGTCAACTCCTACCAAAAGACGAAACTTGAATTAAGAAGTTTACATGTTGGTGTGGGCGGCACTTCGCAAGTGCAGTTCACTCTGGGTGAATCATAATCTGTAGATGGACTAAGTTGATCCCCGATATTCATTGTCAAATCGCCGAATTTGCAGGTCGGATCTTCTAGAGAAAAGAAAAGAAATTAATAAAATTTCCAAGGATATCCAACTGCCTTGATCTAGCAGAGCGAATGAAATTTACCAGTTTCTCCGGAATGGTTCTCTGCAGGGGATGCGGAGTTATTCGGATTTGATATTACAGTATCGTTGAAATAAAAACAATTCCGGAGGGCGGGTTCACTCAAATAAATAATTCAAGTACAATTACGAGTCCTGCACCCTTAAGCATGTACAAATCTGCCAAGAGGGACCGGATATTTATTTATTGCTCATGTTTTAATATTCTTTAGTTCTTAGCTGCTAATAAACAACAACATTCGCAGCTCAGTCGAATTTCGCTTACAAGTCTACTCAAAGTTTTTATTCACTTCTAGAACTTCAAATAGAATTCAACGACTCTCTATATTATATATTCAAAGTCATTTTCCACCCAGAGAAATATTTGCTTAAAAGCAATTATAATAATCAATTTTACAAGTTGGTGTAGGCGGCACTTCGCAAACGCATCTCGCGCAGTTTGGATAGTTGTATATGTTTTGACTTAGCTCGTCCCCGATATTCATGGTCAGGTTGCCAAATTTACAGATGAGATCTTAGAGAAAGAAAAAGAAAAGAAAATCAAACCAATTACCAATAACATTCGACTGCTTTAAACCTTTTAGTGTCATGGCCGATCGACATATACATTTCTAAAAATAGATACATCGGCCTGTGGCAATAAAAGTGTTAATCAAATAGGACACGTGGAATTTACCTTCTTCACCAGAAGAGTTTTCATCAGGGGCTGTAGGTCCAATTGCATTTGAAATTACAGTATCGTTTGCGTTTTCTAAAATACAAAACCATTATGCACGATACTGATTGACAATCTACTCATCTATTATCTTATTGAGGAAAACTTACGACGACGCCAATAGTTAGTACAACTGATAGCAGAATTTCCATATGGGCGGTATATTGGTGCATTTTTATTGGCAATGTCTATATTTTCATAGTATTCTATACCGCACCTGATTCCCGTTGTTATACAGAATGGTTCAATATTATCACCTGAATGATCAGAGTAGCAAAATTAAAAACAATATAACAAGGTGATCCGAAATAACTCCAGATCTTAACGAGTCCGCCTTGCAATCATAAATACCCTTATAGCCTTCTTGACAGACGCACCATTTCCATGGCTCCTTGATTGGTTTGAAGGATTGTCCATCCCTGTACCTATACCTATCCACAATGCACTGTGGAATCTCCGAATCGTTTTTAGCTAAAATAAAAGAAAAGCCATTACTTGTATTTCATTTCAAGTGATAACAGACGCCTTTCCGATATCAAAATAATATGATAATATATTCAAGTAAGCAGATGATATATTACTTACGGCAAGTTGGTATTCCTGGACCACATTCATGAATGTTACGTTTCAGGTAACAACTGACGTCAAAGTGGGGATCATATTCATAGCTGATGTCGAAGCACCAGAATCTTGTTCTTTAAATTAATTTCAATTATTCATTTATAATTATTAAACTGTTCAGACGATTATTTCTTACTTACGAGTTTTTTCCAGATACACAGACACATGCCTTGTCACAAAATTTTATATCTTCCTGACTTGCAAATTCTCCAATCTCATAGCTCCTGTCCTTAATGTAACACTTATTTGGTGATCTAGCATATAAATGGTCACAGTTGTATTTGTAGGCGCAACAGTCTCCTTCGTTCTTGTACACAGGAGTGCATCCCACGTCATTGTAATATATCAGCGGTCCTGGACACTGTACCTGAGAACAATCTTCAATTTCTTTTTGTGAGACTGGTTTTACTTTGATATGGAATCACATTAGGTGATGCTTTTTATTAAATTTGTTACTGTACTACTAATCAACTAATTAATGACTCACTCTGCTTAGTCTCCTCAGTCGAAGCGAAGACGAAGAAACAGAGAAATACTTGGAGCAGGTGGAAAGTTCTGTCACGTCCGTCCATGATTTGGCTGATGTTTACATTGAAGCTCGTGAAGCTGTGCTTGTGTCTGTTATAAGAACTTTTGGTGTGGTTGGAGAAGTGGGGACGGAATCTGCTAAAAGCGGAAGATATCAGTGCTTACCGTATCCAGGAAGTGACCGATATCATACGGACACTGGGAATTTCACTTGAGACTTGACGTTTAGACTATGAGACATATTTTCCATTACCTTGTCTAATGAAATTTGAATGCAAACAGTAAATGCGCATCGGTTAAAACTTTGTGAATCTTAGATTTAGTATGTAGATTGAGGACAGTTGATATTAATTTCATTATCGGTATGAAGGAACGTGCTAACAGCTTCCGTGAGTTTTTACAATTTTATCTGAGAGATTAAACTTACACGTGAAACTCATCACAGTCACTATGTTCAAGGTTAACCCACTATATTGGAATCACGAAAAGGAACGTTTAAGAAAAAAAGTCAGTTACATTTTAAAGTCATGCGCATATTGTCGACCGCGTTAATCTTATCTGAACGTTTTTTAGTCTAATAGCTATCAAAAAAAAAAAAAATTATGTATCCAACCTGACAGAAGCTGGCAGGCGATTAGATAAACAATTACGTTAATCTTTCTTTCGGTAGCGTGATTTTTAGCGAGCAAAATAAAAAATTTCGGAAAGTGGGTTCTTACAAATAAAAACTTCAAGTGCAATCACGAGTCCTGCACCCTTAAGCCAGGACAAATCTGCCAAGAGGGACCAGTATATTTCTTTATTGCTCATGTTTTAATATTCTTCAGTTCTTAGCTGCTAATAAACAACAACATTCGCAGCTCAGTCGAATTTCGCTTACAAGTCTACTCAATGTTTTTATTCACTTCTAGAACTTCAAATAGAATTCAGCGACTCTCTATATTATATATTCAAATACATTTCCCACCCAGAGAAATATTTGCTTAAAAGCAATTAGAATAATCAGTTTTACAAGTTGGTGTAGGCGGCACTTCGCAAATGCATCTCATACACCTCGAATCGTCTCCATTTCGACTAAGCTCGTCCCCGATATTCATGGTGAGGTTGCCAAATTTGCAGGTCAGATCTTAGAGAAAAAAAGAAAAGAAAATCAAACCAATTGCTAATAACATTCAACTGCTTTAAACCTTTTACTGTCATGGCCGATCGACATATACGCTTCTAAAAATAGATATATCGGCCTGTGACAATAAAAGTATTAATCAAACAAAACAAATGGAATTTACCTTCTCCACCAGAAGAGTTTTCTTCAGAGGCTCTGGGTCCATTTGGATTTGGTATTACAGTATCTTCCGCGTTTTCTAAAATACAAAACCATTATACACGATACTGATTGACACTCTATTCATCTATTATCTTATTAAGGAAAACTTACGACGACGCCAACGGTTAGTACAACTGATAGTAGGATGTTCAGTCACGTCGTATACTGGTGCATTTTTATTGGCGATTTCCTTATTTTGATAGTATTCTACATCGCACCTGATTTCCGATATTGCACAGAATGGTTCAAAATTACCATCTGGATAATCAGAATAGCAAAATTAAAAACAATATAACAAGGTGATCCGAAATAACTCCCGATCTTAACGGGTCCGCCTTGCAATCATAAATACCCTTATAGCCTTCCTGACAGATGCACCATTTCCATGGCTCGTTCTTTGGTACGAAGGTTCTTCCGGCCATATACGTATACCCATCCACAACGCACCGTGGAATCTCCGATTCGTTTTTATCTAAAATAAAAGAAAAGCCATTACTTGTACTTCATTTCAAATGATAACAGACGCCTTTCCGATATGAAAATAATATGATAATATATTCAAGTAAGCAGATGATATATTACTTACGGCAAGTTGGTATTCCTGGACCACATTCATAAATGTTACGTTTCAGGTAACAACTGGGGTCAAAGTCGAAACCATAATCATAGCGGATTTGGAAGCACCAGAATCCTGTTCTATAATATAATTTCAATTATTCATTTATGATTATTAAATTTTTCAGACGATTATTTCTTACTTACGACTCCCTTCCAGTCACACAGGCACATTTCTTGTTACAAAATTTTATATCTTCACGATTTACAAATTCTCCAGCTTCATAGCTCCTGTGCTTAATGTAACACTTATTTGGTGATCTAGCATCTAGATGGTCACAGTTGTATTTGTAGGCGCAACAGTCTCCTTCGTTCTTGTACACAGGAGTGCATCCCACGTCATTGTAATATATCAGCGGTCCTGGACACTGTACCTGAGAACAATCTTCGATTTCTTTCCGTGAGACTCCTTTCTTTTTAATATACAGTCGCACAGGAAAGGCTTCCAATTAATTTGTTACTGCATTACTAATCAACTAATTAATGACTCACTCTGCTTAGTCTCCTCAGTCGAAGCGAAGACAAAGAAACAGAGAAATACTTGGAGCAGGAGGAAAGTTCTGTCACGTCCGTCCATGATTTGGCTGATGTTCACATTGAAGCTCGTGAAGCTGTGCCTGTGTCTGTTATAAGAACTTTTGGCGTGGTTGGAGAAGTGGGGACGGAATCTGCTAAAAGCGGAAAGATATCAGGGCTTACCGTATCCAGGAAGTGACCGATATCATACGGACACTGGGAATTTCACTTGAGACTTGACGTTTAGACTATGAGACATATTTTCCATTACCTTGTCTAATGAAATTTGAATGCAAACAGTAAATGCGCATCGGTTAAAACTTTGTGAATCTTAGATTTAGTATGTAGATTGAGAACAGTTGATATTAATTTCATTATCGGTAGGAACGAACGTGCTAACGGCTTTCGTGGGTTTCTACAATTTAATCTGAGAGTCGAGTCTAAACTTACACGAGAAACAGATCACAGTCACTCTGTTCAAAGATATACTGACTATTTTGGAATCACGAAAAAGAACGGTACAGTAAAATCGTCAATTACATTTTCACTTGCGCATATCATCGACCTTATTCATTTTATCTGAACTTTTTCTGTCTAAAGTTTATCGAAAAAAATATATTTTATATCCATCCTGACATAAGCTGGCGGGCGAGATAAAGTTTGAGCGAAAGAGGAAAATAAACAATTGCGTTGATGCTCCTGTTCGGTAGCTTGATTTAGATCGAGCAAAATATTAAAAAATTCTGGAGTTCGGGTTCTCTCAAATAAATAATTCAAGTAGAATGACGAGTCCTGCACCCCTTAAGTCAGAACAAATCTGCCAAGAGGGACCAGAATATTTATTTATTACTTATGTTTTAATATTCTTCAGTTTTTGGCTTCTCCTAATCATCAATGTTCGCAGCTCAGTCAAATTTTGCTAACAAATTCACTCAAAGTTCTTCTTTACTTCTCAAGCTTCAAATAAAATACAAAAATTCTCTATAATATATGTATATTCAGAGTCATTTTCTACCCGGAGAATTATCTGCAGAATTGCAATCATGGTCATTAAGACGTTTACACGTTGGTGTAGGCGGCACTTGGCAAATGCATCTCATGCACCTCGAATCGTAGTCTCCATTTCGACTAAGCTCGTCCCCGATATTCATGGTGAGGTTGCCAAATTTGCAGGTCAGACCTTATAGAAAAAAATAAAAGAAAATCAATCCAATTGCTAATAACATTCAACTGCTTTAACTCTTTCACTGTCACGGCCGATCGACATATACGCTTCTAAAAAATGATATATCTGCCTGTGGCAATAAAAGTATTAATCAAACAAAACAAATGGAATTTACCTTTTCCACCAGAACAGTTTTCTTTAGAGGGTGTGGCTCCATTTGGATTTGGTATTACAGTATCATTCGCGTTTTCTAAAATACAAAGACACCATAGATAACAATTATGGACACTCGATTGATTTATTATCTTTTGGGTCAAACTTACGGCAGCGCCAAGATGGACTACAGCTGGTAGCAGGATTTTGATCAGAGTCGTACGTTGGGGCACATTTATTGGCAATGTCTTCATTATGATATAAGTCTGTACTGCATCTGGTGCTCGGTGTTATGCAGAATGGTTCGATATTATCACCTGAGTAATCAGAGTTGGAAAATTCAGCAAATATATAACAAGATGATCCATAATAACTCCAGATCCTAATAAGGCCGTCCTGAAACTATAAATACCCGTATAGCCTTCCTGACACGAGCACCTTTTCCGTGGCTCATTCTTTGGTGTGAAGAATTCTCCTCCCTTGTACGTCACACCATCCACAACGCACTCTGGAATCTGCGATCCATTTTTAGCTACAATAAAAGAAAAATCATTAGTAATATTTCGTTCCAAGTGATAACAGTCGTCTTTTGTATCAAAGCGGTACGATAATACATTCAAATAAGCAAATCATATATTACTCACGACAAATTACCGGTCCTGGACAACATTGACTAACGTTACGGCCCAGGTAACAACCGTCGCCAACAGGGGGAATAAAACAGCGCACCATGGCGCAATTGAAGCGTGCTCTGTAAATTGATATTAATTAATTCCACGTGACAATTAAATTGATCGGAATTGTATTCTCACGTACGAAGTAGCTCCGTCGCCGCAGTAACATCCAAGAGCACAAGGGTTGTTATCATCGTGCCCATAAGATTCGTCAATTTCGTAGCTTCTGTGCTTAATGTAACACTTATTTCGTGATCTAGCATCTAGATGGCCACAGTTGTATTTATAGGCACAGCAATCTCCTTTTTTCTTGTACACAGGAGTGCATCCCACATCCTCGTAGTACGTCAGTGGTCCTTGGCACAGCACCTGAGAACAATCTTCAGTTTCTTTCTGTGAGACTCCTTTCTTTTTAACATACAGTCGCACAAGTCAAGCTTCCAGTTTATTTGGTACTGCACTATAACCAACTGATTAATGACTCACCTTGCTTGTTCTTCCCAGTCGAAGCGAATACAATGAAACAGAAAAATACTTGGAGCAGGAGGAAAGTTCTGCCGTGTCCGTCCATGATTTGTGTAGATGTTCACATTGAAGCGCACAAAACTGTACCTGCACCTTTTATATGAATCTATGGTACGAATGAAAGAGGGGGTAAGTCCGAGGATGTCAGTGTCGCTCACATGCGAAGAGTAAATGGTAGAACATTGATTCTAGGAAGCCCATCGCAGAATTGGAGATGTTTTTGCTAAAAAAATAAGAGAAAATAACATTTTGATTAAGAAAATTTATGTTTTCTCACCTTGTGATATCAAGTGTAAAGGATAAATTCGCATTAGTATACAGCAGTGGATGTCATTTTTATCAGTTGCAACTGCGACGCGTTACTCTGCATTAGTAATTACATCTTATGATTTTATCTCAATTCCTGAGAGAAGTGCAAAATTTTCACTTTATCGTTGAATTGTAATTAACAACTGTTTTTCGTTAACTGGGTCGTCGACCGGATATGACAGCTGTGTAATGATTTCTGTATCGTTTGCAATTGACATTGGATATTGTCAGGAAAAACCTGTCCTTCCCAAGACTTTATCAAGATTATCTTAATGGAATTATTCAAGCTGTTCAAGCTGAATTATTCACCTGTGTCCGGATGACTTAAATTGTTTAATCGTTTTGTTAGGGATAGTGTTAAATGTAAGTGCACCATTGTGACATCAAGATAATAAATGACTGAATATACATATGGAATTAAGGAATAACAAAAATCGTTCGCTTAATTATCCTTGTAATAATTAATACAGATAATAAAGAGCGATTAAATAAATAATTGATGTTCCTTTTTTTGTTATCAGCCTTATCGATCTGGAACCATGAAACTATTGTATAATAAATCAATTCATATTTCATGTCTGAGTATGCTTCGTTTTCTGCTATGTATTATAATAAGTTGTAATTATAAGTTTTAACTTGACCAAATAAACGGTTGAAAAATATATATTTATTCTGTTCACAATGACAGATGTTAATCCATCTCTGCAATCGCTCTGTGGATCATCTGCAGTTATATGATTTGTCTTAATTATTTTTCAGCGTAATATTGATAATTTAAAAAAAAACACTTCCCATTACACCGTTTTCTCAGTACCATTTGAATCAATGAATTTTTTCTCAGGTGTATCATTATTATGTCAATTAATTTCAAACAGACGTCATCAAAGGAAGAAATAGTTTCTTACAAGCTTCGGAATTATGTAGTCGTTATTTACAAAATTAAAACCTGGCATTCCTCTGAGCATCTTCCTGTTCCATAATTCCTGATTGCGCCATGAAAAATGTCAACTTGCGAACTGCAAATGTATTTGAAATATCATTATTTACCAGTATGACGAGCCGACTGGACCCACGTTATTATCAATATCATTAAAGAACTGAAATTTCTCTATGGTAAGGGTGATCCAGAGTTTAACAATACCGCCAACGAGAAGACTCTTAAGTTGCATGAAATTCTGGTGAATCTGAAAACCGAACAGCATCGATTTACCAGGTATGTAATCATATCGAGTTTACACATTTTAGCATTCCTATTGGCACTGTCAGGTATGCGCGATTTTGTTACGGATTGTCTGGGCTTGCTGGCTGGTAAGGAATGTTTTCACGCAAAACACGGCCATCAAAATAGGAATATATTACATATTTATATAAAGATAACTCACAGCGCCAAACACGGGGAAGCGGTAGCCCGATTTGCTCGACGTGTTCAGTCGGTAACAAAGGAGGACGACTCAATACGTAACACCGGGTATCTTTTTCTTCTCCTTACAGTTTCCATCTCGTAAATGAGATGCATCAGCTATCATAGAGTTAAGAAGAGATTCCCGTTATAGAGATTGAGTGCTGTAGCAGATGTGATGAGCCACTTCGGACTTACCAACACTGGCGGACTGACTGCTTGGGGTAAATTTGGCATCTGTCGTCTGTTGGGTATTGAATCTAAACTTTCACAAAGTTTCTTTATTTTACCAATAAAATTAGGAATTAAAGAATTTTTAAAGTCGTGGAAAAAACGCTCTAGTCTGTTTTAGTTAAACTTTTGTGTCATATTCCAGAAGTTTTGAAAAGTGGAGACATTGTCTAATGTTTGAGCAATTTCGTTAATTGTTTTGATGGAAGCTGCGATGGTCTACGGCATTAAACTGATCTTGACAGAGATCAGATCGATCCCGAGTATTTATAGTAAATTTGTTTCTGGCTGACACCTCAAGATGTCTACATTACCGTAACTGATGTGGCAACTGTGTTGCCTGTTTTTATCTACATTCAGTGGGTTATGATGTTCTTTACTATTTTCTGTGTACTTCTTTCTTCTGTTGCAGATATCCAGGGAACAATTTGTTGCGTTTCACGCGCAACCAGTTTGACATAACCTCAGGACAGAGTACGTGATTTTATTGATGCAATTTATGAAATGGCGTGGACATAGCAGGATATCCAGTAAGCGAAATGCATTGTGTATAAGAAAAATGAAAGAAGTAATGGAAAGTATAGGTATTTCTTTCTTGTTTATGTTTTGATATTCTTTAATTTTATACAGATTGTTACGAACACGATCTTTGGCGTATAATAAATATTAATATTAGTAGCTCAGTAATGTGTGATTAACAAGTCTACTTCAAGTTCTTCCTTACTAATGTATATATTTTAAGAGTTAATTTCTACCCGCAGTAAGGTTGCAGTCACTAAGGCGTCGACACGTTGGTGTAGGTGGCACTTCGCAGACGCATCTCACGCAGACTGAAGTGTAATCTGTACCTTGATTAAGTTCGTCCCCAAGATTCATGGTCAAGTTACCGAATTTGCAGGTCATATCTTTTATAAAAAAGAAAAGAAGAACAATTAAATTCAACGATTAAATTGCCAAGGATATCCAGTTGCCTTAATCTGGTAGAAGAAATGAAATCTACCTTTTTTGCCGGGACAGTCTTCTCCACAGGATGGGGATCCACTTGGATTCGGTATTACAGTATCGTTCGCGTTTTCTAAAACACAAAAACATTATACACAACAATAATGGACACTCTATTGATTTGTCATCTTACTGCGAAAAACTTACGACATCGCCAAGATGAACTACAATTGGTAGCAGGATTTTGATCAGCGTAATATATTGGAATACATTTCTTGGCAATATCCTGACTGTGATACAAATCAGTACTACACGTGGTGCTCGGCGTTATGCAGAATGGCTTAATATTTTGACCTGGACAATCAAAGTTGGCAAAGTAAAAAAAATATAATCGAGCGATTGGAAATGACTCCAGATCTTAAAAATGCTCCTTGCAATTGTAAATACCTGTATAGCCTTCCCGACACGTGCACCTTTTCCGTGGCTCATTCTTTGGTATGAAGAATTCCCCATCCTTGTACGTTACACCATCCACAACGCACTTTGGAATCTCCGATTCATTTTTAGCTACGGTAAACGAAAAACCATTACTCGGTATTCATTTCGAGTGATAACAGACGTCTTTCTGGTATCAAAATAATATGAGAACATATTAAAATAAGCATTTAGTATATTACTCACGACAAGTCAACGGTCCTGGACAACACTGGCTTATGTTACGTTTCATGTAACAACCTGTGTCAATAGGACCGTGATAACAGTCCACGATGGCGCATACGAAACGACCTCTGTTAATTAATTTAAATTAATCACACGTGATAATAAAACTGTTCAGACAAATAATTCTTACTCACGAATTTGTTCCGTTCTTGCAGAAACATCCTACGTTGCATGGATTCTTATCTTCGGGCCTGAGACGTTCTCCAAATTCATAGCTGTTACGCCTAACGTAACACTTATTACGTGATCTAGCATTTAGATGGTCACAATTGTATTTGCAGGCACAACAATCTCCTTTGTTCTTGTACACGGGAGTGCATCCCACATCATCGTAGTACGTCAGTGGTCCTGGGCACTGTACCTGAGAACAATCTTCAATTTCTTTCTGTGAGACTCGTTTCACTTTAATATACAAGCACATTAGGTGAGGCTTTTAATTAATTTTGTTACCCTAATAATCAACTAATTAATGACTCACCCTGTTTAGTCTCGTCAGTCGAAGCGAAGACAAAGAAACAGAAAAATATTTGGAGCAGGAGCAAAGTTCTGCCATGTCCGTCCATGATGTGGCTGATGTTCACATTGAAGCACACAGAACTACACCTGCATCTTTTATATGAAATTTTGATGCGAATAGCAGAAGAGGGGATGAAATGGATTAAAAGTGGAAGGATATCAGTATTTCTCTTATACGGAGAGTGACGGATGTAATATAGACACTGGGAAGTCCACTGCAATATTTAAAACGATTACGTTTTTATGAAAAAAAATATTTTTTCTTCTCGCCTCACGAAACCAAATGCAAACAGTAGATGCGTCGGTATAAAACTGTGTGATAATTCTTAGGTTTAACATATAGATTAAGAGCAGTGGATAACATTTTTATCAGTTGCAAGTGCAACGAGTCACTCTGTATTTGCAGTTACATATGATAATTTTATCTTGAGGCGTGAACAATGTGTAAAATTATCACTTTATGGCTGCAATGAAATTAAGAGCTGCTTTCTGTTAAGTGGGTCGCCGAATATTGAATGCAAGTAGACTAAATAATTAAATTATTTCTTAGACGTCTGATTGTTGTATCAATAAGCATGAAATACGCGTCGTTAAAGAGTCCATATAGTTTTCTACAAGGTTAACCTGACGTAATCACTATCTACAAAAGTAAATTGCGGACTTCCCCTGAGTCTCTGTCTCCCTACTCTGCCGTTCTGATTGTGCCGAGAAAAACTGTGAAACTCGAGCGCAGTCACTTCAAAACCATTTGCGTTGGAACGTTCGCGCATCCGAAATGGAATTGAACATTTGAAATTAACCGTCAGTATGCCGAATCAAGAGGAACTGGTATTATCAGAGAAATCAAATTCTACTGTCATAATAATGATCAAGGGTTAAAAGATACCAGAAATAAGAAAAATCTGAAGAACATATAGCATGGAAACCAATTATGTAATTATATTAGGAGTAAATATTTAATGCGTCAATGGTGTCTTCATCGGGCAGTGAAATTATTAATATATTATACTTGTCGTAGTACACAATATTTTGTCTGATATAAGGCAGCAAGTGCACGACCTTCCACTGGTTACCGGATTAACCGGCACTCGAGTAGAGTCGGGAAGAAGGGAGAAGTCTTGATCGTGATCAGAGGACAAAATGAAAGACGAGGATTAGTCTGTGATCAGCAAGAGTCGAAGAGTACTGTCTTCCTGAAACTGCTTACGGCCAAAATGGCCGAGAGTAGGGAATCTCGCGGGCCATCTCCGTCATATACAAGTAAGCAGATGATATATTACTTGCGGCAAGTTATTGTTCCTGGACAACATTCCTGAACTTTACGTTTCAGATAACAACCGAAGCCAAGGCGGGGACGATAAAAATAATAGCTGTAGAAGCACCGGAATCCTATTCTACAAATTAATTTCAGTCAATCATTTATCATTATTAAATTATTCAGACGATTATTTCTTATTAACGAGTTTCCTCCAGCTGCACAGATACATGTCATGTCACATATATTTATATCTTCACAATTTGCAAATTCTCCAAGTTCATAGCTCCTGTTCTTAAAGTAACACATATTTGGTGATCCAGCATCTAGATGATCACAGTTGTATTTGTAGGCGCAACAGTCTCCTTCGTTCTTGTACACAGGAGTGCATCCCACGTCATTGTAATATATCAGCGGTCCTGGACACTGTACCTGAGAACAATCTTCAATTTCTTTCAGCGAGACTCGTTTCTTTTTAATATGCAATCACATTAGGTGAGGCTTTTTATTAATTTTGTTATTGTACTACTAATCAACAAACTAATATCTTACTCTGCTTAGTGTCCTCAGTCGAAGCGAAGACAAAGAAACAGAAAAATACTTGGAGCAGGAGGAAAGTTCTGCCACGTCCGTCCATGATTTGGCTGATGTTCACATTGAAGCTTGTGAAGCTGTGCCTGCATCTTTTATACGAACTTTTGGTGTGGTTCGAGAAGTGGAGATGGAATCTGCTAAAAGTGGAAAGATATCAGTGCTTCTCTTATCCAGGAGGTGACCGATATCATACGGACACTGGGAATCTCACTGGAGACTTTAAGACTATTGCGTTTTGACTATGAGACATATTTTCCTTTTGCTCGTCTAATGAAATTTGAATGCAAACAGTAGGTGCGCGTCGGTTAAAACTTTACGATAATTCTTAGGTTTAACATACGGATTGAGAGCAGTGGATAACATATTTATCGGTTGCAACTGCAACGAGTCACTCTGTATTTGCAGCTACATCTTATAATTTTATCTTGACGCAATCTCTTACGCAAACTCTCGGAGTTCCTGGTACAAAGATGCGCATACAGAACAGAGTAGTAGTACGTGATTTCATTGATACAACTAACGAGATTGCGTGGAGCTGACAGGTCGTCAACTCACTAGTAGTTATTAGAGCGAATGAAGTGTACTATATGAAAGAAGCTTGAATGAAGTAGTAGAAAGTATATTTCTTTATTGCTTATGTTGTAATATTCTTCGACTTTATATAAAGTGTTACGAAGACGATCTTTGGCTTTAATAAACATTAATATCAGTAGCTTATAGTGATGTTTGACTAACAAGCCTACTTCGAGTTCTTCTGCCCTTCTCGAATTTCAAATCGGATTAAAGTATTCTCGATCATATATTTCTCAAGAATCATTTACCACCTAGAGAATGATTTGTAACATCGCATTCATTGTCATCAAGACGTTGACACGTTGGTGTAGGTGGAATTTCGCAAACGCATTTAACGCATACCGAACTATAATCTGTACCTTGATTAAGCTCGTCCCCGACATTCATAGTCAGGTTACCGAATGTGCAGGTCATACCTTCTAGAAGGAAAAAAAAAAGATAATGAATAATTGGATTCAACAATTAAACTACCAGGGATATCCACCTGGCATAATCTAGTTGAACAAATGGAATTTACCTTTTTCACCAGAAGAGTCTCCCTCAGGGGATGCGGATTTACTTTTATATGATATTACGGTATCGTTTGAGTTTTCTAAAATACAAAAACATCATATTCAATAATGACAGACAGTCTATTGATATATTATCTCATCCAGGGAAACTTACGACATCGCCAAGCTACACTGCAACTGGTAGCAGGATTTTGGGTAGCGTAATACGTTGGAATACATCTCTCGGCAATATCTTCGTTATGATGCAAATCTGTACCGCATATAGTGCTCGGAGTTATGCAGAATGGCTCAATATTTTGACCTGAATAATCAAAGTTGGCAAATTAAAAAAAAATATAACAGAGCGATTAGACACGACTACAGGTCTTAAACAGAGCCTTGCGATTGTAAATACCTGTATAGCCTTCCTGACACGTGCAACTTTTCTCTGGCTCATTCTTTGGCGTGAAGAATTCTCCGTCCCTGTACGTTACACCATCCACAACGCACATGGGGATCTCTGATTTATCTTCAGCTAAGATAAAAGAAAAATCATCACTTGCTTTTTCTTTCAAGAGATAGATGACGAGCAGATGATATATTACTCACGACAAATCACTGGACCTGGACAGCATTCAGTGACGTTACGTTTCCTGTAACAACCTGGCTGAACGGGCCCGAAGAAACAGTCTACGATGGCGCATGTGAAATGTGCTCTGTAAATTAATTTTCATTAATTAGTTATGATAAATACATTGTCTAGACGAATAAGTCTTACTTACGAATTTCTTCCGTCTCTGCAGGAACATCCAATGTCACAGGGATTCGCATCTTCTTCCCTGAGACTTTCTCCAATGTTGTAGCTGCTATTGTTAATGTAACACTTGTTTGGCGATCTAGCATTTAAATGGTCACAATTGTATTTGTAGGCACAACAATCTCCTTCGTTCTTGTACACAGGAGTACAGCCGACATCCTTGTAGTACATCAATGGTCCTGGGCACTGCACCTGAGAACAATCTTCAATTTGTTTCTGTGAGACTCGTTTCGTTTTAACACGCAATCACATAGGTGAGGCTTGTCATTAATTTTGTTACTGCATTACTAATCAACTCATTAATGACTCACTCTGCTTAGTCTCTTCACTCGAAGCGAACACAACGAAACAGAAAAATAGTTGGAGCAGGAGGTTAATTCTGCCGTGTCCGTCCATGGTTTGGCTGATGTTCACATTGAAGCACATAGAACTGTCCTGCATCTTTTATATCAACCTTCAATATGGATAGGAGGAGAGGGAATTGAATGGATTATAAGTAGGAGGATATCCGATATAGACAGAGAGTCAATCATATAATAGATACTAGGAAATCCATTGGGGAGTCTAAAACTATTAGGTTTTGACTAAGAAAAATAATTTCTTTTTTTCTCACTTCGCGAAACCAAATGCAAACAGTAAATCCCCATCTGTGTAAAACTGTATCTTCTAGCTTTCTTAGGTTTAACATACGGATTGATTGCAGTGAATGGTCATTTTTATTAGTTGTAACTGCAACGCTTCGTTCTGCATTTGCAGTTACATCTCATGATATTATCTCAATGCCAGAGCAAAGTGCAAAATTGTCTGTTTATCGTTCTTAATGAAATTAAGCTTTTTGTTAATCGTGTCGCGGACCGGATTTCACGAGTTAATGGTTGCCGGATGCTTTGTACTTGACAATGGGTATTGCCAGAAGAAACCTGTCCTTCCCAAGGCTAACTACTTTATTAAAATTGTCTTTATGGAAATTATTCTTGTTGCATTACGTGCGTCTGACTAACCTAAATTGTTTAATAGTTTTGCTGGAGATAATGTTAAATACAAGCGCGCCATTAAACATCAAGGAAATGAATAACTGAAAATGCATATGATAATTATCGAGGAATAAAAATCGTTCGCTTAATTATCCCCGCACAAGATGATCTGCAATAATTATCTTTTCTCTTAATATTGACAATTTTGCCAAAATTTATTGTTATTCAATTTTTGTAGTATCAGCTGAATAAACAATTATTTCACGAGTCTATCATTAAAGTCTACCAAAGTAATTAAACCCATATGGATTAATGTTATTCAGACATCGTTAAAAGGCCATTTCCCAAAGGCGAATTCCCCTTTAACTCATTGCCACCAATTGTGTAATTCTCAATACGTGTGAGGCTAACGTTATCGACATAGTATATGAGACAATTTACTAAAACAGGTGCATCCAATACGTAAAACTGACTAATGAAAATAAACGTACTTGTTACTGTAAAAGTAATTTATTTATACGAATAAATTCACGTAGACGTTATTACCTTGAATACGTGAACTAGAGTCACCAAAGATAAAACCCGTCCTTGATGTAGACATGGGTTTCACTGAATGCAGTTAAGTAAAACTGGTTTTTCAGAAACTACCAGGAAGAACCGTATCCTTTCTGTTGTTCATTACCTATGAGCAAATTCAGAATAATTTATCGATAACAATAATAGGAAGTAAGAATAACAGGAAGTGAAACAATTCTCTGTATGGGCATTACATTTAAAAAAAAATGGGCCAATGTCATTCAAATTGCGTAAACTCATCAGAATTTTGGTTGACTAGAAATTCAGTTGCTTTCTCAAAACCAATTTTTTTTCTACTCACCTTGATTCACTGTATAGAGAAAGTATATGGAGAATGATATTTGGCATTTATGAACTTCTTGAAAAACACAATTTCAGGATTTTTAAACGTCAGCTGTATGTCAGTTTTATTATCAACGTTTGATATTTCATGAGCCAATCTGAGAAATCCTTTTTTGATTCTGTTGAAAGCGAAACGGTGTGACTCTTTAGACAAGGTTAAAATATTTAGTAACTGGTGACCACGGTTAGCTAGTGCCAAGGTCCTTGACCTTGACACGTATTTGACCAGTGACTTATATGTATTTGATGTACTAAGCAAGAATATCCTATATGAAGGATATTCAGAATCCTTGCAATGATTCTGTCTATAAATTTATTCAGTAGCAAAGTTCAACCACCTACGTTGATTGAGTTGAAGGCCACAAGTAGTAATAAAGATTATAAGTGTTAACCTAATGAGAACAGTATGCTGTCTAAAATTTGACATTTATGTGTGCACTGCAACAAAGGTTTTATATACATTTTACTTGACATTTGTTGCATTTGCGATAGCAGAGACATTTGTGAAATACAGCAGAGATAAAAGTACTAATTTCGAGGTTAATATTTATAACAGCAAACTGCACTGATAATTTGCAGAAGTAGAGGAAGTAAAGATATATCCGATAATGAAATAAGGGATACAAGGTTTAAAAATCTGATAAAAAATATATTAAATAATGATGTTATATACAATTTTCATTATCACAATATTACATTATTATACTTATAAATAAGCCTGCCATCCATAATATACTTTACACAAATTGGCAGGATCTCTGGCTTCTTGTATCAGGCGTTCGACCTGTCCTGAGACACTGGATGCTATACCTTCCTCTGTACCTTGAAGTTTTTGTTCTACCCTGAGAAGAGCCCTTTCGGCAAGTTTATTGGTCTCACTTGTACCTGTAAAATAACAAAAGAATTATCATTACTGTAATTATAATTTCATAAAAAGCTACGGCTTACAAGTCAAACGAATGCTTACTGTCATGACCTCCTACTGTCTTCTGCATCTTATCATTTTTAAGCTGAGCCCAATGAAAGAGAGGGTCATAAAGCAATACTTGAAGAAGTGTTATAATGATTTCTCTTTGTTCACGTAAAACACTCATTGTCTTCTCACAACTTCTTCTCATGACACCTTCGACACCAGATACTCCCATTGCTACTTCAAGATCTCTGGTTAATCGAAAAGGTATCGTTTCTGGCGTTGTCAGTAACTTGCCTCGTTCAAATGCAATGCCTATTGTAGATTTTTGTTAGCAGCATTGTATATAGAATCAGTAAATGTTTATGACTTAAATATTTACCAAAATCAATATGTATCACTTCAGCTGTGGTTTTGTCAATTAGAATATTAGTCAAATGTCTATCGCCTAATCCTAGGATATATCCAATTATAGAGGTTGTTGCTACACTGCGAACATAAGCTAATCTCCTTTCGAACCATGTTTCTGGTGAGACATAAGTTTCCGTAAAGAAATGATGGAAAGCAGGTTGTAGGTGTTTGCAGCAATCCAAATAAGCTTTTAATTTTATATCATGTGATTGTCCAGCTACGTTCTGTAAATGAGCGAGTAATTATTTTTAATGAGTCCAGACAAAACTTTGTATCATCTATTGGAACTGAAAGCATACCGAAATTTTAGTTCTGCATTCTAACGCAGTATAATCTTCTGGATAGTATTTTTTGTGAACACCAGATAAATAATCACTGCCAACAAGAATTTTTGCGATAGGCAACGTGTCTTCGCACCATTCCAAAATTCCTGATCTCTGTGTTAATGGCACTACCTATAATAAACAAAGTTATTAACGTTGTCAATAAAATATTTAAATAAGGATTTTGGTGATTACAAATACACAAAAGGAACTGTGCACGATGCATACCTTGTATGTTCTAATATAAAGATTTCTTCGTTTCGTTTCTTTACTGGCTTTTAATAAAGAGTTCATCACAGTAAAGACTTGTTGCATAACAGCATCTTGACGCATATCGTCTTTTCCCTGAATATAAAGAAAGAAGATTCATTAAACCTATCCGCCTGACCCTAACAGTAATGTACACGAATGAAAAAAGGAGGTAATGCTGACTTTGAGCAACTGGTTCCTGGATATTCCGTCCGTTCCTACGCAGGTTACTTTTTTTGGTGCATTTATACCACCAACTGACTCAAAAATTTCCGAATATTTTCGAACGCCTATAATCTCTTGGTAATCTCTATTAACTTTTATGTCTATAGGTAGACTAGGTACTATAGTATGGATAAGATCTTTCACGTTATAAATCTTTTGTTGCCTTGGAATCTTGCAAGTCTTCGAAATCTCTGCGAAGAATAATATTCACTTATATCCACATTCCTGCGAGTATTCAGTAACAAAAGAGTACAGAACAAATAGTTGTCAAATCTTACTATTTCTCGTAAATTCATAATTTGCAAATTGCACCAGAGCATCCGTTAGTGTAGTCATATTCTTTATAATTGGTTTAATGTGCGAGTATAACAATTCATTAATTAACTTCTGCGCTCCACGTACACGTTGCTCCGGTTTTGGTGGTAACTTTTTCGTGTACTCATAGTCCTTGTAAAGTTGTGCTAAGGCTAACAAGACTGGTAACGTATGGTGAGGATGTTCCTTGGCGCATCTCATCAAAAGCATATATATCTTCATAGCAAATCCCTGAGACAAATCATCATTCAAATGTGGTGCCAGTTGCGGTACCAATGGTATAAATTTGTGGGATGCTATTCTGTCAAGATTTTTATCGAAGAGATCATTGAGCTTTTCATCAGACGTATTATCCAACCACAGTGACACAAGTCTGAAGATTATGAAGTTATGGTCTTCGGTCTCTTGAAGAGTTTGCATATAATACCTACGATGAGATAAATAATCACTCTATTTTGTAAAATGAAAACCAATAAAATTAAATTTAATAATAATATATTTACTGACCTCATTGCTAAAAGCAGATACATATTTTTCTCCATCTGTATATTTTCCAATTCGGCAACATCATTTCTGCTTTGTTTCTTGCTCAACATTACTGCTGTACGCATATCAGCGTCTTGTGCTGTCCTATTGTAATTGCTTGCTGCATCTCGCGAATATTCAGCACACTCGCGTATACTCTCAAATCTCGACGATTGTACATAAGCAACCCTTTGCCGATATTGAGTATCAGCAAATTGAGCCAAAGCTGCCTGAGTGTCGTACAAATTTTTCAAGTCGCAAGGTTCCGGCTCTTTGATTGACATACTGATATCAATTGACTGTTCATAATATTTATGAATCACCGTCTGAGCAGGAGGAAGGTATTAAAAAAGAAAATTGATTAATCTGCAATTAATTACATAGCTGTAAGATTACCTGTGGATTTTCAGATTTAGTTTCTACCATCCAATTTCCGTATATTCTTAATGCTTTCGCACGAAGACTTGGACTCGGAGAATCTCTACTCATCAAATTTCGCATGCGGAATCTAGCAATGTTCTGATCCCCCATTATCCAAGATAAAAGAGCGTCTTGATAATCCAATTGGTCTTGCATCTCTTGAGGAAGATTGTATTGCTTCTTTAGAGAATCTAAGGAAAGGATATGGCACTTTTGAAAAGTCAAGGATAAGTTTTCTTTCAGTAAATTTATAGTAATACCTACCTAGTGCTCGTGCTGCAGTTTGCTGGTATCCTTGCTCTACGGCAACCTCAGCAATTTTCAAATATGTATTGATTAAAGTATCCTTGATAACTGGATCATTTTTTAATGACTCCTTTATTTGATACATTATTATTCTTTGGGACAGTATTGGTTCTACGTATTGAAAATCATTTGTATTCACAAAATCTTCTTCGTACCACTTGTTCAGTACATTCATGTAATTAGTTGGTTTCGCTGAGCTGAGCTCTTCTACTTCACGAAGCATATGCAACTGAGATAGCTTGGGATATACGGTTTTGCTGCTCTCTGAGTAATTAATAACAATTTTTAATATACTTCATTAATTAATATTACTGAGTCTAAAAAATTGTTCTTACCTAAGCTGGTGTTTCGAAGTGCTTTTACAACACATTCGCAAGCAATGTCCAGAAAAGCTTTTACACTAGCAGTGTTACTCTCGTGAAAGCTCTTCAGTGCTTGGAAATGAAAGAAATTATAATCATCATTGATGACACTACGTGGACAATCGTTACCATCTCTCAGTGAATTTCTCACTTGTCTCGCAGTAGAAATATTCCAATCAGCAAGTCTCCAAGCATTATCGTAGACAAAATCATCAATATTTTCTTGCGCTCTATCAATAGTTTGCATAAAACGACCGACGAGGTAATGAAGACCAGAATGTTGTAAAGCATTCAATAGACCTAAGAACAAAAAAAAATGATTATAGAATGATTAAGGAAGATGATTATCTTTTTCATCCCTGTGTTTAATTACCTCTCGTTGCTATACTGTTTCCGTAACACAAGTCCAGATCCTGAGCCAGCATAACTTTGTCCCATTGTCGCAGATGCGTATAATGTTGAATTCGTGAAGAACGATCCAGCAAGTGCGAAGAGCCACAACCATAAATAGCATCAGGATCGCCAATTTCGATACAAGCTTCTTTTAAAATATCTTGAAGCACTTTCCCTTTCTCTGGATATTCTTCGCAAATGTAATCAATAAGAGGAAGCTCCTTTATGATACGGCGACCATTTAATAAAGATTCACACCACAATTCTGCATAGAGAATAGACGTAAAGTATGCAGAACAATATTGTGCAGCTTTTGCTATGTTGATGTAATCCAAATCGAGCTGAATTACATCACTGCACTGAACTCTTATGAAGTTAACAATGTTCAGCATAGATTTTACGGACTCGTAATTCAAACAAATCCTTTTTGGCGATTGACTGGGTGAGCTTGTTAGCTCCAATTCACTGGAATAATGAATGTGATTGTGGAAGAATTGATTAATGCAGGAACAGATGATACTCGCATCTTTTTTCTCCATCAAAACAATCAGCACGAAGATACGTGGTAGGATCGTTTCACAAAATTGTACGTTTAATTTGCAAACTGGTGTCAATTCTGTCAGATAAAAATCTGAGAAGCATTCGATTACGTTAATCGTTATGTTTGTTATCCATTCGTTGTGTGATCTTGTTAATTTTCCAACCCAGAAATCATTTCCTACGTCGAAACAGGATCTAAAGCTCTTAAAATCAATTTTGATATGTTTCTTATTTTCTCTGTGTTTATTTAAAAATGGATAGACGTATTCTATACGTAGTCGTAACTCAAATTCTTCCATAGCTTCTTCTAATGACGTTAAGTAATTCTTATCAGTCAACTTTTGACCCCAGAATGAATCAAAGACTGTGTACAATCCATTTGCACTTGCTTGACGTAGCTCAAAGTCTGAATCGATCAAGAAGTCAGACAATAAAATTACAATGTTGTATGTAAGCATTTCTATGGAATTAATATCTACATTGAGGTGACTTTTTTCTGGATATAATATCATGGTTGTTAAATCAGCTGGTCCAAGTTCGCCCAAACACTTTGCAGCTTCCAGTGCGATATTAGAATCCGGTGATGACGTCAATTTAACAAGTCTGTAAATCAATTTATGAAGTAAACTCGAAGCACAGTCTTCAGCAAATCCACGTAAGCCTTCCAAATGGTTGTACATATTTTTCAATTCACTTTTTTTCGCCGACAACTGATGTCTCAAGTGAGACAATCCTTCAATGGAGCAATTCAAATTCTTCTTGTTGCCAGCCTTTAAGAAATGTTCAATTTCCTTTTCTAATCTGTGCGCAGAGTAATTACTATACCTCAGACTATCATGAACTTCTCTCATCTCTCGAAAGGCTTCATGATTTGGAAAAGAGTCAAGTTTTTGTATCGCAGTGCTCAGTATCTCTTTCTTGTCTACTATCAAGTATTTTAATAATTCTTCAGCTCCTGGTATCTTTCCGTTCTGTACAATAGGCGTGAGACTTGTCACAATAAAACTTAAGATATCCTTAAACTCATTACTTCTGACCGGTACCACATATTTTAATAAAAGAAGAAAGAATTCACAGCACAGTTCAGAAAGCACAGGTATGTCCTCCTTGATAAGATTCAACAAAGTGTGACTGATATCTCGAATTATAAACGTAGACATATCATCGAAATAATTCTCTCTTAACTCTTGTATAACAGCGGTCGAAAAATATGCATAATGATAAAAAGCTTTCAACTTCTGTTCCGTAAATTTTTGACTGTATATCTTGTAGGCAAAGTGTAGAAATACCCTTTGTATAACACTTGGCACCTGACACGCTAAATACTGAATCAGTTTGGTCTGACTAACTCCACCTTCCCTCGGAAGAAGATTCTTCAAGTTATCCAAACACTTCAGAACAGTTTCATTCTTGTACTCCAATGGTTCTGAAGTCGGCAGATGAAGCTTCCGATTAAACAGTTTAGCAAAATGAATCTCGTCGTGTAATTTTTCAATAAGACTTATCAAAACCATGTCCAATTTCTTCAGTAACATGTCTGAAAACCTTGACACAGACTCGAATTCATTTTTATTGTATCTCAAATTTACGAAGATCTTATTAACATATGCAGCATCCACTGTACATGTTGCAAGTGAAGACCCAGCAGGCTCTTCACAGACAAATGGTAAAAGCCATGATAAAATAGATGGGAAACATTTGTCGATCGTTTCCTTGAATGACAACTGATATTTGTTACATAGATCAATGACATCTGTCAGTTGACACTTTTGAATTTTAATAGGTGCCAATATGTGCATATAAGAGCGATAAAACTCTTCGCCGTTCACGCAACGCACTAACTCTCGCGGAAAACTATCCAGAGGATACTGCGACATTAGCCAATGTGTTAAAATATAGTTCATGTTGTCCTCAACCAGCTGACACGGTTCCTTCATCTTTTTAGTATTGGCGATAACTTGCAATACCTTCTTCACCTTATCAATGTTCATCTCCTTATCAAGAACGATCTTTAATAAAGCAAGCACAGCTTCACACTGAAGCATACCACTGGCACATATGACAACTGCCAAAGACAAAAGTGCAACTGACAACCTTGTAGTTTCCACATCAACTTTTTCCCATTCACTTAGTTCTTCACCAATTGCAAAAGGTTTCCTAACGACTGCGATCAATTTGTTGAAGAAATTCTTCTGCCATTTAAATTCTACGTTACTCAACGAGAATATTATGTAGAGCGACTGTACAGCTTCCAGCTGGACCAAGTAGAAAGGACTCTCTATGTACACTAGGACCTTCTCCACGAAAGGAGTATCATCGTCGACCTCAGCAAAGTCGCTGTACTTCGACCAGGAGAAACTAGGATCCAGTTTGGCAATTTCTCCAAGGCACTTTAGGAATTCCACAGCCACCAATGGACCGTATCTCTTGTCAGAAATAAGATTATGAATATCATTCAGCATCTTCATCACAATGATTCTCTCATCATTGCCACCATGCTTTATCACGTGCTTTAAGAAGTCTGATACTATTGTTAAGACTGATCGTACAGCTTCTTCATCTCCACGCCAACGAGTGAACAATCCTTGTAGAAATTTTATTGGGATCTCGATAGTATCTTCTGATATCAAATCTTCTTCCATTAATGTCAGGCGCTTCAGGGCTACCATAGCTATTCTTAAATCTGTTATACTAGATGATTCGTACAGGTCGATCTTCATTACGTGGTCCAAGAGAATTTTTTGAAATCTTTGAGCTTTGCAACACATACTCATTAAGGTATTAATCACTTCCATCTTTATCACATCCTGCTTGTAAACCTCACAACTCTTATCTCTTCTCAATTCTTCGTGCTTGGCATTCAGTTCCTCGTACTCCAAATATGTATTTACTATTGATATCTCTTCCACAATTGTGTCATCTTCGGTGTTAAGTAAAGTATAAATATTTTTAACAATCTCAACAGTCAACTGTGACGTAATGACTTCAGTAATATCTTTATCATAGGAAGTATCGTGCAGTATAGTCAATGCTCTTAGAATATTCACCATGTAAGTGAAGTTATGCTTCTTCATCTCGATAGTCTCATGATCTGCTAAGAACATATAGACATTTTCTAATATGCCTTTGACTGCGGTTGTCAGTCGGATTATTCTTGTGTTATCAGGATCCATATTTAATTCCTTCACGGTGGAAGCGACTTTGGCTATCATCGTTGCATGCATTATACGCACGCTTATTTCAGAGTCCATGAAATTCTCAACGACACTCAATAACTTTGAGACCAAACATTCCACAGCATTGTCTGTGAACAAGATATTCATCGAATGCTTCTGATCTTTTGTCGAAGCAGTGCGATTGAGAGGCCTGCGAAGGTCGATTTCAAAATTGGCAGATAGATGACATTTTTCAATATTTCTCAGATTAATCAATTCGGTGTCTTCTAAAATTCCATGCTGTAAGATCGATACAGTTTTATACATAGTTTCCTGATATATATTATCATTGTCTTGGCACTTCACATAGGAGGACTTCAGTGTTATGCGGATAAGCAGATCACATAAATCTTTCACTGGGATCTGCGTAAACATTTTGTTCCATGGAATTTCCAGAATTCTTTTTATTAGTACATTTCTGATTGACTCTTCACTGTTTCTTTCATTATATTCGTTATACTGTATTACGGTGTCTGATATTATACTGCTTTCGCAGAGTACTACCAATGTATGGAAATTCAACAAAGTCCATGTTAACACTTTTCTCACGTAGAGGTCCAGCAAACCATTGAAATTTAATGTCTTTTTGAACTTTATGATAGACTGTAAAAGATTGTGGACTGCTACTTCATTCTGGTTCATGGACAAATATCTGAAACGTCAATTCTTTTCTAAGATTAAGATATTATTAATTGATATACAATTTAAATTGTTCCCAGATTACCTCAAGGCAGTGCTCCAAATTTCTTCCCAGTGTTCCTTCGTGTGTGTCGGTTTCACTATCCCAGTAGTAAATTTTTGTTCAATCGAAACTATTGCAGCTGCCAACTCGCAGACACTATTCATAACTGACTTATTGTTGCATGAGCACTTTATGAGCTCTGAAACGGTTTTAAGAAATGGCATGAAATCCTCCGGCTTTAAAGTATCGGGATATTTTCTTATTAAGGCTGCAGAGACTTGAATCCAAATCCAAGATTGTTCTAAATTTTTACTAAAGACCATAGTCGTTGGATCATTGAATACAGTAGATAATCGCCTGCGTTTTGTAGGTGGAAAATCTTCAGGAATATCCAATGAAGTTCTATTGTCGGTAATGCCCTCATATCTGTGCAACAGTTGCCAGGAAACTGCAAGCGAACGTTTAATGTAACTTTGATCGGTTTATTTAAGATAATAAAATACACACCTTCCGACGCAAGTTTAAGGAAACTTTTATCCAGTATCTTGGGATTGCAATCTCTTATAATGGTCGTGTATAAGTTCATGCAGATAGCATTCCATTTATCCCAATCACAAGCGTACGCGACATCCTGAGACATTGTAGCTCCCTGTGGATGATGTACTTGAACAAATAATAGGAGAAGCTCTAACTTTTCAGAATTTGTCTCCTGTCCTATAATTTCTGGTGCAATACGTTCACTGAATTCGCATAGTACAGATCGGTTCTCCACAGCTATTATTTGGCAAATTGTTTTAGCCAACGTATATGTAGGTTCTGCCAAATTCTCATCGGTAGTCTTCACATGTCGAAAGACTTTCTCTGAATAGTAATAGATTTTTTAGCAATTAGACTCTGGACTTTAAAGTATAATTGTAAATTAACTAGCAATTTACCTAGCCAGGATAAATGATTTTTGATGTTCAATGCCAAGTGAGACTGTAAACTGCCATGCAATATTAGTTTCTGAATTGCACAAAGTATAGTGGATCTATTTATAGTGGAGGGTGGATTTTTATAAAGACTTAGACATGTTAAAATTAACTCTGTCCAATTGTCTAAAGATATCGTAGACCAGTATTGTCTGATAGGAATTATGTGATTGATTAATATAGCCATGTATGTATCTTGCCAATGTGAATAAGCATGGCATGTAGAACGTTTCAATACTTGCACTACTGCCATAATTAAATCAGAACCATTTAAATATATTTTATTTGAGCCGTTGCCATAAAGAACTGTCCTCAACATTAGTGCACACATATTTCTCCCATCGGGTGACACTTTGCCAATCTTCTTTCCAACCAATCTGTCTGCTTCCTAAATAAAACAATGTAGGCAGTTAAAAAAAACTTGGCAATTAGTAAACCATAACCAATCATAATAAGATCGATGACATACAGAGAGTATCATTTTATGTACACAGTTTAATATAGTTGTCCAATTTATATGGCCAAAAATGCCCTTTTCAGACATCTCGTTGATCTCATTTAAAGCATCTTGATTTTCATACAACTCTTGAAGACTCATGATAAATTTCTACAAGGAGACATAAAAGTAATAATTCTTTCAATTTCATTCTACTGAATTACATAAAATTAATTATATCAAATCCCTTTAAACAAAAATATGCATTTTAACAAGTTCCCTTTACCCAAGTACAGAATCTACCCTTATAAGATAATTTACCGCATTACAACTAAATAACATACTGAACTTATTGGACTTACCTTTCGATCAGCAGCTTTACTGGCCTCACTATATTTTAAAATATCATTAATTAATTTAGAATAAGCCATTCTTTTAAAAGTATCTCTTTAAACACCGTATACACAAAAAAACGTATTCACCCGGCGTTGCCCGCCATCAAACTGTCAACTACGAATTAGCAGCATTTATGCCTGCTTCCTCCGACATGGTTAAAGCCTAGTTTAATTTTTCAAATACAGTTTTAAGATAGGGTACTTAACCGGCGTTTAAACTTCGATTAATCTCGGAGCAACCGGGCATTAAAGATTTTCACTCTTTTCCTTCACAGATCACTATAAATAATGACAGTTGATAAAAAAATTCGGCTTCACGATTGGCTCTCGCGCAGCTGGTCTTCTCCCAGAGCCAATAGACTCTTTCCTTTACCGACGACACATTTTGACCTCCCTTTTCATCGACGCGGTTCAATGCATAGACTCAGTCTAACTGTGCTATTAGCCAATCAGGCACTTGTATATCGAAGATGAACGGAGTTTATGCATTGCACCGCGTTGAAAAAGACGGTCCTGAATCTGATTTATGAAGTCTCCGTTCGATGCTCTTTGCCCATTGGTCTTATGTCCAGTTTCTTCACCTTCGGTTAAAATTTAACTTGCAGATAAATCCCAAGCTAAACAATCATTTTCATGCTTTAGAAGTTTATCCGTAGGTTAAATTTTAATCGAAGACGAAGAAGCCGGCCGTATGCCCATTTCCTCTGACGTAATTTAAGCCTGGTTTAATTTTTTAAATATATTTTTAAGATAGGGTAACCAGAATTTAAACTTTGATTAACGTCGGAGGAAACGAACAGTAGTCATATTAATTACTTGCTAAGTTTACAAGGACGGGTTTTAACCAGAAATAACCAATCGCGTGCGAGCTTTAAAAAGAATCACCCAACGTGCTTGGTTAATCATTTCTAAAAACCCGTGCGTGTGAACTTAATACTTGACGCGAAGAACACTAACGCAAAAATCCGTCTGTTTTATTTCACAGTACAACAAAACACATGAATAACGCCGCGTTACAGTAAGCACACAAAACATAAGATTATGGGAAACGAGAGTAAATTTAAATCGTAAAGATTGTCAGTGTTTGACCTTATTGAAATCTATGAAAATTCAAAATTCCATATGACAATGGGCGTTTTTCTTTTACGTGAAAATCTCGACGAATTTATGCACATTCGTTTTTAATTTACGGCAGTTAACGTATGTATCGCCACAGTCTTAAAGTGCCCAGATTCTATACAACTAGTGTGTCCAGAGGTGTCGATAAAAGAAAAACATAGAAACAATTAAATCAAGATACAGTAACCTAACTGTTTTTAATAATATGTATTAGTTGAGTAGAACAACATTTTAATAGATGTAATATAAATACGTAACAATGTATCTGATATATTTACTAAATCTAAATGTAAAATACTTTGTTATAGAACATACAACATGAATTAGAAGCATATAATAGAATTACTTGAAACAATGGTTTTTTTTTATACTGATTACAGTACATAATCAGTGGTATAATATTTTCTCCACGAGAGCATTCTGATGTTTTTTATTCTTCAATTGCAAAAGTTCTAGAAGCACCGACTCCCCAATGATTATGATTGAAACAATCTAAAGGACGCAGTCTCACACGTGATCTAATTGAACGGCCCACACGACTGTACAATTGCTCGAAAGTTCTTGTTTGCGAATTCCTCCCCACTAAAAATAAAATTATTATTCATCAATTCAAAACGTATTAAATACGTTTTTCTTAAAATAATATTTTTCTAACATACGGTTTTGTTTTAACATTACAAATCGATCCTGCGTAATGAATTACATTTATAGAACATCACAAAGGGCTTCCAAGTACCAATACATATGTAAGTCTTTATGATATTAGTGATAATCCAAGATTTTATTAAAAAAAAGAAATAATTACCCCTTCAAGACATTTCAATATCCTCACGTATATAGAGAGACTTGTTTTTGTCAAAGAAGAAAACTTTTCAGGCTTCTTTCTTAAGCGCTTACATCCAAGAAAATACCAGGATTTCGTCAAATTTCTTTTTTTAGATCGACGCAGAATCGTCTAAACTTTTTCCAGACAAAGGAATTTATAAAATAATATGAATTTGTGGCGAAGATATTAAGCTTCGAAGTCGCGAGAGCCTCCCAGAACCAGCTATGCCAACTAAATTCCTGTCTCTGCAGTCGTGCGTGGAAGGGCTAATTTTCTATTTGTTCAACACAAATAAGGATTAAAGGCAAACAAACATATGTATTTGTTTTTTGAACAAAGAAATTCAGACCTTCAATCCTCCTATTCTTGGTGCACCCTAATGCTGAAAAGTATTTTTCTTTAACTTCCTAGTCTGTTACCAGAGGTACATAATTTCCTAATTATCATAAATAATGTTTTAGAAGTAACATCCATATGAATTCACGTTTCTACTAGCTCCATTCCACCAAATTGATAAAGGCCAACCAGTAAGCAAATAATACATATAATAATAGGGATAAATTGTTCGTAACTGTTAGACGGGGTTGGAAGGGGAGACCCTGACTTCTTTTAAAGCGCATGACTCCACGCCCTGAACACATTCACGTTTCAGCAGCGAAACCGGCACTTTTGGTTTTTCTCTACAAGCCTCATCTGTTTTTGTGTTCGTCGAAGTAGCTCAACTTCACCAATCGTCCTGTGCATCTTGACTGAGAATTCTTTAAAAATTCTCATTGCGGTCCAACGTTTACGAATATCTGAATAATATTTTGATTAGGTTCCTCGTGTATTATCTAAAAAGACACATTTTTATAATTATATACTTTTCGTGGTTACGTTCTTCTAGGAGGCTTAAATTTGTCTTGATCATACCTGAAACTTTATTTAGTAATTTTAAAAAGATGGCTCTTAAGATTCGCGTTGATTCACCCAAGGTGAAATACACGCAGGATTATATTGAAGCCCAGTACGAGTATCAGACGACTAATGTCACAAGGACAGGAGATAAGGATTTAAAGTATTTGGTGAGTCATCAGTATAAGTAAGGACCCATTTGTGTTCCCCTGGGATATGTAGATATATATATGTAAAGATAATCATTGCAACAATGTTTTATAAGATTAAACATGGAAATCATTGTAATTGGAGTCACATATAGATGTTTATAGGGATCATTTTAATTATTTCTTTTTGTCATTTCCATTATCACATGTTTAGATAATTCAAATGATTACTGAAATTATAAGATGATTTGTTATATTACTAGTAATAATAATTGGTTTTATTTCAGGTCACACCTGTCTCTACAAATTTACTGATTAGGACTCAATTGAAAGTCCCAAAGTTAGGGGTAATGCTTGTTGGATGGGGTGGTAATAATGGGACAACAATCACTGCTGCATTGTTGGCTAACAAGATGAATCTGTCTTGGGATACTAAAGACGGTCGTAAAAGCGCCAACTGGTCGGTATTTTGTTATATATTTTATAATAAATTTTTATAACGTTTTATGTGAAAGCTTAAATTCAATTTCAGGTATGGCTCTCTTACTCAAGCATCTACTGTGAAATTAGGCAGTAGTGGAAGTGAAGATATTTTTGTTCCTATGTCATGGATGTTGCCAATGGTCAATCCTAATGATATTGAACTTGATGGATGGGATATTTCAGATATGAACTTGGCAGATGCCATGGAACGTGCCAAAGTATTAGATTTCAATTTACAGAAGCAACTTAAACCATATATGGTAGATATGAAACCCAGGAAAAGTTTATACTACTCTGATTTTATTGCAGCGAATCAGGTATGCCAGTTATATTTATGTATGTAACAAGAATTAATACTGTTATTTTGGGAGATTTAAAGCTTAACAGGATTATGTATTTTCTATTACTAGGAACAACGAGCTAATAACATTATCTCTGGTTCAAAGATCGAACAATTAAACTTGATCAGGAAAGACATAGTAGAGTTTAAATCTGCTAAGAATTTGGACCAAGTAATAGTCTTGTGGACTGCTAATACTGAGAGATTTTCCAGTATTCTTCCTGGCGTCAATGATACTGCCGATAACTTGTTAAAATCCATTAAGGAGGATCATCCAGAAATTAGTCCAAGTACAATGTTTGCTGTTGCAGCAACTCTTGAAGGTGTAAGTTACTTTGAAATTAGTATAAGGAATTATTTTGCTTGATGTCACTTTGCTAATGTCATCTTTGGAAAAATATTACAGTGTACCTATATAAATGGATCTCCACAAAATACATTTGTACCAGGCGCAATAGAATTGGCCGAACGTCACAAAACGTTCATCGGCGGTGATGATTTTAAATCAGGGCAAACAAAACTGAAATCAGTCCTTGTGGACTTTTTGGTCTCAGCAGGGATTAAACCGGTTTCAATTGTTAGCTATAATCATCTTGGAAACAATGATGGTTACAATTTATCAGCTCCACAACAGTTCAGATCAAAAGAGGTAACTTGTATTTTTTTTTAACTATACAATTCCTGTAGATTGAATTTTTTTAATGTTCTCTTTTTTTCTGTTTAAGATCTCCAAGAGCAACGTTGTGGATGATGTGGTACAGTCCAACAACATTTTGTATAAACCTGGAGAGCATCCTGATCATTGTGTTGTCATAAAATACGTTCCCTATGTTGGTAAGTTTAATTATAACATGTTTCCTCACCGTCAATTCTTTGCACTACTTATGAGTCTTTCGATAGGTGATAGCAAGAGAGCCATGGATGAATATACATCTGAAATAATGCTGGGTGGTCACAATACCATCGTGGTGCATAACACTTGTGAAGATTCCTTATTAGCAAGTCCAATCATTCTAGATTTGGTGATCCTGGCAGAACTTTGTTCACGTATCACTTTTAAACAGATGGATTACAAGAACGAGGAGTTTTCAGGATTTCACAGTATACTATCAATTCTTTCATACTTGTGTAAAGCCCCATTGGTGCCGCAAGGAACACCCATTGTGAATGCCTTGTTCAAGCAACGAGCTGCTATTGAAAATATTCTTAGAGCTTGTTTGTCTTTACCTCCAGAGAATAATATGCTTCTAGAGTACAAGATCCGTTTGAATAAAAAACTATAGGATTGTTAGGCATCAAATGCCTATGTGAATCATGGGAAACCAATTGAAAAACAAACTAGTATTTCTAATTATTCCACAGGGTACAAATAAAATGAATATTTGTTCATAATTATAATATATAACAAACAAATAATTGCTTTGTGTCCTAAAAAAATTTAGGATATATTTTTCCACTGAAATTTATTATCGATGTATTTTAACAAATTGAAAAGTCAAAGTATTTTTATTAAACACAAACCATTATTTAAACAAGTATTAAATTTGTATATTTTATTATTACAAAACAGTATCAATTGAATTTATTATATCTCTACTGATGTTTGATCTCTAATATTGTTCCATGTATTTTCAACTATTATAGAATATTCTAGTTTTAGTTTTAGATGAAAACAGAATTGTTACCAAATGAATATGTGAAGCTACTTGCTTTGAAAATATATTTTTATCTTGTCATAGAAAATGTATTTATTATTTTACTCGTTAATGAAAGAATGAATTGATCATTAGATCAAAATCATAAATGCAACAAGTATTTAAGAAAAACTGTTCTTTGGTACCAAAAGAATTGTTCTGTATGATAATCCCACTACTCCTAACAAATACATGATGAGGATCTCTATGTAATTGACTTCTATTAATCTTTGACAACTGAAAGAATATATACTTAATAAAGGTTCTGCTACAATTTTTTATTTAAATATAAAAACCAGTTTTCTCCAAGAGAATCGCAAACATTAAATCTACTAATTTCTCAGTATTAGATAGTATAAATCCTCTCATTGAAATATCAAACTGAAAAGACTAAGGATGTCTTAAGTTCAAAAACAAATAGAAAAGTTATAAACATGAATTTTACATTCTCATAATAGAGAACAATTTATATAAGCTATATGCCAGTACACTTCAACCTTTTATAATTCCATGAACTCCAACTATTTGACACTGTATCTTTCAGAAGCTTCTCTGTATAAATAATTAATATAATTACATCTGACCTATCCTAACTACACACTGCAAAAACAATGTACACTACAAATAACTCTCAGCTGTACAAATTTTAGATATTATGATAACAATACAATGCAGCAAACTTACCACAAATTGAAGGAGATAAAAGTAAAATAGTGAAGGAGCATCAATGAAGATTGTTTCTTTATTAAACAAGTGCAATTCAGAAGACGCGCTACTCTATATGTCCCTCTGGTGACTCAAGAATAAAATGTCTAATGACATCATATTTTATCAATATAAATATTTCAATCGAATAAATAATTTTTTATTAGTAAAATATAAGTAATTAACTTGTATAAAGTGACGTAAAATGATGACATCCATCTGCAGTTCGATGGCCGTTTACTACCTGTGCTTTTTCACCCGTTCAAATTACGTGCCGTATCGCTTCGGCCATTTTCACATAAGCGACGTCAGTCGCTGAAGAGGAATACAGGAAGAACGAAGATACGCAATTTTTCCAAGCGTCGAAATATTGCTAATGGGTGGACACACTGCAATGAATTCGTAGAATCGTTACCGTACGTATTCCATGATTGAATCGTATAATAGGAACTTGCGGATATTCAAAGATAGTCATGAATTCTGGCAGTGTAGAACGCCGAAATAGCATTGAAATAACAAACGCTATGTGCGCCATCTTAGTACGCGCCATCTGGATAGCGCCGTAGAAAAGTTATGGTGGTAAAACATTGAAAAACTTTTGAAAAACCTATTAATTTTCGTGAAATAACATATTGAACAGTGATTATAATAAATATGAAATAATGTGTATTGTTTCTTGATTAGCCTCACTGCGGAATTGGATACGGAACTGATTTACTCAAATGTTTGAAATTCTTAACCTCAAACCTGAGTTAAAATGAGTGTCTCTGAGGAGAATACTGTATATCTCCCCTATGGGGATGTGGAAGCGGAGGATCCTGCTAAAGGTAAATTGGATGAAGCTTGTATCTATGCTGGCGATGAGAAAATGCAAGAGAATGACACTGTGGAGCCTGAAGTTAAAAATTCTACCAAAGATGGTAAATCTCAGTCAACCCAGGAGAATTCAACTGTCTCAGGACAATCAAACCGAGAGAAATGCAAACCCTTGGGCAAGAATTCACCGTCACCTATAAGCGGTTCGGACGCATCAATACAGCCAAGTTTGCAAAGCGATTCCTTATCGAAGAATACTTCATCGAAAGTGCTATCTGCTAAACAAGTAAATGTTGCACAGACATCGAGCACCAAGAATCTAGGTATCATTTTTAATTTGAATAATGTACTTTATGTAGTATAAGCACAATGACAATTATTGTCTGTGCCTCTTTGTAATTGGCTTGTTGCTAGTTTAATGTTATGTAGACTAATATATTTTTAACTTTTGATACAGGTCGTAGACGAGAATCACAAGCTGATTACAGTAAAGCTTCAAGTTCGATGTCTCCAGGACGTTCTGCTAATGTTACTGTACCCAATAATGTGGAAAAGATAACATCACGACGGAATTCTAAGGTAAATAACGCCCAAACTGAAACTGCAAATCTAGAATTACATCATAGTGGAGATCAAGAGAAATTATTAAGTTCCAACGACAATATTAATCTTATACCACAAGAGAAGATTTCTGCAATTAAAACAAATAAATTAACAACTATCTCTCAAGAGAAATCAGTCTGTCAAATAAAAAATATAAATGATTTGAAGAAGGCAACACCACGAGTCAAATTCCTTACGGATGAGCCTAAGAGCTTGACTGAATTCAGGAAGTTACATTCATCTAACACAACAAACCCACCTACGCATTCAATCAAAAAAACAGTACAAACTAAAGCATTGATACTGGAAGAAACTAGACAACAATTAAAGAAGTACTGTCGCACATGCGCCGGTTTGAAATTACCTCTCGTGGATATATTCAGTAAAAAGGGCATGCAGATGCGACTGAATCAGCAAATGAAGCATTTGGAAGTAATTAATGAGCAAGATAGCTTATCAACGCAGATGTGCATGGATTGCATATGTGATTTAAAGATGAGTTACAAATTTTTCATGCAAATTAAAAAGGCTGAGGTTAAACTTAAATCAATTTACATAAGTCTAGCCGATGCAAATGCTAATGAAATAAAGTCTAGAAATTTGAATGCCGATAAAATACCAATATCGGCACCATCTTGTACCATCAAGGAAGATCCTGATAGAAGTACAGAATCATTAAGAGACTTACTCTCCGGTGCTAACGAAGTTGACCTGGACGAAAGTATACCAAAAATATCAGCTATATTCTCCCTGCAAGACTTACAAGAAACCCCCAAGTCAAGTGACGATATGAATTTTGAAATAAATATAAAAACCGAACCGGAAGAGCACGAAGACTACCCACCATTCAATCAAAGCGACGACAACGACTCTATAGAAGAGTTTGACCCAGAGGATCCACCTTTTCAAGTTGACAGCTCAGATACCGGCGAATCTGAGGATGAACTGGAGAGTCGTAGATTACAGAATTTCAGAAATTCTCAAATTGTACAAACACAACAAACTACAGAATTGGCAGCTTCCATCGGCAAGTCTAATGCATCTTCAAGCAACCCACCTGGACAAGATTTTAAAAAGGATAACAAACCGATGATCTACAAGTATGATACTCTTTATAAATCCTACGTCAAGGTGGATACTTTGGAAAAAGACGAAGCTCAGTCCAATACAACTGACACTTTGAAGAGCAAAAACGATAGTGAAAATCATGGACATGTAAGAGAAGGACAGACACAACCTAACATCTTGAAGAGGAAGTTACCACTTCTAATAAAAAAGGAACCGCACGCTGATACAGACATCAGTAGCGATGCTCTGGATATTCTGAACTCTTGTGGTGGTCTGAAGGATTCAAAGATGCAAAAATTAAATGTACAAAATGCTCTGAACATTGGATCTCCCGAAGAGGAAGGAATAATGTACGTGACGGTGAAGGGATCAAAGCCAAATGAATTGCTTCTTGTAAAAGTGAAGAAGATGGACAAAAATATTGATAAGAAAGATGAAAAGTCTTTCGGTAAGAAAACCGTGGACGTTAAGCCCGTGGATAAGATTTTAAAGAAATACGAACATTTTACTGGTAAGGAGAGAGAATTGTTTCCTGAGAGATTTAAAAAACCTGATATAAGGGAACAAATCATTGAAGAGCAGATCGAAGAGTACAAGAAGAAGCGCGAGAAGGTTTTGGGCGGTACTGCTGTGGGGTTTCCAAACGCCCTGAAACTTGAAGATGGTCAAGTGCGTTTTGTTAAGCAAAATGATAATCAGATTCTTCGGCGTTCTTTGTCCACTGATAGTAATTTGATGATAAAGAAAGATTCTGTCAAGGGAAACGAGGTTAAGAAACCTGATGAAGTGGATCTAAAGGATGTGCTTGAGTTAACAAGAACTTTGGAAGACAAGAGTCCAGATGATAAGACTTACGTTAATACGGAGGAGTATCTGTCGCGTTTAGCAAAATTGAAACAAAAGTGGGAAGAAGCAAAGAAGAAGAAGGAATCACTTCAAAAAGAACTTGATCAATCATACACCGAAGGCAATATGGAGAAACTTGCAAGGATTCTGGGTGAACGTGAACAAAATCTACAGGACTTTCAAGATTACTTGAAACAAAGGAAAATTGTTATCACGAGGCTTAAGGATGAGGATATCATTTCACTTTACGAGGATAGAAATAATACTACTCTGAAGAAGAGTCTTCCTGATTTAATAGATGAGACCCAACCGGTGGATTATATACCAGAAGAGAATTTTCTGGAGTGTGATTATTGTCCTGAAGCATTTGCTACGAAAGAAGCATTGGAGGAACATTTGAAGAGCCACGACTATAAAATAATGCACTATTGTGAAGATTGCATGGAAGAATTCCCAACAAATAAAGCAAAGAGGAATCATAACATATCTTGCTTGAAAAAGCTTATCTGTAAGTATTGTGACTTCATGCTGGATTCCAAAGGGAAGAAGAGACAGCACGAACAAAAACATTGTGACAGCATGGATGGACAGTTATGTGACGTTTGTGGTGAAAAATTCAAGCATCAAGGTACCCTGGATCAACATATAAAAACTCAACACATGAGTTGGGAGAAGATTTTTCAATGTCCCAAGTGTCCCAAAAAGTTTGCATTTAAACAGAAATTAAGTTTTCATTTAAAATCGGTGCACACTACTTTGCGTGCTTACTTGTGTGAGGATTGCGGAGCAGACTTTAAGAATCCTGCTAGTCTGAGACATCACAGAATACGAAAACATCAGCCTGTGGGTAATAAACGTGAGTGTCCGGTATGTCACAAGTTAGTACCATTTTACAGTCTGTCGAAGCACATGCATACTCACAAAGCTTACACAATACAGTGTCCGCACTGTGATAAAATGTTCAAAAATAGTTCCACCTTAAAGCAGCACGTAAGAATACATGAAGATCAAAGACAATTCAGATGTGACACCTGTGGTGTTGGATTTAACAGAAGGGATGGCTTGAGATTGCACATGCGAGTCCATGAGAAGACAGACAGCAGAGGCCTGAAGGAGTGTTCTTGTCAGGTATGCGGAGAAAAGTTCCCTAACCACTCCATGCTTGTCATCCACAGGAACAGAGTGCACAAGGATGGCAGGCAATATACCTGTCATATATGTAACAGATCTATGATTTCTACGAGATCACTGGAATGGCATATGTCTCATATTCACAACGAGTCACTACCAGGAACACAAAAAGTTGATGGTGAAATCGGATCTGAAAAAAAAAGGGTGACCTGCTGTCACTGTAACAAGACCTTCAAGACAGAAATGATCCTAAGGACACATATTAAGAATACACATATGGAAAAGGACCCACTGAAATGTACAGATTGTGAAGAGACATTCACATCTGATATAAGATTGAGGCATCATATGATGGTTATTCATAATAGACTCGAAGGCACTTTAGAATGTCCACATTGTCCTAAAAGGTTTGTTAATCATCTTAGACTGAAAACTCACATGATATCCCACTCCGAGGAAAGACCTTACACTTGTGAGATATGTGGATTTAATCTAAAAACTAAAATACAGTTGATCAAGCACCATCAGAATAGGCACAGCGATGAGAGACCCTTACAATGCAGATACTGTCCTTGGAGGTGTAAACAAGTTAGTGCCCTGGTCTGTCATGAAAGAACTCATACGAATGAACGGCCCTACTCTTGCAGTGTATGTAGACAACGATTCAAATACCTGGGTGACAAGAACAAACATGAGAGACGACACGAAAGTCTTGGTGGTTCAGGTTTCAAGAGAATAGTGGCTGGCAGAAATATTAAACAAATAAAAGTTCAAGAGGAAGAGACATCCTCTTCGCAAGACCCAGAAGATTTTGATCAGGGTCAGCCATCGTTGCATACGGAAGAGGAATATAGTTCAAAGTTCGATGATGACCAAATAATCAAGTATGAAGCACAGGATATCGAAGAAGAATCCTATGAGCAGAGTTACGACCCGGTAAGTTTTCTATTTTAATTTCCAAAAATATCACTGTTGCTGCTTCAATTATTTTTTTATGAATATTGTTTGATGCAGGAATACGAAGAGACTTCAAGGGAGGCCTCTGACGCAGCTGAAGTAATAATGAGTATGGAAGATACAACAGTGTACACAGAAGAAGTAACAGCGGACAATATTGAAACTGCTGAGATGATAGCCGATGAAATGATGACAAGTCAAATTCTACAATCAGGTACCGTAGTTCATTTACAACAGCAGGATGATTCAGGAAAGATTCAGGTAATACCTGTAATGTTATCGTTGCCTGATTTGACCGATAGCAATGCAGAGGTTAATCTGGCAACTGCTTCAATCATGTATAATAATTGAACACAGTTGAATTGTCACAATGTTGTAAATTTCTGTGTCACACGTGAAAGAACTAGAACTCTTGAGAGTGAAGTGTATTAAAAAATTTGAACTTGCCGAAGCTCCCAGTTTTACAAAGGAAGAGTTTAATTACATTCCTCTAATGAATGAGATCAGAGCCGTATCTAACTTTGCCCCGGAAGAGTTTTATGTGCGTTGGTATACTTAATCTTGAAGAACTGATAAAAGAAATAGGATGAGGTCACTAAAGAAGTATATACGAATAATTGTAATATACAAACTAAACGAAGTGTGTTGCACTTTGATAATTCTATTCGAGCCACATTCTGTCAATGTGTTCTATAAGGATCACTCGATGAATATATTTGATTCTCAACATGTTAATTGTACCTCAAAGGTATTTGCCTGGGACATTTGTCAATAGAAATTGCATACCAGAAAAATAAAATGAGAACTGAGATATCAGCAATGAGGAGAACCTTCTAATCGTGAAGCTAATTGACAGTTACTTGGAGAAGGGTAACCTATAAATTATTCATTAGAACATAAGTCGTTTGACTGTGCGCAGTAAGACGTTTGTAAATTGAAGGATTTCTTGAAAAGCATAGAGAAAATTACATTAGACCATAAAATGGGATCCTGATAGACTCATTTAGTTTAGTCTTTGTAATATTTTTCCTGTTTGGAATCCTTGATCAATTATTTGCATAGGGAGGTGCAACGTACTTCTGTACGATATACAAGATAGCACATTTATATATATAGAAGTTTATAACTTTCTTTCTAATCATGGATTTCTCTTTGCTTGATTGTCATAAATGATACTTCTTTCTATTTTCTTTCCTTGGATATTTGAAACGAGAATTATAATGCAAGTTTGCATACATGCATATAATTGATCCTGATATCAGGTTGTCTTTATACTTAAGTTCTGTTAATGACAATAGTCCACATAGTAAAATAATATTTTTTTTGTTATTATGCCTTGGCAAATATCAATAGTTTACGGACTAAAGAGAATTGCCTGTTAAACAATTCGATGTACATTAGGATAAACTTTATGTACTTGTAAAGAGAATATGCTGCTGTGGCATTAATAATTATAGTGAATTATGCATACATACATACATACTTCTTGTTCTATTTTATTAGATAACGTTTGTCTTTCTTTTCTTTCTCTTATCTTTTTTTAATCTGTACTCCATCAGCACTGTATTGCGCCAATAAAATATTTTAAATATCAGACGTCTTTTAATCCCGTCAGGAATCGTGAGAAGAAGAAAGAAGAAATTTTTGTAGTTAACTCTTTCTTTGATTCGTTGAAAATATTAAGAAACGACTTATATACATAATTTTCTATTAAACATATCGTTTCTGTATTAAATATCCTAAAGACCATTCATTATATTACAATAAAAGTTTAGAATACCCATTGGTAATATTTGATTACATATAATACGTTCACAATTAACTAATTTATAGATATATTGATAAATTATTTGAACATTCGATCGTGATATATATGCTCATAAAATACATACAAAATATAACTGTTCCATATTTGCCATTCCATCATGATCAAATAATACTATTGATCATCGCATTAAAAAATTAATACCAAAGTTTTGTTGCATCGACTATTACAAAGCTTTGGAAATATAAGAAGCTCCATGTGCTATTATGTTCTTGTGTTAATAGTATATATGTAAATATATATATACTATTCAATAGTTTACAAGCTAAAAAGAATTGCCCGTATATATATAACATCTCTAACAATGAGCCTTCGCTCTACCTAGTAATGCCATCATTAATTCCAAGTGTTAATGTAAATGACAAGTGTTGGAATGCTGTACAAGGAGTAATAATTTTTACCATTAAAAAATATTCATTGATTAAAAAGATATGGATTCCCGTGCGCTAAGTAATAGTTAAACGTATAATTTCCGCGCTAAGAACTCCAATTGTCAGGCTCTATGAGAGATTCATTTAGTGTAAAATAATCATTAATTTTTACTTAAACTCTGGTAATATTCGGCTAATACTTTCCAAGCTTTTGGCGGCATAAAGCCGTCAGGTGGTTTCTCACCGGACTTGGCTAATCCTATAATAAAATATAATTAATTAATTACAATTATACCTTTCAATTATGAAATTAATTATTTAACAGGCTATTCGTATTACCTCGCATTCTTGTGCCTGATATAAAGTCAAAGTCTTGCTTGCGTTCTGGATCAAAGAAAGCCATACGCTTGTTCTTAGTATCATAAGCAGCAACTCTAAAGGGAATGATTTCGAGGCTTTGTAGACCTCTCGCCATTGTGAGAACCCTGGCGCCGTGACTGGGATCGTAGAGGTTCCCGTCAGGGGTTGCTTTCTTGTTAGGATGCGGCATACCTGCTGGGTCTCTGCCAACTATGTAGAAATTGGCACCAGCATTCATTCTTGACTTTGCATGCCACTGTACCTGGAAACAAATTTATAGTAATTTATTATTATTCAAATGTCTATGTGATATTATTTTCATTAGAATGATAGGACCGTAGGCATGACATACCTCTATCGGTCCAGCGTACATCATTGGGCTGGGAAATATAGCTAAGAGAGTAGAATCTGGATGTAATACTCCTTCATCAAGAACAGCCTTATGCTGTAATATCCTAGTGTCCAGAGGAACGTCATCGTCCTTGGTCCAGCCTCCAAGAGGATGCAGCAGAAGAATAGGATTCTTAAATCCTCTCTCCTCTAATAGACGTTTTCTTGTGTCCTGAAGATAAGTATGAATACGCGAACAATTTTTAACAAGGATTGTATAGATGAAGAGGAAAGGGAAATACGTTTTACCTGCATAAGAAGAGCATGTCCATTGTGAATTGGATTTCTAAGCTGAAACGCGAAGACTGCATCAGCACCCATTTCACGGCATTTCTTTCTAATCTGATTAGGGGTTAATCTGTAATCATCAAGACCATCGTGCCATTTAATTTTTTCTAGAACTTCAACATCTCCACCGACTAACCAATCACCAGAGTCATAGATCATCTTTACGTAAGGATGACCTAGATTTGTGGTACCAAATTGCCAGGCACACCGTTCTTCTTTTCTGTGAAAATAAAATTCTGGCCTCCTCAGTATAGCAAGTGATTGACCTTTACGTTTTAGAGTTATTGCTGAAAGTCCTTCTAAACGATTCTTGTCCGCAGTGCTCACTGCCAATACTATTGGTACTGATTGATTCACTTCGGTGCCATCTTCGATAAGACACTTAAGATGTTGAGTCTAAAAGTAAATGAAGGATTCTTGATAATCCTGATTACTTTATCGAGTACAGTGGGACTTTGATAACTTGAACTTCTTTAAGTTAAAAACCTCTATAAGACTACGAATCTTTGAATTTTTTAATGCTTCACTTCTATAACTTGAAAACACTGATAGACTGAAACTACGATAACTCGAAGCATATTTGGTTTCCCTTAAAATTCAAGTTATCGAAGTTCCACTGTATTGTCTTCACATAAGTCTGTAAATGCTTTACCTGTAACAATTGATTTTCACGCATAAATCCTGTCAGAGGTGCTGCCCATCCTTCGGCTAATACTTGAAGCCACTGTACATCTATCTCATTTATTTCTACACTCTGAAGAGTTTCCGCTTCCGCTTTAGCTGAAGCTGCTCTGGACTCTGATACAAAGAGTTCACGTATAGGAGCACCTGACTTTGGAAGAATCGGAATGATACAATGTTCCTCTAAGAGATCGATGACAGTGGATGCCGACTCCTCCAATGTACAATTCTCAGTAGTGACTATTAAATCTGGATTAATTGGTCTCTCATACTTTTGATCAATTCCAGTAAATCCTTTTATTGTTCCTTGACGAGCCTTCTTATAAAGTCCCTTGGTATCTCGTGCCTCGCATACATTTAGAGGAGTGTCGATGAACACTTCGAAAAATGGTAAATCCGATTCCTTGTGGATTTTTCTTGCCATTTGTCGATCTTCTTCAAATGGCGACACGAAGCTACACAAACAAATCTGACCACTGTCTGCAAATAACTTTGCCACTTCTGCAACTCTTCTTATGTTTTCTGTACGATCTTCTTTGCTGAAGCCTAGATTTTTGTTCAGTCCAGTTCTTACATTATCACCATCCAAGCCATAGGCTGCTATTCCTCTGTCAACCAAGAAAGCTTCTACTTGGAACGCTATTGAAGTTTTACCAGCACCAGAGAGTCCTGTTAACCACACAGTGCATCCACGGAATCCACGCACCATACCAATGGTCTGTCCACGTTTAGTCCTTGATACATGATGAGCCTGGACTGAGACATTTGTGCAAGTCTGTAAAAGAAATGAATCAATTGTCTTTTATTAATTTTATAATTAAACCATATAATTTCTCATACGATGATCATAAGCTTCGTTAAAATTCTTTATAAGCCTTTGTCTTCTTTCTCTGATGCGGACTATATGTTTCAGGAAATTTGAATTGACCATAAGCATAATATTCATTTCCTTAGCGTATACCGTTATCTATCATTACCATACGCCTGAAGATATGTATCATATCAATTTTCGTTCGGGCTTTCAACGCTAGCATAAAGTCATCAATTTACTTTGCTACTAAATTATAGGACTCATGTAACATATTCACCTCGGTTCTAATGTAAAAACTAGTTAATTTTATGCTGCTTGTAATTTCTACCTCTTTCCCGTATTTTATAATACATAATGTAATCGATTCTATACATTGCATATGGACTATACGGTAATCGACGAATTCACTGTTATTTTAGGAGTACAGTTAACTCTTCTGAGAGCATAGTCAATTAGTCAAGAACGCAAAATGAAGCCAAGGCGTACACGTACCAAAGATATGAAAAAAGCCAAACAAAGAAATACTTCTACATAAGCGTGATTCCTGGGTAAATACAAGTTTATATAGTTAACGTTTCGAATGTTCTAATGGTGCTGCATTTATTAGAAAATTAATTTTATTTCAGCCAGAAACTTTCTATTTTCGAGATACGATAACAGGAGGCCTCCTAAATATAATTTGAGCTTATTTAATAATTTAAAATGTACTAGGCAATATTTCGTTTACATCGTATCTATAAAATAGATTGGAACATTTTTTCTTGCGCTATCTTTTCGCAATATTAACATTCAATTTATACGGTTGTAGTAAATTCGTAAAGACATATAATGCTGATAGATTGACTTGGTCAAGCAGCGCTATCGCAAATACTAAACTGAGAATACAATAACGCTTATCGTTCAATTTTTAAAATTGATATTCTAGTTATCACTCCATGGCGGATGTAGATGCATCCAAGCACTTTATAATTACAAAACCGAAGGAATCTATTGTTGCCTGAAGGAGTATATCATTTTTATATAACTCCGTTCGGATTAAAATATAGATAATAAAAATTAACTTCAAAATTGCAGCGGCCGAAAGAGCGCTCAACTTATGTTGTTTTGATCAATGAGCTTGTTCCGATTAATAGCGCTTTAAAATTTATCTAATAATTAATCAGTTAAATTATTATGGGAAAATCATATTAATTGACATTACTTACCGTCATTAATTTTTTATTTGGTGCTTCTCTTGATACCTCAGACATAGTGGACGTCTTATTCCTTATGGTTTCTATGTTTTTCACGCTCTACGGGTCTTAATATTTAGACTAGCAGTGATAAAACACGTGGTCGAATGATAACAGAACTGTGTAGAAGTGGGGGATGAACACGTTTGGCTGATACTGTACTGTTTCAAATCATTATTCATTTAGAATTAAATCTAAATCAGCTGCACGACGGTCACTGATAGTTGGTCACTTTGCGACTCCCTGATGACACGCCGCTGAAATATGCTGGCGCCATCGTGTGTCAAAAATACAGCGTTTACAAGCAGAAGTAGGATTTGTTCCTTTACAATTGCGCAACTCCAAGCTAACCAATGTTTCCTCTGCTTAGAAATGTTTATATTTATTATTGGATAACGGACAGAATTGTTTGTTTAAAAGAATGCGGGAAATTGTACTTCAACTGCATGGATGATAGTACTCATGGATCTTATAGGAGCATCTTTTATTCACACCTTTAAAATAATCTTGACAGAAACTCCAACTCTATTATTCTTTATGGTACGGTTGCATCGAACACCTTTTCTTTACACGACGCTTTGATCTTTTTGAATTCTTGTAAAGTTCATTTTGAGGAAGCACATCGAATCGCTGGGAAATTACATTTTCTACGCAGCACAACTGACTCTTCGGATCATTAGAGTTATAGTATACCGATGCTCCTATTCGCAAGAAACTGGTAGATTCTCTTGAATAATATACAGAATATCTTGGTTCTAGAATGTGACCAAATACATCATCTATTGATCCTAAGAAGATGTAATTGATATTATCAAGATCCTGTGAGTCTGGATTGCATAGGTATAGAGGAGTACTAATGTTCAATATAATTGTTAACTGCGGCTGAATTATTACCACTCCCAATGTATTTAATATAGATGTTATTTCTCCTGCACATTTCTTCATATCATTTTGTTTTGAACATCCGGGATGAATGCTTAGTTTTTCAATTAGAGGTATCAGTTGGTTTTTTTTCCTCTTATTTCTCCTTGCAGCTTTTGACCAAAGTGTATTTATCTGCAGTTTCTCGAAACAATGACTTATATTGCTGCTTTAAACAGTACAATGCACACAAATACCCAATAGTAAATAAAATTCTTACTTAAGAGAATATAATCTTACCTCTCTATATCATTACAGTTAAGATCCTTTTCTATTATTTGGTTGTTACTTGAAACTTCTTTTGCAGAATATTTATCATGAGTATAGTTTTTATTGGTGGATGAGCGAATTGTTTTAGTGTCATTCCATGTATTAATGGCATTCATAATTATTCGATTTATATTACTTCTCTAAATTTAACAAATAAGAAGAATTATTGCAATAAACACGTGCCATTAGAGGAGGAATAGTTTTAACTTATGGAAAAAAAAGTTTTGAAGAAAGGCATCTATTTAAAAGTGTCATCAATATCCGGTATACCTATAACAGTGCGCGAAAATCAAACTGAATCAAACTCATACAGTGTATATATAACCTGAAAACTATCGTTCAGTTAATTAATAGTTATTTTAGTATTTAATACATCATGTTTAGGACATTACATTATAGCAATAGAATTTACGGAATATGTAGAATACACGGCGAATATGGAAAACTTCTAAAGCAGAATTACAGCAGCAAGGTAATCAATTTATTATCATTGAGGTTAACAGGTGCTTCATTAGTGTGGTATTTATATTGTTATAATGAATTAACATTGCTTTTTTGAAGTTATAGACAAAAATAGTTGAAGAATTTTTACATTGTAGTCATAAACTATCATAGTGTACGATTTTATAACATAGGATACAAAGTTATTCGATTCTAGTTATATAATATTAGACCAATATTAATGGTATATAATCTTGTAGCAGAACATTACTTATCCAGAGAGAATATTCTCTGGAATTCAACCCACAGGTAACATGCATTTAGGAAATTATTTGGGTGCCATACAGAAGTGGATCGAATTGCAAAATTCTGGGAAGAATGTTATATGGAGTATTGTTGATCTTCATTCTATAACATTGCCACAAGTAAGATACATATATAATGAATAGTTATTTATTAATACACAAAGAATTTGTTTACAGGATTCTATAGAATTGAGACAAAATATACTTAAAATGACAGCAACGTTGTTGGCGTGTGGAATAGATCCAGAGAAAAGTATTTTGTTTCAACAATCTACCGTTTCAATGCATGCAGAATTGAGCTGGATTCTTGGTTGCAATACAACCATGCCTCGGTTGGGACAATTGCCACAATTTAAAGAAAAAAGTGAAAAAGTCAAGGAAGTACCTCTGGGCTTATACATTTACCCTGTTTTGCAAGCTGCAGATATATTACTTTATAAGTAAACCTAATGTCATTAATCATTTCAAGGATAAAGACAGAGGAGAATTGAATATATGTCTTTCAGAGCAACGCATGTACCTGTTGGTCAGGATCAAGTACAGCATTTGCAATTGGCCCAACATTTAGCACACACGTTCAACAGAAAGTTTAAAGAAACATTTCCAATACCTCGTGCTCTTGTGAACCGTAAGCTTAATTAATATTTTTAATCCTTGACTTATTTCAGTACGTTATGCATGGTTTGTGGTTCTTTAATTTAGAGGATACCAGTAGTAGATTAAAGTCTCTAAGGGATCCAACAAAGAAAATGTCAAAATCAAGCAATGATCCAAAAAGTCGATTGGAATTGACAGATGAGCCAAGAGTATTGTTGAATAAAATAAAAAAAGCTGTTACAGACTTCACTTCTACAGTCACTTTTGAACCAGAGACCAGACCAGGTGTATCGAATCTTATTGCCATACATTCGTTACTTAGTGGGAAGTCTCCTGAAGAGATTTGTAAGGAAGCTGAAAATGTTGATACTGGAGAGTAAGTTTGTTTTTTATACATATAGGAATTTCTCACTTTTTGATAGTTTTTAATCATAAAAAAATCTTTCAGGTATAAATTCGTTGTAGCTGACGTGGTCATTGAAAAATTGACTCCAATTAGAGAACGTATAAATCAGTTAATTAAAGAACCCCAGTATTTAGAGAAGGTTTTAAGCGACGGTGCGGAAAGAGCTACGTCCATTGCTGTGAATACTTGGCTAGAAGTCAGAAATAAAGTGGGATTAGGCAATAATGCATTAGTCACAAATATGCTAGAATTACAAAGAGCTGCTAGTAGAAGGAAATGATAATTCATGAATTCTTATTATACAATAAACAATTTATTTATACAAAGTATATCACTTCATGTCGATTACTATTTTGCCGCGCAAGTGTCCTAGCGATACCCGTTCGTAGGCTTTTGGTAGTTCTTGAAAAGGATAAACCTTTTTAACGACTGGTACAAGCTGTAAGTTAGAATATTAAATAGTGAACTATTAACTGCTATTTAACTCATATTTACATAGCTGTCTTCCTTACTTTTCCATTTTCTACAAACTCTTGAATCATGTTGAGACCCTCCGATGAAGGTGTGAAAAACGCCCATTTTAGCGTACTCTTGTTTTCTGCTTTCGGAAGATTATGTTTACAGAAATCACTAATATTTCTAATCATTCCACCGATCAAACCGTGCTCATCCAAATTTTTTAGAAGAGGAGAATTTAATGTTATGTAACTTTCATGTTGATATCCTTTGGCTTTGGCCTGTTCGATTCCTTGATTGCAACAATCCAAAATTATGTCGTACCTACAAATATATACAAAAATTAAAATACCTTTATCTTTTTATCATTTTTTTTTTTAAATTAACTTACGGGCCTTCTTCAAATATCTTTCTGTCTGCATCATCTTGCTTGTAATCTATGACTACATCAGCACCCAATTTTTTCAAAACGTTTACTGCGTCGCTGCTACACGTTGTTATTACCTGAAATCGTATGAAGAGCCAAACACTTTTTAAATAAATATACTTAAATTCACAAAAAATGGATAGCTTGTATGACAAGATACTAACATGCATGTTCCATGCCTTCAAGAGTTGTATAGCTAAAGTGCCTACGCCACCAGATCCACCCAAAACCAACATTCTTCTGTTCATCCTAGTGGCGATGGAAGTTTTATAAGATAAGCCACCACACCACCATAAGGCAGACCACGCAGTGAGGCCTGCATATAATATACTGGCTGCTTCAATGTATGACAAGTTTTCAGGTCTTGGATTTACCTTAAAGAAGTATTATATTCATATAAAAAATTATATTCTAATACATTTTCAAATACTATCATTACCATACTGTTATCAACAACAACGTGACTGGAATGGCATCCTTGCTGTTCTATCGAAACAACACCCCAGACTTTGTCGCCCAACTTGAGTCTGTCCCCAACACCATGACCCTTTGAAATAACCACACCAGAGAAATCCCTACCCATAATCAAAGGAAACTCAATACCTGAGCTATTGATATTATTCACATTCTTTGCTTTGCGCATAAGATTCAAAGCCATAGCACCGTATCCTTCTGAAAAAATATGTGATTATAATACAAAGTTGTGATATGAAATTCTCATTTTACATACTCATCATAGCCACGTCAATTGGATTGACACTAGAAGCTTCAACTTTGATTAAAACTTCTGTCGGTTTTGTTATAACTGGCATCCTTACAGTAGACAATTTTAGTTCATCCAAATTGCCATAAGAATGTATCTGCCAAGCTTGCATTTTATCCTCTGGATTTTCCTTGTACTTCACTGACAACCTAGCCAAATATCGTAGCTGAGAAGCCCGTAAAACAGACTTCCTGTTGAACACCCTAATCCCAGTGCTCCACATTTCTTCAGGATAAATAAATACCCTACAATAAATCCAGGCCAACGTTACGATAGTAAGGTTATGTTATGTTATATTATATATAGTATTTTATAAGTTACGCACAACGAGGTAGAGCGAGTAGCTAATAGAAAGCGCAGAGTATAATTAAGAATTTGGAAACTATAAAGTAAACTAGAACATATGAAATTTAATTATGAAATTACAGATTTCATGATTTTAATAAACTGCATAAAGTTGCAAGCGAATTCCTGAGTAGATACTAGTTGGCTCGTCTACTGTCCTCTTTTTTATGTTAACGCAATAGATATTTCAGTTACTCCCATTCTATAAGAATCATGCATTTATTTTTCTATTTACATAATCAAAATGCATCAAAGAATCCTGTATGAAATCATACCTATAAATTTAAACCGATCAACTATACTAATTTTGTAGACTGCCATGTTAGTTGACATTAGCGAACTCTTCATCGGGTAGCGCCAACTTTCAAAGTGTAAGTGCCAGTTGACAAGTAGAATAATTCCTTGCGTATTTAAAACCCTTAACGCCATTATAAGCTTACAAAGACTTATGCAAAGATAACATCAGTAGCAGAATTGTCCGTAATACTTGAAAAAATGTTGAAATCTATGTAATCTAGAGAAGTTATCAACAGGTAGGTATCACGTAGTTTCTATTTTCAAAGTGACAATCAGACATTTTTTTTTTCATCGGCATCCCACTTTGCAAACGGAAGTGAATGGAACAGCTGTATGCAGATTCCAGGTAAGAAATAATCTCGAAAGATCTATCCAATCCATGATCGCATCTATTCTTAGAGTATCCTAATATCCGTAGATCCTAAAATCCTGATGAAGTGTAGAAATGTCAAAGGAACGAGGATGATTTCTTCTTCAAGGAGGACATAGAAGGTCTGTCTTTTGAGACGGTTGCAATTTCAATATGCATCCGAATGACGAACGTTTTCTCTCTTCATGTGACAGAGTACGATGGTAATAAGCTAGAGGAAAAGGCGACGAGAATGAGATGGACGTGGGGCTAGTGTAGAGTGTAGAGTGCAGAGTGGTACGACGCGACATAGGTACTATATACATATATGTAGCTAGCTGTATACGATAGGTTAGAATAGAAGGATGACGACGAGGAGAAGGAAGTGTAGAAGGTTAGGGGTTGGTTTTCGCGAGGATGGCGTGATAGTATAGGGGATGCGCGAAATTCTCTCCCTCTTTAAACTCTCCGGGTAAACGTAGAAGAGCGCAAGTCCCGGATCGATCGTTGATCGCCATGGTTACGCCTGGATATAGGCACGAACCACCCCATCCGCCTCACGGTAAGTCGAATACGTTGAATTTACAGGGGAAAAACTGGGAAAACGTTGAGGAATCCGCCCCGATCTCTATCGGGCCGATCGTAGGGGCGTGGATCGTTTCGCGATCGGCTCCAGGAGTGTCGTGAGTTTAATACGTTGTGTAAAAGAGTGTCGAACTGCATGGGCGCATCACGGGCGCAGCAGGGATATCGACATTTTCGGCTAGGGGCGCATTCGGGGCCAGGCCTTCCCCGATCTGCAGTATCCATGGCTACGTGGGAGATGAATTCACGCGAAAGTACGGCGATGCCGTAACCGGGAAAACGTTGTCGAGAGTGAACTTGGCCATCTTTAAAATTTGAATTAACGTACCTTAACGGTTCACATACCCTTTGAGAGTCCTGACGCGATTTCTTATCCGGAGCTACGGTGGGTTCACAGAGTGTGATGTTGTGATTTTTTGACAAGGGTGGAGAGTACCATTTTACATCCTTTATTATTTTATGTTTAATCCTTTTTTGTCTCTTTTAATTCACTACGGCTCTCTCTAAGGAAGCCAGCAATACTTTGGCGGTTTTTCCTCCGGTTCTTGTCTCTGCGCGATGTTCTATGTTGTTGTGCATCATCCCTGTGTCGCGTTGTGTCGCCTCTTCAGTTTACACAAACTTTTGAATGAGGATCAACCCTTAGTATCCGGTATAAATAAGTGAGAGAAAGTGTGAATTTGTCAACCCCCAAGCGGAATTATTCCAACACTCGTGGTAAAGTATCTCTGCGCATTTTCATTATTCAATAGAGAAATGCTTTACGATTCCTTAAAGGGTATATCAAAGTAATTCTCACACTTATACTTTACTTACACGTTACTTAACAGTGTCCGACTGTCTGATTTCAATCCATTATGGTGTCTAGTTTCTAGTATATTTTTTTTTTATAGAAAAATCGATTATTCCTTCATTCCCAGGAGACGATGCTTCTATACTTATTCCCTACGTTACAATCCACTAAACTGACATATTGTCTACCAGCCGGTAACGTCTGCTTCTCAGGATCCTGGAGGCTCTTGAAAAAACGTACTAATAGAATTTCTTCCATTTATTTAAAGTACTTATCAAGGCCGACGTAGGGATACCTTTAAAAGTCGCTGAGCCGTGCTAGAATTGTGGATACACAACCCCAGTTTTATTGTAGTATCAGACTCGTCACGATATCGTTCATTGATTCAAATAAAATTCGGGGCGAATGCACCGTGGTAAAACAAGCAAATCAAAATATACAAATATACCCAGCTATAGTATACGTGAGTTTTATAACTATAAATATATAATAGAAACGTATATTAAAAAACAAATGATAAGCGAAATATCTAATCCGAATGATCTTTGATATTATATCATGAAATTGCGTTGCATCGTATCGACAAGCGAAGGAGCCGGCATCTACGTGTGCACGGTACCCGCCCATGTCGTGAAGTCCTCCTCCCGAAAAGGGTCCATTTGGGTCGAAGATAATGTGGACGGAACGAGATAAAATAAAGTAGGAAAGAATGGCGTATACAGAGAGGATGGATAAACAATGTGGATCCGCCTAAGGAACCTATCGAGGTTTACCTTTTGCAATATTCACGTTTAGGAGGTGATAGGTAACCGCATTCCAGGGTAGGAGGAGGAGGAGGGGAAGGGGTTGTTCGAAATCGATATAGTGTTTAGGAAGGTCTTTTCACCCACAACCATAGGTACCTACTTTACCCTAGCTCGTAATCAGAACCCAAGCCTGCCACTGGCTTCCTGTCTACCACGTTCACTCACTCTTTGCCCTCTATTAGATCAACTGCCTCTACCTCAGCATCTTCCTCTACGTGGCTGCGATGGGATCCTCATATAGATACTACCTGGGAACGTAACAACCGATTGATGGAATTATCTCTTGGATGCTTTAAAGAGGATTTCTGATCTGGACCAGAGGCTGACTTGGTTCGTTCGTCCTTTGCCTCAGTTCAGTCACCCCTGGCTGCGTCAACATCACTCTTCATGCTTGGATGACGTACACTCTCTTTTTATATATTTATTACTTTTTTTAGGAAATCTTTTTTTTATGTATCATTCTACTTACACTTTATTAATATTGTTCGATAGGCACGTGCATTGTGAAGGGAAAGTACCCTTGTTGGAAATTAACCCTTATTACCCTTCGGTTGTTGATACTCTGTCTCCTGTACTCTTCAGCATCTGGTGATGGTCTGTCTTCAGAGATCTAGGATTTGGCGTTCTCTTTCATAAGGGTGGAAACGACGTCGCGTATTTGGAGAATGAAATTACTTTCCAGAAGCGTTATAAAAATAGTTTTAGTAGGGGTTCGTAAATCGGATGGGACGGCTTCCTGTTCAATAGGGTAAATAAAATGGAGGGAGTCTCTAAGGGGTTGGCGTTCGCCAGGGTGGACTGAATGAAAATCAATTAAATGCAATTAAGCTGAAATTCGAATTGGTCTGCTTTGAATCGACAGCGTTGATGACTTTTAACGTGACTCTAACATTTCAGGCATTCGATTTGCATTCCTGTAGTTGGATAGCGAATTCTTCATCCTGGAGACCTGGATATGACTTGTGATGTTTTTCTCATATTTCATGAAAGTCATATTGCTTCTCCTGAGTCTCAATCTCAATACTCTGGATCTGTGACCTGAGTGAACTGGTCTTGTCGCTTGGTTCCATGTATTTGACCCTTACCACCGGTTTGTGTAGGAGGATGCACCAGGATGTTATTATTACTTGAGAGTAAAAAGAAGCAAGAGCAGCTATGCTGTCGCAGATGACTTTCTATCACTGTAAATGTACCCCAGAAACTTATTAGCCAATGATGGAGTCAAAGTAGGTGTTGAATGGGCGATAATGGTAAACGGTATTAAAAAATTATATCTTTGTTAAAAATATTTATTTAAAAATATTTATTTTAACACAAGAAAATATCTGTTCGCAGCGATGATGCCACGGAGAAGCTGATAATCTCAGGAGGCAGCAATGATGTGACAATAAAGATATCTTCTTCTGTTCTCTGATCGGGGACCACTCCCTGTTTACAGTGCTTCCCAAGAAACCAAGAAAACGCAAGAAAAAGAAAATAGACTCACCGAACAGGTGATAGCTTCGGTGCCAAAATCGAAAATTAAAATATACACAGTGTCAAAGAAAGAGAGCGTGATACGGAAGAGATATCAGTGGATTGTAATAACAGGAACCGGAAGAGACTCGCAGAAACGTAAGGTCAGGAATGTATTAAAAAAAAAAAAAAAAAAAACTCAAGCAAACTGTATACAGCAAAGAAAAACTGACTGCCAAGATCCTAAAGAATCAAGAGCAAGGTGATCAAGAAGCAAATAAGGTGGAGGCGTCCTAAAGATAGAAGAAGAAGCAAAGAAAACTGGAAGTTGAAGAATAAAATGGGCAACAAGCTGTCCTGCAGCTGCGCACCCTTGATAAGAAAGGCGTACCGTTACGAAGATTCGCCATGGCAGGCCGGTGCCAGGGGCGGCGTAGGCACCGGTGGAGGCCGCAGGGGCGACACTGGTCACTTGCTCAGGTGCGGAAGCTTAAGAGAGAGGAAGAGGTGCGCATACCATACCATTCAGCCATTCAACCATTTCATTCGAATTCGACCATCTTACAATCTCTCTACTGTACCTGATCACATGACTACTGTGTCTGTACTCAGATAGACTGTCTACCGATGCATTATGACTACTTGCTATGTCTCTCTCTCTCTCTCTCTCTCTCTCTCTCTCTCTCTCTCTCTCTGTCCACCCATCCCTCTCTCTCTTTCATTCGCACCTTCGTCCATTCATCACACTCGGCAGCCCTCGATTGTTACGGTCACGTTACTACTATGCGCCAATGCATCGCGTTAACTATGCATATGCATATATCTAGGTATCAATAATATGCAGGACTGTTCAGTTGAAATGCATTAATTTTACTTGACAATTGACATTTGACATTTATTATTGATGCATTTCTAAGTGAGTGATTTTGGATATTAGTCGAATCATAATTTGGAGTCGTTGGAATTATTTTATTTACTTTATTGGTATTTGTTCTCTTTGTTCATATTTGTTAAACAGAATTTTTAATGTTAACGTCGGGTTTTCTAGAGATAATTACTGGTTATGTCCTTTTTTTTGTTTTGTTAACTTGGTGTACCTGATTAATTTTTTTTGTTCATTTCCTCTTGATGGTTTTTATACAGATCAAATCGCTTCTCGACCAATCAAATTCACTCGACCATTCTTCACTCCTGTTTATTCTTCATTATCATAGATAAATCAATCTTTTTTCATTTCATTTTACACTTTCATTTCTGCAGTGCACGAAATGCTTTAGGAATTGCTTATAGTTGCACTTTCTTATCATGCTACGGTGCAGAGATATTATGCAAAGAAAATGAAAATAGTTCTAAAGCTAGTTCGCATGCTCTGCAATTTTTCTATTTGGCATTGACGTAAGGCCTGTTAAGTAAAATAAACAGTAGAATGATCTCTATTGAATTAGATTATAATAATATTTTTCAATTGAAGATTTTCAACTACTGTGCACGTTAGATACTGTAGATAGATATGTGTAATAGATAACCTGAGGGAAAAAAGAATTTCAAATAGACACTGGACGGTACAAGACAATTGTAAGAATCTGTAAAACGTAGAGTGCTATTGGTAAAGAGAAAAGACATTTTTCAACGTAATAGTTATTACTTGTTAAACAAGATAAATCTTTGTTACCGTAGTACCTATGTGTAAAAAGATAATTAATATATATTCTTATAAAACTCTATCATGTTGTATAACGTCGAGGGATTTCAGACTCTGGGCCGAAGTTTTTCACGTGAGCGCAAGTGGGGCCGGAACTGTAAAGTGGCAGCAAATCTCAGAAGACCTGGTCCCTGTGAACATTACCTGCGTGCAGGATTCACCTGAGTGCATCTTCCATATCACGGCTTACAATAGTCAGGTGGATAAGATCCTGGACGTGCGACTTGTGCAGCCAGGTAATAAGTTTTTCGATAACCCAAATGAACTACTAGCAGACCTGTATTGTCAGGAGAGAAAAAGAATGCTAACAACCAATTGCAAAGAATGGGTGTATCTTTTCTTTTTAAAAAATTGAACCCATCAAGTACTCGTTATTGAAACTGTCTATTCTTTTCAAGTTCAGTATCTGGCTACCACTTGGCCTAGTTTAATATTCTGTCTTTTTAAGGTACAAGAATTGGCCAAGCATCTGAGTGCTTTGTCTATTGGAAAGACACAATGACCAACGACACTTGGGGACTGAACTTCACCTCACCGATCGATGCTAAACAGTTTCGCGAATGCTGCGTGAGTTTGTAGTTGGGTTAAGAGAATTGTGGATAATTTTTGTTAGAATATGATGTTAATTTTCTAAAATTTTTTTTTACTCACTTTTAGTCGCCGTCGTTCAAGTTCTCCAGGAAGGCCTCCTCGTCCTATTCCTTGAAGCTGGAACCGCCGAACAAGCAGAAGATAAAGACAAGGAGAAAGACCCTATCTACTCCAGCCTCACCAAGCAGATCAAGAGAACCTCAGTGTACTTGTATGACCCCGGAACAATTTGCACGGCTGCGTAGTCAAGACCCTAGATACAGAGGTACTTGCGGTAAGATATCAAAATTTCCTTTTTACGTCTTTCTGACGTAACGTACAGGTAAAAGGGTATAAGAGTACTCGATAGAAATTACTGATTGGATATCGTAATTGGGTTTCATATATAACATGTATTATATATAGGTCGTAGATATTTATGTGCTATATACAAGTTTATGGAATGGATCAATTTCTAATTATCGGGTAATTAATAGAGCTGTAATGGATGTATCTCGTCAGGACACTCAGGTTCTGCTTGGTTCTGTGAATATTTCTGACGGATAGTGTATCACTAGGTATCCAGTGTCATTGTTTATCCATTTTTTGTATTATTAATTGACAGCTTTATTGATGCTCTTTATCCAGGTGGTTCCTCCACGTTACCAAGGACCATGGCTCGCTCGACTGAAATGGAGATGACACCTGGACGAGATAAGATTACAGCGGCTACGTCCAGCGCGTCACTCTACGACAATGTGACCAATGCGAATGCCACACCCGGGAAGACGGCAAAGAGCGGAGACTCGATTAAGCAGAAGGAGAAGCAACAGCAAAATGAGACCTGTCAAACAACACCAAAAACAGCAAACGTGGCAATTGGCACGGCTACAGTTGGTTCTCAGGCACGTACCAGTTGTCTGTTATTTTTTATTGCCTTCGTAGCGCTATACTTTCTCTATAGTTCACCTCCTTAACGTTCTTTTGCGTTACAGATTGATAGTCCGGAAGAGAAGGGTCCAGCGATCTCGCCCAAAAAGGGCCAGAAACAGAGTCAGGACTCGTCGACTCAGCAAAATGGAACTGAAAGGGAGACATTGAAGTCCGAGGGTACACAGGCTGGTGGAACGTTGCAGAACAAGTCAATGCGCAAGGAGCAACTTCATCATACAAAGTCAGCGGACTACACTGAATTGGAAATGGAGAATGGAAATATATTCAATATAGTGAACAATAATCATAACGGTAGAAAGTCGAAAAGCAAGAGCACCGATGACATGAGAATTGAAAATGCTCAAAACGGTGGAATCAGTTTGGATTCCAATACTCTGAAGAGAATGCTGAAGCCCATGTCAAGTATCGACAGTCCTGTCACGTCTCCTGAAATGACTAGAAAGAGGCACAGTCATCACAGCTATCATTATCATCCTAACAATAACAATCAGAAGTACATGTCCGAGGCTGAGAATGAAAATTACTCGAATCCTTACAGAAGCTCGTACAACAACAAGTTCCAGGGTTCGCGAAGCGCTCACGACATGGGAAGACAGTATACTGGTAAATTATTACCTAATTTCTTTTATTCTTTGTCTTTGGTATCTCTGGATGCTTGTTGCCATTTGTTTTGCCAACTCCTCCATCGTGAAGTCTCTCCGTTCCAGGTGGTAGAACCAGGACGTACTTGGACATGGAACGTAATCGGTGCACAGGTGACATGTCGCCGCCTTCGGACAACGTCATATTCGACAACCAATGCTACGCGACAACTCCGAGCTCGTCGAATGGGAATTCCGACATGGAGCAATCGAATCATTGCAACTCCAGACGATGTAACAACGGTCAAACATATCAGCAACAGAACATGCAGTCGGTGTCTACGCCAGGAAGTCCCACCAGTAGGCTTCTTCTTGAATACGAGATGCACCTCAGGAATACACTTGCCAAAGGAATGGACGCCGAAAGTTACAGTCTTCATACGTTTGAAGCTTTGCTCACTCAGAGTATGGAAAATCTTGGTGAATATCGTGGATAAGACTGATTTAATTTGTTTTTATAAATTTTCATTAATCTCTTTATTGATTTATATTATCTTCAGAATTCGCTGAGAATATTCCTTTGAACGTTCAACGCACGCCCCACGTTTCGCGTAGACGTAAGTTCGATAGTTTAAGATTGTTTGAAGCTTTTGATGTATTATTTTATATAGATTCTTTTTATTGTGGCTTTTTATTTTTCATTCGATCAGGATCCAGCAGCAATAAATCATCCACGCTTCCATTGTCCTATCGCTACTGTAACGAGAGACAGAACAGTAAGGATCGCGATGGCTACTACAGCGACAGGAATGAGATTATCAGGGAAAAAAGAGAACGAGATCTTGATCGTGATCGTGGATATCTAAGCGATTATAATTCGAGGTATTTCATTGTAGATTAGTCAAACTTAATGTCTCAGTAATAAACTTTAATTACCATCTGAACCGTATCTCGATTTGAGTAACAGATGTGCCAGTTGCATTGGCGAATCTGCTAGGGCTCAATGGTTCCGGCACTCGGATGGCTGGCAATCCGGAAGCTCGACACTTGGTTCCGGTGCATCCAGCTCCATGAATCCTGCTTACTCGGGACACAAAAGAGAATCACCCTGGGACTCGCTACCATCTCTGAGACACGAGGGCAGCCTGAACGACAGTGGTTACAAGTCAAATAGAACCGATTCTTTGGAACAAAGGTGAGATTTATCTTATACGTCTTTAACCAGTACTTATCCAAAGTGCTGTCTTACTCTTATAGTTCAGTGTAAAGTGAACATCATTCGTACATTCGCGAGATTATGGGGTGTATGGATGGGCAAAGTAAGTGAATTTTTTAGTTAAAAATTAAAAGAGAAAAAAGAACTGTTATGCGACAAACTTTTTTTTACAAATGATTTTTTTTTCATCAGACACCAAGTGTAAGATATGCCTTTTAATCAATTTTTCTCAAATCTCTGCAATCCTCTTTAGCTCATTAAAATGCAAAGGGACGTGGGATCATAGTTCCTTGCATCCATGAACGGATACGGTGTAAATTGTGACCTGTTCTCGTTACACAATGCATACTTATCCTTAAGTCCCCCCAACGTTCTTTCTTTCTTTAGTTTAGTGAAGAAAAAAAAAAAGAAAGAAAGAAAAGGGAAAAAAAACCCTTCTCATGCCCTACCCCACCTCTCTATTGTTTTCATTGTCTTCCTACCCCCCATTGTGTCGCAATCTTTTCACTTTTACCACATTTTTCAGCGAGGCTCGCGCATTGCTTCCGCGCGAAACCTCTGCGAGTCCATTTTTTCCATTCACCAAATATATTTCTATATATTTTCATCGGACAGGAAAGGCGACGCGACCATTGAATTAGCAGCCTCGAGAAAGGTTCCTCGCACACGATTTTCGAACGGGGCCGCTATGACTCCCAAGTACGAAAAATAATCCTATTCCTATGAAAGTTCATAATTAGCTAATTAAACTTTTGCGACGCATTGTATAAAAGCGGCTATTACGATTTGATAAAATTCCAAATTATTGGTATAACATACATGATATAATTTGCATCCATTAATCTTTCCCAATAGTTAATTGCCTACTGTACGAATTATTTGACGTTTTGTCTGTCAGTGTAACTTTGCCGTCTTCCTCTTTCGTCCCTCTGTACCGTATCTATGAATTAACCTCTTTACACGGCCTGTGTCAGTCTTTTGTTAATTGACAGTGAGAGAGAAGTTGCTCAAAGTAATATTGAGACTCCAACTGATTAGACAATGACGACTAATCACTTTTCCTATGACTTTCCAGGGGTACCTTCGACAGGCAGGACAGCGTCAGGTCGGATTACATGTCCGACAGGGATGGCAGATATGGTATCGTGCAACAAGCTTCCCTGGAGAGTACAGACTCGAGGCTCTGCTACTTGACGTCTTCCGAGGTGAGTCAGGAGTGGCTGTTGACCTTAACTCCCCAATTTCAAGATCTCCTTCAGTATTATATCATCCACGTTCGATCCTCTTAATTTACAATGCACTTTCCTTATTCGTTTATATGTTGGTAAGCGTCCTTGGTAACATCGCCGAGGAGACACTCGGAGAAGGGTAAACCAGGTTATGGATTATTACATCGGAGGCTGGAAGGAATTTCAAGAGATATTGAAAAGGAACGTCCAATAAATTTTTGTCGGGTGACGCCTGGTGGGTGGTAGGATCCCAACGTACCCAGGGGAGCCAGTATGTAATTCCAGAGGACGAGTATGCTGGAAGGAACGTGGGAAGTGGAGAACATCGATAACCTAGTGACCCTGGTTCGACGTTACGAGTATTTCATAGCCATTCCTATCTGGCGACTGTGCCAAAGCCCACTGAGAAATGGGGTTGGGTGGGGTTGGGGTCGGCCGGTTGTTTTTGTTGCTTTGTTACGGAAATGCGATATATATCGGTGCCGACGTTATTTTATCACAGGGTCGGATAGTGGGGGGGTTGCCAACAGGTGCATGCGCATGTCCTCGGATCTCACGAATTTACCCCACGTACAACCCCCCTCTCCATTCTGTATGTGCTAGTCAGCGAGGAAGAAATGAGCTTGGTGCCCGAAAGAAAAATTTGCTACATGAAAAATTCTATCTTTCTCACTCAAAAGCTACGATACGTAATTTCATACGAAAGAAGGCAAATTATTGGAAAACGACAAAATTTCTTGCTACCACATGGATTTTTGGCGACAGGATGCGCGAAACCGTTGATAAAAATGTGGAGGAGAAATACGAGGGCATGGAATGAAAGGAATCTCGACTACGTAAAATAGTTGAGATGCAAAGTTGTACAAAGAGCGCATAGTGCACCCTCGAAAAGTCTCGTAAGCTACGTCACGAGTATTGTAGCGGCAGTGTCCTCGCAGCAGCCGCATTTCCCACCCTTAACCGTCCTCACGGTCCCCTTTTGTAACCTCCGCACTTTCCACCGCCTACCGGGGGCAGAGCCGGAGGCGAGGAGCGCCAGCGCCAGTGCTAGCGGCAGCGGTAGTAGCAGCAACTATATACTATGACACCCCACTCCTGATCTGACTCCCTCCTTCGTATATCTCTTACCCCTACAACCCCACCAGGACTCCCTGGAAACCCCAACAGGAACCAGGTATTGATTCCCCTAGCAAAGCAAAGCAAAGCTCTTCCCTGTTTTCCGACAGTCTGGAGCAAAGCACACTCCAAGCTGCAGACTCGAAAAGGCGCTCTACGTTATATTCGTCACCAGCTGCCGATAACGAACAAATCTTATTAAACCACTGGCCCGTTTGGGTGACTTATTTTCTCTTTACTTTTTTCCTTTCAAATAGAGAGAGAGAGAGAGAGAGAGTACATAATGGTTTGAAAGCGTGGCTCATGGTTACCAGAATGGAGACGTGGATTGGAACTACGACTGCGACACAGGAGGGATGGTGGTGGTTCTTCCACGAGAGGCGCTTGCGATTAATAAAATCATTGACACGTTGATGTTACGTCGGTTGATGCTCACGAGGATTTTAATTAATATCAGACGATAGTTCTCGGACAGGTCAAGGAAGACGGAGAGAAAAAGAGATAAGAGAGAAAAACGACGTGGGAATTTTTAATCAAAGTTTATATCAATCGCCGAAGAGGAACAAGATCGACTCGGGCCTGAAACGAGGTCGGATTTGAACTTTATCAGTAATAAAGTACAGATTTTTAAGACAGTGTTATCGGTGCTTTTTTATTATAATGTTTCTATTTGTTTCATTTTAGTTGATTTATTTGGTAATGGACTTACCGAGGTTGGATCGACTTTGGATTTTATTTTATCCATACCTCTTCGTATCCTGATTGTCAATGGTGAATCAGAATTTTTATCCTGGAAGAAGAATCTGGCTTCGTTTGACTGCTTGAATGGTCAGTGAAGTCCGTGTGCACCAGGGATTCTTTGGGATTCAGGATCAAGAGGAATATCGTGATGAGGAAGCTGCTACGAGAGAGTCAAGTGCGTTAGGTTTATTGAATTTATGTGAATTCATGTAAAATGGGAAAACCTCCGTGAGGCGTAAAGAGAGAAAGAGTGATAAAGAGGATGCAAGAGAGAAGAAAGAAGAAATATTTCGAATTCAAACCGACCGCCTGAAATAATCTTCAGGCTGAGATTGTCAGGAATTGTGCGATTGCTCGTGCTGTGAATAATTATTAAGTATCTCGACGTAAGGAATTAAAGCAAAGAAAAACATTGGTGATCAGCTGCGTACGATAAGGGCGTAGAATCGTGTTGTGTCGATCGACTAACGAAGACAAAAAGGTTAAAAGAAATTGTTGAGAAGAATATTTAAAGTGAATAGCAAAAAAGACTAAGAAGGGAAAAGCTCGTTTAAGACATTGAGTGGTACGAAGGAAGGGAAACGATATACGTACATTATTTTTATATGGAGAGTCAATTTCTATATGATATTTCATAATTCTATATATTTATTCGTAAGAGCCAAGTAATGGAACACGAGAAAGCTTAAACGTTCTGGCTAATGCGTGTATATAAATTGCGACAGTGATAAAAGATAACGGGTGATGGTCAAATTGGCGCAAAAGGGTAACAAAGTAGCAGGAATAATGTGCGTAAGATGCGCAGAGCCGAAATAATATTCGTATTCTATTTGAGCTGTACATTCGTGATAAGCGCTTGGCGTATATTCTGGGAATTGATGATACCGGAATTGGTTCCAGAATTGACAAGCCTGATGAATGATACATTCGTATGAATTTCACGCCCAACAAGAAAACCAATCATCCGGTCTATTTGTAATCGGCAGAAATCGCGAGAAGCTGAATATATTTAACGAGAGAAAACGAAATTTCGAAATTAAGTTTGTCGCGGAAATTTTCTATGAAGGAACCGAAGAGGAGACTATACGTGTACTAAGTTTTATTGAGATTCATACGTATACGTGATATAATACTGCGGAGATTTGTCTACCTGTGACCAAGATGAAACCGGAAGCTGGGAGGATAGTGAACTTTTCATTTGAATAGAGATTCCTATCGCGTTAATTAGTGCGTTAACCCGCTTGGTTGAATAAACCAGAAGCAGAGTGTCTGCGTCACTCGTTAGAAAAGAGAGCAGTTACATATATAGTAGGAGAGGAGGGACAGAGAGGGAAAGAGAAAAAAAGAATTTAGATCACGCGTCACGACGCCAGTTTCCCTGATGCTATCGATCGTTGGGAAATCTAAATGTAAATTCAGTCGTCCCTTAAAAGTGGATAGTTTTCGGTAAACAGTACTGATAATAGTTATAAATTGTTAAGAGAAGAAAAAAAAAGGATCTACCTCGACTCGACGATGCTCTTAGAGGGATGCTGCATTTCGCAAGATCATGATCCAGTGGATCGGAATGACTGTAACGAGACCACGCGTCTCATGAAGATCTCATAGGTTACTTGTAGTAAAAATCAAATGATGGTAGAGCCAGGATGGTCGACGTCTCGTATCAATAGTTCTCTGGACTTGCTGAATCCCAGCAGTAGTTACACGGATCTGACGACACTTCATAATAAGCAGTGCAAGAAGTATTTCTGCCTTTGCAAGAGACATACGATAAGCGTTATCTGCATCAATGAGACGAAGAAGCTGTACTGGTTCAATTGCAAGAGTGTCGAGGATAAAGTGAATCCGGGTATTGGGGAAGGTTATTATTACAAATTATTGAAAATCATCAATGGGGCATTGAATACTTGGGCCGAGAAATATATAGACGGTCTGAAGATTGCCAAGAAGGAGATCATGTTCAAGATCAACGGTACCGCCAAGAGGAACATGAAGCTCCTCAAGGAAGGATGCTACTGTCATTATCATCCTCACATGACAGCAGATAGTTGCAATGCTGACTTTCTCAAGAGAGTCGTAAGTTTTACCAGGTCAAAGAAGTTTAACGTGAAATCTTTGACGGTTTATCGTCTTCTTTTAATCTCCTCTTATATCCTGAATATTATTGAGAATTTCCACAAAAAAAATGTGACTCAAAATTATTTTCGTTTTATATTCAATTAAATTGGTTTTTCAGATGTCTGACGACGACCGAATGTCTCTGACGACTGCGGTGAGCGACGATGACGATGGTGAAAGTGTCATTAATTCACCCTACCGTGGAAAGCAGACTGGTACAGCCGCAGCATCCTTCAATTGCACTGGAGCAGTGAGGAAAGCTGGGTAGAAATATTTAAAAACATTTTATGATAACGATGGACCGTCATTGATGTCATTGAGATACATTTCTATTATGTATTTGCTCCGTGTAGATTTCTAAGCGTGAAGAAGTGGCTCCTGAGGAAGAAGCATCAGATCGAACTAGCCAGGAAACGGGGATGGAAGGGTTACTGGGTCTGTCTTAAGGGCACGACGTTGCTCTTTTACCCTTGTGATTCCCATGAGAGCAGAGCTGTGGAAACGGCGCCAAAGCATCTGATTATCGTGGACGGTGCCATAATGCAGCCAATACCAGAGCACCCTAAGAGGGACTATATATTCTGCTTGAGCACTGCCTTCGGGGATGCCTATCTGTTCCAGGTAGAGGAAGCGGGGGATTAGGTTGCGAATCAAGGATCTCTCTTTCGAAAGGGTCTTTGCCCAGTTGGATTGACGTAGCTATCAGGCCCCTATACGAAAATACATTTTTATTTTAGGCACCATGTCAAGTGGAACTTGAGAATTGGGTGAACAGCATCCACTCGGCGTGCGCAGCTGCATTTGCTCGTCACCGGGGTAAGACCGGGACCCTGCATCTTCTACAGGAGGAAATATTCCGGCTGGAGAAGGCAATAGAATCGGTGAGTAAAATTAATATAAAATAACTAAAGATTATATGACAGTCGTTGAAGATATTACTTTACCTCGTTCAGGATCATAAGCTGAAGCACATGGCAGATCTTCAACAGTCGGTTGTATCCGACGTGGAAACGAAGCAGCAGATCAACAATCAGATTGTTCAGTGGGAAGAGAATCTGGAACGTCTTCATTGTGAACAATTTCGTCTTAGATGTTACATGGCTAGTCTTCAGAGCGGTGAATTGCCGAATCCGAAGGTAGCGAAGATGCTTTTTGATTGTTCTTAGTTGAAATTACTAAAATTTGAATTTCACTGGCTGAGTCTCAGGTTGGTATAAATTCTTTTCTAGAGTCTACTCACTCACGTTTCTCGGGCAACGAAGCAGACCCTGAACAAACTTGGGGTCTTCACGGTATCCTCCTTCCACGCTTTTATATGCGCCAGGAGTCCGTCGCTCCTGAATAATCTTCTGGCAGGTCGCGGAGCCACCAAGAGAAGACCGCCACTCCTCTCCAGGTCTAATAGCAGTTCCAGTAGAAGATCCTTGCAGATTTCTTCCAGGGATGAAGAGAAGACCGTCAAGGTGTCGGTGCCGGATAATCAGGTCAGTTATTTTTTAAGTTTTAATTGAAGGGCTGCACTCTAAGGTCATCGCATAAATAATTGCTGCAACTAGACGCTACGCTTTAATACCTACGTACAGAATACGTATATTAAATTATAAATTGTCGGGTATGAAATTATCAAGCTATTATGCTAGATCGTCACTATCAGTTGAAGCTACTCGCATTACTATCTATTACTGAAATTGGATTCTCTTGATAAAAATTCTACGACGTAGCTAAAGACAAATTATTCGAATTTCTAGCTCGTTTCGGTATTTCTACGGGATGCAATGTCCGTCGAGGAGTTCCTGGCAAGTGCGTGTAGCAGAAAAGGTCTCAATCCTATGGAGCATTTTGTCAGGGTGAAGAAACGACGCGATATGGAGGATCACAACTATTTCGTGCCGCATAGAACAGATCTGATAGAGACCTACGTGAGTACCAGCTGTATAACGTTCTAAGGATGTACCTGGATTAACAAAAATCCAGACTCCATCAAAGTAATACATAACCTATGAAAAATTTCATCTACTAAAAGTCACGAGATTGTTATGGTTGAAATTAAAAATAATTTTTTTTTTTCTATTTATTCAGCTGCATACCCACGAGATAGTCGAGGTCTGCGCCAAGATACTCTACCAAGTAGAACTCCAGAGGAACACCCTGGACCAGATGTGGGGCTTCTCCGTGGAGGCTGAACTTATTGAGAATTCCGATAGGCAGGACGAGCTTTGCTGCTACGTTAGCAGAGTCGAGGACAAGAGCGTCGCCATGCAGAATGGTTAGTAGAGGACGACTAAAGGGAAGAAGAAGAAAAAGTTGATGAACAAAATAATTGTTTAATGCGAAGAAGCAATTGTTTAAGTATAACGTTAAGGCCACAGTGCGCGATATCACCTTGTGATTCTGTTAAGAATTGACTTTTATAATTCACTTACCGCTGGATGAGCAATGTTGCATGAACATGACTTAACCAAGCATAAAAACCCTGGATGAAGTGTTCGAGGCTAGCGTTGGAGCTTTATGGACTATATTGTTTACACGTGGCTCAGGTGTACTTTCATTGTCATTATCGATCCTCCACGCTAGAATTACTTTTATCTATAATTCATCCGCCACTGTTATTCTTTTATGATATAAATAGACGATTGCCTCTTTGCTAGATTCAGATACACAGTCCTTTCATGGTTGATCTTATTGGCTGCTGTGAATCTCATTGATGTATTAGTGAGTACGATTGGAATTGAAAATACCCTATGTTGTTTTCTCTTTAGGAATCATCAAGAGCGATGAGATCATGGTGATCAATGGTGCTATTGTCAGTGATCTAGACATGATGTATCTGGAAAGCGTTCTTCAGGAGGAGTTAGCCCTTTGTATGATGATGAGATCATCGAGAACCGAACCACCAGATCTTTCTGGTGTGATGAGAGTTACCGATGACATAATTGAAAGTCTTGTGTGTCCACCGCCTCCTTCGGATCCACCTGTCATAAGCGAAGAAATGATATCTGGCTTGATCGTTCCTGCACCTGGTTGGAGTAAGATCTATTGTTGATTAGTGACTTTAATCTTTGTCAGATGAATTGATGATCTCTGGAACGGTCTGGGATGTCAATTTTTATTTTTCATTAGGTAAGGAAAGCATACTACAGGAATGCTCGGCCGTTTCGCACATGGAGAACGGGAAGCAGACATCGAGAACCAATTCGTTTGAGATTGAGAATCTTTTGAAGACGGCTGAACAGGTAACTGGTATCTGTAGATCTCCTGGGGAAACCAGGAAATCCAGTCCTACCGGAAGTGTTGTCAGTTCCCACTCGCAGGCACTAACGCCGAGTCGACAATTGAGTGACGCTGAGAAGCTGAAGAAAGTGATTTTAGAATTGATCGAGACTGAACGGACTTATGTAAAGGTCGGTATTAGAATTATTTTTTTAATTAGACAAATCTCTCAAGTTACCTAATGATTCGTATGTTTTGTAGAATTTAAATAATTTGCTGGAAAACTATCTGGAACCCCTAAAGCGCGAAACTTTCTTGTCGAACGCTGAGATAAACGCGCTATTTGGTAATATCCAGGAAATTGTCACTTTCCAACGGCAATTTCTCCAGAATCTCGATCATGCGATTGAGATGGAGTCGGATTTCAACAGTTTCGACCATCCGAGTCAATTCAAGGTAATTTATATTAATTATTTAACTATATAATACCACAGAGATTACTAATCGTATTTTCTCTTACTGCAGGGTGTCCTGTTTTCCATTGGAAGTGCCTTCTTATATTACGTAAATCACTTCAAATTGTACAGCTCATTCTGCGCCAGTCACTCGAAGGCCCAAAAAGTTCTGCACCCCAGTGAGTAGTAGCTTCAACCCTTTTTATTTATTTAATAAGAATCATTATCGACTGCATTCTTAATACCGATTGATATTTCAATGCAGACGAAGGAAACCAAGCTTTACAAGAATTTCTATCAGCGAGGAACCCACGCCAGCAACATTCCTCAACTTTGGAATCCTATCTGATAAAGCCTATCCAGAGAATACTAAAGTATCCATTGCTCTTGCAACAGCTCAGGAATCTCACGGACGAGCACAGCGAGGAACACCAACATTTAATTGGTAAAGTTTGCGAATTTTTGATAAAAATAAAAATTCAATTTCCAATAGCTTACTGTACTTTTTCTATATGTGAAATTACAGAGGCTCTTAAGGGTATGGAGAAGGTGGCTGAGCACATAAACGAAATGCAGAGAATTCACGAGGAGTACGGCGCCATCTTTGATCATCTGTTTAGACAGCATCAAAAATCGTGCAAACAGCCGATCGACCTTAGCCCAGGCGATTTACTTTATTACGGTGGCGTCGAGTGGCTCAATATTTCGGATTTCCTCGGTAAAATCAAAAAGGGACTTGAATTACACGCCATGTGCTTTGTGTTCAAGTCTGCCGTAGTGTTTTTGTGTAAGGAGAGATTAAGACAGAAGAAGAAGCTCATGGTGAGTAAACGCCTTGAATTATTTTAAAACGTCTTCTCTGTGTAATCAAGAATTTATGTGCCCCCTTTCCCTCGTGTTTTGCTATTTTTATAATTCTCTCAACAGGGAGTTTCCACTAAAGCGAACTCCAGCGAGGTCGAGATTATCCGCTATCAGGTTCTCATTCCTGTGACAGAGGTTCAGGTCAGGGCCAGTTCAGCGAAAGACATGGAATCGCACTTCCTGTGGGAATTGATTCACCTGAGAAGTCAATTACAGCGACGTTCCGAAAAAGTCTACGTGTTGTCTAACAGGTAAGATTGAATCGTTCATAAATTTTCTACTAAACGCGTACAGATATAAAAGTGAAACACATTTTGAAAAAATTTTCTATACAGCACGACGGACTTCAGAAACGCGTTCCTGAAGACAATCCGGCAGATAATTCGGGAGTCTGTACGAAACATGAGTATACCTTCGACAAAGCAAAGTATGCCTCAACCGCCGATATCCATTTCTCCTCGTATGTCAACCGGACACGTGGAGAAGTTCGAAAAGCCCATAGGTCAGAGTCAGACACAGAACGGCAACGGCACCGGTCCCGGAACCGGAACTTTGTCAAAGAAGGTGGTGAAGCAGCAAATGATGACCAATCCGCACAACGTTAAGAGAAAATACAGCCAGTCCAAACAGACGGTGGATCACGAGAGTTCGGAAGATAAGGATTTTGAAGAACCAGCATCCAATCAGCCACAGCAGACAACCTTCCGTTCCAGGAGCAAGACCATAAGCGATAGTTCAGGTAAAGTGTCATTGGCCATGATAACAAAAAATAATAAAACAAATTAAATACCATTTTTTTTAAAAAACAATCTACTTCACACAGGCGAGGTCAAGGTAGACATGGACTCCGGAACAAAATCCGAGGGTGAAGAGGATTCTCAGGCTTTTTTAGGCGAGAAGAAAACAAACCTGGGTCGTACCCCAAATCATCTAACACTGAGTACCACCTCGACGATTTCCGCCGGAAGTACCGGTAGCCAGGCCAGACTAATCCAATCGTCTCATCAGCCAGAGAACTATCAGCCAATCACAATCAAGGAGCTTGGTAAGAAACGAATTAAAAAACGACAAAACTAAAAAAAAAAACTAAATCCACCCTGGGACCTAAGCGAATCGATCCGATCTAGAACGATCGTGCAACCGATCTCTTTGCAAACCATCGATCAACCGCAATAACACGTACAGTAACAAAGGCCGTAACGTTATATGAAACCCGGCCTTAATTACCTGGCACTAAGTACCACCTATACCCCAACGATAAACAAGGGCCAAGCTTTACGACTTGAAATACGATCAACGCGGCATTCGCCTGATTCATCCAAGATCTATGCGACATCCAACAAGATCACATATATCATATACACATATGATACTCTGCCTATGCGCCACATAGGTGTCGCGTCGTTCGTTGCCAAGATGCCTAAAAAAAATGAAAAAAGAAATAACCTATACGCTCCTACACGAGCGCCCACGCACGATATCTCTCTCTCTCTCTCTCTCTCTCACTCTCACTCTATCTCTCACTCACTCTTTCTCTCTATCTCTCTCTCTCCCCCGTGTCCACTTTTATATGTCGATTATTCAAAAGAAACCGTGCACACGCTGTCACTCTAATTTCATTTGAATTAGGTTCGCCGATATGGAAGCCGCGAGAGCTACCGTCTCTGGGAGAGGCCACAACTCTGCCGCGAAAGGGTAAGTCGGCGGGCGAGTTCGCGGATATGAGCTCGGCACACAGCGCCTCCCGAAAGTCCCTCATAGAAATCAATAATTGTGCTCAACAATCTAGCTTTAGTAATCATATTTAAGTTATCGTATGTCTTTCATTATTGGTACGCGCCTTTATTGACATACTTTCAATCAATACTTCACATTACTTGCTCGTTTCCTTAATTTTTATTCAGTTTCTTATTAACTGTACACCTTTTAATTGACGTCACGAGCATCAATTATATGCACGTGTATACATATATATATTATATATAATATATATGCATATACCTATATATATACAATACATAAGTTATCATTAAGTTTCATCACCGAGTTAAACGCTATTATTCAGCATTACGCGAAAGGGTAGTAAAATTCAAGGATTCCTCTTGCTATTCATACTAAACGCCATTTTTTTTTTTCTTTTGCACCACATCTTCCTTTTTACATAAACTTCCTGTTTCGTCGTTCGACCTCCCCAAGGCAATTTGTCTCAACCCTCTATAAGACGTCGAACAACAGCACGCTACCCGGTGTCCAAACAAAAAATTCATCCTATCCGCCATTGCTAGCAGGAAGTTGTCAATGAGCCTTGAACTCTGACCCAGACTAGGTCAATCAATGATATCTATGATAAGGAGATAATTTATTACAAAAAAAATGTAATCCTATTTTTCTTTTCCCCACTTTTCTTTTCTACTCCTCCCTGCTTAAAACCCTCAGCTCTCTTATAGCAACAGTGGGTAGCTTGAACAGCAATTGGAAATCATTGAACATTGTATATAATGTAATAACGACATTCTTACGATTATTGGGGATATTATCGTCATCGTATTATTATTTATTATTATTCTTATTACGATTACTATTAACGCAAATAATCGAGGTCGTACGAAGATGGATTGAGAGAAAACAAAGAAAAAAAAAGAACAACGTAAGAATTAAGTTAGCGATTATATCAATTAAAAGTCATGTGTGTGTATATATATATATATACATATATATGCATACAGATGAGATATGTTAATCAATCAAGTGCATAGTTACGCGCGTTCACACAATGGATAAATAATACAGACACCGGATACAAGTTCGGTACGCGGACTTGTTGACGAGCGGATACGCGATGACTGTTATAAGGGTGCGTACACAAGACGTACGGGAGAACAGAATTTAATGAATATATATTAATCGTCGTTCGGTTGCGCCACCTACTTACCCACCGAGTCGCGCGTCTTCGCCTTTCTCGTCCCCAGGTACCAGGATTACGCTTGCGAAGATAGTCTAGCTTATTTTTAACATTGATCAAAGGGTGGCGATCGATTAGTGTGGAGATTGGAGGGAGGATAGAGGGTGAGATTGATATTATATTGAATTAATATAATTAGGGTGACCGACGTGTATCCTGGACACGGGGACGACGGGCTTGATCCATAGTGACGTGCGTTGAGGATTAGCACTTAAGGAATATTTAGATACCCAAATGAAAACGACGTTTAGGTTAGGTTTGTCGCGCCGATCGTACCGGCGGGCCGTCGTGAGCTTTAATTAAAATGGAGTTCAATGGCGGCGATGGATGTGTACTGGTTGGAAGTGGAAGAAGAAAAAAAAAAGGATAAAGACGTCGGTTAATGAATTTAACGATAAATGATTATGGTAACGATTGTTAATGGGGTATTACGATAAATTAATTATGTCGAGGGATTAATTCATGTACATTAGACAACAGAAAGTATCCACATAGAGAAATACCTTTAAATATATATAATGCATATACATATATTGCATAGGCGATATATGTTTATGCGTACTGTCATGGTCAGTGTATATGTGCTTTGTCGCATGCGGCATCCGAGATTTAATTGGATTATGTAATCGAGATATTTATTTGGTCGATTAAGGTATTCGGTATATCTTTTTTTATTGTATAACTTTGTTCGCCTCCCGCAGCTTTCGTTGAATTTGTTCTCGATCGAAGATTTGTCGAAGTGACTGGAGGTAATTAGTTGTTAATGGGGACTTTGATTGTACGCGTTGGTAGTAACGTGGAATTAATTTTTACCGATTGGCAGGCATTTTTTGTCTCGACGCACAATCGACGATCCTTCGAGTTGAGAACTCTATTACGTTTTGAGATATTTCATTATTGATATATTAGTCAAGCTTTGTATACTTGTATGATATTTATTTATAAATTGCGTCATTCAATTTATGCATACTTCAAGCCAATCGTCGGGGGGTTTTCGAATTTTCAAATTTTTCTTTGTCGAGGCGACTCGGCCAAGCGGATTGCTGGATGGTATTTCAAAACCGGAAGCGCTTGCCGCGTGCGGCAGAAAGGGAAAGGGAAAAGCGAATCGAGAGTAAAGAAAAACGTTAAGGGTCCTGAGTTGGTCTGAGATTTGAGGGGGAAAAAAAGTGGCACTTCAGGAAGAAACCAAAAAAAAAAATCCTATACACGTTGCTCGAATCTTCACGCGTCTCCAAAAATTTTTTGCACCTTGTCATTCTTTTTTTTTTCTCAAACTCATACAGACTCCTCGGGCAGATTAAAGGCGTTACCGTAATTTCCGACAATATTTCTGCAAAATTCTGTACGCGTATGGTAACCACTGGAAAATCTCGTGCTACGGTTATTCAAAATCACAATTCAACTTTTAACCCAAGAAGACGCACATTGTTATTTCCGATTACGAACTTACTAAATACCCGAACGAAAATTTTGCAAAGGTATTGTACTTGAAATTCAGTCTGCGGTTTTGCTTCGTTCAAGGGAAAAGAATTATAATGCTACCGGATATCCCCACCCCCACCGTTAGCACTTAATTAAGGTCTAAGAAACCTTACCTACGTAGGTACTCGTTACTCGAAAGAAAGAAAGAGAAAAAAAATAATAATAACATTAATAATATATATATATTATATAACGTCCCAATGGGTTCCCAATGGGTAAACGCCAAGCGAGACGGAAGTATAAGAATACTAAATACTATATATATATATATATATTACCAAGAATATATCTAATTAAGGTATCGGTTAAGATCTGACAGCGAAGATTAAATGAATTAAAAACCAAGTATAAGATACCTATTTAAAATAATACTAGGTGACATAGTTGATATTATATATATACATACGTATATATACACGTAAATAAATTATATGTATATATACATATATATATATAAATTACACAGAACGACCTGCGTTGCTCGAATTATTGTATTATCGATTACATCAATTTTATTGTATAAATTCTGTCGAGGCGCGTGTTCAATCGAGAGTGTTCGACCGATCGGTATCCGCGTGCCCATACCAAGGTATATATATATATATACATAATATAGAATAATCGATTCTGAATTTCCTCTAGTTGCTGTTTAATTATCATTTACCTTTAATTGCAATCTATTAACGTATACGTAAAATACCGTGGCATTGTAGCTACGGTCGATGGATGCTTTGTAAAGATACTAGTTGATACTTATTCTTTTTTGGCCATGATTCAAATTTTATTGTTCTTTTTTATATATGTATATATATATTAATCTCTTGATTATACCTTTAGGTAGTTATCTTTAGGTACGTATTTTTAATTGTAACGAGTTTCAATGTTTATTCGTGTGGTGGGAGGCGAAAGGTAGGATAAAAGAGGAATGACGGATGAAAATGATCGAGGGGCGCGAATGATTGTGATTTTATGTAAAAGGGGGATTGATTATCTGTGTTGGACGTTAGGTGAATAATGTGAATGTGACTTTTAGGTTATGTTCGATGCGCAAGTGATTGTCGATTATCGACGAAGGAATACAATGGTATACAGAGAAGATAAGGGTCGACGTTGATATTTAATTGGACTCTTTTTTGGATTTTGTGAAATCGAGGGGATTGAGACTTGGTGGGTATAAATACTCTCGCTTGAAAACGTCCCAACAGTTGGCCTAGTGTAACCAAGTTTAATGTTTTTTCGCGTCCACTCTGCTAACCCGCCAGCCAATGAGATATTTCGACTTTGAGATCCGAATTGGATTATTCGATTATCGAGCCGTTATTATAGATTCTTCCAGAAAATTTTATTCGTATAAACTTTATCGCTACCGTTGAAAATATATTTGAGGATAATGGGGGCGGCCCGGAGTTTAGTCACGTTTTCATTAACGTGCTGTGTTTACTTATTATGTACCAATGGAGTCCGTTGCGACTGGATCAATTAATTGTTAACGACTCGTGAGCTTTTACGGAACCGGCTGAGCGTTTGAATCGTGTTCTAAAAGTTACGAGGGAGACGCAGAGAGTCAGGCTTAAGGGGAATGAGATGTTAATTAAATAATAGTATACATTGTAATTGTGAATTACGTTTACGATTTTACTTGTAAATCGTGGATCGCGTGTTATTGACTCTCTGCGCGAAGCCAGTTTTGAGGTTATAAAGAGAAGGGAACGATCGATTCGATTGGACGGGTACATAATTTATCTAGGGTGGGGATTAAATATGGTAATAACCGGAAGTAAGGATACTACTTATATGTCTTTCGATGAATCTTCCTTTCGTTATTGTAATTATTAAGTCGTGCGCTTACGTATAAGTGAAAATCCTATGGTATTATTATATAGTGACAAAGGTGTTGCGTTTCTTTCTCGAGAACTGTTAGCGTATAACTATCGTAATTCGTGTTATCGATTACGACGACATCCGGTTTATTACTGAACGATTATTAAAACGTGTATTTATTATCGTTGTTCTTCGGTTTTTTTTTAACGTGACACACGTTTAACGAACGATCCATTTGTACAATCATTGCGTCATTAAAATATGATTATTCATTATGGAAGAAAAATCTTTTATTAATTATTAATTTCCTTTCTTTATTTTATCCCTCGTACCTCGTATACTGTGTCGTTTCACATGACTCTATTTCCGATTTCCATTGTCCATCCTTCTTTTGCGTCTACTTATAGGTATACCGCATCGTTTCAATTTTCTTAAAATTTAATAAGATTAATTTTTTGCATTCTCTCTACCGTTCAATTTTTATTCTATACCGATCGATATCTCGATGCTATTTGCTTGTCGAGCAAGATTTTAGTCTGTTCTTTTTTTTTAAACAAGTAGATTAAGACCGCAGGTGTTCGCTGGTTTAAACGAATCGTCCAAGACTTGACATCTTACTGATAACATTAGATAGCGACTGTACTTTTTTACTTGTGCTTATCACGGTCATTCATTAATATCAAAAGACTGTATAGAGTTATTCGCTATTATATTCAATACCTATCCAACTATGTGGTTAGGCAGACGTGTATATATGCCAAAGGTTTAGACGAGTCAACGACAAGATAGATATTAATATATGATTTCCGATTCGGTTGATAAAGTCTGGTTTCTAAGCGATCTTCAGGAACTTTTGTTGCGACGAGAATCGTCCGATCGTTCATTTACACCGCAACTGTCGCTGGTCGCCAACGAAGATTGCTTCGAGGAAGGAGACTCCTTTGAATATGTTAAACTTCGGACACTGCAAGAATTTTTATTGATTATTTATACATTTTTATTATTTATTTAATCGACAACTCCTAGCTATAAATCAGGTGAGAATATTTATTTTACCTTTTTCTCCATTGGATCAGTCGAATTTTCCTTTCTGATTTCCTCTCTCTTACATTTAGAATGAAGTCTCTCGTTCTCCTGTGGCTGCTGTTTCTTCTGTGCGTTTCTTCGGTCTTCGCTAACTATACCTGCATCTGGGATGGACAGTGCAGGAAAACTAGTACTGCTATTTATAATTGTCCATCTAATACATCTGCTAAGGCAATTAACGATGCTAAGGCCGAAGCAATACTGTTTAATAGATGTCCACATTTTTTTGATGAAACTGGTTGGTTTTTTATAGAAGCTGTAAGCACTTTGGAATATTCTAAGGATTATTGGTTTAAGTTACTTTTTTGATTTTTAGACAATCCCTTGACGTGCTGCGATGCGGATCAGATCATTTCCATGGACAGCAGCATGTCCATGGCTGAGGGTATCCTGGCTAGATGCACGACCTGTGTGAAAAATCTTTTTCGTTCGATTTGTGATATGAGTTGTCGTGCCGATCAAAGTAGATTTTTGTACGCTACGGAAATTCTTATGGATGAGGATCTTGAGGTTGAATATATTAATGGCATTCAGGTTGGTATTGATTGTGGTATTTTGCGGGTCATCTGAAAATCTTAAATTTTTATTAATTGTTTGGGAATTGTTTATTTAAAATTTCGAAGTTGGCAATTACATTGCTGCTACTCGGATAGCACGAATGAAGAAGGTGGCTGCAGGATTGTCAGAAGATCTTATGTCGTCAGATGGTCTTTGGCTGGCGGTCTGAAAGACGTCTTTTTCATGTAAGACGTCAAAACCCATGACATAAGACCTTCTGAAGAAGTCTTGTTGACATTTTTTTGTAATTTTTCATATCTGGGTATATTTTTTAATGGTTGATAAAAAGAAATCTTTTTTTATTCTTTCATAAGTTTTACATAAACGAAGAGTACGTTAATGCTACTTATGACTCGTGCAAAGAAATTGTTCATCCAGCAAGTGGAAATTTGGCGTTGGATCTTGCTTGCGGAACCCACGGAGCCAGTAGATGCACTGCAAAGTTGTAAGTTTTTTATGTCATATAATTTTTATGAAATCTATTTAACTATTTGATTCTGTATGATACGACTTCCAGAGACACACACCTGCTGGATTTAAGTTAGACAATCGAATGATATGAATGCGCGCTAATCTATCGGGAGATTATTGGCTATTGATTACTGTTGGTTATCAATACGATATAGTGATCATTGTGTTAATCGCAATTTATTCAATAATGGCCTATGGAAATTATAAATACCTTTTTAAAAGTCTTTTCTTCTTACAATTAGTGGAACAGATACGAAATGGTCTGTGCAGAAAATTTATGATCTCTTATCAGCAATCAGTCTCTGAAAGACATTTTTTTTATTATAATGGTTGAATAATTTATTTTCACTATCTTTCTTAGATTTTGACATACACATTATTCATTCTAAATGTCACTATAATTGAATTCTTTACCTTAATGATACAGAGCTGAGTTCAGTAATATCATCTGATAGAGCATTTTTTTTCTTCCCCTAATAAAATTGCCTGTGAATATTCTAACAGGATCTGTTGGACAATTTTTTATTTATTAACTATATAATTCTGAACTAATAAATAAATCTTGTAGATGGTTTGAATATATGGGAGATGCAGCGAACAATGAATTTGTACCATTCCAAATAACCTATGTCTACGATGCAGAGGATTTTGATGGAAATAGTAGTGAACCTTTGGATCCACCTATAAAACTTTGCAATGAAGCCTACGATGTAAGTGTCATGCATTTTCTTTTTTTTTTTTTTTTTTTTTTACCATTCCAAATAACCTATGTCTACGATGCAGAGGATTTTGATGGAAATAGTAGTGAACCTTTGGATCCACCTATAAAACTTTGCAATGAAGCCTACGATGTAAGTGTCATGCATTTTTTTTTTTTTTTTTTTTTTTTTTGGTAATACATTGTAGAGCCTAGTTATAACATTTTATTGATAATGATAAGTTATCTTATACATCTGGGTGCTAGACGATATCATTGATAAAAGAATAATGACAATGTGTCATTATGATGTAGCTGAAATGAGACAAAGTAACACCTGCAAAGTCTTTACGCAACACTACTGACTCAATTAGATTGATTAGAATTCAATAAGCATATTACTTTGTATTACAGAACAATTCAGCTGCTTGCAGTTGTGTCGATTGTTCATTAAGCTGTCCCGTTGTTCAATTAAATATTGGTCATAATGTATGGACACTCTTTGGACTCAATGGATATGGAATTGTTGCTGGCGTATTTGTTATTATAGTCAGTACTGGTTTTACTATTCTGTACACTTGCAAAGGGAGGAAACAGACTGGTAAAGAAATACTTTCATGTAATTCAATATCTCTCTTTTTTTCAACCATCAATACTATAATAAACAAGATCTTTAATTTCAGAAGTTTCCAATAAAAAAAAATGCAAATCATCCCAATTTGGATCACAATTTCATGGGTGCCTTGAAAGCTTCTTCGGACATTGGGGATATGGTATACGATAATGAAATAAACTTATTTTATTCAAGTCAAATTGTTGATATTGAAAATGACTACTTCTGCTTTTCAGCTTTTGCAAGATTTCCTCTTCTTGTATTATGGATTTCATCATATATTATAATTGCAACATGCTATGGCGTTGTTTATATGACTGTGACAACGGACCCTATAGAGATTTGGGCTGCTCCTACCAGTCAGTCGAGGATTGAGAAAGATTACTTCGATACACATTTCACACCATTTTACAGAACTCAACAAATCTATATTAAATCAGTTGGATTGGAGCCGGTAGGTTGATTAAAAAATTTCTTTCGATCAATACATATTACATTTGATTAATGAAAGTTTGTTCCAGTTCACTCATAACACCTCAAGCGGTGTTTTAGAATTTAGTCCTGTGTTCAATAAAGAATTCTTGCTCGCTGTGTATGATCTTCAATCTCAAATTATTGAGGTACGTTAAGCATTAGAGGAATTGATCAATTGTATCGAGTTCTGATTATAAGATGAAAAGTTAATTCAATTACTTCTTTTACAGATTGGTCAAGATACTGGTGAGGGTTTGGAAAATTATTGCTATGCACCTGTCACCAGCGAATTTACTGGCGGTGTTACTTTGTCACTTTGCACTGTGCAATCGATATGGGGATATTTTCAGAACAACATACAGACATTCAATGCAACATCAATATCAAATGGATATGAAACGAATTACTTAGATCATATATACAAGTGCCTGCAGTAAGTGAACAAGTTAAAAAGTTTATACAATAATTATACGTTATCATTAAACAATTTTTTATTATTATATTAGGAATGCATTTAATTCTGATTGTCTCGCGCCATACAAAGGACCTATAATCCCTGAGGTGGCTGTGGGTGGTTTTCTTAAAGATGGAGTTTACTCTTATGACAATACAGACTATATAACATCCATAGGACTTGCCCTAACAGTTATACTTAGTAATACACTTGATGGGGACAAACTCAAGCCGGTTTTGGAATGGGAAAAAAAGTGAGAATTGTGAAATATTTGTTTGAAATTATTGTTACAGCATTGACGTAATTGCGCTTACGATTCTCTTAGATTCCTGGACTTTATGGAAGACTGGAATGCTAACAGTCGACCTGACTTTATGGAGATTGCTTATTCTTCAGAGAGATCAATTGAGGATGAACTTGCAAGAACTTCAGAGGCTGAAGTGATAACTGTCGTTATTAGCTATATTGTCATGTTTATATATATTGCTCTAGCTTTAGGAAAATTCAAAGCATCCAAGGAAACTTTTGTAAGAATTCTTTTTTATTTTATTGCAAAGAGTTATTTTGACACATCGAATTGAATTTTTAGTCCACGTACTCTGTTTGAATTCTCAGGTAGTCAGTAGAGTTCTACTTAGTATCGGAGGAATCATTGTGGTGTTAGCATCTGTTGCTTGCTCTCTTGGAATATTTGGTTACATAGGAGTACCGACAACTTTATTGACAATCGAGGTAAATCCTTTTCTTGAACTTTAAGATATGAAGATTTCACCAAGTTACAATAAATGTCTTATTTCTTTCAGGTCATTCCCTTCTTTGTTTTGGCTGTCGGAGTGGACAATATTTTTATTATGGTTCAAACTCTTCAAAGAACTCCTCGTAAGCTTGATGAAACAACTCCTGAACATATTGGTAGAACTTTGGCTCTTGTAGGACCCTCTATATTATTGTCCAGTGCATCGGAGTGCACCTGCTTCTTAATTGGTATGTGTAATTGTTGTGAAAATAATTCATATGGAATTATTAAAATAACTATACGCATATGTTTATTCTATTTTAGGTGCTTTATCATCTATGCCAGCGGTTAACACTTTTGCACTATACGCATCCGTAGCGATTCTCATAAATTTCCTTCTTCAGATTACAGTTTTTATCGCTTTATTGGCTCTGGATACTGATCGATTGACGGTAATTAGTAACTAATGAAAATAGTTGTATTGATTAAAGGAAAAAAATTACAGCTCTACGATTTACACATCTTTTTCAGGATAACAGGCTTGACGTGCTTTTCTGCTTCTCTCTAGACAAGAAGCACAAAACAGAAGTAGGCAAGGGTATTGTACAGATATGTTTTGAAAAGTTCTATACGCCTTTACTGATGACAAAGCCAATCAGGGTTGGAGTACTTGTAATTTTTTTTGCTGCTCTCACGACTCATGCCGTCGTAGCACCAAGTATGGAAATTGGTTTGGATCAGAAACTTTCAATGCCTGAGGATTCCTACGTGCTAAAATACTTCAAAGTAAAAAAAAATCTATTTTCCCAAAAAACATTTTTTTCCCTTTAGATGATTAAGTCTAATATTTGTCTTCGCAGTATATGGAAGAACTGTTGTCGACTGGACCCCCTGTATATTTTGTGGTCACCGAAGGACTAAATTATAGTAAGACAGAAGCACAGAATCTTATATGTGGTGGGCAGGAATGTAACGTGGATTCACTGTATACACAAATTTACTCAGCAGCTAATCAACCTGCCATGTGCGTAATGAAAACGTACATCTCAATAAAATTGAAATTTAATATTTATCGGTTATCATTTCATTTTACAGATCATATTTATCCAAGGCAGCTTCTTCTTGGATAGATGATTACCTCGACTGGTCCACCATTAGTGGATGCTGTAAATACTTTCCTGATAATAGTTCTTTCTGTCCGCATAACATTGGTAAGTATCAAAGTAATTCTTAGACTCTTGAACGTGTTTCGCAGTCAGTGGTTTTATTAAATAATTAAAATTTTCATCTCTCTAGCTACTTGTGAGAATTGTAACATTACTACTAACAGTTTGGGTACAAGACCAAATGCATTAAACTTCCGCACGTACATTCCATATTTCGTGGGGGATATACCTGATGAGGATTGTGCCAAATCTGGACGCGCTTCTTATCTGGATGTAAGTTTAAACAAAATATTCTAGTCAGTCTTGACATCCTTTCAAGTAATGCATGTTGTCGATACAATTAAAATCTTTTAATTCCATTCAGGGACTGAATTACTACTACGATCAGCATGGTCTAGTAGATGTGGCTGACAGTTACTTCATGGGCTATCATAGACCTTTGAAAACTTCTTCTGATTGGTACGAGGCAATCAGAGCAGCCAGAGTAGTTGCTGCCAATATTACCAATATGATTAATAGTGCAGGATTATCAGATAACACAGTACAAGTATTCCCATACAGGTAAGTGCGAAGAAACAAAGTATAATTTATTCTTCTTAAATTTCTTAATCCATGAAAAATGAACTTGCGCAACAATCCATTTGTTTTACAGTGTATTCTATGTCTTCTACGAGCAATATTTGACAATATGGTCAGAGACTCTATTCTCTCTGTCGATGACAGTCATTGTCATTTTCATAATAACTTTTATATTGAGTGGATTCTCAATCTTTTCTGCTTTGATTGTCACCCTGGGTGTTATCCTGATAATCGTCAACTTGGGTGGATTAATGTACTGGTGGGGTATCAGCTTGAATGCTGTGTCTCTTGTAAATAGCGTTGTGGTCAGTAACTTTACTTTATTCGATTCTTGACATCGTAAACTTCATATATAATTATTATCATATTCCTAAAATTATTTTGCACAGGCGGCTGGTATTGCTGTAGAATTCTGCAGTCACATAATTCATTCTTACTTGACGTCAACTGGGCAAACGAGAATAGAAAAGACTGTGGAAACACTGAATACAATGGGTAGCTCAGTACGTGTTTAATTAATTTGTTAATCAGTAAACTAGTGATTATATGAATCACATCGTATAATTTTTCCCCCAGGTATTCTCTGGTATCACGTTAACTAAATTTGCTGGTATAGTCGTCCTTGCGTTTGCAAAATCGCAAATCTTCCAAGTATTCTACTTCAGGATGTATCTCGGAATAGTTTTGATAGGCGCTGCTCACGGTTTAATATTCATTCCAGTCTTACTGACGTTTATTGGTAACTATTGTATTTTTTTTTCTTCGTTGCTAACAGCCTGAAGACGGTATAGATAAGGCACTTTCAAATCTGAAATACTTATTACAGGACCTGAGAATACTATCAAAGAGCCATCGCCACTACCACAGGACACCGAAGCAGCTGCTGTTTCAAGTGAAAATAATATAAATAATGGACATGTCAAATAAATTCTTATACAGTAAGACTTCTCAACAACGTAACGCTTGGAAGCAGTTATTTCTCAATAGCTAACACCCCGCGTTTTCAAGTTACGCTTGCGAAAAAAAACTCTCCTGTGAGCGAATAAGCGAGATTAGAGAAAGTGGGGATAGATCATTATACTATTGTGAAATTTTACGGAGGTGGAAACTTACGCTATTGAGAAGTTTTACTGTAGTAGAATATTGTAATCGGATCTAAAGAAATAGGAGTAATTACATAATAAAGTAAACATTTGTGTTTTGTATAAAATTCTACTAGATCATTTTTTTATGCGGTCTTTCAACCATATGTATTTCGATTTCACTTTAGTCTGTCCGATCCCTTTTTCTGTTTTTCTCTATGTAGGAGCAACATCGAATGGGAGATCGAGTAAAGTTAGTATATTAGTATTTTTTCAAAACTCAGTTCTCATAAGGAATGTGCAGAAGCGTAATGATTTAAATTTAAAGTAAGAATCTGGCGCTAATGTCGATTAGCCAGTCATAGTACAGAGGTTGTAATGACGTCACTGCTCGCATGCGCGTACACGAGTGCGCATACTCATAAGGCTGCATGGAAGTTGGGTTAGCGAATGTTGGGTGATATGCAGTGATATGTAAAAATCAACATGTTTGCAAATAATGTAAGATGTGTTCCTGTTATTGTTGGAAATATTCTCAAGATTTCAAATACACTTGCAAGGAACTATGCATTCAAATCTAATTTAAAAATTAAATGGGTACGTCCAGAGAAACCATCCTGTATCTCAACTGAAATTAGTGGTGATTTAGGTTTAGATGTTAAAGTTGATCCAAATGAATACTGCAAAAAATATTGGAACTCAAAAGAACTTGAAGAGTAAGTGTATATGTAAGTAAGTATATACTTTGATGTTCTTGAAGATGATTTAATTACTTTCTTTCAGTGCCGATGATATTGTTAAAAAAATGTTTACCCTTGATTTTAACAAACGGAAAACAACTGTGGTTGTACAACGTGAAAAAATAACAAGTCTTGTGAAAAATCATTTTATGGATACAACGTCTATGGAGACAATCAGTAAGTATAATTATTATTATGGCTTTTGCGAGAGTTCATCGATATTACATTTATTTCTTGGTTTTCAGTTGCTAAAATGACCAATCAGATTTTACAACTGCAAGAGTATATGAAGGATCATCCAAGAAATTTACCAACCAAAACGCATTTGAAAGAACTTATTGAAAAAAGAAAAAAGTTTCTGGGTTACTTGAGACAGTGGGATTACAAACGTTTCGAATGGCTTCTTGAAAAATTAAACATTATTTATAAGCCTCATCCTCAGTATGTTATCTCGAACATATACTTTTCTAACAAATCATAAAAAGAAGATATTTTAAATACTCCCTTTCTCTACAGTCAATACCTCCCAGTAACCAGAAAAGATTCCTTGAGAAAATTAACAACCAAACATTGCGACAAATTGGTGCAAGAAAAGTTGGATGCTTATAGAAAGGAATTGGAGGAGGAGCAGAAAATTTTTTTTAAAGAAAAGGCTGAAAAACTTGCATTCATCAGAGCAGAAGAAATAGCATGTGGTGTCACTCCGACTGTCACAGAAGAACAAATTGAAGATGTAAGAAAAAAGGCAGCTGAATTACAATAATTAGTTGAATCGATGTAAAATTAGTGTGAATAGACACATAAAAGGATGAATTATATTTTATTACAAAAACTTTCTTAAAACTCCCTTCTCGTCTCCCACACAAATATTTCTCTGTAATCCATTTCGAACCAACAAACATCCACCTCTTTGCTTGATATTTAGAGAGTCTTTCTATCAAGCTATTCATAATATCTTTCTCCATTTTGTTAATTAAGCTAAAATGGAAATTACATACCAATAAAGTAGTATCACTCTTTTCTACCCCATCCAAATACGAACAGTTCCGGTGTACAGAAGGAAGTGCCAAAGAGAAGTTTCCTGTCAGACAAGTCCCAGTTTCCAGTTGTCTCGTAATACTTTTCATTCCACCAATAAATAAAAACAAGAGTAGTATAACGAGTACAGAATAAATAATCAGAAAGACTTCACAGGGCGTGGTACCTTCACTAATTACTTCCACGAAACCATAACACTTTATAAATCATGCAAAAAAGGAGCCGTTACAAAATTTGAATTATTTTTACGAGCAATGAACGACAACAGAGTTCAACGGAAGTATCAAAATTGAGTACCCATTTTATGGCCATCATATTTTTCCATCTAATAAAATGAAAATGATCATAGTGAGAGATAATTGTTACTAATTTCATATTCTCAGATACCAGTTTACATGAATACAATTTTCATAAAAAAGAAGCGGCAACAAATTTCATTTGAAATTCTCTAACGTCTTTCAAGATGAACAGATTTCGCAAAAACCTCTACCATCATCCTGACCGAATTCCCAAATGCGGCGTTACACTATTCTATTTCAATTCTAATAGCCTTCGGCAATATCAGACGTTTCCCAGGCAGCGTCTACTCTCAGCGATTGCACATTGCTCAAACTAAAGCAAGTCTTTCCTCGAGACGTAGGGAAGAGTGCAGTAAAAATGTAAGTGAATGTTCGCGGTATATAAAGAAGAGTGCACCGGGGATGCTGCAACACTCACGGAGAAATCTTCAAGGGGCAAATATACATATACTGTGAATTAAAACACCATAAAAGACGGCAGAAAAGAAGAAACGATGATAGTCGAGGTAAAGATACAAAAAAAAAAGTTACCACAAATCCTCAATCATAACCGTCCAAAATTTACAAAGAAAAGAAGTCTTAGACCTTCCCAAACTACATTAAAGATACGTGTTTAATGAATTAAAGAAAATAATTATAATTACATCATGTCCATATCTCATTATATCTTTACTAACAAGAACTGATTCTCTTTGCCATACTCGTATTCATTATTTATTATCTGTTTAATGAGTATACATATATATCCATACACGTTTCCATATAAATATGGTCAAGTGGTTGGATACGTGATGGGCACTCCTTAAAGGATACAAACTCTATCTCTTCTATTATGCAATAAAGAAGTTTCACCAGTGTAATTCTTAGGGCAAAGTATAATAACTGAACATACAAACCCAACACTAATAATGAACGATTGCAAGAGCGCGTGGGACGATTGTCATTGTTCATCGGATCCTAATCGCAATTCTACATTCCAGATTCTCTTCCTGATTTGCGCGCTGGAGATGACACGGGCTGGTATTCATCAAGGGTAAGAAAAGAAAGAAAGAAAGAAGAGAAATATAAAGAGACAATACCGAAAGCAGTAGCCATGTGAAAATTCACATATATTTTGTACCCAACAGTTTTGCACTGCCTCCAAGAGGGCCAAGATACTCGTCGTATCCTTGCGCACCAGTTAGAAATTCTGCAAGATTCGAAAACGTCGCCCCTGCAATCACATGTGCATTCAAATTGCCAAAGTCATCAGGATCGTCAAGAGATCGTAGTTCATCGCCGGTTTACGTCAAAGTATCTTCACCGGCTTCTTATAAGCCATTACCCAGGACCTCGTCTCTCGTTTATGTTGCACCGCCTATTCTGAAGACTGCAGGTGCGGTCGTGGCGACGGAGGAAGATTCTATGGAGATGGAGGTCGAGCATATGTCTTATCCAAAGTATTCTTTTAATTATGGTGTCATTGACGGATACACTGGGGATTCGAAATCAGCATGGGAGGAACGTGATGGGGATACTGTTAAAGGAGAATATTCTGTTGTCGAAGCTGATGGTACTATACGTACTGTATCTTATACAGCTGACGACCGTAATGGATTTAATGCAGTTGTGACCAGAAGTGGCCATGTTAAAGATTCAGCTGGACCTGGTAAAATGTTTGTACCGGCTTCTATAATGAAGAGTAATGGAGATAGGCGTAGACCCAGGCATTGAATTTCACTTAATTAATGCTTAAGCTGGTTTGTTACTTTTTTAATTGTTAAGAATAACATAAAACTTTTTGGGATTATTAAAAACTTTTGTTTTTGCTCTCATTAGTATTGATATATTTGAATGATGAGTATTCAAAGAATTATATGCATTTATGTGAAACGAAGGAGTGTCTGAATCATGCAAGTTGATAGTTTTTAAGATGACTATTATTGATACTAAACGCGACTGCATTTAGAATCAGAATATTTATTCATACATATTTTGGACGGTATTCTAAAACCTCATGAGAAGTGTTGGTGTAACTTAAAATAATATTTGTATTAATTAAAGAATAAATAAAATCGGTCTTGTTTTTTAATATAATGATAGTAGAAAAAGAAATATTTGTATGTACCAGGTACGATAAGAGTGAGTTCTTTTTATAGAAATAATACAAAAATATCTTATTTATACTTGCTTCACTGTACCGCCTAATGAATTTCATTCAAGGAAAGTTACGACGAGAGATTTAATCAAGAAATATTCATTAAAGTCATTACATCATATTGTAAGTATGAAAGTGTACTGTTCTTGAGACTTTCATGTAACTTTTTATTAATGGCAAATACAAACGAATCTTTTTTTAATCATCTATTCAATTTTCTTTTTCTAAACGCAATCACGGCTACCATCCATCTCTTCAATTTGATATTTTAACACGAGTACAAGAAGATACAATTGGAATATTACGAATTATCAAACATCCTTCACACGTTCACTTGCACTTATTATCTATTATTATCGTGACAACTATCAATCAGGTAACTGCAGACAGTATCACTCGTCCATAGTGTAAAATAGCATTTTCACAAACAGCGAACATTACCCAAATCCGTTTTCTTGATTATCTAAACTATTAATTACAACGGCGCTGAGTGGTTAAATAGAAAAAAAAGAAGAATGAAAGACTAACAAGTAATAAAGAGTAATGAGATGTGATGAAAAACTGAGCATATCTACTTCAATTCTCCAGTCTCTAAAGCAATTCATACAAGAGTAACAAGACATTCTTGTAAGTCCAAAAAGATAAAATGTTTCTTCTCCCTCATAGAGAATAAAGTAAAAAATGATAATACAAAATTAATATTTTTTCATGTACAAAAAGACTCTATCTATTCCTGGAACGCTTATTACTACTCTTTTTAGCACTGTTCGTAGATCTATTTTTATTATTAGAGTCTTTATTGTTACTGTGACTGTCCTTCGCAGATACAGAAACATGTTCTAGGTTTCCATTGGACATAGGTCCATTGGAAAATTGGACATTAGTGTCCGTGCTATTAAGAGTGCCATTATTTTGAGAATATCCACTTTGAACAGAGGTGTGATTCTTTCCAGTGGCCTCTTTGCTATTCCCCGAGGGATTCGCATTGGTAAAGTTGCAATTGTCCTCGCTGCCGCTGTTTCCAATCTGTGACTCCGACTCACTGTATCGTTCAACTGGAATCAAGGTGCTCCCATTAACGGTACACAGTGCGTACAAAGTTGAAGGAAGCAGCAGATAAATAATAAAAACTAATATGAAAATAGAAAAGAAAGTCCGATTTTCTACGTGAAATAATAAGATCGTTTGATTTGAACAAGTACAAAAGTGATGAGAATTTTTTGAATGATAATCACGTGACTCATGATTTTATTCTAATGTATGAATTAGCAATTATGACGGAGACAGTCATAGGATTCAAGAGAACTACCACCATTATTTTATTAATAAAAACTTTTATATACTACCAAGGCACATCGAGAACAAAGGCAAATAACTTGGTATACATAAACAGAGAACAGAATCACTAGAGATCAGCATAGGGATTAAAGTGATTTGTATAAGAATAAAGTTTGTTTTTCAAAAGTTCTAGAGCGATAGACTTTCTTGGCGAACCATAAATTGTAAAATTTATAAGCAATAGTTGTAGTAAATTAAAAGTATGCTGCCACCAGTAATTTTGTTCCCTTAAGACTAAAACAACTAATGCTATATCTAAAACCAATAGACATATTCTATTTATAATATAACAATACAGTAAACCAGTAATCAGGTAACTTAGATAAACATAATTGAGTACTTATAAAGACAGGAATAAAATTATAACTGCTATCGAAGAAGATTGATAAAAGAGAATACAAAAGAGTAAGATACCAATTAATAAGTAGCTTATTAAAAAATAGATAATTATGAATATCCATTCAGGTCCTTACTTTTTTCTTGTGTGTTCTCCACTAGACCGCTCACTGCCTGTAACATGCACAAGGTGCCCTTTGTACCGAGTACCATCAAATTGACATTCAGCCCATTTTGGTACCACTTGGTAGTGTTACTTACAGCCATAGATGTAATAGAAGATTTAGAGAATAATCTTTCAGCTTCTTTGAACTTTCTATTACGTTTGTCTGCTTTACTATTTGTGTTTTTGTTGCTGGCTAAATATCTGTCCCAACCACGGATAATGTTTCCATATAATTGCGTATCCTCCAAGTAACTTCCTTCGAATGCGTATATCTGTCGTTCTAAGTTAGCTAAAGTGTCCTGCAATAATACCATAAATATTTCAAGTCTTACATAAACAGAGCCAAATACGTAAAAGTATTCGATTGGAGACGCAGTTTGTTTCTACAGGTTATGTTTAACCTTCATTGCATACAGAAACACTAATATTACAAACTGTGTTAAACCTAATAGAACAAGAATCGTAAAATTTGATTGAGAATAAGATATTAACAAGTATATAATGTTTAGACTTCTAATTACTGAGAAATGTATAAAACAAAAGCCTAGATTTCTCGAATCAGTGTACTTTTTACATCCTAATACGTACAGCAATTTCTGCTTTGCGTTTCACAAGTTCAGCCAGTTCGGCCCTTAAATCCACCGAAGATTTTGTAGACATTATCTTAATTGTTCACAACGACGTAAATAAATATTATCCGTAAAACAGTAAATGTAAAAAAACATAAAATAGCTTTTCGAGAATATATCTTGATATATCTACTTTCTTTTATTAATATGCTGCAAGATGCCGCTAGTGACATATTCCGAATGGTACTGCCCACTAGTAAGATATTCTATAAACTCGCAATTGTTCCATATCTGCAGCTGAAAAATCAAATCGAATTTTTCCAGCTTTTCCTTTTTGAACTTACACTGTACTTTTTATTTGAACAAAATTACATGATTACCGATCAATGTATTTATCGTTTCATCAAAAGATACAGCGTTAGGAAGTAAGTTTCAGTTGTTTTTGAAATATTTGAATTTGTCTCAATAATCCTGCCAATCTAATTGCAGTAGATGGTTCACGTGTAATTGATGGTATGACACTTCCTCTTCTCATGGAGTAAAATCCTACAGGATTTGCAGTTTGCGGTCTGGCGTGAACAGGCAAATGAACAGCAGGAGCATTATGAGGAGCTTCAGTTGCTACGCATACAAAGCTGTTTCTCTCATGCAACAGTTTCATTTGTTGCTTCAAAGCCAGCACCTTGAAAAATTTCCTTTTACTTTCTCATTCGCAATATTACCTGATTCGACTACTGATTCAAGTCCTTCAAATAACTGTTACCTCTTTGTAGAGACCCACTACAGCATTAATTTCTTCTTCCTTGGCTGATAATTCTTCCTCAATTGCCACTATTTGCTTTGTCAAGGATTTGTCATTAGTCTTTTCTACCTGTTCTTGCAGCTTTTCATAATTTCTATTCCAAAAATTGAATTACTATATTTAATAGTGTAATTGTAGATTTTTTTTTAAAAGAAAACTTACGTATTCATTTCTTCAAATTGATCGTGCAACTTTATCAGTACTTCTCTTATTCCTTTTGTATTATCAGGAACAGTATGAACATTGCAGGATCCATTATTCATATTCAATTCCTCCTATAACGATATCCAGTTGTATATTTTTTTAATAACAATAATCTTAACAGCTATTAATTACTTGACGTTGTTTCAGCAAAGTACTTGATGTCAAATTAGGATTTCCTGTTATACTTTTGCGAGAGGCTTTTATCGTTTTGTCATACTTCACGCTTGGTTTAGTAACAAGCCCATATCCCTTTTGCTTCTATATAATTAACAACAAATATTAATTAATATTTAACTTGAAGAACAAAATATATATAACAATCAAGTACCTCATCTTCGTACAAAGTTCCTTCAGATCTCTTGCAATTGGCAGCCATATCATTTCTTTGATTCTCACAATAATCTTGAAGATTAGGAATAGTAATGATTCTAGGTGTTTGTCGTTGAAAGCAATTGACAACTTTTGAACTTTCCATAATTTCTTTATCAGTATTATTATACTTTTCAGACAAACATCCGTTACAGTTGACAGTCGTGTCTCGCGGTGATTTTCTGTATTGATCATTGATTTGATCAAAGAGCGAAGAAACTGGCTTCATACCTTTGCTCACTTTGCGAATAAGTAATGGCGTAATTCCATTAGCCATTGGTCGTGTTTTCATTATGCTTAATACCTATGTATAATATTTAATTAATTGTAATTGTCATCATTCATAATAACCGAGCGAATACAGTTCTTTCTCATACCTGTTGAATATTCAAGCCCAAGTTGTGACTCGGTGTTACAGAAGTGCCTACGACAAATGGTATATTTTTGAAGTTAAATCTGTTGAAGTATGATCTGCTGACTTGTTTAAGTTTCGATGCTACAGTTGGCATTTCATAATTTCTAATGACTGTAGGATCGTAATAAGATGGGTCGACAAATGATCTGTATCGATGATGATGATGACTCTTGTAACACTCCATAGCCTCGTTTTGAATATTAGACTGCTTTGGTTTGTAATCTTCATGACAATTCACTTGCCTAAGTTTAAGATAAATAATTTTTATGCAAATTAAGGAAATATAATATTTTTTATATACGTACTGTGTATTGTGATTGTACGATGACTGATACTGTGTGTCTTGGATATGCTTGCTATTACTTTCAGGTTTTTCGGTCTGTTGCAATAATTCTCGTTCATTCTGATGGGTGTACGATACATCAGGTATTGACTTTTCATCGATCTTGAAGGCGTTATTAATCGATTGACAATGTTTTAATTGCTGATCAGCTCTGGAGTGTTTACTAGATGCCAAAGAAATTGTACCACTCTCTGCAGCATCATTATGATAAATTTCCACTACGTCGTTACGACTTTTTGGCAATTGATTGGGAAATACACGTGATTCTTTAGGCATCTCCGTAGATGGGATTGTTATAGTGTGTCCTAAAAAATTAATAGTCTGATATTTAATTCATTTTTGTTATTCATATTTGCATGATACCTCTTTGCTTTCTTTTCTTGAAATCTTTCTTGACTGTTATATTGGTGTCTTTTGTTAAAATTGTACTCTTTGAATTAGTACTTTTTATCCGACCTTTCTTACGCTTTATCTTCGACGTTACTGACATTGTGTCATCTATTTTACTATTAGCAATTTTTTTGTTAATAGTGGCCGAATATGATGACAATGCTTTGTGCTTTCTTTCTGACTTTATAATCTTCCTGCGTTTTATCGTATGCGTATTCTCCGCACTGCCAGTAATCTTTAAGACTAATTCTTGTTTCTTGCTTTCTGCTTTCAAAGCCGTTATTGGATCGTTACGTTCTTCTTGATCTTCAATCGATGATCTTATTATAAGTTCCTTCGTATTCTGTATGTCCCTCTGTAAACCTTTTGAATATTCTATCAAATGCTTCTGGTAAGGATGTTGAAAAGCATTTGCATCATCGACATCATGTTCTTTGCAAGTCTGCAGACAAATTTAATAAATTAATACGTGTCATTTTTTTTACTTATATTTTTTGTCAAAATGAAACCTCGTGTCCTTCCACGAAACATGAAAATTTTGGCGACGGTGATGACGTTCTTTCCGTCAACATATGAGTGATGTTTCGGGCTTTAATTCTTCTTAACTGCTGATATTCTGTGTTGCTCTCTTCATTCGTTTCATCAACGACACTGTATGATTTCTCTATTTTTGGTGACAACAATGGATACTTGGAATCGTATCTTGGAGTTCTTTGTGTGAAACCTATTAAATAGTTTTTGTGTAATCTGAACATCAATTTGTATGCAGAGAAATTCATCTTCTATACCAGTCGATGTGTCCTCTTTGACTATCTCTTGCATTTTGTGTATATCTTCAAAGAGACTGTAATAATTTTCATCGACCACAGAAACAGTTTCTTGTAAATCCTTTGATTCCAAAGGAGATGTTTTTGCTTGCAGTGATTCAGATACAATGGATTTTTTATCAGATTCAATTTCCTTCTTTGACTCACAATCAGCTGGTACTGTCTGAACTCCTTGGTAAATCATTTTCATGTAATCTAGCTGGGATTTCAAAGAACCACATCTCGTTTCTGCTACTTCCAACTGCTGCTCGAGTTCTATTTAAAAAATAATAAATAATTAGTTATTAATATACTTACATAGATGTTTTGCAATAAAAACCTGTTAATCTAGTATCAGGGCCACTTCTGCTGGCTGTCACCTCTCTTGGGTATGGCTGCGACATGTATTCTGTGAAACCACCTGTACAAATAATAATTATTAGAACTGTTTTCAAGTTCTTTAACAATTTTTTACATTATATTAGAAATTTAAAGAATCATCTGCACGTCATGGAATCAAATTATTGTTCCACTATATATTAAGTGGTGCATCATTATTCGTTACACCGCGTATAAGGACTTTCAATTGAAAATTATGAAAAAAAAATATTTAATTTCATTTACCAGGAATCCATGTTTGCGTATTAGTAATCTCCATAATGACAGAAGTATATTATTTAATAGAGACACTCCATGGTTTATCGCTTTGAATTGTTGATACGCGTTGATTCTATTCTACGTTGTCTTTCGTAAAAGTGTATATAGACTTTGCTCAATGGGTTAAATGTAAATTTTTCCAGCAAAATAAACGGACGTATAAAACCTCACGAAATAGAAAAGATGAATTCGCAGGTTACAGTACCGGGATTCATTACAATTCTTCTTTTGTTAACACACGTCTTTTGTAACGAACATGACAAACAGTTTCATATTGCAACTCATGTCTGGACGTTGAATGACAAATTAATGAATACGATAATATCCAATAAGGTATAGGTTGATAGATATTTAAACAATTTTTATTCATAATTACGTAATATTAAAATGTGTATATTCTTTTACAGGACTTGCAGAGAAAGATAAATCTCTGTGTATGAATTCGTGTGAAAAAAAATTTCAGGTACGAATCATAATTGTTTGAGAATACTAAAGCATTAATTATTCGTTAATTATCATTGCGTGAACTTTCTTTTATCTACAGAAATAGAAATTGCGGATAAAAATGATTCAAAAGCGAATTCAAATTAAGCACATGATAAAGTTCAAATCAATCGAAAATGTTGTTACTAACTGTAGCCACCAGAGGCGCTACTATCATCTTCCCAAGAATATTTTAGGAAGACGTAAATCAGCGTACCTGTGAGTTGCAAATGGTGGACGGCCTGTCACCGTCGTATCGTTAACATCAGGTATGTGAATTTTATTGGATATTTCATCATAATCATTTTCCAAAGATATCGTAGGGGTTCATTACGTGTTAAAGAAATGTTACAACCATTTTTATAATTTTGACAATCAATCTTTCCCTATGAAAATTAAACGTTACGTAAAAAAAATTATTGAACAAGTTAAAAATAGTCACCGGGCGATCACGTTTATTTTCCCGCTGAAATATAAGAAAAATCTAGATTAAATGTAACCCTATTCTTGATGGATTACGTATTTTTTACTATCCTTGACTATCCCATCGATCCGTAGCCTGCAATAACCTATTTTTTCCATGTACTGCATATAGTCACTTATATATAAGGACGGTTGTGTAATACGAGTAGGAAGGTATTTTTGCTATAGCATATTTCGTCGGTGCTCCCGATTACTCTTGCATTATAAACATGTTTATTCATGGCTTTCTTGGATTTTTTCAATGTTACATTGCTGTTCTCCGATCCCTGATAATGAGGTGTGTCACATGACATTGACATAGACTGTCGTTCTAACAAAAAGAAAATGCTGAGGCTGTTAAATTTTTGCTCTCCTCAGCTTTAATGTTATTATTCATTTTTAACATTGATTTATAATTATTACAGAGTACATGTTGAATTACATATTCTCACAAGTAGTTTATCCATGACTCATTTCTAACTAATAGTAAACTATGAGAGTGTTCTTTTTTTTGTTTGACTGGGCATCAGTAAACCTTTCTCCTTTGGAAATGTTTAGCATTGGAGCAGTATTATATATGGGAGGTAACAAATAACATTGTACGACTCAGAATTGTGCCCTAGGGTACTGTTTTGTAATAGCCAGACAGTATATATTAATCAATGACCTGGTGAAGCACTGATGCTTATCTTTCAAATGTAAAAAATGATTTGTAGTGTTTGTGAAAAAAGAAATTATTATCTTTCCATGAGGAAACAAATATTATTTGCTGATTTATATTTGTATCAAATTATCACTTAAAATTTCAATAGGAATATTACTGGGTTATACTTCAATTAATTTTTTGAGCTAAGTAAACACTGTATTGAGATAACAATTTTTTTTATTGATGTTTTAAAAATAGGATGCAGACTGAATTTTGTGACTGATTAAAATTTTGTCATTATTTGAACTGTGAATCTTGATCTTGAGAATGTTCTGCAGTCATAGGTCATGCAACATTTTATTTCTCCTGCACGAATTATTATTAAATATAACTAGTCAACGGGTCTACATTTTTCTTCATTGGTTCATGTGATCATAAGGGAAATTTCTTCTTACTCCATTAGTCATTGATTTCAAATGTGTTTTTAGAAATCACAAAATGACGCAAAGTATTATGTAGTCATAGCAAAATTTCCAATGGCAGATAACAACCATATTTATATATGATACTTACATTGCGCATTTTGTATTGATAATGGCATTCAATGATATTTTATTAAGTATTCGTAGAATCCTATCAGTCATAGGATTATCAGTGTTTTTGGGAATAATACATGAAACAACTGTCTGATGTTTGATCTCAAACGGCTATTGGGTACCATACAATGTTTACTGATTATCATCCCTGCATCTAATCACATTCTTCAAAATCGCCAATGACAAGAAATGTGCAGAGCAGAAATAGAGTGTAATCTCTAATTAATCCTGTATTAATTGTTACGTCCCTGAGAACAATTAGACTCAAACTCTGATAACAGTATCTGGTTCCATACGTTTATTAACGTTTTGCAAGATATACCACATTGTCATAAATTTATCATTGGATTTAATTGGCGCAGATCTGATTACCGGCTTATCTGATTCGGCTGAAGCATCAAGTATAGTAATTTAAGCGTATTGCAATTTGGCAACGAGCCTCCTTGGCAGCTACCTTATCTCACACGTAATACCCAATGGAAAAGATAAAAAAATATTTTTTCAAGATGAAACTTCTCGTTTAGCGACTATTAAGTCAATATTGGGCTGTCATAGTTTAACTTTCTTGTTACCAAGATATCAGTAACATTAGTAAATATCTGTAAAAAAGAACCGTGGCAATTCTAATACTGCAACAAGTTAACTTATGACAACGCCTTGTAAATTGTAAGCAAAGACTTGCCCAACTATTTATGACATGTATAGTGACACGACACTCATTATGACTTCATTAATTTGATACAGCCCGGTATATCAAGCTCTCCTACATACCTCAAATCTTTCCCTTACCATTTTCTGGCTATTGGTCAAATTAATCAATTTCAACATGTATTTATTTTAAAAGTTGGCACATCATCCTCTATTGCATAATGAAGTTCTGCCAGATTCGTCCAAGCCTAACGATTCACCACTCAAGCCGTTTAAAATACTCTACACCACATCGCATTACAGGCGCACAAGGCGGAACCTTTGTTTTTTTCCTTTCCCATCGTAAGAAATCCAACTAGAAAACTATACCAAGGTCCAATTAGCCTTGCGTTACCAATTCGTTACATAATACCAATTTCAGGAGTATCTAAACTTAATTGTTTGTTCCTCATTAGTCGTGCGAAAGGTGGTTGTACACCGTTTTATTCCTGATGAGCCTCCTTTTCTTTTTGTCATATAACTCGAACTTTTATCAATAGTAAATTACGCACAGAACTCTACACACCGTGTCAGGATAAGTTCAATAGTCCAATCTTTGAATATTATCGCAAGTTTAATTAACTCATTCAGTTCTAAATTATCATGTCAAAACAGCAAATATCGTCACAGAAAATAGGCGTGGTGATAGTATTGAGGCGTGTGATAACGTCACACTGTCTACTGTAGATAAGGCCAGACAGCCTTGAGAATACTCATGAGACATACATTATTTCTGCACAGACGTAATCGCAATGCGTATATACATATAAATGCTGGGTAAGATTAATTCTTCAAGGTTTATCGATATTATCGGTACGTTTTCCTGTAGTATAACGAAATCTGATAAAGTCATTGGGCTTATGTCAAATGCAGTTTTTCTTCTGCTGTTGCTTTCGGCTACGTTCATGCGGATTAAACTCGTACCGGCCAGTTTATGCTGCGTTCAATTTATCAAGACAGTCAAAAGTTCAGTTAGTCGATCCACTAATCAGCTGGAGTTGTGAGCTAGAGACGTGGTAGCTGTGTACGTATGATTTTCTTTATTATACAGTGATAATGTAGGGCTTTGTATTATCGGTTATTGAGTTTATTGAATAGATTAGATTGTATTATTGCTTCTTTCAAATCTGAATTACCTCTTTATTGTCTATTTACGTTGATGTATTAAGGATGTTATGATGTTGAAGTTGTAATATTGTTTAGTGGATTTGAAGAAGCCAAATTGGTAGATACTAGAATGCTTTCTTTTTACAGGTCAAAATGCATCGGGCTAGAACAGTTTTCAGTTCCCTGGCCCCCTTGGCCCCACGTATCTGTGGGACTGAGAGGTTTGCCTCCTGGTTGGTACGTGGTCATCCCTTAACTAGGAACAGTCAGGTGATTGTGGCTGCACCTATTCGAAAATACAACAGTCCTGCAGCTGCGGAACCCTTTCTCAATGGCAACTCCAGCTCTTACGTTGAAGAAATGTACAATGCCTGGCTTCAAGATCCTCACAGTGTACATGTGGTCGGTATTGTTGGATATACTAATGATTGCATTCTGCTAAGTTGTTTTTAGCTGTTTAACTTATTATTATCGTTGTTTCAGTCATGGGATGCCTTCTTTCGTAACAGTACTGCTGGAGCTATGCCAGGTTTGGCTTATCAGGCACCTCCATCACTTGCACCGAGCTACAATCAGATACCCCTTGGAGCATTGATGCCCGTTGGTGGTGGAAGTCAAATTAGTCAGCTTCCCATCAATGAAAAGATCATCGATGACCATCTTGCTGTTCAGGCTATCATTCGATCCTACCAGGTATGTTTCATCGTAAAGTCATTCCATTAAACACATTTGGGACTTCCCTCGAAAGTTAAAACATTTTCATATATCTACTTGTTTAAGTTATTATCGTTTCAGTACCAGCCACCATATTTGTATTATTTTATTATCGTTGCATTCTTTTTTTTCTTTTAATCAAGTAATGACGTTTATCCTTGCTGTTCAATTTACATTCTGAGAGCTCGGATTCTCGGGATCGCATTAGAAACTGAAAACCGGTTTCATGACATTGTCACAATTAATTTCAGCTGTTCTTCGTACATCCATTTGGTTTTTGTACAGCTGTAAAGGACAATAATAGGCTGCTGTTGATAATTCTTTTTTTTTACTTTATCTCGAAATCTGCAACCTCAATTTTTCGATACTTCAAAACTCCGTACACGTACTTGTTGAGACAATTGACAGGTAATGAAAATGATTGCGTTGTCAGTAGTATACACGCCAACTAAACACCTCCCATCTTATCGTTTTATCTCTATTTACTGTATTATTTATGAATTCTGTGAATTGAGGTCACAGATTTTTAAAAATTATGATTTACGTAGTACCGTAAACTCTTTCTCAAAGCATATCAGTGTTTCATATAATTGCCGTTTATTCACGTTAGATTCATACCTGCAGCAGCATGTCTTTGGTAATGTTCAAGGGAAGTCACGATCCTTAGTTATGCATGGGTTAAAGAGACCTCTCTTTTCTTTACTTTTATTATCAATATCATAACTACCGCAGTCTACTGCGTCTTCTACCTCAAGCATGTCTCGCAAAACTGTTATTTACTCTTGAAAATAAAAATTCTTTTGTTTCGCAAGGCTTCACTATCGTCCATTAACTTAATGAATATAATTATTAATCAATGAGGAAGAAGCGGCAGTACTTTAATGTTCATTATTGTGTAGTGACGTATGTGTATAAAAAGGTGCGACTGTCTTTTGACATTGTGGACTAAATTTGCTCACAAGCCGTTCTAGAAAGAAAAGGGGCAAGGCTCAAGAAACAAGAAATAATGGGCTGACCCTGCGCACCCTGTAAAATGTCAATCTACCAGCCTTAAGTTTGTCATGCTTTTACCATTGGATTGGGTCTGTGAGCGAACTTTCTCCTGTGTTCGATGACACTTTGTACTGTCAAGTGGGATAGAAATAAAAGTGTCTAGCACAAAATGTTACAATATCTATATCAACCAAGGATTAAATCATGTGGGTTTTTTTTTTGTGGGGATGTTCTTCATTGGTACATAGGCACGAGGTCATTTAGTCGCTGATCTGGATCCACTTGGTATCATGCAAACCGACAGGATACACACACATTATGCGGCCCGCAAAGGTGCCCCAGAGCGTGTTCTACTACAGTATTCGCTTGGTAAGGCTTCGAACCCACTTCATATATTTATGCCTCAGTCAAGTAAAGAGTCAATTGAGATTTTGACTTATTCAACCAAACTACCTAGCTCGCTTACTGTATAAATCAATGAATTTATTGTTAATCCAAGTCATCATATGCCTTGGTGAACTCTTGTCTTTACTTGATGAAGGAATAAAACGTCATTCTACATAAAACTCGTGGTTCTTGCAGCAGAGACATTGACGCCTTCTTCGACTGCACTTTCCACGGGGAGAAGATCAATTTGTTTCAATGGCAGCCGAAATTAGAATAATTATCAATTAAGCACAAGGTCCTATGTGTACTTCAGTAATGCTGCTCATTCTTCTGATCAACTGAATCATACTGTAGCTTAGGTTGATTAACGTCATCTGAAATCTAATATTGTCATTGCTTGAAGAAGGTAATTTCATAACTTTAATTATATATTTATCCAAGATTCAGTTGCTTTTTTGATTCTGCAGTCATTATCGAAGGAGGCGTTAACAGTCATTTTTGATTATCATAACAGATACTCTATACTGATACTGAAAGTCCATTGTGGTCGTGGGTCAATTAATTGAACGTGATGTCGCGCCTTAGGGAAAAGTACTGAATGTTTTGGGCGAGCGAAAAATTGCAATGCTGATAGTGTCGATGGTGTCTGTTTGATTAGATTGATGTATACGACAGTGTTTATTCAGTCGGTTGTATATGCATAACTGCAATGGAGAAATGTTGCCAGGCTTTTTTGTCCCTCTGCAGCTGATTGGATTTAACCTTGCGAATTAACGTTGAAACTTTAAAATCAGGAGAATTGCCAATAGCGAAACAATTAGGAATGTAGATTTGGGGGATCGTTAATGTATTTTTTTACGTTCCACTGGTTTTCTGGATTGTATGTTTGGAGGATGCAGGTAAGGGAGAGACGCATGTTATCTTTTCTAATCTATCAAGCTTCTGCACGTTTATTGGCTGTTCTATATTTTGTCTATTGCTTCTCTAATTGCTTAAATCTGTCATTATGGAGATTCATGATTGCATTTAATTATTACCTATGCTTCAGGCACATTGCATTGTCACTTGAATATTTTTGATTAACTTTTTACTTAAATATATTTCACGTATGCACACCTGATATGCGTCAATTGGATTTGACAGCTGTCAATCTTTTATTGACGTTTTGCAGCTTGACGACAATTCACTCTTATGTGCAAAATAGATTTTCTTTCATCTGGGAGGTGTTAGTAGGTATTTGTTGAAAATAACTAAGAATCTTGTTACTTGACTAAGTATCTGATTTACGTGTTACGCTTGATTTTCGTTAATCAATTTTCGATTGAAATTCGCATTACATTTTTTTTTGTTCTCCCTTCGCCCTGGTCAAGATTCTGACTATCGTTTTTAATTCTTGAAACTTTATGATTTTCCAAAGGACTATTTCTAAGGGCGGCAATGCCACTTTTCTTTTTCTTTATTTTTATTGCGCAACGCACTTGGAAATAGTTATTTGCTGTGTTTATTGTCATATCCATATATTCACGTACTTGCCACGAGAGACCTGTGATTTGTCGGGGGCTGGCAAGAATTTGTTTTTTAATTGTATTTCTTTTTAGTAACTGACAAACCTACCACAGTACGCTAACTTTGTGTTTTGATTTGTAAAAATTCGACCAGCCCGCGACAAACTTGTCTTAACATTTCCACGACGTTCGAGGCTATTGAGTCATTTTGAAAAAAAATATCTTTGGCCCGCCTGAACGCGGCATTGAATTGACAGATCCGTGGGCATCATATCGCTAAATTGGATCCACTCGGAATCAACAGCGCTGATCTTGACGATAGGCATCCTCAAGAGTTGCTCTATAATCATTACTCATTCGGTAAGCGAAAACAAAAAAGAATACGTCGTGTCGGCAGAAGTCAATGCACAATTTCTCTTATTACTTATTATTACTAGTTCATTATATTAGTACTCTTTCGAGTGTCCAGTTTAGAACTAGTTTTGTACAGCGGACTGATCAGGATTTCATGAAAGACTGTGAAGATAATGAGATTTTTTTTCTTTTAAAATTTATATTGCTGTACACGATGGTACTATTTTTTTCCCCTTCATCTGATCAGTCTTCTGTCATTTGGTAGTGCGTGTTTGATTATCACGTTATACCGTAACTCTTTTCGATACGTGTTATCAGTGGCTTTACTAAAAACGAAAAGAAATCCGTTACCACATAGACTACAAGGAAGCAGACAAAAATAACGAAACAAAACGAAAGATTTATCCCGTCGTGACGGCTTTTGAAAATGAAAAAAACACTTTCGCGTTATCTCATCATTTCATCGATCAATTTTCTTTATTCTTATTTATCGATTTCTTCGTATTTACGAACACGTTTTTATGCTTTGTCGCTTCTTTTCATTTATTTCGTTGTCAGCAGTAAGTCTAACTCTCGCGACGGCAGCGCCGCGCGCGGCTAATTTTCTCGAAGCTTCGGGCTGACAGGTCGGCAGAGGGTATTGCTGGACAAAGAATTAATAAATGAAAATAATGATTGTTCCTCTCGGAAAAGTTATATAACAATGAAAGAAAAAAATAGAATAAAACGGCTCCTTTAGGAGGTAGGTTAATTTTTTTTTTAATGACAGAAAATAAATATTATCATAGACGCTAAGACTTTCGTTTGGAAACTCATAGAGTCTTTCTTGTTTTAAATTGGAAAAAGAAACTGAATGATTCGATTTTCAATCTGAGTATTGATGTCCACAGGGAAGAGACCCCGCACTACTTACTCGCAGGAACTTCAATATCGAGTAGCTGCCCTTATGAAAAGTATGTAACTACATAAAAAAAAAAAGTACCTGAAACTCAAATCCCAATCTCGACTGTAATTTATCACATGGTGGCGTTCTTCCCGGTATACGCACTGTCGTTTAGTTTTTAGGGATATCGTATCTGTCCTACTGATAACTTGGGAACTTTTGTAGCTTTTCACTATATTGACATATATACATATATATATACATAAGTAGATTCTCTTTGCTGAGTACGACAGATGAATGACGGCTTTTTTGGGAGCACCATTGCAAACGCAGATTACCACCTTTACTTTTGCTATCACGAAAGTAACTTTTTGTACATTTAACGTGCAACTGGACGTTGAAGTATTTTGGTGGCGGTTGTTATCATTATTATTATTATTATTATTTTCAGGAATTTTTATTTCTCTCTTTTTTTTTGGCATCAACTTCTTACACATTGCATCCGACAAACATCGTGCTGACGCGATAATTGGATTTTTTTTTGCAAATATTTTCAAATCTCCGCATCTTGATTAAATTGGATAATTTAAAAATCAAAAAAGTAACTGTCGCACCATTCCTTGTGGTTTTACTTGTTTACTCAAATTTGTATTTATTTGTTCTCTCTTCTTCAGCACCTTTGTGTCTCGGGACTGTTCTGTACACGTTCGATTCAGTCGCTCACGTTTTCTCGTGGATCTTCGAATATCCGTCTGTCCTACTACATCCGGTTGTGGTGCTTCTTCACTTTCGGCAGTTTAAATCGTCTCCTTTCTCTACGTATGATTTCTTCTTTCTTTGGCGAATGTTGTCTGGGAATTTCTCTTTATCCTCCATCTGGTGCTAAATTGAGTTTTCTATTTGTATTTTTTTTTTTTTTATACATATAGCCTTTCGCATCTCTTGCTTTGACCTATATTTATCTCCCCTATTTCCCCTCGATCACTCTCTTTGTCTTTTTTTTTTCGTAATTCATTGGGAAAACGAAAAATCTCTTTCTCGTACGGTCTTCCAGAAGTCTCGCGCGGCAACGGATATCCTTTTCCTCTTGCATGAAAGAAAGAAAGAAAAAAAAAAAACAAGTTTTTTTTTCTATACACACTGGACTTTGCTTTTCACGTTTTAATACCTCAAAAAAAAAAAAGTAAACTAACATCGTAGATACAAATAAATATATTAGCACTAACTGAACGATCAGCTGATTATTTATCACAGTTTCAGAGAGAAGGGTGGTTGGATGATTCTTTTAGTTTATTCGACTTCGGGACACGGCATTGGGTTTTTTTATTTTTATTTTTATTTATTTTTTCTTCCAGGAAAGTGAGAAGTCGAATTACGCTTAAACGAGATAAAAAAGCAAAAGTTCAAAATTAAAAGACACCGTTTACACGCGTCAAGTATATGCTCTTGATTTTTCTTGTAAATTTTCAGTATCAGTCTAAGTAAGAAGAGCAATGGGCACCTTTCATTATGACACATTGGTACGAGCAATGCCATGGTCCTGGTTGCTGCCTTGTCAAATTTCATTAGGTCAATGTTGCACTCGTCATTGTTAACAGGGAAGACAAAATTATTGATTACGGGACGAGGAAAAGAAAGATCTGAAAAATTGATCAAAGCTTTCAGTACGAAAGTTTCATCTTGGGTATCATTTCCGTTGTCTTGTCCTATGACGCAATCGAATAAGAGAAATTGACAGTGTTTATACGTACATTGGGACTGTGGCATTTTGTTGCGTTTACGTGTACCTTGGAACGGTCGCAAATTGAAATAATTGTATTTTTAATTTTTCCAAAAAAAAAAAAAAACAAAAAAAAAATTGAACAGAGGAAACCGATATGGATCGTGTCTTCAAATTGCCGTCCACCACGTTCATCGGTGGCAAGGAGAAGTCGTTGCCCCTCAGGGAGATTCTGAAACGACTGGAGGCCGCGTACTGCGGTCACATCGGCGTGGAGTTCATGTTCATAAATTCGCTGGAGCAGTGCAACTGGATCAGACAGAAGATGGAGACACCCGGTATAATGGAGATCACGAACGACGAGAAGAGACTGATTCTTGCACGGTTGACACGTGCCACTGGGTAATTATTTTTGTTGTTGATGTTGTTGCTATAGATGTCGTTGGAATCTTTGGATCTTTAATATCGAACGTTTGTTTTGACAGGTTCGAGGCATTCCTGGCGCGCAAGTGGTCATCTGAGAAACGATTTGGTCTTGAAGGATGCGAGATTCTGATACCTGCGATGAAGCAGGTAATCGACAAGTCTACGGAATTGGGAGTGGAGTCCATTGTCATGGGAATGCCACATCGTGGACGTCTCAATGTCTTGGCTAATGTATGTCGAAAGCCTTTGAGTCAGATCTTCACTCAGTTCGCTGCTCTGGAAGCTGCTGATGATGTGAGTAGAGGCTCTTCGATGAAGTGCTGCTGGTTGGATGATTGCGAAAGGATGCTGATGTTGATCTATTGAATTTATCAGGGTTCCGGAGACGTGAAGTATCACTTGGGAACTTACATCGAGCGTCTTAATCGAGTCACGAACAAAAACATAAGATTGGCTGTGGTTGCTAATCCATCTCACTTGGAAGCTGCTGATCCGGTTGTACAAGGGAAGACTCGTGCTGAACAATTTTATCGTGGAGATGGCGAGGGCAAGAAGGTCATGTCCATTCTTTTGCATGGAGACGCTGCCTTCTGTGGTCAGGGCATCGTTTTCGAAACCATGCACTTGTCCGATTTGCCGGATTACACCACTCATGGAACGATTCATATTGTTGTTAACAATCAGATTGGTTTCACCACTGATCCCAGGCATTCGAGATCTTCGCCTTACTGTACTGGTTAGTAGGGAGACCTTTTTTTTTTCATTTTATATGTTTCTTTTATTTTTGCTTTTCTATCTTCTTTGTGTAGACGTTGCTCGCGTTGTCAACGCTCCCATCTTCCACGTGAACTCGGACGATCCCGAAGCGGTGATGCATGTCTGCAAAATTGCTGCTGAATGGAGAGCTACCTTCCACAAGGATGTTGTTATTGACATTGTATCTTACAGGCGCAATGGACATAACGAAATTGATGAACCCATGTTCACGCAGCCTCTTATGTATCGCAAGATCAAGAATACTCCGCCTGGTCTTGATCTTTATGCTAACAAGCTGATCAGTGACGGTGTTGTTACTCCCGAGGAAGTCAAGGTTGATAGATCTTTTATATTACCATACCTTGTATTTACAAAGTTCATATTTGCACAGGAGTATAGAATTAATTCTTTATTGTTAGGACGTCAAAGACAAATACGAAAAAATTTGCGAGGACGCATACGTCAATGCCAAACAGGAAACCCACATCAAGTACAAGGACTGGCTCGACTCTCCCTGGTCCGGATTCTTCGAGGGTAAGGACCCTCTGAAGGTATCGCCCACGGGTATCAAGGAAGACACTCTGGTTCACATCGGCAAGAAGATGTCATCTCCTCCACCGAATGCTGCGGAATTCGTCATCCACAAGGGTAAATGATTTTCAATTTGATTTATCCGCAGGTCGTTGTTGCGTTGAATATTTTTTTGACTGGTTTCTTTTCTTTCTTTCAACAGGTATCGAACGTATTTTGAAATCTCGTATGGAGATGATCGAGTCTAGAACTGTCGACTGGGCTCTTGGCGAAGCTATGGCTTTCGGTTCTCTTCTCAAGGAAGGTATTCATGTGAGGCTGTCAGGTCAGGACGTCGAAAGAGGTACCTTCTCTCACAGGCATCATGTCCTTCATCATCAGACGGTGGACAAGGCTACGTATAGACCCTTGTGCTATCTCTACCCGGATCAAGCACCGTACACAGTGTGCAACAGTTCGCTCTCTGAATTCGGTGTTCTTGGTAAATATTGTTATTTTCTTTTAATCGTTTTCTTTTATTGCTTAAACTTCAACAGGCGATTCTGAGCGAATGATTTCTTTACAGGATTCGAATTGGGATACTCAATGACCAATCCTAATGCTCTTGTCTGCTGGGAGGCTCAATTTGGTGACTTCAACAATACCGCTCAATGTATTATCGATCAATTTATCAGCAGCGGTCAAGCCAAATGGGTTCGTCAGTCTGGACTCGTGATGCTGCAACCTCATGGTCTTGAAGGAATGGTAAATAATTTCTTGTACCAAGGATTGTGTCTTTTAGGGTAAGAATCTTGTCAGGTGACAGTACGTGGGACTTTTTATTTCAATTTCAGGGTCCTGAGCACTCGAGCGCTCGTCTTGAGCGATTCTTGCAGATGTGCGCCGATGACCCCGACTACTTCCCACCCTTGAGCGAAGAGTTCGCCGTACGCCAACTTCACGACATCAACTGGATCGTAGCTAACTGCAGTACACCTGCCAACTACTTTCACATTCTTCGCCGACAGATTGCCTTGCCCTTCCGCAAGCCCTTGATCCTCATGACTCCCAAATCGCTTCTTCGTCATCCCGAAGCTAAGTCCAGCTTCGACTTGATGACTGAGGACACGCAGTTCCTCAGGATTATACCTGAAGAGGGTGTGGCTGCTCAGAATCCCAACAAGGTCAAGAGGGTACTCTTCTGTTCCGGTAAAGTTTTCTACGATCTGAAGAAAGCTCGCACTGAGAGGCAACTGGAGGAGACCGTTGCTATTACCAGAGTCGAACAGGTAATGCACAACGAACGTCATTTCCGTCGCTGACGAATCTTCTAACACTTTGAAGAATAATAATGAAATATCCTTATATTCTTTTTTTTTTTTTTATTACAGATCTCGCCCTTCCCGTACGATCTCATTATGAAGGAGGTTGCTAAATATCCAAATGCTGATCTGATCTGGGCACAGGAGGAACACAAGAACCAGGGTGCCTGGACATACGTACAGCCCAGGTTCCAGACTGCATTCAACGGAGCGCGTGGTGTAACGTAAGTGGCAATTACATTGATTACACTAGCCTCTTTTTGCACTCTATTGTAAGATTCCTAAAGGGAATTTTCAAAATCGAAATTTGAAACACAGCTGGTGATGTTAACGTCTCTATCACCAATTGAAATGCTATTTATTATGTGGAATCTAGTAAGAAACAGCCACGCCCAGAAAATGACTAAATATTTTTGTTACCTGTCAATCAATATATGTACATTGCTCATTTATTTCGGTGTATCACCAATTCGCTACTGTTGACATGGTCCACATTTTTATTCTCTTATTATCTTGTACGTTACTATGTGTTGACGATGCGTGTACGCGATTTCAAGTTACACCTTTCACAAACTTTCAACGGGTCCAAACGTTAAATCGTGATTTAGAAAAAAAAAAGGAATTCTAAATCTCGTGCTTTCGTTTTCACAAAGTACAGTAAATAAAATTTGGGCCATGTTCCAGTAGCAGTGGTGACTCGAGCGCGGGTGAAAATAGTGGCGGGTGGTTTAGTGGCTGGTTTTCATCGTCTAAGTCGTCAGAACCTGTGAAAGCGACAGAGTCAAAATCGACAGAACAAGAAAATCCAAAAGAGAGAACAGTGAGGTAATTTTTTGAGAAACGTTTTGTTTACGCATTGATACTTTACTATTGGAGCTTTTCAGTTATACTGGAATCTCATATGAAACAACGAGCTTTGGATAATGTTAGACGATGAAAGGAGAAAAAAAGGACATGGGGAACACGTGAAGGACGAAAAGTTTTCTTTTTTTTTTTTCAGATACGCCGGACGTCCCACCGCAGCGTCGCCAGCTACCGGAAGTAAAATGCAACACCTCAAAGAACTGAAACAATTACTGGACGACGCCCTCAATCTTTAATTCTTTCATAGCACTGTGTAGCAAAAAAATTTTATTTATTCTTCTCCCCTTTTATTATAGTAATTGTTATACAGATCGTTCTCTACTCTATAAAGTAACGTAAGATCAGTCACCGTTGTCTGAATAATTTCACGTAGTCTCATCCCCGCATTAGTTTGCCCCCCTAATTGATCTTGTAAAGGAGCTTTGTTTTCTCTACTTTTTTTTTACATTAACGCAAAATACAATTATTCTAGTTAACGAAGTACAATAATTATTGAGACTTGTAATAATTGTTTTATTCTTTTTAAGTTTCATTCAAACTATCTTTTGCGCCTGGTATCGATTGTATATTCGACATTACGTATCTTTTTTTCCTGAACGCGTCGTGACAGTGATTAGTCACTGACTGTGTGACAATCAGTGACTGATTATTTATTTACTATTTATTTTTCCAAATAAAATTAAAGGAAGTGATCGACATACCAACGCGACGTCATTGTCACGACGTTGATATCCGTCGGCGCGGTCCAAATTTATAAATGTATTTTGTGTTAATCTTTGAAAACAACAATTATGGTGCGAATAATCACACGGATTTCTATGCTTTTTCTTTCTTTTCTTGTTAATAATGTCCATATCTCAAGTTTATCCGTGAAATGTAAAGATTGATATTGAAGTATTATTTTTAATTTATGCTAATCACTGCGTTATGAGATTACAGTGCGAAAGTAATGCGCAGTTACGTACAGGGAGTTTCAGGCGAAACTTTTCATGACTGTGTCAGATCAGCCTGGAATAATATTGAGGGATGTGATGGATTTGTCGCGATTATGTAAACCGGGGATGCCAACCACTTTAACTTTTTATCGTTGCTGTGTTTTTGTAAAAAATTAAATGATTGGCAAGCGCATCGATATATGTATATATACATATATATATATAAGAAAAATGTGACGGACTCGGCTATCTGATGTTTCTTTTAAATCAGCAATATCTACCTGTCACGAGTAACAACTTCAGAAAGCATGAAAAGTTTCTCAAGGGTCTGTTACAATGCGATTTATTAAGATAAAAGTAAAATTAACAATTAAAACATGAAACTTAACACACGAACAAAAAACCTTTAGCGATATATAAATTAACGTAATAATTTAAATGTAAATTCAACGAATTTATCGTTGCTTCACATTAGACATTACACGCACTCCGAATCCACAGTATTTATGGTTTATCAAACTCTGAAGTAATTAATGAAAATTATTGTTTCCTCTAATTAATAAACACGTTGGACCTCGACACGCAATAGGGATTCGAGCTATTTAAAGGCTAGCACGTGCAACAATGACGTAACTTTGTTTTGTCATTTAGCGTAATGGGAAAAGAATTAATTATAATTCACAATGCAATATGGTATCCGATCTTTACTGTATCGATCTTGTCGATTGATCGGCTGTAGCGGCATTTATAACTTAGGATCTTGTAGATTTGCGACGTGGTCCAATATTATAATTCGATGTAACTATTTTGTTTGACACTACTCGTATTAGTATCTGCATAATGTTATAATTTAAAAATGGAAAAAGAAATGAAAATTTTGTGAATATTTATCTAGACCAATGAAGTCCGATTGAAAGTAAAGTTCATGATGATAGGCTATATTTTATTTAGTGAGGAAAATCAAGATATTAAATTACACGGTATAAATAGGTGTCTTGTTGTTTTCAAGTTAATTTTACCTGGAACCCGTGAATTTAATGTATGCTTTGGCCCCAAAAAATTATCCTATACTTTTACGGTTGTCAAAACTCGACAATTTTTATATATTTTTTGTTTTTAAGCACTACCCAGAATTATGCACATCTTCATACACAAAGTCTGACGTTGCGTTATGGCCCAAACAAGATGATTTTTGAATTCTGGGTTTTGAGTTGTCAAAAATAATTTTTCACTTTTCCTTCCACTCTGGTTTCTTCTATCTGTTTCTCTCTCTCTTTATATTCCTCTGTATTATAAAAGTGGTTAAGACAAGGGAGACCATCCAAATGATATTATCCTAATGATGACAGAGTGTTGTTAATAAGAAATTATTATTTAATTTGTTGACAAGGTAAGGTAGTATTAACGAGATACCAATTCCAATCTCATCCAACATCTTTATTTATTTAAACTATTTATCCATTGTTCACTTGTTCGTTTTCTTTATCTTAAGTTTTCCTCACTGATCTCCCTGTCATAGCTTCGTACAGTAGTTACTTTAATGCAGGCATATATACATTATTTCTCAACAATTATTATTTTTCGTTCTTTCTAACGTACACCAAGCCATTATTTCGATTTTTGCCAAATTTTATATTTTATATTTCACCCGTTAAATAGCGAGAACTTAATCGTAACTCGATAGTATGTGTTAACTTACAGGCTACTTAAAATTATTCGATTTTTTGTTTGCCATCCTTTGGAAAGCAGAAAACTCGCGATCACTCTCCATGCCTTTGAGAGAAAATTTATAACTTACTTTTGTTTCGTTTGTCCCTTAAGCGAACCGACAGCTTGGAAATTATACAAATTCGGACGCCACGTCAGCGATAAAAACAAAGTGGCGACGAGGAGAAGAAAAACCAAAAATATAACCTTAAAACGTAAAGTTTCGCGCATCGACAATTCTCTAACGTTCCACCGAGGGAATCATGATAAAATAATATCTCAATCTCCCAGTATCGTTATCTCAATATATCTCTTTCTCATTTCTTCTTCTCGTTTCCCCGATTAATTCAACTTTTACGAACAAATAACCTCAAAACGTTTGACATTTAATATCTACCACTTAAGTCATATACGTGACATGCAAGATAAGTGTAGCTTTATAAACATAACCAACAATATGCTCCGAGGATATTGTAGCAGTTTATGAGAAAAGGAGATCTCGAGGTCTGGTACCGAAAGAAAGAAAAAAGAGAATTTTATATAAACTCGAGAAAGTAGAATTAAATAATAAAACGGCTCGTCGTCATGAATGGATTTTAAACGTTTTTACCAATCGGTGACGATTAGTTTCGTTCTCATGTGTATATATATTTTTTTTCCTTTTTTGTCATTCACCATTTAAATTATTGGTACGCGATTCTCGGCGGCTGATCAACAGCGAATTGATTGATTGACTTGACAGACAGTCGTAATAACGTTACAGTAAAGTTTTAATTTATATAGTCAGTTCGAAGTTAATGAAATTCAGCTCTTAGTAATCGGTCTGTCCAAGCACACTGTACATGATCCTCTTGAAGCTGTTGCTCTGATGAATCTTCTCGCCGTCATCGCTAATGGCGTTTACCTGAAAATAAATATTTAAGATTTAGAGGAGGGAAATGAAATTTGTCTTGAGAATATCTAACAGCAAAAAATATATTAGTCAGTCTCAATTTGGCGCATGCGCGTAGCCTCTGTACCCAGTAGTACTTTTTGAAGGTATATTTTTTATTTACACATGCACAATTATATTTATTTGTTACTCAACTTTCCTGTTTATACGTATAGTGTCAGTTTTATCAAGTATAATATATGCAGATGTATATAGGTGCACATACAGTTTATATTATATGCATATAGGTAGTATTCAATCATATTAAATAAAATTTGTGCAAAACGGATTGGTTTTGTATTATAGTACAAGCAGACACACATAGTTGGACGTACAATTATTGACGTGTAAATTTAGAAGTCGTTGATGCGATCCTTAACGAAAGGGAGGGGAAACGGGCGCCTATATCCACCCTTGATCAGACAGATAACATGGAACAATTAATTAATCATGCCGAAGGATCTGAATTACTCTCCCTTCTTGAAACGTTAATGAGTATCGGTATGACCATTTGAAAAATTTATTGAAAAATGTAAACGCGAACAGTGGTATCGTAGTGGAAGACTTTGAGAGTTTCTTTTTCTTTTCTTAGGATAATCATGCATTGGCATGCGAAAGCCATCCGGGCGATTTGCTACGAAGTTTATGTAATCTGTGGTACACGGGCCAAAGTAGCCAGGACAATGTAAATTTGGGATCTGTGAAAATTGTATGTTGTGCAAGTCAACGATACTTACGTATGCGACACCGGGACTCTTTGGAGACGGTTGAGGAACCTGTGTAAAAGTTTTGAATGTTATTTTAGGTTAGTATATGTTTATTTTTTTATTTGGTTGACGTAGCCTTATAAATTTCTTTACCCTGTTATGATTTGCCTTGTGCGGAGAAAAGACGCCGGTGCGCACTGGCTGTCTGACTTCCTGGACATTGTCGCCTAGTGCCTCCTCCTGGAGTGCCTTGTAAGCTTCGCTCTTACTCGGATCGTACTTCAATGGCTTCTTCAGAGCGCTGTATAGTTTACGTGGGAATGCTTAATTGTAATTTCGCGTTATTCAGTAATTCACGAATAGCCAATTTTTGTTATTACTGCCAATTCGAACGCGTTATTCGCGCATAACCCACGTGCATTTCTTGTCTACTTTTCTACGTGCACAGGCTGACGAAACGAAAGCGTGTGGCTAGATAACGCGATTCCGTAAGGCAAACCAAAAGGCTTTTTAAAGTCTCGATTTGAGGTTAAGTTCTCGAAGATGGTGACACGCAGCACAAACATACTAAGAATATCCTGTGGACATTCAATGGATATTTTGTACTGCGCGAGTATCTTTTTGGTTCGTAGAACTTTTTCTTTTTCTCGTAAAAATTGTGTACTGTTGAACGATGCGAAATTGGAATTTTTTAAAACTATTTTCAGAATGCTAGCCGCACTCGTTAATATTTATTTACAATGAGGTAAACCATCCTGGTTAGGTTTCTTTCTTTTCTTTTTTGTATACTTTCGTTACGTATGGATTTGACTTATTTGTTACTCCTATGCATGCATACGGGGTATGGGTTTTTTATTTTGTTTTTTCGTACTGTTAATTCCATGGGGCTTTTTAAAATAATTTTCATTTAACTCTCCTGCCTGTTTCGTTGAATTCTACTTACGAAACGAATGCGGATATTTAAGAGTCACTGCAAATCTACCAAATGGAGTATAGGGGATATGAGCTAACTGATAATCGATCGTAAGATATTTCATTGATTGTGTTCGGAAGATAGCGAGCGGTTTTTTTTTTTTAAAGAGAAGAATAATTTAGAATTTTACGAGTAGGGATAGGCAAGCGTCGATTTTGAAAATTCTTTCGAACTCAATCGAGCTTTTCTCCTTTCTCCTTTTGAGTGGATGTAAAATTTTGAAAAACTTCTTTCTTTTTGAGGTTGGCAGGACTTTGGAAATTTTGAACGATCACAATTTTGAAAATATCTTGGAATCTCTTTAACGAGACTTTTCTTTAATTCGGCTTATTGAATTGGGGCCATACGTTCTTCCCGGTGGCAGCCATGGCCTGCTCTTTTAAGATTCTCGCTTGCTCCTGTATTTGCCGTTTTTGTTTCAGGAAGGAAAAATCTATGAAAATGCTGTAAAACAAACAAAATCTCAGATAAATTAATATAATTCAAACCGACGGATTAAAACAACCTCGAAGTCCCTATGTGAAATTCTTTTTTTTTACCTGTACGAAAGCGCGGGAACAATTTGAACTGACAGGATGCGAGAACGAGAAGAAGAAGAAAGAGAAAATAAATTTGTAAATTACGTCATCTGACAATTTAAAATTTGCATTTTAAGTGTTAATTGATTACTTTTGTTTTTTAATCATTATTATTGGTTAATTCAGAAGCGCAAAGCCAATTTAAAAATTAATACGAATTCGTCATCTATATCTAATGCAAGCTTCATTGATTATATCACGTCCAGGCAACGTTCCTCTAAAAAATTTTTGTTTAATTGTTAAAAGAAAGCTCTAGACAATCTTTAAATGTGCGAATCTGTTTCTAATTGCAATTCAATTGTTTCTTGTTTGATTTACTTACGGTACGGCAGAAGTCTGACATTTAATAGTGTCTGCGATATTTTGCTCGGAGTAGAGACCAATGGGAGAATTGAATTGCTTATGGACGACCTGTTGAACAAAATTAAATTGAAACGCACTGTATTTCGAACAAAAAAAAGACAAAGTCGTGCTCGTATTAAAGATCACTCCTTCCTTTTATAAAAAGTATGTATGTACATTATTTATGGTAGCGGCCATTTTAATTCGTTGACATTTTACCCCTAAAATGCCCCAACTTCGTTCACACCCAAAAATGCAACGCTGGGGTCCAACAGACCCCATGCCATCGATCAGCAGGGCCCCAGCTTAGCGTTCCAGGCTTACTTTCCTCGAAATTAAAAAGTCCCTGGTTCTAACCTCACTTCGCCATTTATACAATTTTTCGTCTACCCTCCCTTTTTTTCATTCAAATTGCAACAATCTTATTTACACAATCGCATTATTGACTTCTTTTTTGTATCACGTTCATCTCGAAATCAACAGTAACATTTTTATCAGCTTCAACGAAGTATAGACGCGAACGTTAAAAAGGCGCGAAAAAAATTTCAAAAATTTCACCTGTACAACCTTCGGATCTCCTCATTTCAATAAGTGCCTAATACCATCCTAATATCTACCTTATTAGTCGTTTTATATTAAAAGTAGTTTAGGTCACACAGTAGTGCTCGTAATTTCGTATCATCAGCATTGCGAAATACTAGTTGGTTGAAGCTATATATACCAATCATCGAATTATATCAGAATAACGTTAATTATATATATATATATTTATTCAGTATATAGTACGAGTCGTATGAGTACATATACATGATCACGTGTTTATACACGTGCTATTATTATTATTATTATTATCACTATTAACATTCTTCGACAGAACGAGTCCAGGGCGTTCCTTACAGTGCTGGAAAAAGTTTTTCCTACGAATCACATGATAATTCGCACCAGCTACGATTACGTAGGACGTCGAGAACGATTAATATATTGAGTCATTCGAAAAATAAGTGAAAAGAAAAAAAAGGACAAAATACAAAAAAAAACTGTCTAACTACTGTTTTGTTTGGATACTTTCAGACGAAGCGCAAGAAAGAGCGAAGGGTTTTAAAGTGTGAAGGGTGGCAAGTGACGGTTGAAGGAGTAAGAGAGAGAGAGAGAGAGAGAGAGAGAGAGAAGAAAATGAAGAATTTCAGGTCAGTGAGTTACGTCAAAGCGTTCAGTGGGTTGTTTATCTTTTGTTTGTTGTTTTTTAAAAGCGGAAGCTGACTTATAGGAAATAGGTTCAAACCTTTGGAACATCATTCGGTCCCAAGACGCGCTGTAGAACCGTTTCCGCCACCTGGTCAGACGTTTTATGAAATATTATATTTACAGGTTATGTCTCTTTGCGGATATATTGATTCTTATAGTGAAATCGTAGACGATCCTTAAGTCTCCGACTAGTTCCACTCTCTTATGGGATATCATAGTTCGTCGATGTAATGATAAGATTTCGGAAAATTCATGTTGAGTCATTTAATGATTATAACAACGAAGCATCATTTTTGACTTTCTATTGTCACTACTGTTACATGTGTCTTATTACTGGTGTATTTATTTTTTTTTGAATTGCTTTTTACTTTTCTTATCACGTTGAAAATGAAATGCACAGATATAGGTATATTTCCTACTGCCAGAATTACGATTTCGTATTCTTGTACTGGAAAACGTATTTACGTACTTTTTGTTTCATAGCAACCTCCGGATGAGCTACTTCGTAATGGTGAGGTGATGCACGGATCATTGGATTTGGATGATGGCGCAAGTAACATTCGCCCAGTGGGGCATCCTTTTTGACCTTGGCACCAGGTAAGACCAATGGAGTCGTACGATAGGGCTGAAAGTAAAATAAGTATTTTTGTTTTCAGAAACAATATTGCTACCAGTCAAAGTAATCAGAGGGATCGTCACGTTGATAAGGGTCAATATTAAGATTCATCAGGTATGCTGAAACTGATCTTGCGACTGAAATGGGAAAATTGGCTGACGGATGGAAAAGGGTGATATCGATTTACCACGATTTACGTGGAATTTTTAAATCCAGCCGGCTCCTGGACCACGGCCAGAACTTTTACCTAATGTCGCGCAAGAGGTGCGTCGCCATCGTGAACATTATTAATAAACGAGATTTTATTATACACGCTCGTCTTTCACGAGCTTGAGCCAGGTTTTCGCATGGTTGGATCTGACCAAGGCTAAAATTCTATTTCGCGAAGTGGTTCTCGTGCCACTTCATTTACTTTTTTATCACTTCGCTACTACGTGTACCTGGCTGTGACGATTTTGAAAAAGGGAAGAAAACAATTTTGAACTTCACTCTTGAAATTACTGTTACAGCTTCACGGAAATCTTAAAAGCTGTTGGACCTGGGAGGAGTTTGCATGTAAACTACAGGCGGTTCAGTTTAAACAACGTGAAGACTCTGGGAGATTTTAGAAGAAATATTGTGTGAGAAGAGAAAACTGATGGAGGAAATTTAAAATGACTAGGATAACCAGCCACAATTTTGCTGTAATACGACACTTTGCCAAAGTGGTGTCAGATAGCTTGAATCTGAATTTGAAAATCAGGTCTGTCATTAAGGACGCGAAGCGGCTCGATGACTGGGAGAATGCTAATTAATCTTGGCCGGTCTCTATATAATAAACACGACGCACCTACGCAACGGATACCAAAATAAAACGTCGATGGGTCGTCGTCGCGACGCTCAGATACGTCTTGGACGCTGAGAGCAATCCCGTCGATCGGCTTGGCGCTTGGACTCGGATACAAAATGAAAAGGAGGGAAATGAAAGAAAAATAATTTTTTTAAAGTAATTACACACGTGCTCAAAACCCACGTGCATCTTTTAAGTAATTGCTTGTGATCTTCAGGAGCTTGATGTCTGGTTTGTTAGAGTGGTTTGTACTTAGAGAAGCATGGTGGCCCCCTGTATCTTGAGCTATTTTAGATTATCTGTATTTCTTGCTTAATGGTGCCTGTAGGATACCGACTAACGAGCCAATGCATCTCTGCACTGTTTATCTTGAAAGAAATATTTTTTTTTTTCTTCAAAGTATTTCAACTTGGATTCGTGAAAAGTAAACATGGCTTGTTTGATATATTTTTTTATGTTTTTGATTTTTAGATCGTTGCTGCCAGTTTGGAGTGAAAGTGCAGGGGGAGAGAGGATCGAGCTTTTGGCTTGCACGGACGCTTAATGCGATCGAAGAAAATTACATAAAGCTTGGGTTACGAGCTCGAAGCTTGGCAAAGGTTTCATCGTTATGTCACATTGCTCGTTCTGCGCAGGACTACGTGGGAACATGATGAAAAGACTGTAATTTTTCGCGATGACGTATCCCGCGGCTAAACTTGAAATTCCTAATGACGCTTGATCAATCAACAAGCTCTGGCTTCAGTACAAATAAGAGTATGGGACATAAGAGAAGCTTTGCAAAGTTAAACAGACATTTTGTGTCGGTCAAAACAATTGTCTGCTGATAACAACGATAATTCAAGTTGTCCTTTTTTTATTTTAGCAAAGTTTGACAGTATTTTATTCTTCTCACTTTGATTATTAACAACGCGGATGTCCGATAAACAAATAATTTTAACAAACGTACCACCAGCGGCGAATTTTTGTTTGGACGGAAATTCTGACGTCATCGCTGTAAAGACTATATTACATCACTTTTGTATTTTTGTGCTCGCTTGCCAATACGATCTTTCCTGCTCGTGCTGCTCACTGCTCAGTGTATCGAATTCAAATTTGTGAAAATTCTTTTAGACACAAGCAACTCTTTAAAAAAAAGGCTCTGATAGCCAACTACATAGAAACACGGTCTAAGTTTCATAATTTTGTAATAAACTGTATATTGCGTTTACAACATTTCCCCATTATAAATGGGTCAGGAACATTATATTACAGGGTAAGCAACAGTGGCTCTCAAAATAGATGAAGGCCCCAGCTGGCAAAAATAACGCACAGTGTGGTAGTCTTGTCGGCGCAGCGCGACGCTCTATGATTTATATATATTTTTTATCAATTCAATTAATTCAATGGAAACTCATACCAATGACAATGCTAACAAATGATCAAAGGAAACGAGAACTTGAAACAAGTCATATTACTCAGAGCTAGTTGGTCTGCAGTTCATCCTGAACTGTATTAAGGTCAAGTTCGTAACTGGAAAGAAGAAATAAAAAAATACTGAAAATATTCTATCCTCAGCATCTAAGCATTGTCTGGTGTCGTCTGCTAATTTAAATCTAAAAAAAAACTGACAAGTAAATATGTATACCGGCAATCAAAGTAAAATCATATTTTAACCCAAACGTTCATCTGATCCATGGACACTTGACAGTCAATTAGTTAATTAGGCAGACTTACCCAATAGACAATGCTTTTTAAATGAGGTATAAAATCGCCCAACCATTTCCGGTTTATTATTCGGATATAAGTTAGAAAAACTTAACACTTAAAGCTCATTCATCATTCTGTCATTCTGATGTTGAAGATACAAATAGGAATTGTACGACGATTAGTATCCAAAGTGTACAGTCCTTAGTTATTTGCAAGTAAGATCCGAGCCAGATCGAAATTATCAAATTAGTGCTTAAATTTTTTCTTCTTATCAATTACTGCAAATCCCATTTGTAAATTGTGTCATCAACGTTACACTCTGCACGTCGGCGTACATAGAGCCTTGTGTTTTAGTAACCCAGATCGCGGATACGAAAATAGCTTAACCGTCCAATGAACGTTTCACGAGTCGTACAATTTTTATTGCAAGGCCATTTGGGCGCAAGGAGAAGCTTGCAAAAGTTATTTAATTCGTTTTATTATAATGGTGTCCCTTTCACCTTTACGTCGTTGCCAACTCGACTAGTGTAGTACATACGAGCATCAGGAAGAAGGAAATATATCTTAACCTCCCAAGCGAATTAGTCTGCAACCAAATCCCAGTGAAACATGAATATAGCTCCCATTCTCTAAAGGGTGTCAAGGTTTGTTGCCATAACCGAGATTCGTATAACGGAAATATTTTCCATAGACTAATAAATAGACGTAGAAGAGACAACACGAACTTTCGTGGTTCGCCATATCGTCTTGAAACAGAATAACGTACGGCGTATCGCGTTCTTCCCGATGAAACAATAAATAGTTATGCCAGACCGTGAGTTCTTAAACAGGATACCTGACGTGGTGTTTCTTTTTAGATATTACCGAAACAGCTGACCAACCTTGATCGCCTAGGAGGAACGATGGAAGCAACCTGGAACCTCCTGTCAAGAGGATTCTCTGTGAGTGGCTTATTTTATCAAATTTTCACGTTGCTTTCGCTGTGTCATAATACCAAATCCAGTATCAGAGTGGGAATAGAAGTTGGTCAAAGGACAAAAAGCAAACTGACACCGATTCGTACGAGTATTAATGCCAACAGGAGCAGAGATGGTAATTTTTTTTCTGTAATTCCTTATTTACTGATTTTGTGCATGAGTTTTTATAGTAACTAATAAATTCTTTTATCGTACCCAATAAACAGCTGCTTCCTCCTCCTTGGGTCGATTTTCAACGGTGTATCGATAGGTGGTATATGAAGCCGGCATTTTTGATCCTCAATCGGTAATGTCAAAATTTTCTAATCTTTATATCCTACTCTCTTGTAAAAACTAGCACAACTGGACAATTGTCTTCTAGATACTATTAAAGTACTCTTCTATTCTACTCTGTTCCAGACACGAGACGATTTGAAAACGCTCTCTAACGCACTGGCTCGATGCGCGGGCGGCACTAACTCTGCTCTTCTCCAAGAGGCCTGCTTCTCCCGAACTAACCGCACGATATCACGCTACTCCTACGTTAGAGGAGAAGAACGTCTTTAGGGAAGTCAGCCCTCTGCAGTGTAACGCTAATGTCGAAGGAAAACGCGGAACGTTCATTCATAGAGTTCAAGAGGCTTTTTCGTCATCGTCAAGATATACAAGACAAGTTTATTTGCTGAAATCAGGATGCCGATACTATTGCAAATTAGGATACTTATATTTATGCTGATTGACTTTACGAAATAGTATCTACTTGGTAAATGCGTACGTTCGTGCTTTGATCTTGTAAGCGGGAGATTGAGGATTTTGAATGCTTGAGGAAATTTAAGGAAAAATTCACTCTGTGTCACGTCTATGGGCCTGGGTTTACTTTTGGTATTTGTTATTATGTGAAAACAATTGTAAATCTTCTTGGCTATCTTATTGCCTTGACCGTGCAATCCGTTGAGGACAATACTGCGTAAAGTCCGTGGTAAATGTTTGTCTTGGCAACGTCAATCTTGCGTGGATAAGAAAAAGATACTAGAAGCTTTTACTAAGGGATGAGAATTTCGAATGAAAATCTTTCTTACGGCTCGCAATCCATTGTTGTAGCTTTTATATGATATTGATGAGCGGTACATATTTATTTTTTAGTATTTGATAAGAAACTTTATCTAACTATTGTTTATGCTATCTTGGTAGCTCTTGTGTTCTGTGACGGTTTATGGGAAAATTTGAAACTTATTTTATTCTCTTTTGTGCTACTTCCTGAATTCATATGGAATATTGTTTTACACGGTCTGACTGGGTTGTCTGTTTGGTGTTTGTATATGTTTCATTAGGAACAGCTCAAGGCATCCTGTTTACATGTGGTATATTTGTTCTTTCATTGAAAAGTTTCGAAGGAGAGTGCAGAACTGAGAATTTTATGAGTATTGGATCGAGACGGTGGTTTCGATGCAAATCCGATATTTATAGAACGACGACCGTCTCTACGCGGACTTGCCGGCTCCGAGGTGGGCCAACAAAAATATTCACACTTCTGACTTCTCACGTTCCTCGTGAATAACGTCTTTTCGCGCTTTTCACAGCCGTCTCGATTCTCGCTAGAATACCAAAATGTCAAAGGAACATCGAGATATAAAAAAAAAGGCAATGATCGTTCGTTTCCTCTTGGAAAGAATTTATAATTCGAAAAAGTCCAACTAAATATTTCCCCAAGCATAATTCTCAGCGATAACCAAATATACAGTTCTAATAAAACTATATTTTCTTGTAAATTTTGAGAATTGACTGCGTCTGCTTGTCGTTAATGCGTAGCTAATTTGTTTTTATCAACATAATATTTTTACTTTTTCGACACACCTACTTGTCGGCCTGTTTACTACGTTGCTCAAGCCCACTTGGGCCTGTGGCAAAAATAAGATTCACAGAGGCAAGCAAACGGAAGCTGGTCATATATTTTTTTTCAATGATAACTGCTCAAAATGCAGTTTTATTTTTTTTTTAATTTTGTAAAATCATTACTGCGTCATAGATTGCAGGACGGAATCGAGCTTGGATGCTCACGGATCGGATTCAATATGGCGCTCGACAATTCTATACTTAGACGTAGTTTGGCGTTCGCTCGTGTAATTTCGTTAAAGCCGTAGCCTGTCAATCTACGACCTCGTCTGGACCAATTCTGAACGTGAAATACATTGCGATACCATCTTTCTTTTTGTACGGCCAAAAAAAAAGTGTCTTGTTATAAAATAGTCGGTGACAGTTTTCTCTTGGAACTTATTGTAGCCAAAAAGATAAAAGCTTTGTTTTGAGAAAAACAGCAGAACACGACACTTAAAATATTTCTAAATTATTTCTAATTATTTAGAAATTTACTTTTTGTATGTTTAAAAATTTGTTCAAAATTACCTGTTCCAGGTAAACTCTTTCTTCGCGTACTTCGTCAAGATGATCATGAGGCGGGTTGAAGTAATCCGGTGAATACGCCCTGTATTCTTCCACAGGTGGTACAGGACTCTTGGGTAATACTTTTGGCTTGGTCACCTTTGGCCTGAGTCCCATGACAAGAAAAATACAGCAGTAAGCATAAAGTACAAATTGTAATTGACTAAATAGCTAAAAAAAAGGCCCGGCATCCATCAGGGTCTAACTTGTACATGTAAAATATAAGAATCAATCTGCTACGCTAGACTATTATTAATTAAATGTATTAATTCATGTACAAATTAAGCCCTTGCACGTGTTAAATAGTGTAGTGTAGTGTTCGATGCATGATATTGAAACTGATAATGGAAATGAATATTATAAATGGAGAAACGAGGGAAATTAATTGTGAGCTGAGAGAAAGCGCGCGAAAGCGTTAAAAATTCAAACCATAATATAAGATCTATTTCATTCTGACAGACTATCAACCGCCGCCTTGTTCTCATCTACGTTTGACTCGACAACCGGAAGTTGTGGGGTGTGATTTCGCAATGAAGTTCGTGACGGAGTACGTGACGGAGTACGTGATGGACTCTCTCCGATCGGCTCAGACCTTTCCACGACAAGCTTTACAGACTCTGACTTTTGAAGAAGATTCTGCGCGTCCACGTGGCGGACGTCCCGCGCGTCATAGTCATCGATTTTCTTGATCACGTCACCCTTCTGGAGTTCTTCGTTCTCCGACTGAAACATAACCAAGATCACTCCTATGAAAATAAAGCTCACAGCACAGAGAGCCACGAAGTTCACTCGGTGCAGTAAATCCAGCCGATATCATTCGACAATCGACAGATCGAATTGATCCTGAAGTATTTATTTTGCTAAAAAATAATCATCCTCATCGGACTCACACGGGTGACGATGATCGGTGTACCAAGATCAGCACCACCAACGATTCTTATACCCCAAGGCTGACTCCTGCTCGATCTACGCAACCTTACGATCACCGTTTGCTTTTTCGTCATACTCCGAGTGCTATTTTACGCGGCAAATTCAAATAGTATTACCGTTAATAACACTAGTATTTTCTTTATTATTGTCGCTTGCGTTACGATCAAGAGATCTTTAATAAGGATTCTTTTAAATCTGTAAACAAAACCGTCACACGCGTCACTCCTGGGACATTTGTTAGCCGTATATTAATGAATTATTATTAATCCGTACAACCAGTGTCTACGAATGGATTGTCGTTACTGTCAAACGAGGACTAAAAGCAAGGTGCTTTGACAGGTTTTTAGTCCCAGGCTCGTTGCCCAACTGACAACTCGATCTCCACCGTTCTGGCCCCATTTCGAATTGGCATACTGGCTATGTATTGTTCTGGCTGCACTCATTTCTCTGGTATTCATGCATGTTTATAGCAAGAGAGCGTGTGCTCTTCAGAGGGGGTACACAGTGTGGCGGCTAGGGGGGTAGAGGTGGCTGGGAGGAGGATGGGAAACAGGGGGAGAGATACTATATTTCTTTATTTTTTCCTCCTACGTTTCTATTTTTTATCTCTTAAGCGTGTATTTACACTCCCATGGTCGAATTGCACGATGGATATACTCCTGACGTTTATTTATTACGCGTTAACTAATTAACTGGCTATTATTGTCGCGGATTACTGCCTTTGGATTCTTTGATGGGATTTGGCTTAACTGTCGATGGAAACGAAAGAACTGCTAGCGGGACGACATTGAATTTTGACACGCAGTGGATGCACATGTGCCAGTTTGATTTCCATTGAGTTCATCCGTTTTGGAGAAAGGATCTGTAGGGATTTGATTTATTCGATTATTCGTATGTAATCTTTATTAGCGTGAGTGTTGTTGAGAAATTTTTAGATTTTATATGAAAAATTGTATTATCACAATTATGGTTGTAACGGACACTCTTGACTTACGTATGTTTCGTAAAAGTTGCCAATGCTAAATTTCAGCGCCATCTTGATTTTTATTTTTTTCCGTTTGAAAAGTCCCTCTGTGTCTCTCTTGGGATTTCTTGCTTGACTTTACTTTATTTGTTGTCGTTGCTTGTGACGTTTTTATTATTATTTTTTCTTTTCTTCAAATTCACATCAATTTCACCGCTCGCTTCGATTAACCAGATACTCTTTCCGGGTTCCACCGATCCAATTACTTTGGTGGCACTCTGATTAATGAGTTCAAATGAGAGGAAGCTGACAGAGTCAGTGAGTGCGAGAAACGGAGTATCTACGTTTCGACACCTAAATTAGCAACCTATGGCGCTAAAGGTTAATCAATCATAGACTTTAGTGCATCCCTGTTCTAGTGACTCAGTTTGTACAATAGTAGTTAAAGCTCGTTGGTTTATGCCTTGAAATTTGTATATATTCGTTGACGAAACCCAGTTATGTACAATGCAAATGTCTCATCGGCGTTCTTCAATTATACAATCTACAGTGACGATGACCTATTAATTGAGGAATGTCGTGCGATCGACACACTGACTATGTGGATCGTTCTGATCGCTAATAATGGAACGATGACAGGGTCGAGAGTGCTTAAAAAAGATACAATAATATATATTATATATCCATATAGATATATAAATCAGAAATACAATTGAATTCACGCGGACATTATATTTAAAGTAGAAAAATTAATTTTACACTCTCACTGTAGGTTTTTACAATTTTCTTCTTCTTTTTTTTTTTTCTTCACGAATATTCCTTGCTTATCGCTCTGCTGATAACCATTCGACGAATTTCACTTGTTCCAGCGCCAATTTCGTACAGCTTTGCGTCCCTCAATAAACGTCCAGTTGGATATTCGTTTATGTATCCGTTTCCACCTGGTTGAAAGGTTTATAGGAAAATTAATGAGGAACAATATTGATTTTATGGTTTAACAATGCTGTACCTAGTATTTGGATAGCATCTAAAGCTGCTTTGGTTGCTGATTCTGCACAGTATAAAATAACAGCTGCACAATCTTTGCCATTTACATGTCCAGCGTCGCAAGCTCTTGCTATGGTATATAAGTAGCTTCTGCAGGTACTTAAGCTAGTGTACATATCTGCCAGTTTTCCCTGGAAGATATGTATGGATTGTTTTAATAGATTTTTTTGGGTAGATACTCCTATAGGAATTAAATCAGTATAGCAATTACTTGAATCAATTGGAATTCAGCTATGGGCTTTCCAAATTGCTTTCTCGCATGAGCATATTCGAATGCTACGTCGCAGCAGGCTTGAAGAAGCCTAGAAAACATAGTGTTAATAAAAAACAACCTGAAGTTTGTTCTATTGCCAAAAATTGGCAACTTTTCAATTTTTAATTAGGCGTTTCAGAAAGGTCGATTGGCTTTAAAAAAAAAAAGAATATTGTTACCCAAGAGGTCCACCAGCCAGAACTAATCGCTCCAAGTCCAATCCACTGAACAAGACATAAGTTCCTTTGTTCAATCCTCCCAAAATATTGACAGCTGCGAGAACGAATAATATTGGGTACAGACAAACAGGAAGTTGAGTCTAGTTCAGTGATGGCGAACCTATGACCCGCGAGTCAGACGCTGACACACGCAGGTTTCACTTGCAAGAGCAAAAGTTGTAAAAGAAAAAGGAAACGTAAACTTTTTAGAGGATTTTAAAAGTGAGGATCACCATCCTCCCCTCCCCCCTTTCCAAGCGACCCACGAGCTAGTACTAAAACAAATAATGAACAAAATTTGACCCACTTCTCAAAAAGGTTCGCCATTGCTGGTCTAGTTGGTACCTCTGGCGAGCTTACCTGGTACTTTGCAATCCTCAAAAACCAATTCGGCTGTATTAGAACCACGCATTCCCAATTTGTCGAGCTTTTGAGCTGTACTGAAGCCCTCTGTACCTTTTTCGACAATAAAAGCTGTAATTCCGTGTTGTGGCTTCTTCGCATGCGGATCTGTTCTCGCGTAAACAACGAGAGTGTCAGCATCCGGTCCATTTGTGATCCAAAATTTATTTCCATTCATTATATAATAATCGCCTTTTTTCTCGGCTTTGAGCTTCATCGAAACTACGTCCGATCCTGATCCTGTTTCAGACATTGCTAAAGCTCCAATATGCTCGCCGCTGCATAACTAAAATATTTATTTAGAGGTTATGTTGAGCGTTTTTCTATTACTATTATCTCTTTAGAAATATTCGTTACTACCTTTGGCAGATACTTGAGCTTTTGCTCCTCTGTGCCATTTCTGTGAATTTGATTTAAACACAAATTTGAATGTGCGCCATAACTAAGAGCTACTCCACCGGAAGCTCTACTGAGTTCTTCCATAATAACAATGTGGTCCAGATAACCACCATCCGAACCGCCGTATTCGGATTTTGCTGTTATTCCTAATAGTCCTAGTTTTCCCAAATGCTTCCAAAATTCCTGTCGAAGAGCGTTTATCAGTTTGCGACATATGATAAAATATTATTCAATGAAGATTATTATTCAAAGTATTTCCCACGCTTGTACCTACTCGGAGTTCATCGAACTGGTTCTTCCTGTCTATTTCAGACGCATTTGGAGCAAGTTCCTTTTGAGCAAAATTGAAAACCATCGTCCGTAACTAGATAACAATGAAAAACCATTAACAGTAATATTAAACTGATATTGTACAATATGCTCGATTCTAATGGCTCTGTTGTCCATAAGAGAAGCTATCATAGGATTGTATACTTATCTGATAACATTATTGTGCTTAATTAGCAGAAAACAACAGACAACTAACCTCCTTTTGTTGTTCCGTGAGTCCAAAGATGTTTTCGTCAATTGGATAATATTTAGACAAGAAGCGAACATTATGCACTCCACTATTTCTTGTGAAATTCGAAAGAGCAGCTATTCTTAAACCAAAACGATACGTCAAAAGATTCATTTTAGTCGAAAAAGGCAAAAGTAACTGCTAGTTGGAAGCTACGGAAAATATGATAATAAGTCAATTATATTCTTGTGTGGTAATACGTCTAACGTAACTTTCTGATAACAGATACTGTGTCAATAAGTTTAACTTATATGTTTATGGTTTATATTTTTTAGTTATAGCATTATATTTCGTTGTTGTTCTGGAAAAATGCATGTATTTTACGTATTAGAATGTTTTTATTGTATTATGTTTATATATTACATAATCTTACATTGAATTACTAACACTGTGTAAACATTATCGCCTGATAGTGTATCTGTAGTTCTTTTGCAATCCGCCTGTAACTGAATGGTGCTGCAATCGCTAAGAATTCTCCAAAACAAAGAATGAGTGAAGAATGCAGTTTAATAAAAGATAACACGAGGAAGTGAAATAATGATTAATTAACATTACAGATACAAATGGGAAAAGGTTATAGCACTCGGAATGAACTCAATGTTTTAGATTTAAATTAATATTTTTGTGCTGCATTAAATCGAATTTGACATAGGTAATGCGGACTTATGAAATTTTTAATTTGTACTATTGTTAGGTAGTTCCGAAATTTTCCGCTTAAGGGGGCAGCACTTTCCTAACAGTTTATACGAAAAGCAAGTATACTGCAGTCACGGTCCAGAACAACGACATATGTATAGCATGGGCATGGACTCGGCGATCCCTACTTCAAACTCCTTGAAAAAAATGTCCGGTCAAACAGATAAAGAGGGAGTGAAGTGGCGGCTAGAGTCACTGAACTCTAACTATACTGGAATGGGAAGAGCAGTGGTGGGGGCCACGCAGAGAGAAATAGCAAGGACACAGATGAGTGTAGCAGCCTGTCTCTATCAGGCACTGTACAATCTCTGAAAAAGTTGCCAACATAACATAACCTGAAATAGTGACACATATATTTTATTTCGAACCTGCTAAATATTTTTTGTCGTTTTTATAAGGCTCTATATTTATATCATGGAGCCTAGATAGGATTTATATGTACTTGTATTTCAGTGCTCTTTCCATCGTACCACGGCTGGCGCTGATATGTCGGCGGGACAACATTTTTGCAGGGCTTGTACACCACATGCGTAGTTCAATTCGAAAAGGACAACCTCATCCACGAAGCGAATGAGACAGCTGCGCGCTCGCCGGGTTATCTCCGAATACAGGCGTACGGATTCCAGTATGGTTAGAGTTCAGTAGCTAGAGTCCAGTAGCTATCCTTTTCTAATGCTCCCATGGGTACGTTTTTTTTTATATTCTCGTACTACGGCTGCTGATTAAAAAAAGACAGAGCTTGGTCGCCACCGGTCGCCATCTTTTTCTATCAGCTGACCATTCCTCTTATGCTTGTGCGCAGTCCATGCTATATGTCGATGCTGGCAGATCTCCTCATTGCAAGAGGCAGCTATACGGAAAGGAAGGAATCGTATGGTGTTACTCTAATTTATATTTGACTTTATATAATATTTCTATACGGAATCTACAACGATAACTAAAATGGGGGAGATGAAGATAAATGGTCTGGAAAATATAAAACTTGAACAGAAGTATAATAAGGTTGTTAAACATATAGAGGTAAGTTGTAAGTTACGGCTTTTTACCGGTTATTGTATTTTCCATTATTTAACGATTTATATAATAATATTACGTACTGGCAGTAATTTAATGATGTTGGCGTTATCATTCTTTGTATAGGACAAATGGAAATTAGTACCAGCGTTTTTGAAAGGAAAGGGATTGGTGAAGCAACACATTGATTCGTTCAATTATTTCATTAATGTTGACATAAAAAAGATCATCAAAGCTAACGAAAAGGTTCTCAGTGATGCCGATCCCTTGTTTTACGTGAAGTAAGCATAATTTAATTTATATCATGTATTCTTACCTACGATGAAACAAATTTTTAACAACTTGGGTTTTAACTATTTTTGTATCAGGTATTTAAATGTATTTGTGGGTACTCCAGATGTTGAAGAGAGTTTTAATGTAACTCGTTCAACTACACCTCACGAATGCCGTTTGAGGGATTTAAATTATTCTGCTCCAATAACAGTGGATATTGAATATACCAGGGGCCATCAACGTATTATAAGAAGTAATTTATTAATTGGCAGGTATATGTTTATACTAAAACATTTTTAATCGATCATAGCTGTATCATTCCTAGAGTCCATATTTACTTACTATGTTTATTGAATAGGATGCCTATCATGCTCAGAAGTTCAAACTGTGTACTTGCTGATAAGTCGCATTTCGAGCTCGCAAAGATGAATGAATGTCCCCATGACCCTGGTGGTTACTTTATTATCAATGGTCAGGAGAAAGTCATTCTGATTCAAGAGCAAATGTCGCGAAACAGAATCATCTTGGAAGAAGACAGTAGAGGCTGCATTGTTAGCTCTTGTAACAGTTCGACTCACGAGCGGAAGACAAAGACTAATATTGTTGGTAAAGCTGGAAAGTATTACCTGAGACATAATATATTCCAAGACGTGAGTAGTTTTGTCTGAAATTAAATTTCTGTTTAGAGTATCATTAGATTTAAATATAAAACAGAATCTCATTACCTAGGACATACCTGTAACAATAATATTCAAAGCAATGGGTATAGTTTGTGACCAAGAAATCATGCAGTTAATTGGCACCGAAGAGGAATTTATGAAAAAATTTGCACCAACCTTAGAAGAATGCCACATACTTAATGTATTCACACAGAGTCAAGCATTAAGGTATTCTAAAATGAAGTTTAACTTATCCTCAAATACTAGAACTTTGTAAAACAACATTTGCGCAAAATTACAGATATCTCAGCAACAAAAGAAAGCAAAAGAGATTTCCAGTACTGAAAACAAGTCTAGTCGATGAAATGAAGGATACTTTAGCTACAAATATTCTTTCTCATGTTCCCGTAAGTCACCAGAGAATAAAAATTTATCTAATATTTGACAATTACTACAATAAAACAATTGTTTCCGTAGGTTACCGATTTCAACTTCAAAATGAAAGCAACTTACATTGCCCTAATGATTCGTAAAGTGATGCAAGCTCAGTGCGATGGGAAATTAGTCGATGACCGGGATTACTACGGTAACAAGCGTTTGGAATTAGCTGGGTCTCTATTATCGCTTATGTTTGAAGATCTGTTCAAGAGATTTAATTGGGAAGTGAGTAATTAATAAGAATCGACAATTTTTATTAAATAATATACTTAATATAATTTTTCTTTTCAGTTGAAACAAATAGCAGATAAGAATATACCAAAAATAAAAGCGGCCCAATTCGACATAGTAAAGCACATGAGACAGGATCAAATAACCAATGGTCTTGCATTCGCAATATCATCCGTAAGTAAATTGTCAATTAATACATTTATAATGTGTCTAACGTCGAAGCAGAACTAGTAGGTGAAATTTGTATTTTAGGGAAACTGGACGATCAAAAGATTTAAAATGGAACGTCATGGCGTAACTCAAGTGCTTTCAAGACTCTCGTATATTTCTGCTCTTGGAATGATGACCAGAGTGAATTCGCAGTTTGAAAAAAGTCGAAAAGTTTCAGGACCTAGATCATTGCAGCCTTCGCAGTGGGGTATGCTTTGTCCTAGTGACACCCCCGAAGGAGAGGTAAACACAATCGAATGAATAATTATCTAAGCATTTTTAATTCTCAAGATTTACAACTGTCCTTTGTCGATAAATTCAACAGGCTTGTGGATTAGTTAAAAACTTAGCACTCATGACTCACATAACAACGGAAGTTGAGGAAGAACCAATCATTCGTTTAGCATTTAACCTCGGTGTTGAAAACGTGAACATCCTAGGTGGCGAGGAAATAAACAATAAGGATGTTTACATGGTATTCTTGAATGGTAACATTTTGGGTATTGTCAAGAATTATATAAGGCTTGTAAGCGTTTTTCGATTATTACGTCGGAAAGGTCTAATCAATGGATTCGTGTCGATATATCCTCAGCATCAACACAGGTAAATTCTTAAATTTTACCACAATTGTTTCTGATAACAACAATAGCAAAGTAACCATAATCATTCCCTTAATTCAGATGCGTGCAAATCAGCTCAGACGGTGGCAGATTGTGCCGTCCTTATATTATTGTCAAGAATGGTGAGTCTCTAGTGCAATCAGAACACATCAAGCTCCTGGAACAAGGTGTTAGAACTTTTGAAGATTTCCTACAAGATGGTAAGTCGACCGCAGTTGAATAGTAACAAGTGTACAATTGATTTTTCAATTTCTTAAACGAATCCCTTCATCGATTAGGTATGATCGAATACCTGGACGTTAACGAGGAGAATGACAGCTCTATTGCATTTAATGAATCACATATAAACCTGCGAACAACTCATTTGGAAATAGAGCCATTTACTTTGCTTGGTGTTTGCGCTGGTTTAGTACCGTATCCGCACCATAATCAGAGTCCAAGAAATACTTATCAGTGCGCTATGGGTAAACAGGCTATGGGGACCATTGGCTACAATCAACGTAATCGTATCGATACGCTAATGTACAATTTAGTGTATCCACAAGCACCAATGGTTAAGTCACGAACAATTGAATTAATTAATTTCGACAAATTGCCAGCTGGACAGAATGCAATTGTGGCTGTTATGTCGTACAGTGGTTATGATATTGAAGATGCTCTTATACTTAATAAAGCATCTATCGATAGAGGATATGGAAGGTGTTTAGTGTATCGTAATGCAAAATGTACTTTAAAGAGATATGCCAATCAAACTTATGATAGAATCATGGGTCCGCTTATTGATGCTAATACTAAAAAGCCAGTATGGAAACATGACATTATTGATACAGATGGTATCGCTGCACCTGGTGAAATGGTTGAGAATAGAAAGGTACATTTTTTAAATTGTTAATTATATTTCTTTTAGTATTGTTGACAACACAACTCATGTTTGTGTACTTGTTTCAGGTTATGGTTAATAAATCAATGCCAGCAGCTACGATAAGTCCTGTAAATCCTGGCAATGTTCAGACACAACCAGAATATCGAGAAGTTCCAGTAGTGTTCAAGGGACCAGTGCCAGCTTATGTGGAGAAAGTTATGATATCAAGCAATGCAGAGGATGCTTTTTTGATAAAATTATTATTACGACAAACACGAAGGCCTGAAATTGGAGACAAGTTTAGTAGTCGACATGGCCAAAAAGGTGTAACCGGTAAGAACTTTGATGAGATCTCAAATCAGATGGAAAACTACAAATGAAAGGTTAGAAAATAATTTACGTTGTTTCATTATGCTAGGATTAATCGTCGAACAGGAAGATATGCCATTTAATGATTCCGGAATATGTCCTGACATGATAATGAATCCTCATGGATTTCCATCCCGAATGACAGTTGGAAAACTAATTGAATTACTTGCTGGTAAAGCTGGAGTGTTGAAAGGGGAATTCCATTATGGAACAGGTAAGGACCTTGTACCAATCTTATCGCATGATGAAACAGAATGAACTGTTGACTAAACTATTAATGTTTTGTAGCATTTGGTGGGTCGAAAGTTGAGGATGTCTGCGAAGAACTTGTGAATCATGGCTACAATTATTTGGGCAAAGATTTCTTCTATTCGGGTATCACGGGGGAACCACTACAAGCATATATTTACTCAGGACCAGTAAGTATTTCTATCAATTCATTATAAATGTGGCCAGCTCTGACGTACTTCTACATTGCGTAGGTGTATTATCAGAAATTGAAGCATATGGTGCAGGACAAAATGCATGCCCGTGCTCGTGGTCCCAGGGCAGTATTGACTCGTCAGCCAACAGAAGGAAGATCAAAAGAAGGGGGTCTCAGATTGGGTGAAATGGAACGGGATTGTTTGATAGGTTATGGTGCCAGTATGATGCTTATTGAAAGATTGATGATATCCAGTGATGCATTTGACGTTGATATTTGCAACACGTGTGGTCTTATGGCTTATAGTGGTTGGTGTCATAGTTGCCGTTCCAGTGCCTGTGTCTCAACTATTTCTATGCCATATGCTTGTAAGTTACTATTTCAGGAATTACAGTCCATGAACATTGTGCCCAGGTTAACGTTGAAAAATTATTGTGAATAGATAGATTAATAAGTGTGACAAACTTTATATTGCGAATCTAATGTGATAACATTACCTGTATATAATATATTCCCTTTCGCACTTTTCAATACTGCATGTCTCAAACCTATTGAATAATTTCAGCCTTTATTAGAATCCGTTTGGTACAGGGTAATACATTTTTTTTCGTAATTTAATTTATTCTCAAATAATTTTATTTCCGTACTCCGGTTACAAAAATTACGAATACTAGTTAAAGAATGTTAGTAATAATCTTGTCATTTCTTAAAAAATTTCAATATTTAATGGATATTTAATCATGCAAAAAATGATAAACATATAAATCTATATCATAACAATTATAAAATATAAAAATGGTTATGTAAAGGTTTTAACATTTCTTTGGATAATCTGAGCAATAAGTTTAGAACCTTTTCAGTCTCAGTTGAAGCGTCTTTTCGGTTTCGAAAGCCCAACTGTTTACATGTGCTCTTGCAGTGACATATGTTCATCAGTTCCATACAACTTGCAATACTTTTCTACTTTTTTTACCATTTCAGAAGTCTCCCTGTCAAGATTTTCTTGCATTTTCAGTTTTGGTATAATATGAGTATTGAGTCTTTCAAATATGTTGTTTTTTGAATTAGAAATGTGGGAATAAACATTCTGAAAACTCCATAGCGTTAGATGAGAAATATCTAAGCGTAGGGATATTAAAAAATAGGCACGTAATTCACTCACTCGTAAACCTTTAGATCGTGGATTGACTTCAATAGCTTGTAGATAATATTTACAAGCATTCTTTGCGTCATGTTTACAATGCATATAGTATGTTCCCATGTTCAACAATATATCTTGAACTCTGTACCCTCCAAATTTTTCATATCTTTGCATCATTATTTGCAAATGTGGCATCGGATCGTATGTCCCAGGAGCGATTTCCAGTTGTAACTGAAGGTATGATAAATCCGACACAAAATTCAACAGAGCTCCTGCCTTCTCAAAGTGGTCCAAAGCTCCCTTTGAATAAACATTGTATTACAATATGAAAGATTATAACAGTGATGAGTACATGTAAACAAACCTTTTTGTCGTTCAAACATTTATCAAGGTAAATTCCTTTATAATGAAGATACCTAGAGTTCTTAGGCATCCTTGCCTCTACATAGTCTAAACATTTGCCAGCTTTATTAGCATCCTTGCAGCGAATAAAACCCAGAGCTAATTTTAAATATATGGAACAGCTATTGGGTTTCATATTAAATATAGTGTTATACATGTCTTTCGCCTTCTGAGTGTCCCACATCTCACGATACATTTGGGCATTGTATATGCCAATAAATGGATCCAATGATATATTAAATGCTGTTTTAAATTCAGATTGTTCCTGAGGAGATGGCGTACTCCTATAGCATGCATGTCTCCTGACCCGTCTCAAACATTTTGCATGCAACAAATGCCATATTGCATTATTAGGGTTTCCCTGTATGGCTTTCAAGACACAATCTATTGCTTTTTCATTACCAGCAAATTTATAAAAGTGCCAAATTGCACTTTGACAACCATGCAAGGTCCCTAATTCAGGACTCTTCTTACATGAAGGAATAGTTTTCAAAATATTTTTTACATCATCAGATTTATCCATCTTTTCTAGTATGAAGCATTTTGATGCTTTAATAATATGCTCTACTGCCTCCATGGATAAGTCCTTAGGTATGCTGGAATCAATTATTGTTTGATTAATTTACAACTCTCATTTTTATTAAGTACTGAACATTCATCATCTTCTACTCTTAGGTCTAAGATTTTTAGTCTTTAACTTACTTCGTTTGAACATTATTAAAAAGCTTCTCAGATTCATAAATCTCTTTGATTGCTTTCTCCAAGCAATTACTTTCAGCATATTCATATGCTTTTGCCACTGTATACATCAACTGTATAAGTGGGATACCGCTATCACATTCGTCACTATCGTCATAAGCATATCCATCATTCCTGTTTAGCAGAGAATCGGGTGTGCGACACACCCTTTCCATTTCCCATGTGAAAGGACAGCTCAAATGATTTAACTCACTCATTCTTTCCTTAAAGATTCCTACAAAAAGAAAATATTTTATTATAAACAATACGATACAAGTAATGCAATACGATAATATTGTAAATTATATATTGTTAGATCACTATTAGACTGTTACGTACCTCTTTATTCAAGTAAGTATAACATCAAAACGCAAACCGCCACGACGTACGTGATATCTTCAGTGAAGTTCAGTGAAGTTATACGAATGAATCACGGGAATCACCGCGAGGTATGTCTCATACAGTCTCATGTAAAACGCCACAGTGAAATTTAATAGTACTTTCTTTGTGTGTGGTCTAAATTGTAGAAGTTTTGAAACCTACCATTCACTCGCAGCGTTAAAGAAGTAGTATATCTGATTGGTCGAATATCTAAGTGCGCAAAATTACATTTAATTGACCAATCCTCAATGTGTTTACTGTCCTGGCGCGATTTTCAATAGAGTCCAATATTTTCTTACGCGTGTCACGCACATATATGTCACGATTGCCATTCTAGTGCTTGCAGAGATGAGTAGGTGCTTGTGTCTCAACTATTTCTATGCCGTATGCTTGTAAGTTACTATTTCAGGAATTACAATCCATGAATCTGGTCCCATTCGGAATAAAGCTGTAAAAGATAAGATGAAAACAATATATCAGTAGTGTGCCCGGGTAAGGTGCTATAGATGGCGCTGTTGCTAAAGAAAGTCGCCGGAAGTCTACGGCAGAGCCGCTAGCACAAGGAGAGCTTACGCTTCTTTTACCTCTGCACGATGGGTGAGTGAGCTGGTTTCATGCTCCTTTAACTTTATCGAAGTACATCCACGTTTTTTCAACTTACTCAAATAAATCAAATTGCGTAAAACGAGCCCAAAGGTTCAAGCTTGGTGGCTGCAGATATATGAACCTATAATTTTTAATATAAAATTGCAAAAACTATAGTGATTGCCGACGCTGCCAAGTGTTGTGATGATTTGACGTGTGCTTCGTAGTTATGCTATTTGTTATTGATTAAATGTATTTGTATCTGCAATTTCGGTGCAGTTATTGTCGATTGAGTTTCTTTTTCCATTCTTTCCGATAACGTATTATTAATGAAAATGATACAGATTTTTTTAGGTTATCTGTACGTTTTTTTAATGGCTCTGGTACAAGTTTGGTTATTTCGCTAGTACAATATTGAATATTTATTATATCGTATCTTTGGTGTATATGTAAGTACGTTAAAGAAATTGCGTGATGTATTTTGATATTTTATTCGTAATTTTTGGTTGATAGATATATTTGTTATTGTTAAGTGAAGAGATCACAACAGTGGCGGTTAATAATATGAAATTCAGCCATGCTGGTTTTTTTTTATTGATTATAGTATCTTATTTGATTATCATTTTTTCACAGGTATCTCGCGGGATCACTGGCATAAGAGGAGAGCCACTGGAGGCAAGAGGAAGCCTCTGCGTAAGAAGAGGAAGTTTGAGTTAGGACGTCCAGCTGCCAATACCAAGCTTGGACCTCAGCGTATTCACACTGTGAGTTTTCTTATTTTGTTATGTCTGATAGAAGTTATTAATATTATTTTATCAAGATCATGATGATATCCTTACCTACTCTGAGTGTCATGACGACAATTTCCCACAGCGTACTGATGTTTAAATAATATCAAATCACTTGCATACCTAAAAAAGTGCTGCTTCTTAAACCATTTTTTGTTGTTTTATGTTTAACAAGGTCCGTACACGAGGAGGAAACAAAAAATACAGAGCACTCCGTCTGGATACAGGCAATTTCTCATGGGGGTCTGAGTGCTCCACTCGTAAAACTCGTATCATTGATGTCGTCTACAATGCATCAAACAACGAGCTTGTGCGAACAAAAACCTTGGTGAAGAATGCAATTGTCACCATCGATGCCACCCCTTTCCGACAGTGGTACGAGAGCCACTATATCCTTCCCCTTGGCCGCAAGCGTGGTGCCAAGCTGGTGAGTTCTTCATTGCAATCATAATAACAACTAACTCAATAAATATTACACGACACTTCAATATTTCGATCCTTGTTCTGTTAAAGACTGAAGCCGAGGAGGAAATTCTTAACAAGAAGAGGTCAAAGAAGACCGAAGCCAAGTACAAGGCTAGACAACGATTCGCCAAGGTTGAGCCCGCCCTTGAAGAGCAATTTGCTACCGGACGAGTTCTTGGTAAGTTCATTCTCACTGTGCAATAACCACAAATCTTTTAACCGAATAGTATGCATTTCAAATTGCATAATGTAGAGTGACCGGATAGCGTGATAAATAAAGTACATGGTTTTTAGCTTGCGTGGCCAGCAGGCCTGGACAGTGTGGCAGAGCTGATGGCTACATTCTTGAAGGCAAAGAACTCGAGTTCTACATGAGAAAGATTAAGAGCAAGAAGGCTAAGTAAGCTTGTAAGCAACAGCAAGTGAATAAAAATAAGCTGTAAAAAACAACTGGAATTGGTTCAGCATCGTTTAGAATACTTTCAAAAAAAAACAAGCATTTTCCCATCCCGTACATCTACATTTAGAGTCATACTATAAACACCAATGTAAGTGATCCAGATACTTTTTCAACGGGTAACAGTAACGTGAAAAAGAAATGTTGAAGTATTAAGAGAATAATAATTATTAACAATAATAATTATTAACAATATATGGAGGAATAACGTGAACGCCATTGTTAAGAAATAAAATGTATTATCGTTTTCGTTTACGGTACATAACAACGATAGCCTACGCTTTTTCTTTTTTTTTTTATTTATTTACTTATTAATAGTACTGCGAGCAATAATGAATGCTTGAGTCTGAGCTTAGGCTCAATAGTATACCTTTGATACGAAAAAGGTGATAACGCGTACTCAATTATTTATAATTATAACGGGTACATATCTACACAGGATTACAACGTCGATGCCAGAAAGGTTGTTCGGTATTCAATTAACTAATCAATTTTTTCTTCAAAACTCGTTATTCTCTCATTGTATTATTATTATTCTTATTATATATATATACTCCTTTTTTTCCTTTGCGCACAATATCCCGTCCATTGACCTATGAACCTTCGCATCGTTAGAAGTAATTGAAGGGGAAGAGAAAAACAAAAAGGAGAAAAATGCTATGAAGGTACAGTCTGCTTAGAGTCAGGTACAGGTGCGATACAATCCTGTATACCTGGAGAATCGGTAAGTACCATACTCTCATAGATCAATGCATGAATAGAATTCATATATATATGCGTGTGTGCGTGTAAAAAACAAAAGAAAAATTTTCACATCACGCATTAATTCTACATTAAATATTAATTTTAGTCTGTTTTACGTTTGACAAACATTGCTTTTTAAGAGTGAGAATTCTATACTTGTCAGATTTGTTGTATTGCGAATTTACAATGTGAGCGACATACTAAAACGCATTGTCAAAATAGTTCATAGTGTTTAGCTGTTTTCTTTTTGTTTTTTGTCTCCTCTGGAGCAACTTTTCTGGTAAAGGCGTCGGATAGTTTGTCTTTTTTTTTTTTTTTCAATTAGTGAAACAATTCAGTGCTGATGAACCTTTAGTGCCTTGATGGGTAACGCGTGCGACGTACAGGGTGAGGAAGTCGGCATCACTTTTACCTCACCATTCTGTAGGGTGTAAACCCTGCCAGCAGGGCTGCACGTCTTGGCACTATTACCATTCTGAAAAATACAGTGATGCGTTACAATACTCTCAGGGTAGAGGGTCTTTGTAGAGATTGAATTTCGAGATGGGAAGCGCACAAGGGGTTTGTGAGTCCCACTCGTGAGATATTCCCTGGTACCCTTCGCGGTGATTGTCAGGGTTGCAGGGATTCTCTTTTTTATTCTCTTTTGAATCCGAAAGTTCGCCAAAACATATTCTTTTCTGTTTATTCTTGAAACCGTCGAAGGGTCCAGAGCATAAATAGTGTAAGTCATTCGAAAGTATCATTAATATTCATTGTATACATTTCATATGAAATTGAGATGATCCTTCATGAAACAGAGGATCTATTATTTGAGAACAAGGAAGAAATGGTCTCTTGTTGATCTCTTTGTATAATAGGTTTTTCTTTTCTTTTCTTATAAACTTGAATGTTTAAGGTACACATTTTACTCATGCTTTATTTTACGTAAAAAAAAAAAACAAAAAAAAAACGTTATAAGGTGCTTCAATACTAGATACGTAATCGCCTTGGACAGATATTGTATAATAGTCATTGTAAATAATTAAAAAGCACGAGCGACGGACACGTGCGTTTCGACATAGAAATGAAATGAATATAGTTGCTAAGGACGAAGAGACGATTGAAAAAGTGGGCCTTACGAGGTAATTTAGTTCGTGTCTGTTTTTCTTTTTCATTGCTTTGCGACCACTCGGGGACTTACACCAATTGGCTCTAGGCCCCCCATACGTTAGGCGGCGCTTGTTGCGTGCTTATCAGGAGCCGAGGCATCACCTGCTGCTGATTGTTGTTGGAGTTCGTCGCGGTTGTTCCTAGGATTGTATTTTGGGGAGGTTTCTGGGCGCAGGTTCTCATGTGGGACGGCCAGTGGGCCTGTTGGCAAGGGTAGTCGCAGTACGCTGTGTTCCAGCAGCAGTAGAACAGTGCCTCGTTTCCGCAAAGGGCGCACCATTGCTTCCGTTTTGTCTCTTCTACGGAACGTAACTTCTCCTCCTCGGCCTGACGACGTGCCTCCTCCACTGCACGATGTCTCTCTGCCTCTAAGCTGGCTCTCATCTCTCTGAGGGTCAGATCTGCGAGGACGAGGACAGAGGTGTTAGGTAAGACAAAGCTACGGAAATGAGTTCGATGACTTTTGTGGATGGAGTGAACTCACCTGTATTGTGCTTGAGCTCTGTGAGCTGTTGTTGGTGTTGCCATCTCATGCGTTCAATTTGTAATTTCAAAAAATGTATTGTGGCTTGTCCATTGTCACCAGGATCGTCCTGAGGATTTAAACCAGTCTGCGCCGACTCCCTCAGGGCCTCCTCCATCAGCTGGGCCATTCTTCTTGCGAGCTCTTGTGCTCCACGATGAAGCTGCGCACTGAGAGGTCCTGCTTCCGGTGGCGGTAGCTGGTAAGCCAATTCATTCTCATCTCTATGACCCGGAATGTATACCATTGCGTCCGGTGGACTTGATGGCGCCTTCGGGGGGGAACGCGGTGCTATTTGAGGATAGACCGGAGGTTTGTTTGGGAATGACTTCCGGGCTTTGCTTTCTCTCTTTTGAGCAGATTGGGGCGACGCGTGATGATCTCTGGGCTCTTGTTTCACTATTGCCAGAGTCTCTGTACTGGGAAAATTGTTTTCTAAGGAGGCAGGCCTCTTCCTCAGCTCGGGCTTGCTGTTGTTCACCAGGAAAAAGAATGCCAGGGGTTGTTCCCCTGTGGAATTTGAAGATATGGGTGTGACGTGGGTAGCCTGACTATTATTATGTTTAACGTCCTTTGAGCTTGGGACTGAATTCGTAGTAGTATCCGGTACCGTAGTAGGCGTCGCGATAGGCACCGTAGAACTCACAGGAGAAACGGAACTGTTATTGGTAGACGCGTCAACTTCCGCCGGGATTTCGTTAGACTCTATCCTGTCGACAGTTCCTCCTGTCTCCTTTGTCTCCTTTGCGTCAGTCGCTGATTCCTTAGCCATTTCAGCATTGACCTGATTGACCATCCGCGTCTTTGGCTTATAAACTCTCACCAGATTCTTAATTGGCTTGAGTCCTGCCGGTGCGTTAACTGGTGAACCAGGCAGAGAGTAAGTCTTAAAATTTGGATTCTTTATATTAGACTCACCCTCGGACGTTCTACCACCCTTCTGCGACAGTCTTTTGTCCGCGGATGCCTGTCTGGTAGCGTTAGCTTTTCTCTTCTCAGGAACATCCTTCGAACTCTCTTTGTCGGTTATCACGTTGTTTATTAGTTCGTTGCTTGGTTTTAATCTAATCAGCGCATCCTTCTCGGAGGACGCTTTGGATGCGGTCTGACCGGAAGTCCGTGTATCAAGCGCGGAACTCCTTCTGTTGCGCACCTTTTGCTTCTTACCCGTTGGCGCGACTACGATGTCTTCCTTAGAGGACGACGTCGTTCTCTCGGTTTTTTTACCCAGTGTCGATGTCTTCCCTATCCTAATTATCTCTATATACTTTTCGCAATCGCTATTCGAGTCCAGTCGTTGCGCCACCGAGTCGTTAGCTGAATCCGCCGTAGTATTTGTAGGGGATTCACTGATCAGTGCCTTTTTCCTAAAGAGTGGAGCCCGTTTCTTCTGCAAGGACTTCCTCTTAGGTGGCACTGTCTGTATCTCTGGAGTGATATTAGGATGAAGAGGATCGTAATTGGGTAGCATCAATTTGATCTGCATCGGGTCCTGGGGATTGTACTGTATCTTGGGCGGCGCGAAACGAAATTGCCCAAAGACCAATTCCAACTTTCTACAATGGCGCGTAATCTCGCGAACGCACTCGTCCATGTCCAACTTTCGCTTTCGCGGTAACGGCGACGGAGGGTCCTCGGAGTACAGGTATAGATCCCTGGGCGATATCCAAGCGCGATCGTGAGCCCCGAAGAAGCGTACGTCCACGTAGCCCTGGCCGTTCACCCGGGGCATTGCCTTAGCTGGCCAGTATGGGAATCCCTTGAGCTTGGCCCATACCAGAGGATGAGGTCGTCGACAAGGCTCGATGAACCAGGACGGTTGGGGACGTGGTAGATTCCTACCGTGAGCATAACAGTCCGGGCAGGCCTCTATCTCTGAAACCTCTTGTCGCGCTGCCTTTATTATTTGTCGGGCAGCGTTCGTTAGTTTGGACGTGTCCGCGTAGACTCCGCCACCTATAAATAATGCATCCTGGTTAAACCTTGGGCTTTCAGAGACTTTGGCTGCCCTTTAACTTACACGTATTGAATACAATGCAGTTGTGCTGAATCCACTTGGCATCCGCCATGAAGGCGTCCGTACTTCCGTAGAGTTTTGCACGAACGTTCGACTCCAGGAGAGACAAATCCATTGGCTTCACCACGTAGTCCAGGTAGTTCGGTACCTCGGACAGATCCACCGCTTTCCAAAATGGTTCGGACTGCGTCATGGAGCATAGACGAATTAGGTAAGGAAGTAGTTTTTCACCTCTTAATGATTAATATTTTATACTTCCAGTACGCGTACTTTTTGGTAGCCCCAAAGTATCAGCTAAAGTGTTGCACGTTTTACTTGGTGTCATTATTATTGTACAGTGAATCTTATTGAGTGCGATTATTTTTGTATTGCTACTCATTCGATATCAGTTGCTGTGTATGAATTACCAAAAGCCTGTGTATAATCGTGCGATAAGAAAAATCCATGACAATCCTCTTCCACCAAAGAATAATATTATTCATCCAAAGAGACATTTCATTGTCTCCTACTCCCGGTTCGGTCGTTATCTTACTCGGATGTCATAGGAACTCGCACTGGGTGCGCGACGTGCAAATAATACTGTCTACGTACCCCGGGATAGTGTCGCATCCTTTCGACCACGTGTTTGAGCAACATGCACAATTGATCCACGGACAGTTGCGACATGGCTGGGGAACGTGTCTCCGCGTTCTCCGCCCTGAGGATGGTAGCGCACTCCCCGCATATCCAATTTTGTACCGATGTGGGTGGCGCACCACCCATGCATTTACGATGCCAGGAACGAGGACACGCACTGCACTGTGCCTCCACGGATTCCTTGTGACATCTCCAGCAGAATCCATCGCTCACGCTCTTTGACCTCTTCCTCTTGATCCTGGTACCATCCTCGGAGGATGATAGGTCGCCGCTTTGTACACTGAAAGTTATAGGTATTTCTCTTGAGTCTGAAGTGCATTTTCTAGAATTTTCTGGAAAATGAGTTTTATTGGAATCGTAATTGTCCGACATGTTTGTCTGCGGTCCTTGATAAGAGCTATTAATTACGACACACTCGGCGAGAGATAATAATCGTCTTTTATTAGAACCTCTAGTAAAAGCCGAGGAATATAAACGGTATTTGATTTTTATAAATTGCAATTGCTTGGTACTGATCACTGGTGTCTTGATTAAATAGATCATAGGGACGCTGTATGCACTGATTAACGAAGGTGGGATTGTAAAGAAACAAAATTTAGGGATAGGTAACTGAAGTAAGTCATTCTTGTATCTTTGAATCTACATCAGCTAGTTACACTGTTTGTAATCAGTGATGTAGTTTTAACGTGGCTCAGATAATATTGCTTATATACGAACCTCGGGTTCCTTCGTTTTCTTTTTCCTTCCTTTTCGTTTTTAGCTGCCTCCTCCACCCGAATCTCTTCCCCATTTTTAGTGTCCTTACTTGCCAGTAATGACGATATTCTTATATCTAAGGGCTGTGAATCCTGTGCTGTGCACTCATTGGCTTCCTCTATTTTCAAATCACTTTCTGGCTTTTTGAACTCTGTTTCCAGTGTTTTAATATCTTCTGGGTTATACTCCTTTTTACTTTCCTTACTGGGACAATTTAAATTATCCGATCCAGGACTGATTTCCAGCTTCTTGTCCTTTGCATCTTCAGTCGATGTATCCAGCATATTTTTACTATCCTTACTTACATTTTCCAAATCCTTTGCTAGACTCTTCTCTTTAGGTTTCTTCTCGGCAGCATCTTTAGTAATAGCTTTATCATTGCTAAGAGACGCCATCTTGATTCATACCTTTCACCAACGAATACCTAAGCAATTTAAATAAACAGTTATCTACCTGCTCAATATACTTGCATCCACTATCTATCAGGAAAAAACGTGCATTAAATTAATCTGTACCAAGTCATCTATGGCAACTTTTTCATGTTTCTATATTTTCTTTCCTTTCTATAAGTTTGCTGCTTTTTGTTTCAGTAGCCAGTATACCTTTTAGTATAGCAAATGTTATAAGAATTATATCAGTCAAAAGAATGCTCTCTCACCTAGTAGCAACAGATTTTACAAGCAATGAAGCAAACACATTCCATGAGCTAAGGACAATTTATCTTACTCTAGAATATAGCAAAGATCAAGGGCAAAAAGTGAAGCCTCAATATATTACCAGTGAAATACATGGAGAATAATTATATTTACAGACTTGGAACGTGCCTGAACATTACTTATATAAAAGCAGATGGCTGGAATGATATTCCAATCACAGAAACAACGTACATAGCATACAAATTGTAACAAACTATAACAGTTCTAAGTAAAATTTCAGTGAAAGATGTATGCGCACAGAAAGGAAAAGGATATATATGGATCACAAGTATAAGTAAAGAGCTATTTGGTACGTGGGAACTAAAAAGGTGATTTGGTAAAAGAAACAGGGGTGAATGCTGGCTTTATGACGTGTGCGCGATCATCCAATGGACACATAAGGGTAGAATTATTAGCCAGACTATTTGGACGTTAATAAGAGATGGCTATGGTTTGTAGATACAGTGAATGAGTACTAGTATCAGTATACAAAAACTATAAACAGCAAGTTCTCACCTTGCGCAGGCTTTCACGTACGATTTTCCATTATCGCGCGTATGGTCGAGGTCTCGAGGATGCGAGAATGGCTTCCCGTACGTACAACTCACTATGCGCCTTGGTAAACGGCATCGAAAGTCCGCCAGTGTATCTCCTACTCGCACGGCTTATGCTGCTTTTGGAGCAGGGCTTTCCTTCCTTTTCCTATGCCAACCTTGCCCGCGACTGCATCGCCATCTCTTATCAGTCTCATCAAGTGTCAGGATCACGTGGTTACCTAGACCTAGTGCTCGCACGCGGTACCTGTTCACCCCAAAGAGACTGGTCTACTTTCGTTTGAAGTGTATAGAAATTTGACAGCTGTCAAGAGAATACTCTTGCTCTCTCTTGACTCGTATGAACGATGATAAGAACTCTCTTGATAACACTTGTAATCACTCTATCGAAGAAATTTACGTTACCTTCTGACAGCAGGATTTCTCTTAATAGATTTTATGACAGCAGCAATAATTCTGTTAGATTCTCTAGATTTTATCTCAATGAACGGCTTCTAGAAGAATTCTCCTTTAATTTGTGAAGATTTTTCAGTATTCATTGTTTTGCATGAATCATTAAATCCTGGAAGCACAATTGGGCTTATACGTTGATAATCTATAAAGCCTGCAAAATTCGATAACGATTGTGTTATGGGCGGTTTTAATGTGAATGTCGATACTGGCCTTATTCAGTGATAGTTTGTTTGGACTCCTTGACGAACCAGGTCCTCCTTTATTATTAGAATGTACGAGTTGTTATTCTTGTTTTCTTGCTACTTTAATGGGGTTAGTTTTTAAGGTACTCTTGGTCACGTGGTGATGCTATAGTCCTTGTTGCGTTATCGACTAACTCCTCTAATCGTCAGGGAATAGGTACTTGGATGGCAACAGCTGCCATTTAACCTTAGAAATCGCAATGAACTTCACAATCAATAATGGATTCACTGGATCTTTAATGGCTATTTTATTCGTATATGTCTAAGGGTTTTTCAAGTTTCAATTAGAAGACATCACAACTGTAGTTTTATAAGGTAATAACATTAGGTTAGATCCAACTGTCAAACGCTTATCAAATACTTCAATGTGACTGATTGTTTTGTATATTTTTTAGTGTATCATTCTGGAGTAGCTATGGAATTTGCTGAATTAATTTTGGTAACAAAGTTGGACAATGTTCTCCTGACCGATAAGAGTGACGAGAACAATAAGATTGCTAGTATGGAAGGAACCCTCTGTGTCACTGGACATCAGCTTATACTGTCCTCTCGTCAAGATACTGGGAAGGAACTTTGGGTAGTTTGTCAATATTGATAAGAATTAATAGGTTTATTATATAGGATCTCTATATTGCTGAATCTTTGTAGCTGTTCCATAGAAACATTGATGTCCTGGAAAAGAAGTCGAACAATCAAGGTCCTGGTGGCAGTATAATATTGAAGTGCAAGGATTTTAGAATTCTTCAATTAGACATTGCTTCTACAGAGGATCTTGGAAACCTTGTTCTGTCCTTAGAAAATCTGTCATTCCTAGGTGATGATACTAATTCTCATTCATTCTAATTAATACTCAACAGGGTATGAGAGCTGATTCTTCCTTCTGTTGCAGATCAAACATTTCAATATCCTTTTTTCTACAGACCTCAACCGAGTAATAATTCCATGGGTCAGATAGAAGATGGATGGACAGCATTTGCTCCAGTGTCCGAATGGTCAAGATTGCTTGCAACTTATGCGGATGAATGGCGGATCAGCTATTTGAACCGTGATTACAAAGTCTGTAATTCATATCCATCAGCAGTCATAGTACCACGTCACATAGAAGATAAAGTCATAGTGTCATCTGCTGGTTTCAGAGATGGTGGGAGATTTCCCGTCCTCTGTTATAGACACGAAGGAGGGGTATGTTGTATAACGTATGAATTTAAAAAGCCTTGTCAAAACACCCTCAAAGAGAAATATTTTTATTTAACAGAGTGTCTTGCTACGAAGTAGTCAACCCATGTCTGGCGCAACAGGCAGAAGATGTAAAGAAGATGAGAGACTGCTAAATGCTGTACTTGGTCCTGGGAGACGAGGGTACGTACATATCCTTTGGAAAATGAAATCCATGTAAAAACAAGCATTACGTGCTATTGTATATTTCATCAGATACATTGTGGACACAAGATCTGCCGGCCAAGCTCAAAGCGCCAAAGCCAGAGGAGGAGGTACAGAAATAGACGCGGCATACCCACAATGGCGTAAAGTGCACAAAGCTGTACCACGACCTTCTGACCTGGCAGACAGTCTTTATAAATTAATAGAAGCTTGCAACGACACCAATTGCTCAACCTCTCAGTGGCTATCTAGATTAGAAAATAGTGGATGGCTATCCGGAGTCCAGAGCGCCCTAAATGCGGCCTGCGTAGCTGCGCAATGTCTTCACCAGGAAGTTGCGGCTGTTCTAGTCCACGGTTGGTGTTACTTTCACTCGAGTACATCTAGTATCTCAAATAAATGCGCAAGATTAAAAGTTGCTCTGATATAGGTGGCGCAGGACGCGAGTCCACCCTGGTGGTAACCAGTTTGACTCAAGCGATTTTAAATCCCGACTGCAGAACGGTACGTGGTCTACAGGCTCTAGTGGAACGTGAATGGCTCCAAGCTGGTCATCCATTTTTTACCCGCACTCGTCATGGACCGTATCATTCCCACTCTCAGAGTTCTTCACATTCTCCCACCTTCCTGCTATTCCTCGACTGTCTCCATCAGCTGCACCAGCAGTTCCAGATGAGCTTCGAATATACTACGGACTTACTCATAGCATTATTCAAGCATGCTTACTGCTCCAACTACGGGACATTTCTAGGTACGTACTTGTTGTACTTGTTGAAGATGGTTTTGAGATTCTAGAAAATTTATCTTGTACCTCTAGGGGATAGCGAAGCCGAGAGGATTCGTTTGAGGCTCTCCGAACGCACCGGTAGTCTTTGGTCGTACATCAATCAACCAGACGTACTAGAAAAATGGCTAAATCCACTGTACGAACCAAATCCTGGCGTTATATGGCCAAGCGTAGCTTCAGTTAGTATACAATTATGGCGAGAACTGTATCTCGCCCATACTAGCGCAGCGCCCTGGACAGGAATGCTCTCTTCCATTAGGGAGATCAAACAGAATCACACAACGATACGCAAAATAGCTGGTCAATTACAAGGACAAGTGAGGCAAGTTCTAGAAGAGATCAACAACATATCAGACGAGGATCTCATACAGCTGTCTCGATTGAATCTGGAGGCGCAGAGTACTTGATAGAGAGTACGAAGTGAAAGAGAAACCAAAAAGGAAATTAAGATAAAAGAAATGTCCTGGCGTATATCTGCCGGACTGCCACTTATTACCCTATGTCGATTCAATTGCCTTTTTTTTTATCAAAAAATAATATTCGACTTTTGTGAATATTTTCGCACTGTGCATCTAAACTTCTAGCCGTATAAAATTCTTGATCAAGTAATAAAAAGACTACTACCGCGATACTGAAAACAAAGAAATAGCGAAGTTCAAAGGAATGTCCCGTGCCTATGAAGAACGAGTGCTCTACGTGAATTCCAGGAGGGTTCTCATGAGCATAAAAGGAGTTGTGGTATCGAGTAAGGCTTGATGGGGAAAAAAAAAACGTAAAAGTTATTGCAAAAGCAGATGCGAGCAGGTGAGGGTGGCTTTGGTTGAGCGCCCAGCCTGAGAACACAGCCGTGGAACGTATTCTGTAAGGACAGGGGGATTTTTACCGTTATCCAGGAAGGACAGTGGTAGTACGGGGAGAGGGTTCGACGATGAGGATCGGCTCCCAGGGGAAAAGAGAAAGGGCTTGAGACGTGGAGGGGAAACACGGCAGGTGTTCATACACAAAGAAACTTCAAGGAATCCTAAAGCCATTGGCTTGGGAACGACGGTTCCTTCATTTACTCGAGAACCTATCATAAGCTAACGGCTCTTATTAGTTTTTATATTTTTATTATTCTTTTTAATATTACAAAATCATGGCCACGGATGCAAGGTCGCTCGTTTTCCTTTTATCAAAACATATTACAGTCGGATAGAGGCCCTAGGAAATAATAAACGGATTGAAATACTTAAAAAAAAAACAAAGATGCCTTACAAGAAAATCATAGTCTTCTGGATGCGTAAATCTTCATACTCTGTATCATGTAGAAGGATACCCTGGTGCTTGTTGGTGGTCCGATATCCTTGGATGAGTGTGGATCTAGTCACGACTAGGATATGAAAACGTGGACTGAATTCAAACCCATCCAGGGCCGGCAGACAGTTGTGAATCTATATGGTTAGATTCGTCGAGCTTCTCTTCTCTTATCGATGTGACAAGGATCGCGGGGACACGGCACAGGATGAGAAATATAGTGGCACGTCGCGACTAAACTGTACGAGGGCAACCGGCAGAGTGATGCTGTTTAAAAAAATCGCGTTGCCTGCCCGCTTCCTTGCTGGACGCTGTGGTAGGGAGGAGTGCGGGTAGGAGAACCTTGGACTGGGCCCCCTTCAGCCGTAGTACCATTGGGCCACCAACAGCTACCAATGGGGCATTGCTAACGCGGAGAAGGGATCTTTTTCCCAAGCCCATCAGAATCACAACAAAGGAAGCTCGTATAAATTGAGCAGAGACCGAATACCGAGCAGGTTGTATGGGTGGATGTGTCTGTGGGTAACTCTGTATGAGTTAAGTAGGTGCAAGACGGATTTTCATAGAAATGGCAAACATGTTAAGAAAAATATGTTCTCTTCTCGTTTCTAATGTGTGTTTTAAGTTTGCTTATGTTTCTGACTACTTATTGCATCAATGTTTTGTCTCCTCTTCCAGAACAGGCATATTTTAATGTTGCTGGTATATTTACACTATTGATGAATTCTTTAGGAATGTTCACGTAAGGTAAACTATTACTAATATTATAACTAAGCAGGTAAACAGGATTCCAGCAACTAGAATAAATCCATCCTGACGTGCTCTTTGCTCTATGAGTCTCATTGTGGTGTTGGAAAGTCCTAAAGTGTTGCCTATGTCTATTAGATGTTTGTGAGCACCCTTTAAAGTCATTCTTTGGGATCGTAAACTATCCAATATTCCTGATCCATGTTGTATGAGATCATCCACTCCATGCACAGCATTCCTTAGACTAGAATTATGTTGAACATTGTGATCGATGAGTATGTCTACATGGTCATTTTGTGTAAATTGTGTATGGAGCAGAGCCTCCCTCTCGGCTTCCTCTCTTTGCCTGCGTAACTGTTGGTTTCGCCAAGAGTTTAGTGCAGCTGTCAGATGACGGCTGTCATATTTCAATTGGTCCACTCGCATTTTGGCATTCTGCCTCTGGGATACAGGTCCTTTGAGACAGAGCACGTCAAGTCTCTCGCAGTTACTGTAAAGTAATACTTGCTGTGAAAGGCGTGACGCAATCCTTAGTTATCCGTATGGTGTTGGTAACCTACCTGTTGATAAAACCAATTTTCGTCTGGATATCATTTTCCACAGCCTGCAGATCGAGGTTAGGCGACTTTTTTTCCAACTGAGAGAACAAGTGCTGAGTCTCCTGCACAAGCTTATTGGTTTGGTGATATAAAGTCTCCATGGTTGTTTGCACTTTTTTCAGTCCGCGTATGACCAAAACTTTCAGTCCTGTTCGCACTTATTTCAGACTCTAGCGATTCTCCCTAAGCATCAGCATTTTCTACAAGGAGTGACGTGTACACACGCCACGACTACGTTTCTTCGTGGGAAGCGACCTCTTCATCATTAATGCTGTCAGAAAATATTACGGAAACCGCATTCCTATTATTTATGACAGATTTAACTATTGGGATAAGTCCAATAATAGACAGACAGGTAGGTACATCAAGAATGTGATGCAAAAAATCCTCTTTCTCCTCTTAAAATGACTGATAGAGTTGGCATTTCGTTTTCGAATTGTACAGAGATAACTAGGGGGATCCACATCGCTACGGTTTCAAGCGATATCAAAATTATGACGCTAAATCGTAGCGGCGACTTTGGAAGTAAGATTTTGTGATCATCGCCTCTGCCGACAATGCGAATCTCGTCGTAGCCGAGCTAAACGTGAACACGAACGCGTAGCTTGGCGGGCAGAGGTTCTCCGCTACTCGTCGCTGATTCTCAAAGCAATCCTTAAAACGAGACCGGGAAATATAGACCTTCTCAAGAACTATTGAAAAAGCCTATTGTTGAAACATTCTTAAGACATTTTTAAGAAAGTACAGTTCCAAGTTCACACCCGTGTAACACCTCAATTTTTCAAAATATTATTGGATCTTGGCTTACTTTCAAAATTTATTCAAGACATAAAATTGAAGCTAGATCAAAATCTCGCAAAATCTACAGAGTAGATAAAAATTGAATTGAAATTGTACAATATCGAAAATAAATTACAATCAAATTGAAATATTAATAAATTAGGTGTTTTGAACATTAAAATAATGAATTAATTCAATAAAGTAAAATATTAACACTTAGAAATCGGAAATTCTGGCAAAGCATATTCAGAAGTATTGGAAGTTGCCCAAAATTGTATGCGCGCAAATTCGTCGCGGAGGACGCGGAGAGTGGGAACAGGCGGATGGTGGGGGGAGCGCTCGAGGCAGTGCCCGGACTCGGAGCGCGGCGTTCATTCTTCCTCGAGCCGGTCTCCTATACTGGTCTCTTGGAATTACCTCTCTTATCAATTCAACATCCTTTTCCTCCTCCTCGTGCCTTATGCTTCGACGGCCCTATGCTGGATTTTCTCTGCCATTACTTTCATTCGATCTGCAAGTTGCAAAAAGTAAAGGGATTTTTTGAAAGTGCTCTATCGCATTTATCTGTACCAGCGTGATACAGCTGATTTTCCAATTACTTTCGGAATTATTTTGTTGGAGAAAGTTCACTCATTTTCTCAAAGATGGCGCCACATATCATGCCCAGGAGGTGCTGCCCTCTTATCGGCGAAAATTCGAACTAATGTGAATTCTTTAATAAGATTTACTCTTTGAAATTTCGACGATGGGATTTTTAAATTGAATTCGGAATTATTTATCGGAGAAAGTTCACTCTTTCTCTCAGAGATGGCGCCACATATCATGCCCAGGAGGTGCTGCCCTCTTATCGGCGAAAATTCGAACTAATGCGAATTCTTAAATAAAAATTGACCCACTGAAGTTTCGACGATGCGTTTTTCAAATTACATTTGAAATCATTTTGTCGTAGAAGGTAGTATTGATGAAGAAAAGCGAAGTCAAGATATGGATTATATGACAGAGATGGAATGGAAATTGGAGCACAGCTAAAAAGGGATTTCGCAGCATAAGGAAGGAGAAGGATGCTGTTAGGACGAAGGAGTGTAAGAGAGAGTCAGAACTCATTCTTACTCTGGGATATTCGCATAGGGCAAAAAAAATATCAACGTGTATAAGTGTTACAAGATAATTTATTCAACAAATGCAATAATGATACAGTATACAAAGTACAGACATACAAAGTACATAGTATACAAAGTGCAGACATATATACAGACATACACATTCATTCCGCGAAAAATTTGTAATAACAGTACCATTAAAGATATATTACATATATCACTGCAATATAATATACGTGTTGTATGTTATATGCACTACGACTTTAATTCTTCCTTTTTCCAAAGGACATTTCAAAAACTTAGTTTTTAAGATTATACTAGGAGGAGAGTGAGGGAGAATAGAAAGGAATAGTAGATTCGAAAATTGAGGAGAAACATTTGGTGGCAGCAGCCAGGGAAGATATTGTTGAAGGGAAAGAGAGGAAAATTGTTAGAAAGAATGAGTGAAGAAGACTGATGGTGACGATTAAAGGAACGAGGGGAGAAAAAGGTGTGTAAAACGTATGCACGAGGACCAGATTATTCGGGAGTAGCGACAAAGAAGAAGACTCGAATATGTAGGAAAAGTAGGAAGTATAAGG